ATTAGTCACACATGTTTGCGTTCGTACACAAACCCGCCCAGAAACAAACACGACGGGCGCGCGGGGTCACACACGCATGTGCACACTCACACGCGTGCACAGGAGGACACAATCGTATAGTTCGCTCGTGTATAAGACAACCCACTCAGAGGAACACGTGAGGGCGCACACACATACAGACACACACACACACACACACACACACTTCACTGGTGGTCCTCGTCTCTTTTGTCTCTCGTGGGAGGCCTCAGACAAAAGCAACAACCTGACAGGTAAACAAGCCGTCATGTTTGGGCAGACCTACCTGAGAAAGGCTCTCACCTGACACACCCTCCTCCCACCGCTCTCCCACCGTTTCCACGACTACTGTCATTTACCCAGAGCTGAACTCTTCTCTGTAAACCTCGACACAAACTTTCAGCTCGCTTTTGAAGAAACAGGCGAACCGTCGGAGGCCTCGCAGGTGATATACTTGACTGCGGCGGCCATATTGAAGGTGTAAAACAGTGTTTATGAACGTGATGAGAAAAAGTATCAGATTCATTCTCTCATGACGACGTCTGCCCTGATGTTTTTGCAGAAACCAAACATGCCGTGAGAAGTTCAGTTTTCTGGTTGTTTCTCTGCGATTATAGCGAAGAGCTGCAGGTACAGAGGCTCCAGTCCTCTTCGCAGTGATCGCTGGTTCGACTCCTGCCCTCTACTCTCTGCTGCATGTCACGGCCTGCTCTTTACTTCCTACAGTTTGTTTTTCTCCTCAACTGTTTAAAGAAGAAGCTTGAAAGTCTGACTCCTTTACACTGAATTTAAAACTCTTTTTGAATCGGAGAAAATCTTTTAACCTCAAATCTTCAGCATCAAGTCTTCAAATAAATCACTTGACTTGAATAACCATCGCTGGAGGGAGCAAAACTTTTCTCATCGTCAGAAAATATTTTTACGTTCTAGAGGAAAACTCAAAACTCATTTTATTGAATTTCCCCTTGGGGATAATTGAAGTTCTTCTCATCTTATTTAATCTTATTTCATCTCATTTTATTTGATCATATCTTATTTTATCTCATATCATCTTATTTTATCTTTTCCCATCTCATCTTCTCATTCTATCTTATCTAATCTCATCTTATGTTATCTTATTTTATCTCATCATATTTTATATCATATCATCTCATCTCATTTTATTTTGTCTCATCATATTTTATATCATATTATCTTCACTCATCTCATTTGATCTAATCTAATTTTATCTTACCTCATCTTGTCTCATTTTATCTTACCTCATCTCATCTCATCGTATCTTGTCTCATCATATTTTATCACATCTCATCTTGACTCAACTCATCTAATTTTATCTTACCTCATCTTTTCTTATCTCATTCTCTTATTTTATCTCATCTCATCTTATCTCATCCAATCTAATTTTATCCTCTCATCTTATCTCGATTTATTTTTTTTATCTTATCTCATCGTGTTTTGTCTCATCTCATCTTTTTATCTTAATTTTAACTCATCTTATTTTATCTTGTCTTATCTCATTTCATTTTATTTTATCTCATCTTATCGTATTTTGTCTCATCTTATCTTTAAGCAAACTTGGAGGAAATTTATCAAAATAAACTTCACTGCATGAAATAAATAAAAATAATGCCAGAGGATGAAAAATCTGAAAAGATGTGTCGAATTACGGGGCAGACCAACATGGATGAAAATAATAATTATTGAAATTCATGTATGACTTTTTAAAATCAGAGATTTTTTATTTTTTATTTATCTCTGTAGTTTCACTCTCATCATGTCCTGATTTTTACTTTCAGAATACTGAATGTTTGATGGGCTTAAAAACATACCGCTTCAACATGACTGAAACATCTCCGAATGTCAAACAAACACGAGTTAGAGTAAAAAATGTGCACACACAAGCTCCTGCAACAACTTCCAACTACAGCCTTTAACAACATTTCAAAACATGAGGCAATAAAGTCTAAAAACCCACGCCTGCCAATTCAGAGACAGATGTTGGACAATCCCGACCTCAAGACTGTGAAAGAAGAGACGGATCCGAAAAAACAACCGCAGAGAGTCAGGACCAAATAAATCCTGTAAAAAAGAGGTGGGATGATGTGTAGAAAGTACACACAGGTTACCTTCATCGGTTCATTTGCCTTCGCTAATGTTGTTTACACACATTTATCTGTAATCATAGAGCTTAACCTTTATTTAAGTTAAGGAGTAATTATATTTAAAGCTAGACAAATGGAGCAACTCAATCTCTTTCAAAGAAAAGACTCATTTAAAGGCAGAAAAACGCTGCCATGATCGATCACAGTCATACAGAAGAACCAACGCGGCGCATTGACGGACATCAGCTGATTTTAGATGGATGTCAATGACTGAGTCTGTCGTTTTCTCATCTGCTTTTCTGTCATGCTGGAGATAAAACAAGTTTATTCACACCAGAATTACTAATAAAGATAAAATAATCTAACTTTTTAGAGCACAGACATGTAAATAAGCGAATAAACCTCACCTTTACCCCCGTCTGTGATTATCAAACCTCATTGTTGCGTGGGAGGTGACTGAACGCTAAGATTAGCTGTGTTCTAATGTTAGCTAACAGATTAGCCAGCAGGTTTTTTTAACTTAAACTATTATTATTATTATTACTTCATGGCCTTCCAGATTTACATCATCCATCTCTTTGTGTCTGTTTATAGATCAGGGAATGTCGTAATGAATATCGAGAACTACGGTTCGGTTTTCCTCCTCTGGCCAGTGACGTCCGTCGATTCTCAAAGAAAACAGACCCGGAGTTGTCGGGATCAATATTCAGTCATAAAAACAAATGTTAAAAAATATAAATTTCCGTCTATTTCACAAAGGTCAAAAACTCCCTACAGGAGCTTTAATGACTGTTTAACTTGATTTATCGTCGAGTTTGAGACTCAGGCTGATAAGAGAAAACATTGTAAACTTAAACACATTCTTTCGGCCGGTTTGTGGACAGCGATTGTGTTTTACGATAATCGCTGCAGAGGTCACGTTTTATTGAGAACTCCATCACAGATAAGAGGGAGTTGAAGGGCTCGGTTACACCAGGAGTCATGAGAAGATGTTTGCGTGCACTGCTGTGGGAAAAATCTCCATCCTGACTGAGGATAACCAGAGTCCCAGCAGCTCATCGCCCTCCTCCTCCTCCTCCTCCTCCTCCTCCTCCTGCCTGACTCCTCTTTAAACGGGTCTGCTGGGTCAGGCTACTGTGTGTGTGTTTGAGTAGTGTGTGTGTGTGTGTGTATACCTGTGTTAATCCGTACCTGTGTCTGCGTGTCTGGCTCAGTGATCGGCATGGGAAAGAATGAGAGAAAAGAGACAGAAGAAGGAAACTCAGAGCTCCAGTTCGAGTTTTCTTTTTTGATAAATCTGCAGACGTCTGTGTGGATAGAAATTAAGGGATTTTTGATGCTTTCAAACACTTTTTAAATGTTTTCAGAGCTTTCGAACATGGTGGCAGCCAGTGTATTAAAAGATATTTGAAGATATATGTACTTTCATATATGCTTTGGTGCTTTCAAAACCCATTTCAAGTACTTTTCTCTGCTTTCAAGCCTGTTTCAGGTGTCGTGTGGTGCTCTCAACCCTGATTTAAACCTGTTCAGGATTTCTTTAATGGTTTTAAATCTGTTTAAGTTATCTTTTGATACTTTAATTCCCATTTTTGCTGTTTTAAAAACAGTTTTTTCAGATACTTTGGGTGCTTTTAAGAGTGTTTTAATTATTTCTTTTAATCCTGTTTCAGATATTTTCTGGAGTTTTAAAAGCTCTTCTACATTGTATTTAATGTTTCAGTCCTCTATCCTAACCTGTTTTAAATATCTTTTGGTACTTTTGGTACCTTTGGTACTTTGGTACTGGTATCCTTTTCAGATATTTTTTTAGAGCTTCCACTCCTGTTTTACATACTTCCTTTGTTTTCAAACCTGTTCCAGATTTCTTTTTTAAGTGCTTTAAATCCCATTTCAGAGATTTTCTGGAGGTTTAAAAGCTCTTCTCCATTGTATTTGGTGCTTTTAGTTCTGTTTCAGGTGATACTCTATCCTTTCAAACCTCTTTTAAATATCTTTTGGTACTTTAAAACCCCTTTGATACTTTTAATTTTGTTTTTCACATCTTCCTATGTTTTCAAAGCTGTTTTAGATTTTTTTTTTTTTTTTGGGTGTTTAAATCCAGTTTCAGATATTTAATTTTGCTTTCAAACCTGTTGAAGATCTTCGGTCATGCCTTTAATCCTGTTTCAGATATTTTCTGCTGATTTTAATCCAGTTTTACGTGTTTTCAGGACCTCCAGACCTCTTTTACAACGTTTTTTTGGTGCTTTTTAGACTATTTTGGACATTTTTCATGCTTTAAAGCCTATTTCATATTTTAATTTCTTCTTTCGAGTATTTTGTGACACTTTTAAACCTGTTTCTTATGTTTTTTTGAGCTGTTTTGTGGTATTTTTGGTGCCTGCCATCCAGTCTATTTAAAGACATTTGAACTTCAGTTTCTGGCTTTTTTTTCAGTTTTAAGTTTAAAATATTCACTTCTGCTCATTTCTGTACATTTCTCTTACATATCTTTCAACCTAGGCGAATATAGTCAAGTATATTAAGTTCTTGTTCAGATGCAGCTCTCTTATCAAAAGTGCTTCACCAGCAGAGAGGTCCACCTAAAAACCTCCAGCCCAGATCAGGACTCGTCAAGTGATGAGCCTGAAAGTAAAGGTTTTTATGTGTCTTCAGAGGGAGCTCCAGACCTCGGTGCTCTTTTATTGTCTATTTTCATGACGCCGTGTTTGCGAGACTTTCCGATCAAAAGCCAGAACGTGAGAAGGAGCTAAAGTGCTTCTTGCTAAAGACTCTCCTGTTCGTCTTTGAAACAGCAGATCATGTTTTATCTGGCAATCAAGATAAAAGTCCACTGCTGCGTTTTTTTCCCCCCACTCTCCCACTCCAGTACCTGGATCATGTGGAATTCCCAGAGGAGGGCAGTAAATTGTCCGGCGGGGCGACGTCGTCCTCTCCCTCCTGAATAACTTCACTCTGAGAAAAAGAGACAAGAGAGGAGGCATGTTGAGTTTCGTGTCCTTTCTGAAAAACACATGCATCACTTTTTTTTCGGAGGGAGGACGGGAGTCTGCGTGTGTGTTTGTAAATACGAGCTCGCGTAGGTTCAGTCCATGACTTGTTGGACTTGAGAGAAGTTGGATCACATATCACGGTGTCCTACAAAGAACACGCAAACTCTGAACAAAATGCATACTGTTGTTTGGATTATAGTCGATAGATGTGGCCTCGATAGATTTCTCCACAATGAACCCAGCGAGGTCAGAGTCTCACTGACCTACAGAAGCTGGAAACAAACCGCCGACCACCAAACTCAGAGGAGAACCCTTTTTTCTATGAACCACAATTGCCAGAGTCATTTTTGTTCGCCCAGTATATCGCCACTGAGCGCCATCCAAATGGACTCTCTGGATCTCCTCACCTGGCGTTCATGTGAGAGTCATGAAATACACTTCCAGATAAAATACACCAGATTCCAGTTTCAGCTCTCGAATGGGGGGAAAATTGAGGATTTGAAATGCATGCAGATGATTTTATAGAGACTGTTTCATGACGGTTTGGAGAGAGATGGAGAAGCAGGCCGGCCTGATTTTTTCCAGCGTCTCAGAGCCTGAATAAACTCTTTTAGTAGGAATGAGAAAATTAACCGATACCTTAACTGGCTAAACCCACAGGATCCAGAATGGCTCCACTCCACTCTGGCCCGGCAGGCAGTTCAGATCCACAAGGATACAGCACTAACCGGATCTGATCTTCCACCGCCATCTGAGGAGGAGCACTCGTGAGATGACCGATATTATTCAGCAGACTGAACGAGATCTCACGAGATCTCGTGTGTTTCCCTGTGAGTCATAGAATAAGATCCGCCGATCAGTGTATATAAACACACACACCCCACAACCCTGGCCTCTTCTATTATCAAGTTAAGAACAGATCAATGTATTGACTTTATTTTATTTTGAAAATTAACCGGATATTTTACTCTGTAATGTCATTAAACTGCTCATACTGCGCTGCACTGAATTGATGCGCTGCGCTCCAGCGTCCAGCAAAAATAGAAGCCTTGCGTATCTGATCCGACCACTGAGGTCGATCCACAGTGGAGCCTGATGCTGAACAGATTCTGTGGAATGACTCACATTGATTATAATGCTTGCAGATCTGATATCGGCATTATTACCTAAGATGCCCAACCCTTGTTCTTAGCATCTACACAAGTCCGCGAATGACCTCAAACCTGCAGCGATCCCTTCGTGTGGAAGGGCCAGTTGTTTGAGGACAAACAGCTGTGTGTGTGTGAGAGAGAGAGAGAGAGAGAGTTGTACGTGGGAGTGTGTTTACAACTGTTTACACTCTCCGAGTTCAGGCCTTTTCTCAGCGCCGGTTCCCCCGAACAGGCAGGTACACTGACAGGCAGGGAGGCCGAGCGAGGCGGCCTCTTAATCATCCCTCCCTGCGTTTTTGTCTCTCTTCTGACAGTCCCTCGCTCTTGTGTGACGGCCCACACCGCCGCCCCAGCCTGCTCACCTTTTCACGGCTCCTGAAGCGAGACTATTAATGCACTCGCTGCTCTCCTCGCCCTGAGCGCCAAACTCCCGTGACAGCGCAGGACGCTCACTTTGTCTGCTGTGTTTGTCCAAAATTTGTTTCAATATGTATTTTTGGGAACGGTAATGTTTGCATAATAAATCTTTGTGGCAGGGGAATACAAAGAGAGCTACGGGTCCAAACCTGGGCGGGTCGGATCGGACGCTCTGTCTCTCTCTTTTCCTGGTTTACTCTCGACTCTACTTTCAGGTTGTTTTTCCATCCTGCTGTCAGTAAGTTTATACACACATGTATCAGCGTGGAGGCTGGAGCGCCCTTCCTCCTCAAGTAACCTTTGGGAGTTCCCACGCCCTGCGATAGAGCAAGGTACTAAGAACCCCACAAACATGTAAACACACATATATATATCCCATATATGCAGGGCTGCCAAGTTTCAGAAGATGACAAGAGTGAGACTTTAGCGTTATGATGTGTTCGTCAAAAAAAAAATTGTCCTTTTTGAACATCGATTTATACCTTAAGACTGATGTTCTCACCTCCATGCCAGCTGCTCTCCCTGCACTGTGGCCCCCTAATGCTCGTCTTAATTAACCAGAAATTAGGAATGAAAATTGTAACAAGAATTTTGATGAAATACATTTATTTGTCAATATTGCATTTCAACTAACTCTCTAATAATTTAGCTGGGTACAAGATAATTAGAGAAGCCAAGACCCGCCTTACGTTGCTTCTGATTGGTTTATACTGCGTGGTGCCTCCCGTGGTTGGTTAGGTTTAGGCACAAAGGACTGATGGATTGGTTATCTCGGTCAGTCAATCAGAGTTACTGGATCTATGGAAAGCCAAGCTTGTTATCATGAAAGAAAGTAATACAGGGTATTGAATAAGGAAAAATAAGCATGAGAAATGTCAAGTGTGGCGTGAGAATGGGTCAAATTGTGGGACTGTCACACTTAAAGCGTGACGCTTGGCAGCTCCGCCCATATATGTAAGTGCTGCAGGATACACAACATGCAAAATGTTCAAACGTCTGTGAATCTGACCTCGCGGGGCCAAAAAAGATCAATGCAAAAACGCGATTAGACGCTTGTATAATTCTGGCAGCGCGAATGATGCGAATTAAGCGAGTCATTCGCACGAAGTAGCAAGAGTGTAGCCCTTTAATGCCTGATACCAAAAATTATGGACAGAAAATTCAATTTTTTTCTACAAGTCAAGAAACTCAAGATGGTATTCACGTTGCAATAACCAATCGGTAATTAGATTCCAGAGTGGTTTATGAAAACGTATCGGAAGATGTTTGCCGGTGTCGAAAATGAAAGACAAACTTGTCAGTGTGTGGGTGCCCTGAAGTGTATGATAGTTCTTGTTTTGGTTACCGAAACTGGATTAAAAAGGAGCTCACCTGGAGGAAAGTGAGTGACGAGGTCGGGTTATCTCGTAAATCGTAAAAAAGCGTTGTCTATCACTTGATCCCGCCGGTTGAATTGGCAAGGATCACTGTTGAAATTAGCATTAGCATCTAACCACGGCTTTTAGGCACTGTGTTGATGCGCAAATCGAGTGAAAGGAGCAAATAAATACAGTTGATTCATGCGGCTAGATTAAGCGAGTAGATGATTTTGGTTTGAACGCCACATGACAACGTCACGGCCTTCAGCTCAAACAGTACGTAAAGTCCCTGGAAAGAGTTTTTAAAGGGTCACAAAACAACTAAAAATTACCCAAAAAAGAAACATGACCATCTGCGTCACGATCGACTTCTTTAGTGAAGTTATAACTTTTAATGGATTAACTTTAATCTACCAGAATATAATGTATCGTAGATTATATCATGATAGCGGTTTTGAGGTCGTTGGTTTGAGTCCCGTCCTTGACACAAACAAACCCAACCTCTGCAGAAACACAAAAACACACCACTCTGTCCTCGCGGTGCACCAAAACCAACAGACTGAAAGTTTCCAAACGACAAAGACTGTTTTTCATTGTCATTTTAATAAAATAAACATGTTTGAAGCCTGATGTAAAAAATATCTTTGGCTGTGTTGTTCTTTTTTTTTTTCTGAGATTGCAAAAGAGAGACGATTTTTGGTCGGCTTCCTAAGAGCAGCTGGACAGGACTTTAAACGCTCCTCACTTCTTGTTTTTGTTAAACTCGGTTCAGTAAATTCACCGGTTTGGAAATAATCAATGCAACACTCGAACCTAAATATGAGTAGTTTTTTATTCTTTAGCGAACTGCACCTTTATTTGAGTTTCTATTGTTGTATTCAGTGTGAAATACATCAAAACGGCTGCAGAAATTAGTTTAACCAGTTATTAACTAGTCATTACCGAGTTATTAACCCGTTAGCGGCCTCGTTTCGCTCACAGATCATTTAAATCACTCAAATGTGAAGAACCACGCGGCCCTCTTGAGCTCCAAACCAAACAGTCAACACTACCCTGTAATCGGAGCGGCCACATGACCTTACAGATTTATTGTCCCTCACTGGTGACAGACACAGACTGAGGGGGGAAAAAAAGGGGGGAGACGGTTCCTCTGTAAGTCAGGGGAGGAGAGAGCGTTGTGATCTTAGTGGGACGGCTCAGGGCAACGCTATCCCAAACACTGCAGAGCGCTGTAAGCCTCCGCCATAAATCTCAGCTTGGCGAACCACAGCCAAGCTTGTTCGGCGCTGTGTGTCGCTCTAGAGGCCAGAATCCAGATGTTGGAGAGAGACGGTAAATAAAACAATCAATCAGGCAGATTTCTTTAAAGGTTCGTAATATTAGAAACGTCTTTTTACAGCGTAACAGAGAGTTTCTGCGGGATGTGAGACAACAACCAGACGCTCTTCAGATCCCAGACAAACTTCCTAAATGAGTAAAAGTCAGTGATTTAATCCCACTTTGGATGAAACAGATGCTCTAACACCTCCCGCTTTGTGAACGCTGAACAGTCCTATTCCTCTGGATTATCGGTTATAGATGCAGGTGGATTGAGGGGATAAACAGATACGGAAACTTCATTGTGGGAGAAATATCCGCAGCTTAAAATCTCACTGTGCAGAGAGTGGAGCTGGTTTATTGTTAAGACCTCTGCCTCTGGACATGAACTCCTATTGGACTGAATCCATGAGGACTCATCTGGATCCTCTGTCTCTGTCTCTGCTACAGCTGACTGAACCAAACAAGGAGCACGCTAAAAAAATACCCACAAACCATCTGGGGTCATCTGGGGTCAAGTCAGATCTAGAGGAGAAGAGAGTCAAACACTCGAAGTCGAAACTCAGTTACATGATCCTGGACCTGTGGACCTGGTCCTAGCTGATCCCAGACTCAACAAGATCCCTGACAGAACTTTAAACGATTATTGATCTCCTGATGGGAGATCTTCAATGATTATGAAACAGAGAATCTTGCAGTCTAGTGTACTAAGTTCTGGTTTAGTTAATTTTTATTTATTTAGTCTAGTCTAGTCTGGTCTGGTCTGGTCTGGTCTAGCAAGTTCTGGTTTAGTTTAGTTATACCTAGTCAAGTTTAGTTCTGGTTTTGTCTAGTTTAGTCAAGTCTGGTCAATCTTGATTCAGTTTAGTTTAGTTTATTCTAGTTGAGTCTTTATTAATTTAGTTTAGTAAATCCTGGTTAAATTTAGTTTAATCTAGTTAAGTTTATTCTACTCTGGTCTCACTAGTCTAGTTTAGTTTTGTAAATTTTAGTTCAGCATAGTTTAGTTCATTCTTCTCTAGTATTGTATGATTAAGTTCAGTTTAGGTAAACATGGTTTAGTTTTGTATAGGTTACTTTAGTTGAGATTAGTTTCTTCTGGTCGAATTGAGTTTATTCTAGTTTACTTTCTTCTAGTCTAGATTAGTTTAGTCTAGTTTAGTTTAGTAAATCCTGGTTCAGCATAGTTTAGTTTAGTTCATTCTTCTCTAGTATTGTATAATTAAGTTCAGTTTATGTAAACATGGTTTAGTTTTGTGTAGGTTACTTTGGTTGAGATTAGTTTCTTCTGGTCGAGTTTAGTTTATTCTAGTTTAGATTATTTTAGTCTAGATTAGTTTAGTCTAGTCGAGGCCAGTTTAGTTTTTCTATTCAAGATAAGTTTAGTCCCGTTGAGTTTCTTCTAGTCAAGTTAAGTATCCTCTAGTCGAGTTTAGTTTAGCCCAGTTTAGTTTCTTTGAGTTTACTTTCTTCCCGTCAAGTTTAGTTTAGTTTATTCTAGTTTACTTCTAGTCTAGATTAGTTTATCTAGTTTAGTTTCTTCTATTCGAGTTCAGTTTAGTTTCTTGTAGTTTACTTTCTTCTAGTCCAGTTTAGTTTAGTTTATTTATGTTTACTTTCTTCTTGTCTAGATTAGTCTAATTAAGTTTCTTTTAGTCGAGGTTAGTTTATTATAGTTTACTCTCTTCTAGTCTAGATTATTTTGGTCTAGTTTAAATTCACTTAATCTAGGTTTATTAGCATTGACGTTAGCAGTCACATTGCAGCAGCTGTTCTTACTCTGCTCTAGTTTAGCTTTTTAGCGGTGACCTTGGTGCACAGTTGGTGTTTGATTAGCATCATCGATCGGCTTTCTATCATTTTTACTCTGCTCACATTTCAGCTCTGCAAACCACTCTCCATTTCTTAAAATCACCTCTGAGAGCTTTTTTTTCAGACTGCTGCTCTGAAACCAGAAGATATCACTTCATAAAGACGATAAGGGAAAATCTTATCCTGTTTTGATGATTAAGCTGAAGAAAGTGATCCTCAGAAGTCTCTCACCAGGGTCAGTGTGGTACTGGGTTAGTCCGTTTTGGTGGTCTGCCATTTAAAAAAAAAAAAAAAGGAAACATCAGATTATGTTGATGCTTAAATAAAAACTGGAAGCTGGACGTCCGTTTCTCATCAGCACTAAGCCGTAGAGGCCCGTCGAGTTTGTATAAAGTGGAAAACAGGGATGATGCCTCCTCTTGAAACCATGATCTACGCAGCAGACCTGTTTACGTTGGTAATCTCCGAGCCCTGCGCAATCAAAACATCGCTAATTTCACTGCTGATTAGAAACGGTGACATCTGCGTTTCTAACACACTTCAAGGGGGAGTCCTGCTTAAAGAGAAAAAAAACAACATCCATGCCTCATAATCGCTGCAGTGATGAGAGGGTGACTTCACTCACGAGGATTCAAGAGATATATCCATAGAGGAGGAAACTTAATGCACTAACTATCATGGCTGTTGTGTTTCAGGATTCTGGTTTCTGCTCGGGCGTTTGGCTCCCCGACTCTCTGCTTCTGCTACGAGTTAGAGAAGTGGCAGCAGAGTCACAAAAAGCTGAAGAGCTGCCCAGCGTCAAGCTCAAAAAACCCTCCTGATCTATCCGACAGAGTCAAGACGACACACACGGTTCAAAAGCACTCCTCTGGTCCTCGCTCAGCGGAAACAGGCCTCACAGGCTAATGCCACCAGATCTACTTCTTCGTTAGGACCTGGACTACAGACTCACTGCGGTCCAGGACGGTCCTGGACTACAGACTCACTGGGATTCACGAGAAAAAAGGAGCCCGAGGTCACTGACCCAACAGGATTCACATTGAATTAACTTTGTTTGGTGTCGGGTCATGTCTTTTTTTTATCGGTCGACCCTCCAGTATCACACACTGGTGTTTTCATGTAGGTGGGACACATTAACTGTCATTTTGATGATAATTATAACCATCTCTGCAACACTATATATGAGCCCACCTCTTACAAGCGCAATTATTAAGTCTCATAAATGCTATAAGGTTTTATTATCTTTATCATCTCTGCATTGGTTACCTGTGTCTTTTAGAGAAGATTTTAAGGTTCTTTTATTAGTTTTTAAAGCTCTTAATGGTCTTGGTCAACAACAAACAAGCAAAACATTTATGATCATTTCTTTATCATTTCCTTGAAGTAATAATCATCATATTAATCATTTTTCACTGCAGACGCTGTAGTTCTTCTGCTTTAGCGTCTCTGTCTGATTGCGTTTCCATGAAGAAATGATCATAAATGTTCTTCCTTGAGCTGCGTCACCCCGCTGTGGTCCATAATGGACTCGTCCTAGGTCTCCCTACAAAAAAGCGGCTGCTGGAAGAGAGTAGGTGAGTTGTGTTTAGTCTCTTTGCTAAAGAAATCAGGCAAAGTTAAAAAGATGTTTGGTGGCTAATGCTGTGACTGGGACCCTATATGTACTGTTGATGAAGTTAGGTGCTGTTCTGAGCCTTATTTGTTTCTATAGAGTGGCGTTTTGGTTAAGGTTTGCACGTGGAGACGTAGACCGCTGTGTATTTCTATTGTGCGGTCATTACTGAAGTGGGACCTGAACTTAAATTTACACCGGAATATCCCTTTAACATTCTTTACATCCATCTGCACACTCGTCCTCAAACAGGGTGTGATCATGTGATCAGGCATCAGCCCTCCTGTTATGTTGGAATGACTATTTATGCTGCGGGGTGACCATCAGACAGGCCCTGGCCACAGACACACACCTTCACACAGACACAGACACACACACACACACACACACACACTGGAAACAGGCGAAATAATCCCTCCACCTATTTGCACAGGAGAGTTGAGGCCGCGGCCTCACCTTCAGGGCACTACTTAACTCCTCCAGTCACTCGTTGAGTAATCACAGCATTCTCCTGCCCGCCTGCCTTCCTACCGCCTAATTATACAGACAGCCAGAGTGTGTGTGTGTGTGTGTGTGTGTGTGAGTGTCATGATTTAGCAATGCAGGCCTCACAGGTAGACAATTACAGAGGCCAGTATTAACTATTATTATAACTATCTTGTGGATACAGTTGCAGAGATGCTGGAGATGGGGGTGGAGGGTCGGTCATGTGACCTGCAGACTGTTTGCACCTGCAGATTTTCTCCTCATTTGACTCAAACTCTGAAGAATTTAATCTGATAGTTTTAGAATTATAATCTCTAAATCAGAGCAACACAACTGAGTGGATAAACATCATAATTAAGAGCAAATATGAGCAGAAGATTTGACCTGAATTTACCTGAATTTAACCTAAAGATCCAGTTTCAGGTCTGATTACATCCCTGCTCTTCACCTGTACCTGCAAACACATCCATCTTTGTGCAGAAGTAACAATGACGGGATGTAGAGGTGAAATAGTAAGTGGTCAAGAGACCCTCCGCCGTCTGCGCCGTCTGTGATGCGCTCTGGGAAGGAGGTCCGTCCGTGTCCTGGAGGGAGGCCCGCAGCTCCGCAGTAATCCCCTCAGGATCCCTCTCTCAGAGCTCGGCTTTGCCTCTTGGCCGAGCTCAAAAGGAAAGTGTGGAAGGGTGGGACAGATTTCACACTTTCCCCGAAGTCTCCGGCCAAAAGAGGGAGCTTGTAAAGTGAAAAATGTGGAGCTGTGCCACAGATCCGAGACTCTGCGCTGCTTCCACACCAGGCCCGAGACAGATTCGGGTTTTTAGATCAACTCTAAAACTCTGAGTTTCATATTTTTCGTTGTCTGTTTTATTCATTTATCAAAAACCCTCTCCTCTGTGATCCTCTCAGCCGGAGGGTTTACGGTCCAAATCTGCTCTAATCTCGGGTTCGGCTCCTGTCGGCCTGCTCCGTCTCTGCGCCTTTTCGGGCCTTTTACGCGACAAAACAAACGGAGCCCATCATGAGTTTATTGACTTTGGATTTAAAGGTTTACAGAAATGTTTCGTTTCTTCGTGTTGTTATGTCGTGACACACAAACTCCACGGTCACACTCAGTTTCTGTCTCATCGAAAGTTTAAACTTTTTCACTCGGTTATTTAAGATTTTAATTTAGGGGAATTAAAGGAAATGAAGTTATTTTTAGTCATGTTTTAAACAAGAGAGAAAGAAAAGCTTCTTCGAACATGTTTCATTAACTATGTCGATTAAAAATGATATTAAAATACGGATAAATACATTATTTGGGGGGAAATGAAATTTGAGTATAGTATGTGTGTGTGTATATATATATATATATATATACACATATACATATATATACGGTTTAACAGCAATGAAGAAATTTAATGTTAAATATTTTGATTTTTCATGAGGATCAAAATAATAACGAAGCAGCGCCGTGGTAACCATGGTGATGAATTAACTCACCGTTTCATTTCTGTGTTAATTAACACATGAAATATGATTCGTGTCTGTTTTGTTCAAAGTCAGGAATATTAAAGATTAAAACTTTATCGATGCCCAAAAGAGGAAAATTCAGATTTTCACAACAGCAGCAGATGTAACAGGAAACACAAGAGGTATCAACTAAATAAATAACTATGACAACAAATAAATATTTAACAGTAAGTAAGATTTAAAAAAAACTCGAAGTTAAAGTGCTCCGCCTCGCAAGGACCTGTGTGTGCGAGACTTTGAGTTTTAGGACTTAAAATGAGTTTAAAAGTTTAAAAGTTTCATTGAGAGGATGTTTTTTATGTCTCATTAAGAATAAAGTTAACATGTTGAACTAGGAGACCCTTTATTTCTACTCAAAAGAGGAGGAACTAACAGTAAGTATATGTCGACTATTTTCGACCGAGGAAACGACTAAATTCGGTCTTAATGTTATCGATTAATTCAGAGATCATTCTGTTCGATTAAAAGTCTGACTGCTCATTAGTCTCACTGTGAAAATGAAAAAGAAATAATTATATTTAAAAACCAGAAAACTGAGGAGAAACCTGATGGATTCAGATTTGTTGATTTAATCGATTAATCAGTCCGATTAGTTGTTGGTGATGGAGAGGACGCTGGAGTTAAAGGGGGGATATATTTGTGGAGGTGGGAGATGGATGGTGGTGGATGGCCGGTTGGAGAGGGGGGGGGGGGGTGCGGTGCAGTGCAGTGACGTCACTGCGAGGCGTGCTGCACCGCGCTGGGGAAGAAAAACCACCGCAGCAGCGCCGCAGAGACGCAACCAAAGCGCCGATTACTGCGGACGTTTAGGCGCAGCCGACGCGTAAAGTGGATTTACTGAACAGCTGCATGGAGAAACTCTGAGGCTTTACTCTTTTTCTTCTTTTATCGTCTTTTCTCCGCTGGGAAACAGCCGGTGAGTCAAAAAAAACACTCAGATTTTCTGCTCAGAGACCCTGAATCAGGCTGCCTGCTGTCACCTCGCTCTCTAACTCAGACAGCGAGTAATCGACCGAGTTTAGATCTGATGTGATCGAGACATTGAACGTCTACAGATGCAGATGTGATTATTTAGTGAGACAGCAGAGGTCAGAGAGGCCGGAGAAGAGTGGACGCAGTCTTTACGCACAGCTACTGCAGCAAAATAAGCGACTCAAACGGAGTCAGAGCGAAACACAAGAAGCATAAATGTCAGAAAATCAAACCCTACCGTCATATTTCAGAGTTTGGCAGCGGCGCATTCATGTTTAGATGCACTTTGGTGAGTCTAAAGTGAAGCGTGAGAGGAGAGAGAGAAGACTTAGTGAGGAGCAGAGGGAGATAAGAGGAGCTGTGTGTGTGTGTGTGTGTGTGTGTGTGTGTGTGTGTGTGTGTGTGTGTGTGTGTGTGTGTGTGTGTGTGTGTGTGTACAGGCTGTCATGGCAAAGGTAAACTGGGATGTTGTATCAGAGATAGAGTCTAAATCATGAAAAAACAATTTCAGAGAATGATGGAAATAAAAAAACTCTGCAGCCTGAGTCCACATTAAACTTTGAATTAATTCAAACAAAATCATTTCTTATTTTAAATCCTCAGACATGATAAAAAATAATAATGATGAAGAAAAATATAGAATAAAATCACGAAAAGGTGGTTCTGGTTACAACTGGACTTGAAAAAATTGAATCATCCACATTTAGAGGCCACAAAAACAGACAAATCTAACTCCCACAGAAGCTGTTCAGAGACAAATTGAGGATATTATATTTATATTATTCCTCCTGTTTTGAAAATAAAATCTTGTTTTTTGTTTCCAGGTCACTGGGATGGAACTGAATCTGTCCAAGAACGGGATTTCATGCGGGGACCCAGGTAAGTCCGGCACGGTTTTACGCACGGTCTGAGAACATTAAAATCCCGGTTTTCATTTAGTCTGACATGCAGGAATAAACATGAATCTCAATTTTGGCACTGTTGAATTAACGCAGGTGAGATTAAGAGCGCGCGGACATGCGGGAATATCAGATGATAGGATGCAAAACGAGCGGAGAGAAATCAGAAACTCTCTGAGCTGATGTGAGGTTTAAATGTTTTTGTTTTTGTGTTTCTGCTCTGACAGAATCTTTTAATCTATTTTGTGTTTCTGTTTTTCTGAGAGTCTGAGAGTTATTTCCTGTTGAGCTGTTTTCAGTTTTAAAACAAGAATTAATGAGGCAAAAATAAGAATAAAACTTCACTCAAAAGAAAAAAAAAGTAGATTTTATGTGTTTGGTGTTTTTGGAGAAATGGGATAAATGGACCTGGATTTAATAGACATGAGAGTTGAGATAGGGGCGCGTTTTTATGGATGTGAAGAAATATTTAAAAATTACAAGTTTGAATGTTTTTTAAATAAAAACAGATCCAATTAAACAATGTCAAAAACTAAAAATGATTGAGACAGACTGGCGGATTAAATCATCTCTGCGCGTCTGACTTTGTTTGTTCTAGGAGAGGAAATTCAGGTTTAATAGACCCCACTAGAGACTGAAGTGGAATATAATCACTTTGTAAACACAGAGAAGCATATATAAATACATGTGTGTGTATCCATCAGGAAGAATAACCCTTCCTTTGGTTGTCATGTGGAGCTTTCTGAGTGAACTTGATTATTGAATCAGGAAAATAATATTTGTTCTTTTTATTCTCCTGAATTTCTTGTCGGGGTCTGTTTTATTCACACCTGCTCGGTCAGGTTGTTTGTTGGCTTTTACGCGCAGGTCAAACAGGCCTACAGGACGCAGCAGAGACACCGTCACCATGGAAACAATCAGCTCCGTCCGTCTCTGGTTACCCCTCCGTGTCCTGTTACATCTCCACTGCTGCTCCTTTAATTTTCTGAATGCTTTTGTCGTGTTTTTTGGGCCTCGTGGTTAATTAGCTCGACTTTGTTTCTTTACATTTATGAGAGAAGGAGGAGAAAATACAGCAGCGTGACTGCAGGCCTGTTTGGTGTTTGATTAACGGCGTTCACGGAGTTTATTTTCACTTCTCGGTGGAAAAATATGAGTGTTTGCTCGAGCTCTGGCCTTTAACCTGTCCTGCCGGATGGAAAGGCTTTTTAAGTCATCCATCACACGCAAGTGCCCTCCGTGAGCAGAGGAGGAGCGGGACTCGGGGTAGCCGGGCTGCAGGCTGAGGAGGATGAGTATTTAGATTACCCTCATCTATCAGACACTCGAGCACTAACACTGGAGAGGGTCTCCGTGGGCTGGAGATCCTTCAGTATTCCGGACTGGCCTCCTAACTGTAGTTTCTGCTCTCTGGTGCAGTTTCTAAGGTTTAGAAAATCTCCTTTTTCCTTCTTGTTGGAGTAAAAGTTCACATGTCCCCTCTCACATCGGTGCTAAAGTGACCGTTTCCACTCTGACCATCTGCATAGTCAAAACCACCTGCTAACAGGAGGAGAACCTGCAGGTCCCTGAGGTCACTTCACGGGTGTTCGGGTCTCCTGTAGTCCGTAGATTTGACCTTTTTCCTCATGCGCAAACCTTTGGCACGAGCTATTTTACGCACTCAGAAAGGTCAATGGTGAGGCGGTTTAGGACTGCAATTATGGTGGCGCGAAATTGGTTCAGGTCTAAAACAGGTCATCAGGGCGAAAACAGGACTGGAGGGTCCGAGAGGGACGGAACATTATATTAAAAAACAAAAAACAAAAGAGAATCTATCTATCTATCTATCTATCTATCTATAAACAGAATATCTATCTATATAAACAGTATCTGTCTATATCTATCTATCAATCTACATTTATCTCTCTATATCTATGCTATGTATATCTGTCTAAATCTCTATATAAATCTATATCTATAACTATCTATATCTATCTATATTGATGTCTGTCTATATCATTATTAATATCTATCTATCGCTATTTATAAACAGTGTCTATCTATATTAATATATATCTATATTGATATATATCTATCTATATTGATATCTATCTATATATAAACAGCATCTATCTATCTATATCTATATTGATATCTATCTATCAATATATAGATAGTAGCTACCTATCTATATCTATACAGTATATATCTTTATAGCTCATATATAGACAGTATCTATCTCTATATCTATACATATAAACAGTGTCTGTCTATATCTATCTATATCTGCCTATCATCTAAGTCTATCTATATAAATCTATATCTGTCCATATTCATCTATATTAATCTATATCTGTCTATATCTATATAAACCTCTGTCTATATCTATGTAAATCTATCTATATAAACCGTATACGTCTATCATCTTTATCCATCTATAAACAGTACCTATCTATCTATCTATCTATCTATCTATCTATCTATCTATCTATCTATCTATCTATCTATAGACAGTATAAATCTATCCGTCTATATCTATGTATATCTATACATCTATTTAAATAGTATATATCTGTGCATCTATATCTATGTCTATCGCTCTATTTAAATATAAATCCATCTATATCTATGTGTCTATGTATTAACAGTATATATATCTATCTATTTTTATCTATATCTATAACTATCTATATAAACAGAATATATCTAGATATAGAGGTACATGACCTCTATATCTATCTATCTATCTATCTATCTATCTATCTATCTATCTATCTATCTATCTATCTATCTATCTATCTATCTATCTATCTATCTACCTACCTATCCATCTATATCTCTATACTATACCTATAGTCACAGTGAGTCATTATTAACACATATCTAATATCTGAGGTCTATAATCATGAGGCCTCCTCCTTCCTCCTCCTCCTCCTTCCTCCTCCTCTCTCTCCGTACAGTCAGAGCTCTCAGAGCAGAAGTTTCCTCTCCTCCAAATAAAGATTTTTGTAAAGAGTCAGAGTGATTGTTGTCGAGTTCGCACAATAGTCTGTTGAAAAGGCCTCAAGGGGAGTTTTCCGGTCGGACGGGGATCTCATGTCAGAAGTCTCTCTCACACAAAGGCCCAAAACGCTCGAGACTGGCGCCGGTGACAGGCCGGCTCTCAGACGGTGAGGTCTGAGCCGGTGACACATGTTGGCTCTACAGGCCGCCGAGGCACCGAGAGCAGCAGGCAGGTCGACTGAGATCAGGTTACAGGAGACACTCGGAGCGAGTCATCTGGACTGAAACCCGTTTACAATTCAGGGTCAGCTGTTCTTCAACTCTGTCCGTGAGGAGGTCTGATATTGGAAGATAATTCACCCGATCATGACGGTTCGATAATTTCGGTATCAACGAAAAAAGGAGCTCTTATCGGAAAGTCTTACTGGAAAAAAACTCTCTAACACCTTAATTGGATAATTGAGGACAAATTTAAGTCTATTTATGTATCCAACAACCATTGGGTTTACGCAGTTACCCTGTTCTTGATCGATATAAAACACTAGAGAGGATATTGTTAATATGTCCAAACAGAGTTAAAAATGTTGAGAAAATGCTAAATTACTCTAAAAAAGAAATAAAGAAATCTATTAGTAGTGTTTCTACAATCATAATAAATCCTCTGTTAGTAAAGGTGAGCTCTCACCTGGCGCAAACATGAAGCGTGTCCCTGTTTGTTCAGACCAAATGTTTTGTATTTTGGTTAAAAAAAAAAGTTAATAAATGAATAAATAATAAGAAAAAAAGGTATGATCTATTTTGCGTTTTTCAACAGCTGCTAGTTTTACTCAGTTTATCTCAAACTCAGATCAGGAAGTCAACATCTGGATGAAGCTCTGCAGCTCTGCGCACAAAGTAAGGACACATCCAAGTCTATTTACGTCTCCAACAACCAATGGTTTTACGCAGTTACATTGTATTGGATCGATATAAAACACTAAAACACTAGAGAGGATATTGTAAATGTGTCCAAGCAGAGTTAAAATGTTGAGAAAAGGCAAAATTACTCTAGATGGCAAAAAAAAAAAAAAAGAAATCTCTCACTGATGTTTCTACAGTCTCCTACTCAATCCTCTGTTATTAAAGGTGAGCTCTCACCTGGCGCAAACATGAAGTCTGCCCCTGTTTGTTCAGACCAAACGTTTTGTAGTTTGGTTATAAAATAAGTTTACTAATAAACAAATGATAAAAATTGATAATCTATTTTGCTTCAGCTCAAACTCAGAGCTCTGCAGTCTGTCTGAATCAGAGGTTCATGAGGAATAAAAGTCAACATTCACATGTTTTTATAGATTTCTTTGCATCTATTTCCTGTTTCTTTTAACTTTATGTGACACCTTGAATCTTGTGGTTCCTGCCTTGATTCTGGCCTCTCTCTCTCTCTCTCTCTCTCTCTCTCTCTCTCTCTCTCTCTCTCGCTCTCCTCTGCAGCTGCACTCAGGTTATCTCTGATCAGATCAGTAATTCGGGGATTTGCGCTGAAAGGTTTGGATGCTGTAATTCAGTCAGGCCTCTCTCTCTCCCTCTCTCTCTCTCTCTAACCTTTATTGACACACATGATGATGAGCCGGTGGCTGCATTGGGGGACAGATTAACTGCAGATTAATTTCCACTTTCTCGGTGTTTGTTCAACAGTCCAGCTCCAGTAACGACAGCTCTGCTCGGCCTCTGCTTTTATTAGTCCTGGAGGTTTATTTGTGGAGGAACAATGAGCTGATAGAGCGACAGTTTACACACACACACACACACACACACACACACACACACACACACGTTAATCTCCACATCATCGGGCACTTTTCACTGTGGAAACAGTAACTGGGCAGGCCCCGCGTGAGATGGCAAATGTTTATTCAGCTTAGTACATATCTGAGATATACTGTACATTGTGTGCACGAGCTCCGTGTGTGTGTGTGTGTGTGTGTGTGTGTGTGTGTGTGTGTGTGTGTGTGTGTGTGTGTGTGTGTGTGTGTGTGTGTGTGTGTGTGTGTGTACTAGCGCACCCACCGAGAACATTACAAACATGCCAGCACGAATAAAAGACCCATTTTACTCACAGGCAGCAAAGCGCTGCTCTGCGCGCTCCCGACGACTGGAAACGTGAATGACCACTGTAAAAAGTTCCTCCTCTGACTCCTTTAATATAACAAACTACTACAAACTTGCAGGGTTTCTTGTTTACTCGGGATATTGGCTCTGATCGTGGTCGTTTTTATGCGTTAAATGGTTCCCAGAGTTTGAAAGTTTGAATCAGAGAAATCCTGAAGCGCTGAGAGGATTTTTTTTTTGCTCTTCTTTGGCCTCGACGTCAGATTATCTTGTCTGCGTGAATGTTTTCTTGCAGCGGGCAGGCCCAGTGGGTGGGACTCACTCATCTTGGGGAGGTTAGATGGGTGGGTCTGCTGTGTGAGCCCGAGCTTCCCCACGGTCACAGCGGGCAGAAGCTTTTCCCTTCAGCGGAGAGAAGAAGAGCGCGCACTGGCCTGTCGCTGAGGAAGAACCAGGGTCACATCTCAGACTTCACATCTCCAAATCTGATTTTTTTCCCCCCACATTTTGGACGAGCTGACTGTTGTGGAAATTCCTCCCGCGTGACTCATGCTCGCATGTAGCAGCGTGTGGATTTTTTGCCCGTTAAGAGAAAAAGAGGAGCTCTGAGCGACACGAGGATCCAACACCGATTCCTTTCCTTTTACGCATCCTTCTCCTCCAAAAAGGTGGGATGAATTTGGACAGAATCGCAGAGACAGTGAGAGCACCGCCGCCGCCCCGCGACGTGGGCCCCGCGTTTCACTTACCGAGAAGCTCCAACAGCAGCCGAGAAACTTTAGAGAACTCGAGCAGCGAGTCTTCAGACACGGAGCTGGCAGGTACACAGTCAGAGGGCTTCAGGCAGATCCACACACACACACACACACTCTCTCTCCCTCTCTCTTTACACACTTTGTTTCGAGTCTCCACGGTCTTCCAAAAGCTTTCTCCCACTTTTACGCACATGGATGAGTCTTTTCTTTCTCCTTTTCAGCTTTTAATTCTGTGTTTGTAGTGAATCTAAGTGAAAGTGAACTCTAATCGTGCTCTGCCTCGACGATAAATGCGCATTAATAAAACAGAAGAAGAAAAATAGTTCCGTTCCGCCGCAGTTCCACCCTCTTTTCTGTTGATTTTCTCTCGCTCAGACAAATGTTTGGCAGGACACGAAGGTCTGTCAGGGGAAAATGTGCAGAGCAGCCCGGCCTGCTGTCAGTGAGTGCACTCAGACTGAACCATCTAAAGGAAAAGGTTGGAGGCCGTTTTATCTCCAACTTTTCCACATTTGTGTTTCTCGGAGCCATCTCAAGTGATTTCATGTTTGTATTAAAAGCGATTTTATGGCTTTAAAGTTGTTTTTATATCTAAAGAGGCTATTCCCTTTTTTTAGTGATTAACCTTTGCACGTGTTGACCCTTCAGTTTAACGAGGCAGTCTCGTTAGGACGAGGAGAATACACGATAGCAGTGAGGAGATAAGAGTGGGCAGACCTGCTCGTAAAGAAAGTCGTTTTGATCCGTCAGTGAAGCAGATCTGAGAGAATCCATGAAATGTCCCAGACGTGTTTGTAAATATTTAGATTTATCTGCCACTTTCCTCTGCTGCTTATTTTTTACACAACTCTTTTACAGCTCGGAGGATTTGCTCATTTGAAACTCAGAAATTTGAGTTCCTTTGCTGTCTTGTTTATTTAATTTCAACATCTAAACTCTGATTTATTAAAACATATATTCATTAGGGGTTCTTTAAATCTACATATATCAGAATTATTCCATCCTGATTTGTGATTCACAGAGAAGGAGAGGAGCGCTGAACACAGGAGCGATGACGGGAACGCGGACGACCCCAAGAAGAAGAAGCAGCGGCGGCAGAGGACTCACTTCACCAGCCAGCAGCTGCAAGAGCTGGAAGCAACTTTTCAGAGGAACCGCTACCCGGACATGAGCACCAGGGAGGAGATCGCAGTGTGGACCAACTTGACTGAGGCCAGAGTCCGGGTAAGCGAGCAGAGAGGCCGTGCGTAAACTGTGCGTAAAGTGTGCGTAAAAACAAATAAATCAAGAGGAAAAGAATTATTTAGAAATTTATTCAAACGATTTAATTATCCAAGTTTGTATTCATGTAATTATAGTTTAATTTTAGCTCTATTATTTTAAATTTAGAGTAAACCATCAGAGGAAAGATAACTTTAAAAATATTCAGTCTGAAGATTTGAGATAAAAATAAAAAATTCGAGTCCATGTCCTGAAATATCGACGTGCTGAGTTTGTAACCTCCTCATTTGAATGTAAAACGGACTTTTCATTTGCATAAAAGCGTATTTAAACTAGAAAGGAGAATTCAAACAGAGTTATTATACCTCTTTTCTTCTTTTATATTTTACAGATTATTTATTTTATTATAATTTCTTTGATTTATTCGGATTGTCTCTTCCTCTTTTTCTCAAACGATGCTCTGACTAAATTTTAAAAAAGGAAATACAGAATCAAAGACACTATTTTGTCAGGATTTAATGTAACAGAGGAAGTAGATTAGTGTTTGATACACGGTGACTTCACTGTGACGTTTACAGATATAAAGCTGCATTCATCCCTGACATCTCCATCTCCGTGTGTCCAAATTCCTCCTTTTTCTAAAACAAAAACACCTGAATTATCTTTAACAGAAGTGCAGGAAAAGCTGTTTGGATTTGTGTGAAATGACACCTCCTTGTTTCGGGTATATCTCAGCTGCTAATGGAGCCAATGGGGATTTTATCTTCGGATGACATCATGGGGAGTCTGGAGCCTCATTTGTCCCCGCGGAGGAGACGCTTCATACCGAACAAACGCAGCTGGATTAGAGCGAAATGAGCAGGAGGCTGGTTTTAGATTCATTCACATTTTAGCGCTTATTATCAACAAGGAGACATTAAATATTTAAAAGGTTAAAAATTACTGCTTCACTGAGTTGATATTATGTCCTAAACGGCATGTTTGTCTCACCTCTTACTGATATTTTGCTCGTTACTCACCGGCTGCTCTTGTGCGTAAAAGTTGTTTTTTATTTGGAGTAACTGGCGCCTCCTGCAAAAACGCACCGTGTCCAGTTTCTTTAAAAATCATGTCGACATTCAGGGAGCAGAGCAAAAAGAGAAAACTTGGATTTTGTGTCTGGAGTGAATTTCAAAATTGCGCTTTTACGAGTTGAAATGAAAGTGAAGAGTCTGGAGTCTGAGCGCAGACGAGTGTTTGTGATTTATGATATTTTTCTGAGAACCTCATAACATGTTTTGACATTTTCAAGTGTTTGGACTTGACCTTGTGGTGTCACGTGTGTTTAATCAGGCTGACACATGGAGCCGGTTGTATTTGGAGTATTTGCATTTCATGGTTTCATTAGAGGGAAGATGAAAACTTCATATCGAGAGACACGAACGGAGGCAGAGTTCACAGCTGAGCGTGTCTGAGCGATGGGCTCCTCCGTGGACAGTTTGATCCACGCGCTGCTATAAATAGAGTGCGCGAGCCCGCCGGATGGGAGCACTTGTAAATGTTTTTACTATGAATTAAAAATGACTCGCAGAGGGCAGAGTGGTTTTAAAGAAGAGGAGGAGGAGGAGGAGGAGGAGGAGAGGAAGTCCAGGCTCAGTCCTTCTCTGGGAGTTTCGATCAATTTAAATCCGTTTTTATTGTTTTAGATTTTTTTTTTGTTTCGGATCAAAGTGAAATATTTACACTGTTCATGTTAAATATGAGAAATCACGAAAAACGTGATTTTTACGCACAAGATTTTACTAAAAGAGAAAAATAAATATTTATTTATTCATTTATAAACGACAGTTTGAGTTCAGAACCTAATTTAGGAAACTTTGTTACAAAAACTTCTTTGACAGGAATTTAATAATATATGATAGAAAAATAATATTTATCAATAAACAGAATTTTCTAACGCTTATTTTATTTATTGTCAAAGTGATATTATTATTATTATTATTATTATTCATTTATTTAATTTATTTTTTTGCTTGTTTTTTTTTTTTGCCAACACATCCTCAGCAAACAAATATTTGTGAAAAATATTTAATCTTTGCTGCACAATTCTGTAGTTTTTATGCCCCAAACGTCCCCCCTTTTTGGCGCCTCTGCACATTAATAACAAAATAAGGCTTTAAAATAACTTAAAAAATAAATATGAATATAAAAAATCGAGCCAAAGAGAGCAAAAAAAGTTCAATCAGTTAATCTGGTTTTAATCTGATCACATTAAAAGCAAATGTAATCAACGACGTTAGAATTGTTGTGATTGTTAATCTAATTTAAATTTACACCATTTGATCTGCATCTCAAAATCACGACAATAGTTTCATGTTTTTATTACAGACAGAGAAAATAAGTAGACACGAATCTCAGACTCGATCCTGCAGAAAGGATCCGGAACTGTCAAACACCGGAAATGTTTCTCTCGGAAAAACAAAAGTGTCATTTGCTCCTTTTGAGAGACACAATATTTATATATGTGAGCGTTTCTAAATAAAACAGTTGGAGGTAAATAAACACGAGTGGAGGAGGATTATTGCTCAGACAGTCTTTTCAGAGAACACAGAGATGGAAACAAACTTGGAGTCTGAGAACTTTAAACAGATTGGTGTTAAAGAGAAGTCCGTCAATGATCTAAACCACACTCTGTTTAATCTACGGAATGTTCCTTTACACCGTCTGAGTCAGAGAGTTTTTATTACAGGAATTGAAACTTTAGAGACAGTTTTTTATCGTTAATTTTTGTTTGTTTTCTATGATGATGTTTTTAATTGTAGTGGGTTAAACTCGCGGCCTGAGGGTGTTCACCTTTAGAGCAGCAGGTATCAAACAAACACTCAAACACTTTAGAATAAGAGGGTTACACGCGAAAATAAAGAATTATTCCGTCTATTTTTTAGGTCTTTTTCTCAGTTGATCCCCTCCCCCTCCTCGTGTTTTAATTATCTACACATAGGCCAATTTAATTAGTGCTTTATATTAAAGGATCAAACCTACTATTATTAATCGGAACAACGACAAAGGCGACCTAACATTTGGTTCTTCATTTATAAATCCAAACTTGTTGTTCCAATGATACTTGAATATTTTAATTTTCTACACAAATAATAATCTAGTTTATTTTATCTGAAATAAGTGCACTGTAATGGGGATCTTTTGTAATAATAGAAACTATTTAAGTAAAATGTATATTTAAGTGCTCTATAGAGAGTCAAAGAGTTTACAGGTTTTTTTACAGGAACTGAAACTTTAGAGTTTTTTTTATCGTTAATTTTTGTTTTATGAGATGATTTTTATTTAAGTGGGTTAAACTCGCGGTCTGAGGGTGTTCACCTTAGGAGCAGCAGGTATCAAACAAACACTCAAACAGGCTACTTGATAATACGGTTACGCCCGTAAATAAAGGATTATTCCGTCTAATTTTTGCGTCTTTTTGTATGGAAGTCAATCTGTGCCATCTGATCTTAAATTTGAATTTCTAAAGCTGAATATTTTGGAACAAAATCAGACTTTGAATTTCAAAACCATCATATTTCAAGCACATACTTTTATTTCTGACACTAATTTTTTCACAATGATGGAATTAATTCAGTGTAAAAAAAAGTCAGTCTCTCAAAATATTAGTTTAGTTTCGATTTTAAAAAACTGTTTTAAAAAATTCAACATAAAAAAAATTTAAGTGTAAAAAAATTAGTGTAAAACAAACCAACTCCACATCTGGGTAACCAGGGAAAAGCAATCGATTGGATTCAATCTTCCACTGGGTCGGTGTAACATGACCAATCTCGCATTAATTGATTGGCTGGATGATGGATGATTGAGCCAGGAATTGACTGCTTCTCCCTGGTTACCCAGATGTTTACACTGAATTTTTTGACACTGAATAATTTTTGATAATGTTGAATTTTTTTTACACAGTTTTTTATGTCAAATTTTACTGAATGAATATTTTTGAGACTGATTTTTTACACTAAATCTATTTCACCATTGTGAAACAATAAGTGTCAGAAATAAACATGCATGCTTGAAATTAAAAGTCTGATATGGATGCAAAAAAAAAAAAATCAGCTTTAGAAATTCAGATTCAAAATCAGATGGCACAGATTGACTTCCATAGCAAAAGACGCAACAGAATAATAGATTAATCCTAATAATCCTTTATTTACGAAAAGGCTAGCTCAAAATCATATTGTAAAGTATCCTGTTTCACTATTATTATTTCCTCTTTGTTGAATGTTGAGTTTTTTTTATTTTCCTCCCGTGACCCCCCTCCTCGTGCTCCGGCTCTAACCGTGTGTCTCTCTCCCGCAGGTGTGGTTCAAGAACCGACGCGCCAAGTGGAGGAAGCGCGAGCGGAACCAGCAGATGGACCTGTGTAAGAACAGCTACCTGCCGCAGTTCAGCGGCCTCATGCAGCCCTACGACGACATGTACCCGGCCTACACCTACAACAACTGGACCAACAAGGGCCTGACCCCGGCGCCCCTCTCCACCAAGAACTTCACCTTCTTTAACTCCATGAGCCCCCTCACCTCACAGTCCATGTTCTCCGCGCCCAACTCCATCTCCTCCATGACTATGGCGTCCGGGATGGGACACTCCGCCGTGCCGGGCATGCCCACCCCGGGCCTCAACAACATCAGCAACCTGAACGGGATCGGCACATCCGGGATCAACTCGGCCATGTCGTCGTCCGCGTGTCCGTACGGGCCCCCCGGGTCTCCGTACAGCGTTTACCGGGACACTTGCAACTCGAGCCTGGCCACCCTCAGACTCAAATCCAAACAGCACCCGACTTTTGGATACAGCGGCCTGCAGAGTCCGGGATCCAGTCTGAACGCGTGTCAGTATAACAGCTGACGGGCCGGGCACGAGCTCGAATAAAAAAAACCCACCCACCCACTCACGACAGACAGACGGACGGACGAACGGACTCGGGACCGAGAGAATCAGAGAGAACTAAACTGGATCAGTTGCGAACATCTTTTTAAACATGGATTATGCGGGTTTTATGTGTTTACCGATGAACTTGCACAGCGATTCAAATGTCCAGTTTTTTGGATTTCTTCTTTTTTTTTTTTAAATGATGATGATGAAGACGTGTTACAGAGCTGCAATGTAAATATATCAGTGTAAATACAAACAGGCTTAATGGGATGGTTTTTCTTTATGTGCTCGCTTATAAAAGGTATGGAAGTCAATCTGTGCCATCTGAGTTTGAATTTGAATCTCTAAAACTGATTTTTTTTGCATCATGATCAGACTTTGAATTTCAAGCACATATTTTTATTTCTTAAACTTATTTTTTTTTCACAATATTGAAATAAATTCAGTGTAAAAAAACAATTAGTCCCTCAAAATATTCATCAAGTGAAAACTCAACTTAAAAAAATCAGACTTTAAATTCAAAAATCAACAAATTTCAACGCATTTTTATTTTTTACACATGTTTTTCACACAATGTTGAAATAAATTCAGTGTAAAAAAAAAGGGTCTTTAAAAATATTCATGTAGTGAAACATTGACTTACAAAATGTGTAACAAAAAATCCAACAAAAAATATTTTCAGTGTCAAAAAATTTAGTGTAAAACAGACTGACTCAATCAGGGAAAAGCAATCGATTTCTCAATTTTTGCATCAAAAACAGACTTTAAATTTCAAAACCATCAAATTCCAAGCACGCATTTTTATTTCTTACACTAATTTTTTCCCAGTGATGGAATAAATGCAGTGTAAAAAAATTGGTCTCTCAAAATATTCACGCAGTAAAAATTTGACTTGAACGAAATGTGTAAAAACAAATTCAACATTAAAAAAATTCCAATGTCAAAAAAAATCAGAGTGAAAAATGTTTGTATAAAACAGACTGACTCAACATCTGGGTAACTAGGGAAAAGCAATCGATTCCTCAATTTTTGCATCAAAAACAGACTTTGAATTTCAAAACCATCAAATTTCAAGCACACATTTTTATTTGTGACACTTTTTTTCACAATGACGGAATAAATTTGGTGTGAAAGAAAATCGGTATCTCAAAAATATTAGTTTAGAGAAAGTTCAACTTAAACAAAATGTGTAAAAAAAATTCAACATAAAAAAAATTTAGTGTCAAAAATTTAGTGTAAAACAGACTGGGAGAAGGGAGAAGCAATGGATAGAATTTTGTAATTTTATTGATTTTTTTACACTTGTTTATTTCTTTCATTATTGTGGAAAAAATAGGTGTAGGAAATAAAAAATTCAAAATTTTTCAGAATTCAAAGTCTGATTTTGATGCAGCTTTAGAAATTAAAATCAAAATCAGATGGCACAGATTGACTTCCATATAAAGACCAGCTCGGGGGGAAGAGGAGGAGGGGGTAGGGCGTCCCTCGACCAATCAATGATTCTTCGAACAATCGTGGAACATATCATGAGTCCAGAAAAAGATCTCGCCCTTATTGTAAATGTTTTATATCGCTTCTGTGTGCTTTCTATTTACCGTCTATGCAGGGTGCCAGCGGCCCATCTGCCCCCCTCCCTCCCATTCAGTGACTTTTATTTTGAAAATGTTTCTTGTTTGAACTGAGAGAAGAAAAAAAAAGAGAAGCCCGCATGTTTAACTTGAGTGCATCGTGTTTTTGTACGATAATGTAAGACTTTATCAGACTCAACTGTATACAGAAAGGTGATTCAAAGTCCTCATGTGTTTATGGAAACATGTTTGTTTGAATAAACTCCAGGAAAAGAGAGAGAGAGGTTTATTTTCGATAGGATGATGTTTTAGAGGCGGACATTTGTTTAACAGTGGTCATGCTCCTCAGACAAAAAGGAGCAAAATAAACGGTCGAGGTAATGATCTGTTAGGTATTAATCCGCTCGGTTTTAATGGATTATTTCAGGAAAAGGGAGATTTTTAGGGAGTAAAAGGCATCTCGGTATAAACCATGGTATATTTGATTTTGTCATGCGTTTATTTTGGCACTTATTTCCATCATTACGCATCAAATTTACGCATTACGCATACAGATTTGCAAACCTTATTTCAACTTTACAATTTCAGGATTCAGTCGGATCAGTGTCTGGGGCAATAATTTAAGTCATAGGTTATTTTTGACCATTTATAATAGGAATAATAGCGATGATTTAACGCGTCCCACATGTTTATCAATATCTAATATGACCAATGCTTTCGTGAAGTCATAACACGTCGGGTTTATTATCGCATTTACACATATTTTAAGGAATACTTTTGCCAACTGGGTCCAAAGCAAAGCCTCCTCTGTGTTACTTCTTCTAAAATACGCACAGAGCCGATCCTACCGTCTCCAAACGCGTAAACACCTCCAAACGGACTCCTTCTTCTAATCTCGTGCCTCTTTGTCAAAGTGCAAACACTGTATGAATAAAATCAATACCCTATCTTATTCCCTGACACCTGCACAGATCCCCATATCTATATTACTCACTGTTACACTGATATTAGCGAGCGGCACTCATGATTGTGTCTTTGGACTGATAGTGAGTCACAGGATCACACTTTGGACCATTGAAACAAACAAAAACAATGTAAGTTTGTGATGTGACACCTGCTGGTTCAAATCCAACGTTTAAAGCCCGTGTGTTTCATATATCAAGTCTCTCTGTAGGCCTATTTAATTAATTTAATTCCTACTATTATTTATAGGAACTATAGGCGACCTAACATTCGGTTCTTCATTTATAAATCCAAAGTTGTTGTTCAAATGATACTTTAATATTTTCATTTTCTACACAAATATTCATCTGTCTTAAGTGCATTGTAATGGCGTGGTGATCTTTTGTAATAATGTACTATTTATGGAAGTCCTCTATCAAGAAATAACAGACCTCCTGACAAACAGCTGCTACACTGTGACCAATCAGAATCAAGAATTTAGAGTATCGGCTTCCTCATAGTGTGACACTAAAATCGAGTCTACTGACCCGATAATATTTGGCATTATTAACCTTCAGTTTCCTGATCTAGTTTGTTTCATCAAAAGCTGATAAGAATTCAGATGTGAAGACGGGCTCGATGGGACATTTTTGGAAATATTAGGCTATATTTCATAAAATTCATTAAGCTGTTTATTGCTGTTTTTCTTTTTTTTTTTTAAAGGCTCAGAAACACCTTTAGATATCTGAATGAAATATGGTCAAGGCATGTCCAGAAAGTGATGCCTTTAAAAAATATATATATTTTTATAATACTTTTATAAAGTTACAGGTTATCAGACTATTTATAGTCTCTCAAGAGTTAATATAAGCATATTTTTGTAATATGTTTCTGAAATTAAATCTACAATAGTCTATAAATTCAATGTAACCTGTTAAACTGCAGGTTTTAACTCAACGATCTGCTGTGTGTTGGTATCGGCCCAATCAGCGAGTTATTTTGACACGGTTGAAATGACGGGATACGCTTCTGTGGTTGACCTTCTAGACTTTCACATGAGATTTTAGATTAAGTGTCACACAAACTCAGAATTCTGGTGCATTTTGAATGAATTAATCTCTTCTTAATGTCAGTAGAACATCTAAAAATATCTTAACTATAGAGACTCTGATGCCATTTCTTTAATCGCTTTATTTTGAAGTATGAAGGATGTTAGCTAGCATATTAGCTAACATGTTAGCCAATATGTTGGCTAACATGTTAGCTAATATGTTAGCTAATGTGTCTGGCACTTGAAAGTGTTCTGTGGCCCTTTAAAAGCAACTAAAACATTTTAATTAAAAATTTAATGTGACACAAACTCAGACTTTAAGTGCATTTGAAATGAATTAATCTCCTAAAAGTCAGTAAAACATCTAAAAATATCTTAAATATAGAGACTCTGACATTGTTTCTTTTATTTATTTATTTTGAAGTCTCAAGAATGTTAGCTTGCATATTAGCTAATATGTTAGCTAACACATGTCTGGTACTTGAAGGTGTTTTGAGGCCCTTTCATTGCCCATCACTAAAACATTTTAATTAATCATGTAATGTGAATTTTGTTGTTTTATTTTCAGTTAAGACGCTTGTATGTCCAATAACGTATTTTCAGACTTCCCTCACTTTCCTATAGCTTCACCATTCATAACAAGTCACAACAGTAACACCAGCAGCGCGTGGCCTCAAATTCTTTCCCTGGGCGCGCCCGCGTGCACAGAGGAGCCGTGTGTTTACCCAGAGCGGGCGTGCGCACTGGCTGTAACTGTATCTAGGCTTTGATTTGGAAAATGTTTGACGAGGGGCCAAAGCGCAGAGGAGGCTCGTGGTGATTGGTAACAAAAACAAAGCGCGTCGTAAATGTTACCCATAATCCCTGCTTGTCGTTATAAACAAGCGCGCAAGGCAACGCGAACGCGCATGTCCCTGGAGGGCAAAGTTCAACACGCAGCGTTAAAGGTAAATATTTGAACTAGCGTTTCTCTGGTAAGAGAGTTTCCCCCTCTTCTCTCTCTCTCAGACTGAGATTATTAAAGATGTGATGAGGAAGCTGTTGTGTAACACTGGTGCTGACCTGCTGAGTGTGTGTGTGTGTGTGTGTGTGTGTGTGTGTGTGTGTGTGTGTGTGTGTGTGTGTGTGTGTGTGTGTTAGAGAGATATTTAAAAATAACACGGGTGCAATTCTTCAGGCTCTCAAACTGTGGGTTTTTGTTGGTTGCACAAAAAGACAAATTTGAATATTTCATTATAAGACAGAATTGTTGATCCGTACGTTTGTACGGTGGCCGAGAACCACTACTGCTGCAAATAAAAAAGAATGCAAAAAAAAAGAAGCCACAACAGAAGTTACTGATGCAAAAAAAAAAAAAAACGAAGCCCGCTGCAAATAAAAAAGAAACAGAGCAGATGAAAAAAATAAAAAAATAAAAAAATAACAGAAGTTAATGACGAAAAAAACAAGTGGCGAAGCAACAACAACAACAACAACAACAGAAAAAGTTACATACTGCGAAAATAAAAGGATGCAAAAAGATCACAACAGATGTTAGCTGCCGAGGAACATTAATGAAGATGCATCTGTGTTTTACGATCTAGGCACAGAAGACGACGGCGAGAAGACTAGCAAAGAAGTTAGTAGAAAGGTTATTGTTTAATTTCAAACTTTTAAATGTGTCATTTGGTTAGGCTATGTAGTGCCTAAATTGATATGAAGTTGAACTGAAGCTAATACTACACCGGCATCCTCCAATTCAAATGACATATTAAAAAGTTTACGAAGTGAAAGTAAAAAATAACCTTTCAACTTACTTCTTTGATCGTCTTCTTCCCGTCGTCTTCTGTGCCTAGATCGTAAAACACCGGTGCATCGTCATTATTGGTCCCCAGCAGCTCACTTCTGCTGCGTTTTTTTTTTTTTTTTTTTGCATTCTTTTTTATTTGCAGCAGTGGCGGTTCTCGGCCACCGTACTTTTGGTTCTGGAATAAAAAATGATGAAATTATCAGAAAATTTAAATTTGGTTCAACTCTTAAGGTCACGGCACCACCAGGACATCAATCTGAACCATGTTACGCAGACAGCTGACCTTTGATGCAACAACAATCTAAACTGCATCATAGGTTAAATTATTTTCTAAATATGAACGCCACCTTTTTGAGGATTTCTGAATGACTTAAAAACCTGAATCAGGGTCCGCATTACACTGTATTGTCTTCTTATTAAAAGCTAAACATTTACTTCAGCATAAACCATTTAATGAAGATTCAGCTCATTTGTTTTTAATAAATAAACTCTGACTTAAAAAACAGATTAATTTGGCTATAGATATTAAAGAGTGTAAAAAAGCCGAGTGGTAATTGCAGATATTTCATGTTTGTAAGTAAAAATCAAAACTTAGAGAAATCATTGCAGCAGAAACAGCCTCATTTATATTTAGTGAATATCTGAGCATGTGCAGAAAGAGCGGTAATTTGCAACATAACACGTCTATTCTCTGTGACAGTGTGGGCCATGACCCCGCGGCTCCCCCATGTAAACAAATGGACCATGAGTCAAAGTAGGACATTAAAATGCACATCAGCTGAATGTGTCTTATTCATAGTTTCTGTCATTATAGACTGGGAGGCACATCGTCCATGTAATATGCACTCAACGCTGCTGACCTCACCCCCCTCTGGTGTATTTTAACAGAGAAAATTTCCAAACAGAGGCCCTCCGTCCGTCATGAATACCATGTTTCTCATTTCCTGTGAATTTTTTTGCTGCTGCTGTCACCACCAGGTCCACACAGGTGATTCTTAGACCTGCCCGGCACCTGCAGCACCCTGTAAACACACCAAAGCCCTATTTTTAGATCTGAACCTGTAGTTTATTCAGAGAGCCTGCCCAGACGCTGTAATATAAAAAGACTGACCCTGCAATCAAACAATAGCTGAAGGCCTCTATTAGAGCTGTATCAGCCTCTGTGGTTGTAAAAATCTGAAGATATTAGACACGTCAAATTACTTTTCTACATAATATTTCACAAAGTTTTAGGAAGAAATTCAAAAAGCAAAAACTGAAAATGTGTCAGATTGGTAATGACCACGTTGGATAAATAAGAGCAGACTGACTCTAATAGACGACTTTTTCATACCTAATTGTATTTCATTAGTGTTTCAAGTCTCCGCAGGTCGATTTCGAAGCCAAACTCGGCTCAATTATAGTAATAGTTGCAGAAAAAATGATCAGCCTGTCCAAAAAAACGTTGGCAAACACACACTCTGTTGTTCATTTTAGCTCATCCATGAGTTCGGCCCCCCAACAGCTGTTAAATTCAGTCCTGTGTGGGAAAAACCAGATATTTTTTTTTATGATAACACTGCAGAGAACAAAACCACCCTCACATCAGCGAACCAACAAGCTGAATCCTGAATCGCCGCTCAAATTTGATTGCTTTTGGATTACTGTTGCCATGAAACCCACAACATCACAAACAGTGACTCAAGAAGTTGCATGTTTGTCTTTTTTGTCATTGAAAACACACTCCGGGTTATCACATCCGCCCTTTCCGGTATGAAGCTGATCAGAGGTCACCAAACAACCTTGCGGAGTCACCGTACAGACTGTGACGGGTTACAAATGTATGACAGCCGCCACGGGTGAGTGACTGAAACAGCTCCAATGCCACGACAACACCGAAACGCTTCTATTCAAATCTGAGAGGAACCTCTTCAAAAGGCGTAGAACTAAATACTCCAGTTCCCGACACGTTGATCTTTCTTGATTGATCGTACGACGGCAAAAGTATGTTGGCACGAAAATTTAGGCCAGAACACAGAAGTGAAGAAACCGATCAAACCTGTTCCTCATCCAGTACGAGAGTAAACCAAACACATCCTTTTCTGGGTTTGGTGCAACAACTCTGCAGTTTTACCTTGTTAGAAGCAGCAGTACGAAGTCCCGTTTCCACGGTGATTGGATCCTGGATCAGGGTCGGTGTTACTGGAGACTCCTGTGAACACAAATGTATTATTTTACTTTGGGAATTGATGCTTTAGATTTATGTTTAATTAACCGCAAACAAGTTAAAAACAGGTGAAAAGACCATCGCCACCAAACTCCATTTGAAATCGGACAAATTTAATGTCAACTTGGTTTATTAGCAGGTAAAAAGACCTCCAGCTTTTATAAAATAGGGAGATTTTAATCTTTATAATTCTGTGATGATTTCTGTTAAGACTTTATCATCTAGTTAGATCTGTTTGTGGTGCAAAAACAAAAGCCATATGATGCCAACATGGAGAAAATAGAGGCACCAAAGGAAACACATCAATCTTTAAGACAAGATCGTTCAGCTAAGCTTCGCCGTTTATTCATGGATACATCAAAAACAAACACACAAATATCTCAGTGTTGTGGCCTCTCTGAGTGGAGAGAGAAGAAGAAAGAGCGAGGGCGCCTGAGGGCAAAACACTGTCATCCTTTGGTTTAATGCTGAGTAATGGTGATGCTCCATTGTCTTTTCTATCTGAGATATTTTAGCAACACTATCAAGGTGAGCAGGTTATATCGGCAGCAAACGCTCAAGTATCAAAGAAATCTGCATTACACTCTGTTTTAACCGGCCTTTTGTTTGGCGCTAAGCTAAAGGCTAGCACTTAGCTTAGCTAAATCTGCTCATTTTCACCCTGTGATTATTAAACAACAGAAACAGGGGGGGGTTAAACTCTAAAATATACAACATCTGTGTTAAAGAAACAAACCAGCGAGGTGAACCAGAGCTTCATATGTTTGCTGAGCGGAAAGCTAAACTATTGCTAGCTAGTGCTAACAAACGCAACTTACCCTTGTTGCTAATCTTCACTCTGGTCTTCATGCAAAACCTTCTAAGTGGGTTCTCACCCCTTTTATACTTCCTGGTTGTTCCATTTTAGGTGTAGGGGTTTGGACACATCCGTTTCTGATGGAAAGTCTTTTTAAAAAGGTCATTTTGCGTTAAAAAAGAAGTAAACTTTGTGCTTCTTGGAGAATTGTTAACAAACTTTGAAGCGTGTTTGAAAAAAATGAGTTGACATGTTGTCTCTGTGCGTTTGTCTTTATTGTGGACTCCCCTCCTGGTGATTTGGTACAATCCAATCAACTTTTGGAGGGAACGTGTTGGAGAGCTGCCACTATTTAAAAAAACAGGGCCGACCACAGACTGTAGAGCTCAGTGAAATGAATATCTGAGGGGTTTGGTGGATAAATCTGAACATCATAAAGTATTTTTTTCTGACATATTTGCAAAACCAGGTGTAAAGGCAAATTTTATTTATATTTATTTATATTTTTAAAATGGGAACAGTACATATTGATGAACATCGACATGTAAATATGTGGGATTATAACCTAATGACGAATTTCCATCCCCAGTCTTACTGGCAGGTTGATGTTAAACATAAAAGCAATCATGTTAAAAGTACAAACAACATAACTAAAGGTCCTTACACATGTCGTGCGATTATTTCGGACGTCGATATTTTTTTGAACCCATGTCCTGTCAATAAGCGCATTCACATCAGCAACGTTTTCCCGTCCCGCAATATTGCAGCATTTATTTTTTCGTTTCACAGTCGATTTTTCTAAAGTTTTGCATACTGTGTGTCTACTTCTGACCAATCAGATTTCATGTTGTTGCTAAGTCAGATTCACCGGTATATCCAACATGGCCGATCGGCTGATTGTTTACAAAGATAACGTCCTAAAGGACAACTTGTGGAGAGTCATAGCGTCGGATTTCTTATATGACGATGGTTTGTGTGCTTTAACAGTTTGCTAAACGTCTTTGTTTTAACTTTCATCTGTGCTAACGTAAGCTACGCAGATGTGTGTCTAAAATTGCACATGGTTTGTATACATAAATGTATTATGTAAACCCTTTAGTAACAAATCTGCATACATAAATGAGAAGATGTACGCCAGAACAAAATTTAGAGTGGTACCCCAAAGCAATTAGCCAATTAGACATGACAAACAATTTTTAGACATGATTATGATGGCAGGTCTGGTTTTCCAACAGCCATGACTTGTGAGGGTTGGGAGTTCACGTATGGTGCTCGGTATTTGGTTCCAGGATTGTGATGCACGAAAGGAGAATACGACTCGAACAAAAGCGCTTTTCCTGAGTGGCACAACACAGTCACCTCTAGAGCTCGCTCTGGTTGATCTGGTTGGATTTTTTTAGTAAACTCACGAAGTGGAGGTGGAGCTTGACTATGAATAATTTTGTAGGTCAATACAGAGTCAGCGAGAGAGTTTATTTCCCACTAAAATGAATAAATCCACTGTATAAACAAAGGGGCTGAAATTAAAAGGAGAAAAAAAACCAGTCATGATGCACCAGAGATCAACAAACACGTCATTTATTTTGGTCTTTTTATAGAAATTGCTGACGGTGAGAAACATGCCCTGCAGTACCTTGTGACATTTCGATTTTCCTGATGTGATCTGATCGTCCTGAGCTGATAATCCTAAATCAATCATGTTTCCTTCTATCTTGAATGAAATCAGCTTCATTCAGAGATACACTCTGATTTATGGAGCAAAAGATTTATCACCTCAGTGGATCACATATCTAAAGGACCAATAAGTGCGTGCTGCTGCATGCCAAAGTACAACAGCATCAATTATCATAATTATATGTGTCCTGAGAAAATGATCTATTTACTGCCAACACTGTGTTTCAGTACCGCAGTAATTCTGACAAAGCTGACACATGACCGTCATTTTAGGATTAGTGGCTGTGCTGTCAAACTGGAGTGACTTCACAGCCAAGTGTGTGTCTGTGTGTGTGTGTGTGTCTGTGTGTGTCTGTGCATGGGTGGCAGAGGCAAGAATGAAGGATCTACTTTATCTGTTTTAAAGAACGTCAATATAAGACGTCTAAACTCATTGAGACTCTTTCACAGCAAAAAGAGCAAGACCTGGGCCTGCCATGATTACCTTAGGAATTCTGGGAAATGTAGGAATTTACCCCTGAGTGCACACTTGGCTTGATAGAACCAAACATTGCATACAAAACCGTCTACGATACACATAATAATGTTGATATGTGCGTGCAGATGACGAAGTATGTCTGTCTGCAGAGGTTTGTATCCACTGAGCAAAGGGAACGGAATCAGTCTAAACACAGGTATGATCAGGTCCCTCTTTTCAGGCTCAAAGCTGGTCTTGTTTTCTGAAGACAGGTGACAGGTGTCAGCGCAGATGGACTGTCAGAACCAGAATCAGAATCTCTTTATTGTCCCAAAAGGCAAATTAGTGTTGCAGCAGAAGCACACAAAGACAGGGAACACAGATACAATACAGTAAGAATAGTCTAAAAGTCAAACATGATCACACCATACATACAAGATCAGTAAAAAGATAATGTTGGGTCCAGAGCCAGTACCAAAACTGGAAAATATCTGCCTTAATAAGCTGTGAAAAGTGCAAAAAGCAAATGTGTAAGTAAACGAATAGCACTGGGGATAAATGAGATTTGAAATCTCTGAGTCCTCCTCAAAAGAGCCTAAAAAAAAGAGCTCAAATTCATGGTGCAGTGGGTGGTTAGGATAATCCAGAATAGCTGTGGACAGTAGAGACGCCTCAAATGCATGACCTGAACTTTAACCTTCATGCTGTTACCAACCGTATGTCTTCACCATAATGTCAGCCTTCTCTTTATGATGATTATCATAATTATTAATGTGAATCTAGGAGCCGGTGAACCCAAAATGCTTATTAACATTATCATCATCATTTCATTTAAAAACATTACCTCCAGACCAATTAGGCGCATCATCTTACCCAACTGTCTCTGCTGTTTTTTCATCCTTATTATTAGCATCAACATTGTAGGCGTCAGTTTGTTTTCTGTGTCCATTGAAGCGTGGATAGATGGATGGAGGAATGGATGCATGAAAGTTGAACTATAAGCCCTGACTTGTTCCTGGTTCATCTCAAGGTGTTCGATGAGTTTGAGATCAGGCATATGTGCAAAATCCACAAACGCTGCAGATTTTGTCTCAGACTCTGTTTGGTGCAAATAAGCGAATATCTTTTAACACCATTTAACTGATGGCACGTTTGTCACTCTTGGAGCAGCAGCGACTCAGAGGAAAATACACCTCCAGTGAATGAATGTGGTGTAGATGGATGAATATGAGTAGTAGGGGCGACTGGGGACAGTTGCAACACTTTTTGCTTTTTTCTCAGTTGCTCAGAGATGATTTGGATGAGGCCAACCATTTATTATATTGTAAATTTACTAATATTAATATTTGAATAATTTAATGAGTAAAAACAAACCAAATGTCTGAATTCGACACGATTACAACCATTAGATTACAATCCTTTTAATGAAAGTTTCTTTTACATAATTTCCCTAAAGTTGCTCTTTAATCCTGCGTCTTTTATTTGCTTCATCCTTTCAAATCCTCCTGGTCCGGATCACTGACCTAACGGTTGTTTCTCCGAGCATTAACAGGGACCCTCTCTGTTTCTGATACAGCTTTTACATCGATTTCCTCAGATCCCAGAGAAAATGTATTTTCCTTTCCACCAAAAAAAAGAAAAGCTGGACTGACATCTCGTCTTTAAAATAGAAGAAGACAGCGTGAAACAGCCATTTATCTGTAAAACAGACAACAATGTGTTTCTGCTCACACAGATGAGAGGAGGCAGCCATGGTCCAGGGTGTATTTGATCAAATCACTAATGTCAGACAAATGTCTCTGCTAATGTTAAGCTCCTGGCTGCTTTTTGGCTTCGACCGCACACTGTGATTACTATCAGCAGAGAATCCCACAACAGACGAGCCCACATGCTAAACGCTGGCCTGTGCACTCCTCCTCCTCCATCTCCTCCTCCTGAGACTCCAAAAGCAGACTTAAGTCCAGATTGACTTTCTAAGACCTTGTTATCTTTATTTGGCAGTATCAGATTGCAACTACTGCTCTGCACATCAACCCATCCCCACACAGCCGGGGAGTACGTTCAACACTCTGGATGGAAATATGGGCCGCTATCACGCACTGGAAGAAGCCCAGAAAGCCTCTCTGATGCTCGGTTTCTTCTCTTCACCTCCTCTTCGCCTTTTTCTCCTCGCTCTCAGTCGCTCCGTGTCAGTCACAAGACATTTATGTGAGAGGAGAGTTTTTTTTTCCATCTCAAAGTCTCTGTTTGTCTGTTTTCTCTTTAATCTCTCTTCTCTTTCTTCCTCATTCCTTCCCTTGTCTCCCCCCGGTCCTCATGTGTAAATACTGTATCTGTGTGTGTGTGTGTGTGTGTGTGTGTGCGTGGACTGCTAGCGGTGCAGAATTAGTAGGTGAGGTTGAGAACGGATTAAGGAGTCAGGATCCAGGGAGCTCACTAATGGGAGGTGCTGGCCTGGTTGCCTGCTGCTTCTGTCCCATCAGCTGAGGCCAATTATCCAAAGGGGGCCACATCTGGCCCGGTTTGGCCTAGATCAGCCCTTGAAGGGATGGCTGTCTGGTCAGTTTAAAGCCCCCCCACACACCTCTTCCTCCTCCTCCTCTTCCTTTCTCTTCAGCCTAAAGAAAGCAATCATTCGACAGCTGTTGTGTCACACACTTTCACACATTTTAGAAATGACGACTCCATCACAGATTGAGATGTCGTAGATACTTCCAGATGTTTACTTGGAAGAAAACTCAAACTTGAAGCTCTTACTGTCATAACGCACATTTTTCATCATTTTCTTTAGAGTCAAAGAAAATTCAGGGTTCACATAAAGAGTCTTTGTTTCTTACAGGCCAGGGGAATCAGAGAAGAGACGCAGATTTGAACAAAATCACTTTTAATTTATTAGTTTGTACAAAAAAAAGAAAAAAAGAAAATTCTTTAATAGATTTGATTCACGTCCATCCCAGAGATTTAAGTATTTTTAATAGAGTCGTTTTTGGACTCTAAGCTTGTTAATCAAACTGTCTGAATATTGACAGAAATATCACATTGAAAGCACAACTTTGTCGATAAACTTCGCCAGTTTGATGTCCCGTTTTGAAAGTCCTCCACAGTCATGAGTGGTTAGTGTAATCTGGACCTGTCAGCATAAAAACACATCGATTCAGTTACAAAGAAACGACAGGAAAAGGTTCAATTAGAAATAAATACATGGACAGATAACAGTGCATGACGAGAAGTGATCATATTGAGAAGATGAAGATCAATAAACTCAAAATATTCCTCTTCTGCCCTCTTACATGAACGTGTGTCACAATCCGTGTATTATTCGTTCATTCAATTTTCAAAATAAAACCAAAAATAAAAAAAAGGAGAAAACAAATTATTTTCTAAAATATTCGTCTTTAAAATAAAACAAAAAAACAGATAACGGCTCATTTTCTGATTTCAGTTTTCTTCCAATGAAAATAGGATAAATGGATAACAACGGTTTGATCTGATTTCGACTTTTTCGTCTTCAGAAAGTTTCATGACCAATTTGTCCCATTTTCATTTGAGCTGAAGAAAATGGGAATCAGAAAATGTGCCATTATTATTATTTTTTTTCATTTTCGTTTTAGGGACGAATATTTAGAAAACAATTCGTTTCACTCTCTGTTAATACCTGCTAATGGTAAAGTGACTCAGACTGTTACCTCAGTGTACCCACCCCCTCCACTGCAGTTACAGGTATTCAAAATGACAATACAGAGATAGAAACTGATGAATTTAGCTTGTTTCATAAAAATGCCAAAATGCCATTTTCATAAAAAAATTTCCATGAAGTAATAATCATAGATGTTCTTCCTTGAGCTGCGAAACCCCGCTGCACTCGGTGATCAACTATCTTGTGGTCGTTACTAAAGTTGGTATAACTAGAGAAGCAAGCAGTCAGCAACATTCAGAGTTTTCAGAAGGTTAAATCTAACAATCCTTTCCTAAACGTCACAAATTCACACAGAAAGTATCTTTTTAACAGTCATGAACTGAGACAGACGCAGTCGCTCTAACTTGGACGTGTTTTTTTGGCTCCGCCCACTGATGTTCGATTCAGCCAATGAGCTGAGTCCCCCGGTGAGTATGTTTGTAAACTCACATCTTCAAACTCGGATCAGGGGGAACAGAGTGGAGCACGCAGACAAATTAATCGAACATTAGCAGAAGCTCAGCACAGATCATGTTTTTAGCCGAGGCTGAAGCTCACTCTGAGTGGGATTTGTGAGAAAGTGTCTGGTGGAAAGTGCTGCGGGGGCCCAGAGACCTGTAGGCCGGTGCTGCAGCCACTTTAATAATGAGTGGATTAGGAGCAGCATTCCTGTTGGAGCGGCCCGGTCCACCACACACTAACTCAGTGGCTGCAGCCTAATGCGGAGAGATTTTCAGGGACTCAGTTTGTCATATCAACCGCTACTTTATTTCTGAGGCGGGGAGAGTGAGTGTTGGGGGACTGTGTGGAGATGAGGCAGAGATATTTGCAGAGCTTTCCAAAAGAAAAACGACGGGATTATGACAAGAAGCTATGTTTTTTTTTTTCTGTGTGACAAACTGAGTGTTTCTCTCAGCTCTCCAGAAGCAGCCGTGATTGTTTGACATCAAAAATCAGACTTCATCCGGGGTTCAGAGATTTCACTCTGTCCACAGATTGTGATAAATCTAAAGTTTGATTTCTGTAACAGAGGCTAAAATACACAAATCTATCTAATCACGAGGAGCAGCGGTGTTTTTACCTTATTATAAACATTAAACCATTCTGGATGATGGTTCATCTTCTCCGCCTGCAGAGCAACACGAGACATGAAGCCAAACGCCTGAAAACACAAAAACAAAAACAAACAAATTAATAAAAGAAAAAACATGAAACAGGAAGTGAAGCATGGCTATGACCATGACTGAACTTTCTTCTGGATTTGTTTTTCATTTTTTAATTTGCTAGATTAGCTGTAGCGCTGCCAGCAGGTCGACTTAACGCCCAACAGACCTGACCCTTGACCTCTTTAATTATTCAACATGTTTTTCTACATTTTGTATCTGCAGAAATTTGAAGATAGATGCCTCTCTTGAAGTGACACATTTTTATACTGACAGTTTGTTAATCGCAGTATTTTTTTAAATCAAATTTCCCCTCGAGGATAAACAATCATACTGTGATAATAATAATATTGGTATTTAGTGCAGCATACACAGTCAAGTTAGGGGCAGTTTAAAGCTCCTGTCAGGAACTTTCTGTTTGTGTTCGTTGTGGCGCCCCCCTGTGGACAAAGCAGTGTGGTGTCTCCTGACAAAAACAGTTATCCTGCCGGCCACAGATATTCGCTCAAATTGAGACTTTCTCAGCTCCCGCCCAATTCACATCATTCTCGCCACCAGAGTAGTACGAGCATCTAATCGCATCTTTGCATTGACTTAACATGTAATTCATTCACGCGAATGACAGTAAGCAAGAAAATTCAATCATAGTAAAATCCTCATAAGAGACTTTTTATTCAATCATTTCCCCCAACGCTGCAGATGTTAAAACACACACCACACATCTATTTTTACTAAAAAGGTTAGAAACTGGATGGAAGAATTTATCTCGCTTCTTTCTAACGCCACACATTACTGGTATATAGGCAGTGTGGCCATGGAGACGCCGCTCATACTCATATTTTCTGGTCATGTGTAAAGATACACCCTTTCTGGGACTCTGGGAAAAATTCTGCACTATATTATATAAAGAGATCCCAAATCCATGTATATAGAACAAGGAGATGTTTATTTAGTCGAGGTGAAAACTGAACGCCCGCTGCTGGGACAGTGGATGGACATTATGGGCCAAATTTATACCATGAAAAGTCTAACTTACCACTTGAGGCTGGAGACGTCTACCTCTCATCAAAAATGGAGGAAATGGACAATGTTTAAGGAGCTTGAAGCTTAATTAACAGACTCCTCTTTGGTAAACACTTGCCAAAAAAGTAGTAAGAACTGCCCCCTGTGTTCCTTTGTTCCCTTTTGTCCCCTCTATCTTTATTTTTGAGAAAAAGGAAAAACACTCATCAATCAATTTCTCTATAAACTAAATTCAATCATAGTAAAATCCTCATAAGAGACTTCTCTATAAACTGAAAGTCGATGGTCAAAAATGTTTTGTTCCCTGGATTATCTGTCGGATAGAAACTCCAAACTTCGCCAACATTCATTTAAAAATCACTGAACATCGAAGAAAACCTGAAATATTTCCATTTCAGTTTTGGAAAGAGACGTTTCAAAACATTTTCTTCAACAAATGAGTCAAGATGATGAACTGATCTGTGAGATATCTGCACATATTTGGACTTTCTGACTGAATCGTCTGAGTCTGCAGAGTCTGAGAGGCGGCGGCCCCCCCTGTGCACACAGAGCCCCCCTCATGAAGGCATGTATGTGCATACTTCCACACAGTCGTCCCCGTCAGCAGCAGCAGACAGCAGACAGCACGCAGACACACACACACACACACTCTTCATATTTGGACTTTGGCATGCGCCTCTCTCCAATCACAGGCCATCGAGGGAGTGATTATGGTTATTCTAATTATCTACAAAGAGGAGAGTGAAATCCCTCGTCATGCCCACGGTGAAGGAGGAAAAAAATCAGGTCGAGCTATTTCAGAGCAATTTCCCTCTGCAATCTCAATTAAGCCCCTAAATACTTCCTCCCTGTCTAATTAAATCAACTGAACAGCCATTGTTTACGGGCCGAGGCTTCGGACACGTCCATCACCTGACATGACGAAACCGAATTACTCTGCTGAAGAAATTGCGTTAAGCCATTTTGGCGTGCGTCCTGTTCTGTGCCCGTGCAGCACGGCGGTGGCGGCTGTAACACGACCAGCAGCTTGATCAAATTGGTTATCAAGGAAACAGTCTCCTGATCAATTTAAGTAATTGGCATATTCCTGCAACTTGACCCCACTGGCACCAATTTGGAGTCTGAGGCGGTCTGCTCTTTCTCACTCCTCATTGGCTCTAATGGAGATGGTTAAGCAGCCTGTCATGTCAGGTGTTGTTTGAACATGTCCCCCTTTTCTCTCTGTTTGAGTCTCTCTCTCTTTCTCTCTCACCTCCGGATAATCTGCAGCTGAAGAACATGAGTGACAGCTAAAAGGATTCAGTGTGAACACCTCAGGATTCCTGCACAAACTTTAAACATACCCCGTTCCTTCAGACTCTCTCGCTGTTTTATCGGACAGAAATGTTTAAAGTGCTGAAGGTAGAGAAGAGTTACTCGCGCAGACTTATTAACAAAAGTCTAGCTGATATGAAATGTAATTAAACGACTTGTTTTAGTCATAACTGGACAGAACAAGAGCTGCCTGAAATGAAGCCAAAACTCTGACTTTGTGTTCACACCATAGACTGTATATAGAATAGACGCCGTCTGCCTCCTCGCTGGGTGTAGCCACTGTGAGAACAGCACCCTCTGGTGACCGGCTGCAGTATAGGTCATAAATCTCGCCTCCTCCAGCAATCCCTATGGAGCTGTGGACAAACTTTAGAAATTAATCACACAGAATATAAATTTTTCTCCCCCCTGGTTGTGATGTTGACATGTAGTTACTGTAAGACTGGTTTGTGCTCAAGTCCTCTTTTTTTCTGTGCGGCTCCGTTTTTAAAAGTTATTAGGGGGTTCATGTTTTCTACGATTGACACTTGATACAGCCTATGGGCGTATGAAGATTGGGGGGGGGATACGCTGTTTGAGCTGTGCATCATCACAGCGACTCTCCCGCCGAATGCGCACAATGCTACTGCGCAAGTACCGCAGTGTGTACAGGAAGTGGAGAAAAAAATGCGGAATTACCGACAGCTTTTCAGCTTCAAATCGGTCTACCGACGGAAGGCGGAACCAAGTTGACCATAGAATATACAGTCTTTGGTTCACATCAGGCGCGAGTAAAATCAAATCTGCGAGTGAAATCCATTTAAAGTCAGAGCAAAGACGCGATTAGACGTGTTCCACTTGGGCCCGTCACCAGAGGGTGCTGTTCTCGCGGTGGCTCCACCCAGCAAGGAGACAGACGGCGTCAATTCTATATACAGTCTATGAATAAAATACTTGACACTATAGTCAACCAATAATGACGGACTTTGACACGATAAAGATATCTCTCTAATGAAGTCGTCATAATTCGTGATTCCTGAATTCGTTATCCATAGATTAGTACAGTTTGCGGTAAATTTTGAGGATACTGGTCGATGTATGAGAAACGGCGTAGATGAGAACTGTTTCCAGACTCCTGGCCTTGACCAGTATGTGGGACTAATGGGTTTACCTCCGTCTTCATTCACGAGGGAATCCTTGTTACACCACACGCTCTGTCTGCCAACTGGGTCAGACCACTTTCTAAGACACACTATCACAAACCAAAACAGACAATTCACTGAGATTATAACAAGTCTGCAACCTGAACCTCTGCTCTGATAGTTTTGACGTATTTCCAAAGATTTCCAAACTCTGGCAGGAGGAACATCGACTCTCGATCCATAAGGAAAAACTTTGGTTCAGTTTTGATTTCAGAACTTTCCCCTCCCAGAATCCGGCTCATGGCATTCAAAAGTTTTCCAACACTACTGAGAAAAAAGTGCATTTTGATAATTTAAATTAATTGTCGTCATCCAAACTCACAGCTCTAACCAAGAGGAGTCCCATAGTAGTCCCTGACCAATCACATGAGCGGATCTAACCCTGTTGGAGTCGAATGGACCGAAGAGCAAAACACAATTTGGAGGAACGTCCAAATGTGAAACAGAAGATGTCGAGTTTAGACCGATGCAACGTGAGCTCTTTGTGGGGGTGAAAACCAGAGAGGAGCTGTAATCTCTCTCCACAAATGAATTGGAGTTGGATGTCCAGAGAGCTTGAAATCCTTTAAAAGCCTGAAAAACGGTGGCCTACATCGGCCTTCTCTCACAGGTGGAGGTCCCTCAGGGGGCGGTAAGGAGAGCAGGGAGACACAATGCTGGCGAAGTGGCAGTGCTACGCCTGTCAGTCACCTGCAGGTCAACCCAGCGGCCTCCACTTGGGCCAAACAAGGAACTCAAACTGTCCCTGGACTCTCAGCTGAGGTCTTATGTCAACAGAGGTCAAGGGCTCTGTCTCTCAGACGTCTTTGTTTGCACCGTTTGTGTTGAACGCGCCACACTTCCCCACCCATCCATCCATCCATCCAGCTGGGCGCTCTCTCCGACCAGCCCAACACGCTGTAGCTGTCAGACTCAGCTAATTTGACATGACACTACCCAGACCTCCATCTCAAATAATCAGAAACACCCGTGGGCAGACCCCCGCTGTGCCCCTTTCTCCACATACCCGCCTCTGAGGGGCCGATTTGGAGCTATTACAGCATGATTGTCATACAACACTGGATGAGACAATTTGACGTCGGAGCGGAGCGGTCTTGCTCTCCCTCTCTCGCTCTCTCTTTCGTTGCGGCCGTGGGCTGGAGCGCAGGACTCAGTTTCAAACACATGTGTCTGTTATTTACAGATCGGTTTTCCACCGCCGCCCGGTCCAGGGGCTTAGAAACGCCTGCTCTGCCTTGCCAGGACTAAGTGCATGCAGATTGTGCCTACTCTTAACTAGCCTCTGACAGACTCACACATGCACACTCATGCATGTATGAGCGCACATATCGCACACTTGGGATACACTCAGATATGCGCCGACACACACATGAAGACTCTCCTCCGTTACACACCACCACCAGGACTACCCGGTGATTACCCCGCGATGAAGCCTTCGCTCCTCCGCGGGGGGAAAGCGAGAACGCTGTGAACTGCACAGCCCTGGTGGTGGTGGTGATGATGATGATGATGACGACCACACCTCTTACGCCTCGTTTCTCTCCTTTCCAAAACTGCTCTCCAGCTGGCCGACGAGGCTGCCCGCTAAGTTGACGTATAACTTAAAGCTAAATATTGATAATCATGAAGCGGAGCAGCCAAGCCTTTTCATGTCAAGGGCTCCGCTTTGTGTGTGTAAGATCCTAATCTTCTCAAGCTAACATGGAGGAGCTTCAATTTGATACTCTGACACACTCATTAAGTGACTAATATCCTGTGTTAGCAACGTCCGTGCAAGTCAGCGCCTATTTATGTAAAGAGTGTCATGTAATGCTCGAGCGCGGCGTTAAGGCCGACTTATGCAAACCCTGTCATTAAGTGCAGCGTGAGCAGCCAGGGCTTAAAAAGACAGCGGGCTCGTCAAAAGGCAGCAGACGTCAGGGCCATCTTAGCTTACCCACCGACTGATAGCCAGATTATCTAACCACCTCCGTTTGGGCGCCACACCTCGCCGCTTCCCTCCAGCCATTTTTCACAAGACCAGATGAATGCGGGACGCCTCCAGTTCCCAGGGAAAGTTCCAGTTTGGAGACGGAGGTGGGAACTGAACACCTCTGAGCCGATTAACCGGGGGGATAATGTACACATGTGTACGAAGACAGAAGAGACACGAATTAGCTTAAACTTTCACATTTTGACACTAAAACTCTTCAGCGGGTCGTTCTGAACCACTCGACCCTCCAAAACCTGCAGAATTAAAATGTTTAAAATCTGTTTTTGGATTATGCAATTTACACCCATCCGTGTTTGCAGTTTTTGTTGGAGTTTCAGCTCCAAAAAACAGACATCGGCATGTATTTCTAAAAGCTGTGAGAGTGAGACAGGAGTGTGTGTGTGTGTGTCTCAATGTGTGTGTGTAAAGCAGAAAGAGAGGGGGGACGGCTCCGAGACTTTGGTTTACCCAGGGGCTCAGGTTTAGTTGTAGGACAACTTATTGAACACAAGCAGAGCGAGGCCCGTAACGAGAGGCAGAGGCTTGAGGGAGATTTGGAGGAGAGGGCGCCCCTCACTGAATATAAAAAGGGGGATCAAACTCGGAGAGCGGGGAGAGCGCGGGGAGCGGAAACACGGCAGCGCTGTCCTCGGGCTCCAAATTGGAACTTAAGTCCAGAGGCTGAGTGGACGCTGTAGCTTTTTCCGGTGCTTGTTTCTGTGTTTCTGTCTGTGGGGAACTCCAGCTGGGGATTACTGTTTGTGTCATATTTCCTTTTTTAAAACAAAACATTTACCTTTATTCATTTTTTCACAAACGACACAGACATGTTTCTTATGATCTTAAAACTGAATTTAAATATTTCAAGCTTTTTTAAAAACACAAAAAAGTCAATAAAGTCTTAAATTGAAGGGTAATGACAACCTCTTTAATAAAACCTCTGTCATCTTGCTGGCTTACTGAAAACAGGGCATCCAGACTCGAATAATAACACGTCAGCGTCATATCGATGCATGCGAGGGTTTGAGTTACTGTTTAAATGTTTAACTACAGTTAGCTTAACCTCCAGGCGTCTCTGTAAAAGAAGAAAATCAAACAACAAACATGTTTTGGTCATAAATAAAGAAGGTGTTCATTTGATATCATGTTGACTACTCGATCTTTTATCAAACTTACAGTTAGCGCTCCAGACCGAATCTCTGCGTGATAAAATCCTTTCCTCTCTTCTCCTCGATGACTTGTCTTAACTAGCCTAAGTAAACACGGTTAGCTCAGTCAGGGACCTTTACAGGAGATTAACGCGGGGCCCACCTGTTGACTAATAAGAAAAACAAACTGGAAGAACAAACACTTCAGAGCGTGAATCTCAGCGATGTTTGTACACCGATTACAGATTTAAACGAGTCGAATTTAAACCTTTTTTAAGACTTTTTAAAACCCATTATAGATCCAAACTGGGAAAAAAGCAAAAAAGACATGAAGATTAAAACAGTACTACAACCAATCCTTATTTGTATTGTACGTTAATTATTTGTTAGTTAAGTTAATAGATTTTTAAGAATTTTTAAGACTTTTTAAGACTGTGATGTGGGCAGATTAAGACCCATTTTACATCCATATTGGCAAAAAAGTACAAAAGATATAAAAGAAGATTTAAACATTACCAAAATTAATCCTTATTTGTACGGCACGTTATTCATTTGTACGTTAAGTTAATACATTTTTAAGACTTTTTAAGACTTTTTAAGACTGTGATGAGGGCAGATTAAGACCCATTTTACATCCATACTGGCGAAAAAGTACAAAAGACATGAAAGTAGATTTAAACATTAAACATTACTAAAATTAATCTTTGTTCGGATGGCACGTTATTTATTTGTAAGTTAAATTAATATATTTTTAAGACTTTTTAAGACCCATTTTACATCCATACTGGCGAAAAAGTACAAAAGACTAAAGAAGATTTAAACATTTAACAACACTAAAATCAATCTTTAATCAAACGGCCTGTTATTCATTTGTAAGTTAAGTTAATACATTTTTAAGACCTTTCATAATTGTGTCTGAGACTTTTTATGAGATTTTAAGAGAATTTTAGACATTTTAAGGCCTTAAATATTAAATAATTGGATTTTTAGTCGTTCTAAGACTTTTTAAGATAAATAATCAAATATTTCGATGTTGTCTTTTCCTACAATGATTTAATAATACAGAGAAATTTGCTGAACTTTGGTGAATATTTTATCAAATTACTGCAGATGAGAAAGTATTTGTTTGATTTCTGTGCAGCAATCTGAAATATAACATAAGGTCAATCAAAAGACAGTCGTTTAAAAGGTTATCTCAGCTTGTAACGTGTTTTAGATTAATTTTAGAAAGATAATTTATACTTAAACACCAACTGACTGTTTTGGATTTGCTCCCATAGAGGATAAGAAAAAAAGTCTTCAATTAGAAAACAAATGACGTTATCTGTTTGGTGAAAATGTCATACTAACAGAGTTCGGATGTATGAGACCAACAACAAACAACCATTTCTGTGCCAAAGACAAAGAGGTTTTTAAAAAGTGTTAAAACCTGACCGTCGATTCGCTGTTTGATTAGCTGCAGTTTTCCCTCCCCGGCTCAGCCTGTCAGTGATTTTCTCTGATTGTTGCACGGCTAAATATTTGTGGGGAGAGAGAGAGGAAATGCCATTGTTGTCACTTTCGGCTAACGTAACACAACAGTTGAGCATGCACAGCTCACCTCCCCTACACAAACTGCATCTTAAAGCAACCCATTTCACTTAAGATGCATGTATGATCCCCTGAAACGTAAAGCAGATGGCCGTCTGTAAACATACAGAAAAGTAAAGCTGGTAAACAACATCAGTGACTGTTCAGAGTAACATTTACAGTATTAAAGACACACACACACACGCATGTACGCGGACACGCACGAGCAGATGTTTCCACATGATTGCAGTGACTCTCACTGGCCAAAGAGAGTCCAAGGAGGGGATTTAACCTCTCAGATTCAATCAAATATTACGCCTGTCGATGAGGAAAATAACTCCTGCTGACTACGGTTTACCCACATGCCGCAGATAAATTACAGAGCGGGTCACAACAGCATCACAACACTTTCCACTTTCTGTAATCAAAGCAAAATAAACTCGAAAAAGCCAATCCAGCTGTCCTCTTCTCCTCTTAAGTTCATTTGCAGCCCTGCCACTGTGCATTCACTCCCCATAGATACAACTCTACCGCCCCCTGGAGGCCGCAGAGGGGAAGTGTTTCAACTTGTAGACAGCAGGGTTTGTTATTCTCATTATAAACTCTCAGGGATCTGATTTCCACAAGCCCATCATGCAGAGATAAGTGGCCGATGGAAATCAGCCAGCATGTCGCTCTTTATCTCCCCGCTCGGGTAAAAGCTCTTAACGGAGAGAGTTTGAAGAATAAAAGAGGGCGAAAAAGACGAGCGGAGAGAGTCGCCAGCATGTAAAATTAGAACAACATGAGCTCATTCCCCAATAACATGGAGCAGAGAGTGGGAATGAAAGACAGACAAAGACAGAAAGAGTGAGAGATAGGCGGGGAGAGGAGGGTGGCAAAGAAAGAGAGAAAGAAAGAGAGAGAGAGGAGGAGGAAAAAAGTCCATCCAGCAGAGGAATGATGGGGTTGTTAGTGGTTTGTGAACCAGATGAAACATTTTAACCAATTTGATTGTTTGTGAAAGAAATCATTCTGATCGAAACCCCAATTGCTGCCAACTGGAGGCCTGGTGTGTCTCAGGGTAATGCGGCCTGACGTGTCGGGGTAAGAGGAGAGGCTTTAGAGCCAGGAGGAGCAGATGGGGGAGGTCAGCACCCGCTCCCCGACTTCAAACACGGCCAAGTGTAAAAACAGACTCTTTTGGGGGCTAAAACAACTAACGACGGGATTAGAGGAAGTCCGCTAAGTGGCCTTGAGATGTTGCAGTTTACTTCGCCTGATACAGTGGAGAGCTGCCTGCCAGTGCTGTGCTTTTAAAGGGCAGAGTTACGTGTTGTTTACTGTAAGTCATATCAGATGTGATACTGTTGAGAAGGTCGCGGAATACTCCTTTACTTTCATGATAAACTTTGCATGTTAAATAAAACAATGTCTCCTAAATCATATGTGTTAATAAACTTTCACCACTAAAAAAAACGATAAAAAAACACACTTTCAATAAACGTGAGGAAGAGCAGCAAGGACAAAATAACTCTTCATTCATTTTAAGTTTTCAGCCACATCAGCTGACTTTAACAATCAGCTGTGGGGAGGTCTAAGGACTTACTATCATGTGACCAACTTAGGTAGAAAAGGAAATACCTGTTCAGCTCTATTCGTGAAAAAAAGGCTGTAAGTAACAGTCAGAAAAACAGCCGTTAACCCAGTGGTTCACAAACTTTTTCTGCCAGGCCCCCCTTTGGCAGATAAAAATTGTTTCAGCCCCCCCGAACCCTGACTTTACACATCAACATGTAAATGAAAAACACATCATCTGTCACAAGCTGCGATTGTTTTTCCAATTTACTACAATGAAACTGTAAAGTTTTGTAGAAAAAACAACAGCAAAACCTTTTAACCATTTTTTAAAATTCTGCATTTCTGAAGTTGAATGATTTAAAAACTTAAGTAACATCTTTAAAATATATTCTTTCAGCCCTAAAATAAGTCAGTAGTTATAGTGCCACAGATCTTCCCCAGTCTTGGGTGCAGCTGTGAAACCGACACTCTCAGTTCATTTTCAAAGTCCAGTTTTGATCGGTACTTGGTTTTGATGTAGCCTTGTTGTCGCCCTTGCGTTTTCCCAGAGGTCCGCTGACGTTTGCCGTGGTTAGCAGTGCAAAACTATGTGCATTATTTTTATTTAGCCTTGTCGCGTCCCCCCTGCGCACGGTCCACTTTGGGAACCCCTGCATTAAGCTGACCCTAATATTAGTCAATTTTACCTAAACACTAGAAATGTAGTTTTTTTCTCATTTTCAAATTTTTCACATCAGTGCAAATCTCAGCCCTTTTTTTGCCTTAACTTTTCAGGACAACCTTACAAAATATATATCAAAATGATATAAAATCTACTGAATGCATTTTGTTTTGATTGAATAATTTGGCAGTTGAGGTTAGCGATTAAAAAAACCCTAGAATATAAATATCAAAACTCCTATGGGGAACTTTTAGTTTGTGTCGACTTTAGCGCCCCCTGTGGATACGGCAGTCTTTACTCAACTTGTCCTTTAAAAGCTTTAGTAGTATGACAAAAACAAAATCTCATCATGATGACTGTGAGTGTTGGGCGGTAAGGCGGTATAAACTGTGTGACGGTATAAAAGTGTCTACCGGTAGAAATTTTTTCTATACTGTTTATATCGCAGATGTCTGCTGCGTCTCTCTGAGTCAGTGTGTAGTCATCTGCGCTCACTAACAGGAAAGCCGGAGCGCATCCGTTTGGGTGTGTTTCCGTATATTATATAATATCCGTATAGGTGCACCCACAGCACCAAAAACTAAAACTGCAGCAGCTTCACTCATACAAAAGAGCTTGGCAGAGTCTTTCGCTAAAGGTACGCCATATGATGAAAAATCGCCAGACTGGTCTGACATTTTGTTTGCATTTTTTTACAAATCTTAGCTTAAAAATAAAAGGAAAATGAACAAATGCGACAGTTTGGGTTATTTTTAAGCCATTAATTAAATTTACAGGGGAAAAAAACATTCTGTGATATAAACCGTTCCTGTGATATAAGATTTTGTTCATACCGCCTGATACTAACGACTGTTGACGGTTAAATACTGTTTATTCAATGACACAAACCCCCCGTTTCATCAGATTCAGGCATTAAAAATTAAATATTCAGACTGTAAATCTTTCTGCTGAAGGTCTTGTTTGCTTTTGGATATCCTTAGTGAATTTCAGTCTATTTATGTAAAATAAACTCTTCATGGGGTTACTTTTTCTTCACGGTATATACAACAGTTGGACTGCCTGTTGCTGAACCATGATAGACATTTTTTAAACACAATTTTGTGTCAAGTAATTCAATGGATTTTGTTTCTACATTTGGTCCGTTTTAGAAATTCTAGTACCAGATTATATTTGTTTGATTAAACTTTATTAATATAAAACAAAAACTAAAAGCCTCATAAAACATACTTAAAGCTCCTCTGAGGAGTTTTCTGACGTCTATGACAAAGACTGAAATTCATGTCGACGTCTTTTAATGATGTTTAAAAGCAAATCAGACTTAAGATTTGTTTATCCTCATTTTTATGAAACGGGTGCGAGATGGTCGTTCCAAGCCTGGCAGCCAATGAGAAAGCCTGGTTTTTATGATTCACAATATTTACAATAAATGAAGTTTTTCTGTCAGAAGTCAGCAGGAGGAGATTGTTGTCATTAATCTGTCATGCAGCAGCCAAGATTAGCAAAGACTGCTCTGTCCACAAGAGGGCGCCAAACCTGATACAAACCAAAAATTCCTCACAGGAGCTTTAACCTGTTTGAATCTTTAGTGATAAATAACTAACTTTTTTTTTTAAGTTTTGAGGTCAAAATGAACTCTGCTTTTCGTCTATTGGAGTAACTTCATTCTGTTATTAGATAACTTTCCAGTATTTTACCTCTTAAAGCTCCTGTGACGACTTTTGGTTCATGTCCAATTTTGGGTGAACAGAGCCGTCTCTGCCTGTCGTGTCCTCCACATGCTTAGATCGCGTCTTCTGTCAAATATTTATTTTTCTGACTTTTGACAATCAATTTGATCATTTATTATGAATGTTTGAAATGTTCCAGGTTTCAGGTGATCCAAATTACAGCTTCAAGACAATCAGTCTTGTCAGTGATGGTCTGGTTTGTTTTAATATGTCATGAAAAGGCATCAATATGAATTTTATTCTGTTTCACACATGTCAAAAAACTCCTGACAGGAGCTTTAAAGACGATATTTAAGAAAATGCTGATTTAACGTCATATAGTAGGTGTTGGACCAGCATCAGTACTAAATTATGTGGAGGAAGAACTAATCCAGATTGACTTATTTAGTAAGTCAATTTATACTGTTTTGAAAAAATGTGAGACTATTATTTTTTGCTCACAGCGCTTTGTCAAAATTAAAGTTCAATTGATCAGTGATAAGGTCGTCTTTCAGCGTTCGCCAGAGCCGGACACTCCTGGAAAGCATGAATGAAACCCTCGAGCCAAACGAAAACCACTGAAAGGAAAGAGGAACCTGCCCTCTGCTACACCTGCAACCAATCAGCAAATAAACACAGATGAATCCGTGTGTTTCCGATGGTTAGAGAAATGGCTGTGTGTGTCTGGTGGTCTGCTTTCTGATCCCGATCAAATAAACCTCCAGTCAGCACACAACAGCCCCCTGAAGACCACGGCGGAGAGCAGAAACACATTTCTACAGAAAAACAGAGAGGGTTTCCACAAAGACTTGACCAGCCGTGTGGGATTAAAAACAACTTAAGTGAAATGCAAAGACAGAAACAGATGTCATCTGACTGGGAAACACACTCAAACTAGCTGTACAGATTATTTTCACGGCCTTTTCATTCCTTCAGCCCATCTATAACAAAGATATTAGACTTTTTAAAAACATAATAAACATGCAGATACCTGATTAAAGGTTTTGAAGTGAAGCTCTTTAAAGATGGCATCACGGTCCTCCACCTCCACCCAGCCGGTGGCCCTTAGCTCCATCAACATCTGTTCCCGGTCTGCAGTAGAAAGCCAGTGAGCATCTGAGGACTAGAGACCCACGAAACTTAATTCACAATACTTTATTTTCTTCACTTCATTTTCTTGGCTGTGCTCCATCAGCTATTTGAGATGTCATTTGGTTTAAGGTGTTTATTCCCTCATTTTTAAAGAAACCCGAGATCTATTTGGTTTCATTGTATGGAAGTCAATCTGTGCCATCTGGTTTTGAATTTGAATTTCTAAAGCTGATTTTTTTGCATCAAACTCAGACTTTGAATTTAAAAACCATCCAATTTCAAGCACGCATTTTTATTTTTGACGGAATATTTTTTTTAATTTTTGATGGAATAAAATCGGTGTAATAAAAATGTCTTCTAAAAATATTCGTTTAGTAAAAATTCGACTTAAGAAACTGTGTGAAAAAAAAATTCAGTGTCAAATAATTCAGTGTAAAAAAATTCAGTGTCAAAGAGACAGACTCATCATTATGGAAGTAAATCTGTGCCATCTGATTTTGAATTAGAATTTCTAAAGCTGATTTTTTTTTTGCATCAAAATCAGACTTTGAATTTCAAAACCATCGAACTTCAAGCATGTACTTTTATTTCTGACTGTAATTTTTTTCACAATGATGGAGTAAATTCAGTGTAAAAAAAAAAATTTCTCAAAATATTTGTTTGGTGAAAATTCGACTTGATAAACTAAAAAAAATTAAACAAAAAAAAAATCAGTGTCAAATAATTCAGTGTAAAAAAATCAACGTAAAAGAGACAGACTCAACATTATGGAAGTCAATTGGTGCCATCTAATTTTGAATTTTTAAAGCTGAATATTTTTTGCATTAAAATCAGACTTTGAATTTCAAAACCATCGAATTTCAACCATGTATTTTTATTTCTGACAGTAATTTTTATTACAATAATGGAATAAATTTATGCTGCATTTTTTTTTACACAGTTTTTAAGTCAATTTTCACTAAACCAATATTTTGAGAAACCAATTTTTTTCACAGAATTTATTCCATCATTGTGAAAAAAATAGTCAGAAATAAAAATGCGTTTTTGAAATTCATAGTCTGATTTTGATGCAAAAAAAATTCAGCTTTAAAAATTCAAATTCAGAATCAGATGGCACAGATTTACCCCCATACAATGTGTTTGTACTGCCTTTGGAGAAGCACAGTAAAAGTGTTACATTTGCTGTGTCCACAGGGTGGCAGCCTAGAACCCACTCGAGGTACTAGACCATGTACTGTTTAGTTTGGTCATAGTCATACTAAGTTACCTTCAGGTACACACAAACTTTTAAATTATGTCAGTAAACTGAACTTTTAATATTGGAGCTCACAGCCTCCGGTGGTTCGTTCAAAAACATCATATTTTAATTCTGCATGAATCTATTTTAAATATTCTTACAAACTCAAACGTGAGGTAACAGTGGTATATAATAAAAATACAGTCCACAAAACACCAATTTAGTATCTCAACAACCCGAGTGCAGCAATTTTCTGTCTTTATTTTCGCTTTATATTTACAAAACTAAAGTCTCAAACGACTAAATATAAACAGGAAGGATTTTTCAGTCAAACTGTACACGCCGAATTAAGCAGCTGCACTAAATGTCTTAGAATACATTTAAAATGATGCTTATTGAGTGTATTTGTTTCCAGATAACAATTAAACTTATAATTCTCCGTTTTTCCAAAGAGGTTTGGCGCACGATCCTTTTTACGCCTGCGCGTCACCCGCGAAAGCGGCGTGTTTGAGAGGCAACGAGTTTACACAGCCGTCGCTCTTCACGTGGGATTACGTTCACACATACTTGACCGCAGATAAGATGCTTATGAATGCGAACACTAAAAGACTAATTTGTCTCGGCTGCACTCACCATTTTGGAGGAGTTGTTCCTGGAGAGTGGAGGTAACAGCAGACCGCTCAGCCCGAACAGACGGCTGCAGGGCCATGAGCTGCTGACCGACCTCAGGCTAAATATTAACCCCGACATAACCAGGCCTTTGTCGGCTGTCCTCCTTCTCTACAGTCACCTCTTCTGTTGTGTTTGTGTTCTCTCCTGTCCTCTCACAGTGTATCATAGCTGTTTAGTTTACTGCCTGATTAAAATGCTGTATTTTCAGTGAAGTCTGGTGACATCAAAATGACCTCTACTCCATGACAGTGTCATGTACATTTATATTCAAGTCTTGCAAACCAGGTGGCCTCTTTGGTGACTTATTGTTTTTAATTTATTGTTTTTTTCCTGTCATAATGTAAATGTTGGGCACTTAACCATTATTTATTTAAAATATGCCAATAATAAATGTATAAATGAGGATAAATTGGTCATCCATGTTTTCTTCCTTAAAGGGATATTCCGGCGTAAAATTAATTTAGGGTCAAACACACCATAACGCAGAGTTAGACTCCCCGTTGAGAGATGAATGTTCAAGTTATACCAACTTTAGTAATGACCGTAGACAGCAATACAGAGAGCCATTGACTCAATCAAAACGCCACTCTATAGCCACAAATAATGCTCAGAACAGCACCTAACTTCATCAACAGTACATATAGGGTCCCAGCCATTAATTATCTTTTTAACTTTGCCTAATTTCTTTAGCAAACAGACCAAACACGACTCACCTACTCTCTTCCAGCAGCTGCTTGATTGTAGCGGGCCAGTCAATTACGGACTACAGCGGAGTTTCGCAGCTCAAGGAAGAACATTTATGATCATCTTTTCACGGAAGTGCAATCAGATCAAGACGCTAAGGCAGAAGAACTATAGCGTCTGCAGTGCGAAATGATTAATATGGTGATTATTACTTCAAGGTCTCCACACAAAGAAGCGGCTGCTGGAAGAGAGTAGGGCTGTGTCCGAAATTGATCCCTAACCCCTGTATAGGCGACTATATGGGGGTTAGCGCCATTTTGAGGGGTGTCTGAAACCTGAGTGATTAATTCCAATGCCCCATATAGACGACTCAAAATTCCCCATAGAGCACTGCAAAATGTAGTGACCATTCGATGGTCACTCACCGGTGGTAGGTATCCTGTCATGCATTGCGTCTCCAGCAGCTCCAGAACCCGAGCTCTATTTGCCATTTTTAACGTTTAAGTTTTTTTTCTTTACTTCACTTGCAAGTGATCCATAGTTTTTGAAAAACAACTGTTTGCTGCATCATATAGTCTCGTGCACAATATGACGCAGCGAATGATATTTGGCATAAAAATATAAGGCCTTTTTGTATTATTATTTTTTTATTTCACAAACATCCTGGAAAAACAAATACATCTGTACAAAATCATAAAATTCAAGAGATGTGAAAACAAGAGCCGCAACTTCAGACGCTGCAGTCCGAGCAGTGACGTCACAACAGTGCGCCATGTAGTGTCGGAAACCTCCGGCGATTGAGCTCACAGTCAGCTATATAGTGAAACCCTATTTGGGGGTTAGGGGTTAGGAATTCATTTCGGACACAGCCTAGGTGAGTTTTGTTTAGTCTCTTTCCTAAAGAAATAAGGCAAAATTAAAAAGATGTTTGGTGGCTAGTACTATCATGTAGTTAGGTGCTGTTCTGAGCATTATTTGTGGCTATAGAGTGGCGTTTTGGTTGAGTGCGTGGCTCTCTGTATTGCTATCGTGCGATCGTTACTAAAGTTGGTATAACTAGAGAAGCAAGCTGTCGGCAACATTCATCTCTGGAGGGGGTGTCTAACTTGGTGTTATGGTGTGTTTGACCCTAAATTAATTTTACGCCGGAATATCCCTTTAAGACTCAGTGTTATGATTAAAATTGAAACAGAAACAGAAAATAACATTTCATGACACATTAACAGAAACCATTGTTTTTTTTATTTTATTTTAAATCACACGGGTAAACATAACTTATTTGCATTTGTTTCATAAAACACCAGAAGCAAAAGAAAATAATCAAATGTTAGTTTTAATGGAATCAATACATCTAAAAACCACAAGTCCATGAGTGTTTTCACTCCTGATGCTCGTGCTCCTGTCCCGGTATGAGCCAGCGGATGCTGTCAGTGCGTAGGATGGCGTACAGGGTGAATCCTGTGATGAAGAGGACAGAGAAGACCAGCAGCCAGTCGATGCTCTTCACCGGGACGCTGGGCAGGGGGCCGAGGCGGTCTGCATCCAGCAGGTTTTTGTTGGGGCCGGCTTCAAACCCTGAGAAGAAATTACAGCAAGATGTGGAGCAGTGTTAAAGTACAAAGTTTAGTTTTATTACTGAAAATGTTGGTTTTGGTTTTCTGATGAAGGTACTGTGAAGTTTGTTTTGATTTGTTCTTCCACCCTCCTAATTAAAAATGTGTTATAAATAGTTACTCTTTTTAGGGGGTAGGCAGGAATCCGTTAAAGAAGCATCTTTTTTTGTGGTGTTTATACAAAAAAGCTTTTAATATCAGTCAATAGTTATTAGTTATTGATGACATTTGTGAATATAATGATATCGCCGTGTTTTGTTATGTTTGTGTAGTCAACATTTGAATTTTTTCAGCGGGCCGCTCTTTCTGCCTGTAAACAAAGCCATTCTCCGCCTCCCCCAACCTGATTGGTTGTGAGGCACACGCTGCTCCTCGGTGTCATTCAAGAGCCCAGACAAAGTTAGCGTGCTACAATATCGGACAGTAGAAACCAACCAGAAATTACCGAAAACACAAGCAACAAAATGAAGTAAAAATACCGGAGACTCTGGCGGAATAACGGGCGCTTAAAACGGAGTTAGACTGGACAAGAGCTAAGAAGCCGGGTCAACATAAACGATGGGGGACGCTTGGGGATCTTGGTGACCCTGTAACCTTTCTGCTGGACAGGTAAACCGCTTTAACAAAGTAAGCCAAGTGTCTGTAACAGAAGTGTTTCTTGTCAAACGGACCTGCTGTAGCTTGTTGTAGCGCCGCTAAACTGTTGACCTCGGGTCCTGGACTATGTCACTTTATCCTAGTTGTAGAAGTCTGCAAACATTGTGTTTGCTGGTAGTCTGTTGGCATCTACAGTAGCACCAATGCGTTTGACTTTCATGTTGACTGGGCCCCATTTGTAATTATCTGTATTTATCTGCATTATATCTGAATTTAATTGGAACAATAAGAGCGAGCAGGAGCATCTGTTTGTGGGCGGGGATTGGAGAGGAGGAGCTGAGGGGAAAACTGGTTGGGAGGGGTAGAGTTTACATTCAAGATTTCTCCTAAAAACTGGAACTTCCTCAGATCCTGCCTACCCGGCCTTAAAGGAGCCATCCTGAACTACAAAAGCCTCTTCTTCGTTCGTACCTGTCTGGTTGGAGATGAAGGAGGTGAGTGTCTCCAGTGTCCTGTCGGTGTGGTTGAACCGAGCCATGGGTTTGGCCCCTTGGAACAGCAGGATGTTGGGTACTGCCACCGTCCCAAACCGTGTGGACAGGCTAGTGGATGTCAGACACAAAAACAGGATCATGAATGATGATGATAAAGAAGGTTTTTATTTCTAACAGCAACATATTTAAATTTTTCTCAACTTCACAAGGGAAGAGACAGAAAATCAGCACCTCTTGATAAACATGATCAAACACAATACAACATGGACCATTACCTGCTGTGCTGTGAGGCATCCAGTGCCAGGAAGTGCATGCTGGGAAAGACGCGGGGCAGGGCATTAAAGTGAGGCGCCAGGTTAGCTGAAAACTGGCACCAAGCTGTGAAGAACAACACCACCGAGCACTCTGTGCTGTTAACATTCAGGAACTCCATCAGATCCTGAACAGAAGAAGAAGAGAGAACCGGACTGAGGGGTGGGGTCAGTTTATCAAAGGAACTAAAGTAGAGGGATCATGTTCACGGTGGGTATCAAAGAGGACTGCAGAAAACCTGAAACTGGTCCTATAAGCTCTAAATTGGTTCTTAACACACAGATGTAAAAATCTAAAGAAGAAGTGAAGAATTCGTCTCCATTGTCTTTTTACAGATTTGCTTTATTTGTTCATCTTAACCTTTACATAACCTCAGCCTCAGGTCTGCTGAATGAAACCCATCATGAGTTTCTCCAAGGTTCAAGATAAATCAAAGCAGAAGCACTCAGGACGGTTCCTAACAGAAGACAGCAGGATTACCTGTGAAGCGTTCAGGACCTGCACGGAGAATGCGTCCATCCCTGTGATGTTCCTCTTATCACAGTTCACCTTGTACGTCTTGGCGGCCTCGGTCGTGTTCTGCTCCTCAGTCGGCGTGATTTCTGCGTGCACCATGTCGAGAGTGACCTGGAGACAAACATCCAGAATGAGGTCAGCTGTCACAAAGCCAGACTTACCGACTCCGAACACTTTGAAAACCTAAAATCACGTGAAACTACTGTCAATGACAGAGGAATATCTTTGTAATGAACTGATTGAGGGTTTGTATTATGAGTTAAAAATGGCCATTATGGTTCCAACGACCTGTTACAAACGTTTGAAACATTCAGAATACTTGCATTTTGGAAAAGTAAAATCATACTGTTTTGTGATTATCTAATATTTATTTCTCACTAAATCTTCCTTTGAAAAAATTACCAGCCAACAGCACTCAAAATAACATTTTTTAATTATTCACCAACAATTTTATCATCAATAACCTTCACTGTTGATCTTGTGTCTCAGTTATTTACAAACCCGACTACCCTGTCCTGCTTCTGATAGTGATTATTCATCTCCAGGCGGGTGTTAAATTCTGACGTAAAATTAAGTTAGGGTCAAACACACTGCAACACCGAGCAAGACATCCCGTCAAGAGATGAATATTGCCAACCGCTTGCTTCTCTAGTTATACCAACTTTAGTAATGACCGCACGAGAGCAATACACAGCGGTCTGAGGAGCCATAAACAAACCTCAACCAAAACGCCACAAATAATGCTCAGAACAGCACCTAACTTCATCAACAGGACATATGGAGTCTTCATGGAAATGCAATAAGACCGAGACGCTAAGGCAGAAGAACTACTGCGTCTGCAGAGCAAAATGATCAATATGATGATTATCACTTCAAGAAAATGATAAAGTAATGATCATAAATGTTCTTCCTTGAGCTGTGGCACCCCGCCGTAGTCCGTAATGGACTGGCCTGAGGTCTCACTACAAACAAGTGGCTTCTGGAAGAGAGTAGGTGAGTTGTGTTTAGTCTCTTTGTTAAAGAAATTAGACAAAGTTAAAAAGATGTTTGATGGCTAGTACTATGGCTGGGACCCTTTATGTACTGTTGATGAAGTTAGGTGCTTGTTCTGAGCATTATTTGTGGCTATAAAGTGGCGTTTTGGTTAAGCGCGTGGCTCCCTGTATTGCTATTAAAGTTGGTATAACTAGAGAAGCAAGCGGTCGGCAACATTCATCTCTTGAGGAGGTGTCTAACTCGGTGTTACGGTGTGTTTGAACCTAAATTAATTTTACGCCAGAATATCCCTTTAACGACAAAAACTGAGGTTCATGTTTCAGTGAGTGACCTGCTGTGCCGATTCAGCATTCTCCTCCTCCTGTGACGCTCCGTTAGCAGCCAGAGCAGGCGATGCACACTGTGCACTGTTCTCATCACAAGGTGGGGAGAAACCCGACTGAAAGTCTTTCACATTTTTGGGGAAGAGGGACTCGATGTCAGCTGGATCGATCGGAGCTTCGGTCCCCATTACAGCATCTGCAATCTCAGCTGTCTTGAACTGCCTCTTCGGCAAAGAGTCCAGGTCCTCTGACTCAACAAACTTGGGGCTGTTCTCCAAATCAGACACTCCATCATCTGACAGGGTGCGCTCCAGCGACTCGCCATAATCTGAAAGACAAAAGGTAGGGGAGAGTGGGCTAAGATGAGCCATTTTTCATATTTCGGATCACTACATCAAGTCAATCATAGTTTTGTCTCTAACTCGTGTATTTGCAGATATTTCAGGATGTTGGATAACCCTGCAAACCAACAGAATGAGTGAAAACAGAACTGTCTTGATAATATAGCACGCCAAAATAAAAGTGGTCTCCTATGGTCAACTTACCCTGTGTATGGGGTAAGTTGACCATAGGAGCGGATTAAGTTGAGCCGTCATCTCCTAAATATTTGGCCACATAATTAACTTATTTTACCATTTCCAAGAAACAAGGGGTGGCTCAACTTACCCCACTCTCCCCTATTAATGAAATGAGCTCAGGATAAATGACACACCTGTCATACCTCACTTGAATTGTCTTTTCTAATAAAGATGAGATTTGAGCAGTTTTTTCTTCCTCTTTTTAACTGCAGCCTCTTTCTTTGATTAATACTGATTGGTAACCAACAGTCATGATCATAATGATAGGTAATCTCAGAGCACAATCTACCTCAGTTTTTATCAGTCACTTTACACATGACTACACTTTATATTTATTCTTACCTTTCCTCTAATCACTTTATTTTTTTATCTATCTATCTATCTATAGGTGTGCACACTGAAAAGCAGAACCACATTTCAGACTTTTACAGCTCAGCTCTGACATCTACCCTCATTTTAAATCAATGAATTAAGAGAAAAGGTGAAATGAGCTGAAATGGGACTTCCGTGTTTTTCTAAGGAAGACTAACATTTAGATGAAGTCATAGATTAGACACATGCCACCCATCCTTCCTCCACAAAGGGTAAATGTACAGTTAGGTCCTGTACAGTAATATCAAGAGTCCTCAAATTTCTTAAACGCCATTTTCTTTGCGTGTTCATCAGTTTTCTGATTAACACCAACTGTATGACTGACATCCAAACTATAAGCCTACATCAAGTCAATCAATATAATCTATTGACTCTGACTAAATGTTAAATAAATACGTCTCTGTTGCTTCACAACAGCCCATAGTATTTCAAGCAGAAAACGAGGCTCATGTGCTTAGACGGTATATTATTAAACAATAGTAGAAATAACCATTTTAAGTTAAAAACACAGTAAATATGCTGACATACTCGCTCTTCATCAGCTGTTTACCTACCTTGTGCGGTCACGGACGAAAACCTCAACAATTCAGAATGAAACGACAAAAACAATAAACAATACGGAAAATATAGTTTGATCAGAATTTCCGTCATATTTTAAAGTATATCTAAATACGATAGTTTAGCGTTTTAACGACATGTCGAGATAGAACCCTCTTTCTCCGGGGAGCTGACACGGAAGAAAATAGATGTAACACATTGTAACGCATGATTCTACTTCCGGTATATATTAATTTATTCATTTTTAGTTTTGTAATTTTTCATATATTCACCTTGTAGAAGTTATACACATATAACAATCTACAGTACAGTACTAAAATATAGTTAGTTTTTTATATATATAGCATCGGTTTGACGTGTTTCTATCAATCAATAAAATATAATCGGAAAATAAAGAACATTTATAAGACAAAATCTGTATTGAAAACAAACCTAATAATCTATAATTTGCGGAAAGTATTTTGGTGAGACTGTAAAACTTAACTAAAACGTATCGTCTACTTTAAATGTAAACAGGAAGTTACATTAAAGAGCTGTGACCAACTTCCTCTTACCTTCAAATTACTCAATAAAGTTGTGGAGAAAAAAAACAAAAACTAACCTTCAGATTATTTTCACTTTCTTTTTTGCAGGTTTCTCTGCAGGGCCAGGATACCAGGAGCAGCATGATCAGGTATAAATCTTGATTTATCATCAATACTGTTTATAAAAAACCCCAGAAAACATTCAAGTTTAGCAGGTAAACATTTATCTTTGTGTGACTGAGCTGACTGAAAATGACGCGCTTTAATTTAGCTTGACTTAAAAATCAAATACAACGTGATCAGACCATTAAAGTAGGAGTAAAGTATGGTCATAAAGTTGATTTAATGAAGGACAAAGAGTCAAGTAAATATTAACAAAACCAAAGAGTTCAGGAATATCAGAGTTAAAATAGCACAAAGGTAAAAGTAAAAGTATGTAATGATGCCTATTTGTAATATCAAAAGTGAAAGTTTACATACCACCCACTTTTAGAGCAAGTGGGTTTAACCACTAAAGTGCAATACTTTCTATTTCAGTACCTTTTGATATCTTAGCAAACACACATTTCATTTACAAAGTTTGAGAAGTATGTAGTTTGAAAGTTTGTAGTAAAATTAGTTACAATAAAAGTTCAAGAAATACAGTACATAAAGCAATCAAAATAAAAGAAAACAAGCTGTAAAAAGATTTGAATTGAGAATATTAAGAAAACAAAACAATGAGAATAATACAGGATAAAACGCTGTCAGATGGATGAGCACCTCAAATAAAAGAAGGAGTTTAAATGAGTTTAAGGGATATTTTTTAACCTAATGGGCTCTTTATCTTCTTTTAGGAGGGTTCAGCAAGAGGGATCAGTCTCTCAAGAACCTCGCCCTGGACCTGGCCCGGGCCCAGGTCCTGGGCTTGAACCTGAACCTGGACCTGGACCAGGCTGTTTGTCTTCAAAAGAAGAATGTCAAACAGAAGAGCAGACTGAGTTAAAAGATTTGTGAGTCTCTGTTTAAAGGAAGGATTGTTTTGTGCTTTAAAAAATTGGACTTTTTACCTCTTGTTTTTTTCCACTTTAGCAGAAGCTTTCAGAATATTTCTGTCAACTTTACCACTAATTATGGGATGCAGATGCTGCAAGCTGGCAGCTTTGAGAGTAATCTCTGATATTTGTTGTTAATGCACTGTCTCATCATATTGGTTTATCAGGACCTTCCAGCAGAGACTGGACTCTCCTGCTCCCAGCTGTGTGTCCATGAAGAGTGGGTTCTCCATGGGTCATCCCGTGTCTTTTAAAGGTGGATGTCATTCTTCTGAGGGCAGGTAAGCATCCATAATCGTGGTTCCTCACACCAAATTCCGGCAACCTAAATTTAATAAACATGAAACAAAACATACATTTGTGTACATCGGTCAATATTCTTTTCTTTCTTTAAAAAATGGACCTGGGATATAACAGAAATGTATGAGTCAACATCACAGAAAAGTTCCATGTACTGTACAGGTATAAATAATAGAGGCCCCAGGACAGACTCCTGTGGAACACCAGCAGTGAAGGGAAAATGAGATTTTGAAGGTTTTAAGTTGATTAAATCGAGTACAGCACAAGAGATTTAAACCAGTTCAAGACCATCTCATCCATGACAACAGACAATCAGATAAGAAACTGAATATCTGAACTTTTAAAATGGAAAATTAATATTTTCATGTGGCTGTCACTGTCACTGCCCACTCGTCCCGCATGACCACGGTAAAGAAGAGCCTGTATGAGTATGTCCTAATGCTATGTTTCATCTTTTTACTACGACCTAGTACAGACTCTCCTGGTCCCAGCTGTGTGTCCATGAAAAGTGACTTCTCCATGGGTCATCCAGTGTCTTTCAAAGGTGGATGTCATTCTCCTGAAGAAAGGTAGACCCTTAATATCTTCATTTATTAGTTTAAATTACCAATACTAGTCACTGACTCAGTGATTTTGTATCTCTAATTCTTAGTCTAAAGCTGTTGTTGTTGTTTTTTCATCATAATCTGTTTCTTCAACAGTATTGATTTTGAGACAGCAGAGGTCTCTGTCGATCAATCTGCACAGCATCAAACACAGCTAGACTCCATATTTACGGTGCGTGAACATAGAATACGGTTAGAGTAAAGACAGAATATTAACTGTTGAAATTGAAAAAGATATTACTCTGAAAAATATTGGTTTGATTGTTCCTCTGTAAGAACTTTTTACACAATTTGGTTGTTCCTCCTTGTCAATTAAATGTAGTGTTTCAAGTATTTGCAAACCTCAAAGGTGAAAAGCTAACATGTTAATAGTGATCCTGGTGATCGGGGAGATTAATTTTAGATGCGTACTCTTTCAGCTGCTTGAGAAGAACTTGGTCTGTTTTATGAGGAAAGAGCTGAAGGAGATGAAGAGGATCCTGAGATCAGTCTGCCATGACGTCTTGGGTGGAGAGAGGGAGGATGAAGAGAAACTGGGTGGTGTGGATGCAGAGCAGATGAAGAGCTGCAGAGAGAGGTTCCTGAAAATCTCACTGCACTTCCTGAGGATGATGAAGGAGGAGGAGCTGGCTGACTGTCTGCAGAGCAGTAAGGAGAAACTACAAATGGTTATGATGTGGACAAACAAAAAAACTATAGTGTCCCTCAGGGCAGATCAGCAGGTTTTGTTTTTTATTTGTTGTTTAAACTATTACCTTTTACTGAGTGCACTTTGAGGTCTGTTTTCTCAGATGTGAAGCCCAGTAAAAATACAATGTATGATAATAATAACAATAATAATAATAACAATAATTATAATAATAATAACAATAATAATAGAAATTATTATTATTAATGTTGTTGTTGCTATTCTTATTATTATTTTTGTTCTTCTTCTTCTTCTTCTTATTATTATTATTATGTTTTTATTGTTATTCTCCTTCTTTTCACTATTATTATTATTATTATTATTATTATTATTATTATTATTATTACTACTGTTATAATAAAAAATAATAACTGTTCTTCTTATTATTATTATTGTTATTCTTGGTTTTATTATTATTATTATTGTTGTTGTAATAATAATAATAACAAGAATAATAATAACTATTCTCCTTTTCTTCTTCTTCTTCTTCTTCTTATTATTATTATATTTCATTGTTATTCTTCTTCTTTTCACTATTATTATTATTTTTATTATTATGATTGTTGTTGTAATAATAATAACAATAATAATTACTATTCTCCTTCTCTTCTTCTTCTTCTTCTTCTTCTTCTTCTTATTATTATTATTATTATTATTATTATTATTATTATTATTATTATTATTATTATTATTATTATCATTAGACAAAACAAACATTAAACAAAGATGCTTGTCATATTTACCGGTATGTGACCAAGATTGGGAGTTCTGTACTCTGAACAAATGCGTAACTCAAGAGATTAAACAGCAGAATACCATGGAAATTTCTGCCTCCAGCTTTATTTAAGACAATAAAAAGTACTTTAAAAGAAACAATTTCTGACCCTCGGAAACACTGAACAACAACAAACATACAGACGTGACTCCGAACAGGAAAAGATGTCAGCCCCGTCTACTGAAGTCCAACTTAGTTGTGTACTGTGGTTTTTGTGTTTTTCAGAAACTCCTTCATTTTGTCAGTGCAAACTTAAATCCGATCTACAAACAAGGTTTGAGTGTGTCTTTGAAGGAATTGCTAAAGCAGGACGCCCAACCTTTCTGAACCAGATCTACACAGATCTCTACATCACAGAGGGGGGGACTGGAGAGGTCAATGAGGAACATGAGGTCAGGCAGATCGAAGCAACAGCCAGGAAACCAGACAGACCAGAAGCCAAAATCAGGTGTGAAGATATCTTTAGGCCTCTACCTGAGAGGGATGAACCGATCAGAACGGTGATGACAAAGGGAGTGGCCGGCATTGGGAAGACCGTCTTAACACAGAAGTGGACTCTGGACTGGGCTGAAGACAAAGCCAACCAGGACATCCACTTCACGTTTCCATTCACCTTCAGAGAGCTGAACGTGCTGAAGGAGAGAAGGTTCAGCTTGGTGGGACTTGTTCATCACTTCTTCACTGAAACCAAAGAAGCAGGAATCTGCAGCTTTCAACACTTCCAAGTCGTGTTCATCTTTGATGGTCTGGACGAGTGTCGACTTCCTCTGGACTTCCACAACAATGAGATCCTGACTGATGTTACAGAGTCCAGCTCAGTGGATGTGCTGCTGACAAACCTCATCAGGGGGAACCTGCTTCCCTCTGCTCGCCTCTGGATAACCACACGACCTGCAGCAGCCAATCAGATCCCTCCTGAGTGTGTTGACATGGTGACAGAGGTCAGAGGGTTCACTGACCCTCAGAAGGAGGAGTACTTCAGGAAGAGATTCAGAGATGAGGAGCAAGCCAGCAGAATCATCTCCCACATTAAGACGTCCAGAAGCCTCCACATCATGTGCCACATCCCGGTCTTCTGCTGGATCACTGCTACAGTTCTGGAGGATGTGCTGGAGACCAGAGAAGGAGGAGAGCTGCCCAAGACCCTGACTGAGATGTACATCCACTTCCTGGTAGTTCAGACCAAAACGAAAAACATTAAGTATGATGGAGGAGCTGAGACTGATCCGCACTGGAATAAGAAGAGCAGGGAGATGATTGAGTCTTTGGGAAAACTGGCTTTTGAGCAGCTGCAGAAAGGAAACCTGATCTTCTATGAATCAGACCTGACTCAGTGTGGCCTCGATGTCAGAGCAGCCTCAGTGTACTCAGGGGTCTTCACACAGATCTTCAGAGAGGAGAGAGGACTGTACCAGGACAAGGTGTTCTGCTTTATCCATCTGAGTGTTCAGGAGTTTCTAGCCGCTCTTTACGTCCACCTGGAGTTCATCAATTCTGGGACCGATCTCTTGACTGAGGGGCAACCGACCTGCCAGAGGTCTGCAGAAATAACAGACCAATACGCAGTGGAACGTCTCTACCGGAGCGCAGTAGACCAGGCCTTACAGAGTCCAAACGGGCACCTGGATTTGTTCCTCCGCTTTTTTGTTGGCCTCTCTCTGCAAACCAATCAGGATCTCCTACAAGGTCTGCTTCTTAGGACTGGATGTTGTTCACCTTCTGATAAGACAACAGTCCACTACATCAAGACAAAACTTAGGGGAAACTCCTTTCCAGAGCGCAGCATCAATCTGTTCCACTGTCTGAACGAGCTGAAGGACCATTCTGTCAAAGGAGAGATCCAACGGTCTCTGAGTTCAGGACATCTCCGGACAGAAATACTGTCTCCTGCTCAGTTGTCAGCCCTGAACTTCATCTTACTGTCATCCGAAAAAGATCTGGATGTGTTTGACCTGAAGAAATACTCTGCTTCAGAAGACGCTTCTCTGAGGCTGCTGCCAGTGATCGAAGCCTCCAACAAAGCTCTGTAGGTTTTCAGACAATCAAACCGATTTGATAGAGTACATACGGATGCAACTAACCGTGTTTAATTTTTCCTTTCACCCCAGGCTGAGTGCCTGTAAGCTATCAGAGAAAAGCTGTGAAGCCCTGGCTTCAGTCCTCATCTCCCAGTCCAACCGTCTAAGAGAGCTGGACCTTGGTTACAACAACCTTCAAGATACAGGACTGAAGATGTTGTCTGTTGGACTTGGGAGTCCATGCTGTAAGCTGGAGACTCTGAGGTGAGAATTAGTGACATGATACTTTATTAACATGAAAACAGTAAAGACCTGTAAGATCCCGAAGCGTCCCCCACCCGCTATTCCGCCAAGGTCTCTGGTATTTACTTCGTTTTATTGCTTGTGTTTTCTGTACTTTCTGGTTGGTTTCTACTGTCCGATATTGTAGCACGCTAACTTTGTTTGGGCTTGTGCATGTTATTGGAGGATGTGGAGCGTGCCTCACAACCAATCAGGTTGGGGGGAGGTGGAGAATGGCTTTGTTTACAGTCAACAAGAGTGGGCTGCTCAAAAAATTTAAAATGTTGACTACACAGACTTAACAAAACACAGCGATATTGTTATATTACCAAATGTCACCAGTAACTATTATCTATTGACTGATATTAAAAGTTTTTTTGTAAATACACCACACAAAAAAGTCGTTCTTTAACGGAATCCTGCCTACCCCACCGTTAAATATCCACAATTTTGTAAGGGGGATCTCCTCAGTCACTGGGGTGTTAGCACTAATTTCTGTTTTTTTTTTAGGTTATGTCAAACCAGCCTCACTGAGAGCTGCTGCCCAGTGTTAGCTTGTGTTCTGAGCTCAGAGTGTTGCCCTCTAAAAAATCTGGACCTTGGTAACAACAACCTGCAAGACTCAGGGGTCATCCTGCTCTGTGCTGGACTGCAAAGTCCACACTGTAAACTGGAGAATCTAAGGTGAGATCTTGAACTTCATCTCAATCGCTTTGCGGCATTCTGGTTCAGAAAGTCATGGTTTGGTTTTAATTCAGTTGCATTATCCTTTATATATTTTTACAATCTGATTGGTTTACATTTTAGACTTCGATTCCGGATCTTGTGTCTTTCCTTCAATCTCAGCTAGATGTTTTACACTGTTTTTTCCTGCATTAATCCAGGCTCAGCAGCTGTAATCTGTCAGAGAAAATCTGTAAAGCTCTGGCTTCAGTTCTCAGCTCCCAGTCCACCTGTCTGAGAGAGCTGGACTTAAGTCACAACAACCTGCAGGACTCGGGAGTGAAGCTGCTGTCCTCTGGACTGCAGAGTCCAAACTGTCAACTGGAGACTTTAAGGTTAGACTCATTATTTCAAATAGTGTTCACGTGTTTATCATAGTGTTTGTTGTGTTCTGGACAGTTTCGGTCTGGCAGTGAGCCGCAGAGCTCAGCAGGGTGGAAGAGCTTTGTCCATCTTTGACCATCACACACTTGCCCCAAGAGTAAAAAGGTCCAGTATTGACTAACTTGCAGTTTCCTTCTGTTAAAGGCTAACCACTCTGTTCCTCTTTATTAGGTTAAACCGAAATGGTCTCACTGAGAGAAGCTGTCAGGAATTTTCAGCTATTTTCTGCTCACACTCCTTTTCTGTGAGAGAACTCGACTTGAGTCACAACCACTTGCAGGATTCAGGAGTGAAGCTGCTGTCCGCTGGATTGAAGAGTTTGCACCATAAACTGGAAGTCGTCAGGTCAGGATTTGTCAGGAGTTTTTGTGACAGACTGCTGTGACATTTTCTGATGTGACCAAGTTTCAGTTCTTCAGCCTGTGTTTATTTTCAGGTTGTCAGGATGTCTGATCACAGGAAAAAGCTGTGTTTCTCTGGCTTCAGCCCTGAGCTCAAACCCTTCTCATCTGAGAGAGCAGAACCTGACACGTGACCATCCAGGAGACTCTGGCGAAACTGCTGACGCCTCGGCTCAAAGATCCACTCTGGAAGATGGACGCACTCAGGTATGACTGATGAGGATGAAGTAGCACTTTCTCAATCATGAGGAAATATTCATAAAAATAAATAAAAATACACCTAAAAGAAACTGGAGTGATTATGTTGTCCTGATGTGACTCTCTGACTCCCTTGCAGAGTGGACCATGGTGGCATCCAGAGATTGAAATGAGGTCTGAAGAAGTGTGAGTTTGTTTTTTGTTTGATACACACAAACAAAGCTACACAAATTCTTGAAAATAAAACTCAAGTGAAACAACAGTGTCCTGTCTTTGCAGTTGTTTGTTTTCCTGAAGGAATGCTTCATTTTCCTTGGTTATTTCCCAGCTAGTTTCCCAGAAGTTTTATGCAAGAAAGAAGAAAAGACGAAGAAGAAAAAGTGGTCCAAGAGAAGCACTCAGGTTAGGAGTGAATCTTGGCAGTCTCAGCCCTCTTACCCATCACACAAAGGTCTGGAAGAATGTCCTTTGATTGGCAACCCAGGGTGGTGGTTCTCATTTGCTGAAACAGAAAAAACACCTCAAACTATGAGATGTACAGCGGAAATTGTACAGTGTAAAGTAAGAAGTAAGAATTTTAGTGTTACGAGGTGGCAATGTAAACCGTGAGATAAAAAACGTCATGTATGATACAAGCCAGTGTGAGGTTTAAGAAAGTCATTGAAATGAGAAAGTCAAAATTATGAGATGAATAGTTGTATTTGTGAAAAAAGTAAGTTGTTATTCTGAGATCAGAATTCTGACTGTGTCTTTTTAAGTGTGAAAAGTCAAGCTTCTGAGTAGAAAGTCAGATTTGCAAGTTTGAAGTCGGAATTTTGACTTTTCACTGTGAAAAAATTCAAGGAAAAAAAATGGAGCTCTATTTTTTTGTGGCCCCAATACCATTGGTAATCTGACTCTAATTTACTCTCTCGTAATTTCACCTCTCATTTCAAATTATTAATTTTATTTAGTCATTAAGAACAAAAATTTCTTCCCTCTATAAGTAATTGTGGATATTACAAGGAAAAATGTAATTAAAAATTCATCAGGCCATCAATACAGAAAGATAGTGCTGTTTTATGGTGTCTTATTTTTGCTGCATTTATTCAAGTAGAATTGAGGAGATTAATGATTCCTCAGTGACTTATTTTATTCAGCTCTTCATTTTCTATCAAACAGCAAACATAAACTTTCCAGATGACGATGAACAGCAGAGCAGCTTCCTTTAAATACCGTTTTCTGGCAATGGTGGTCTGCCGTGTGGGGATGTAGCTCAGTGGTAGAGCGCATGCTTCGCATGTATGAGGCCCCGGGTTCAATCCCCGGCATCTCCATTGTTTTGTTTAGTGTCTATAACAGAAATAGATGTAAGATAAATCGAGACGACAACACGTTAATCCAGAATTGATACTACAGATTATATAATACCCTGGCGATCCTCAGGAAAAGAAAAAACACATCACTGAACTCTCCAGACGTTCTACACTGCTGAGTGTTCTGACGCCAGCAAAAACGCACATGGAGAGATTAACAGAATAAAACACTTAAAATGTAATTCGAGATCTTGTTCTCAACATTGCCTGCTTTTATTTTGAAGATCAAGCCAATCCTGTAACCGTCTCTCTCGCTCTAGACTTCAGACGATGCCGTTTTTATGCCCTTTTTAATCGGAGCTTCGTTTCATACTGTGAGCTGTTTTTAATGTTGTGTTATCATTATTTCGTTATGTTTATGTCCTGTACGAGTGGTACTGTCAACCAACGCCCGAAAAGCAAAATTGATGGTTCCACTGGGGCTCGAACCCAGGACCTTCTGCGTGTAAAGCAGACGTGATAACCGCTACACTATGGAACCTGCGTCACCAAGGAGAATTAAGACTTGTTATATTGTTACGTAAGAACGGCTGTAGTCTGACAATTTTTTGTGTTTTTATGAAATATTTTTGCATCTTATGATTTCTTTTGTTAAGCGATGTTTTTACCTCCATGTGAATACGTTACACAAAGTGTTTTTTTTATCCAATACATACTTTCTGCAGTTAAAATGATCTACTTTTCTCAATCCAATCATCTCATGTGAAATAAAGAAACAGGAAGCTGCCATTTTGTGTTTGAAGTGTTGTATTACATTCTTTAACATTAAATAGCAGACATGTTGATACTGATGGTGAGCAAAAAATAATACTGAAACCTTAATTTCAGCGACTTCTTCTTCATGTTTGAAATCAATTTCAGCCTTCAGTTTAAAAACATATTTTCCTTTAACATCTCCCACTTTGAACCTGCTCTAAAATAATACAGAAACATTGTAATACGTGACAATAAATATTCCACACAGATCACCATCCGTACTCTCTCAGTCTCTCTCTGGATGAAACGCTCCTCTCTGGGTGTATCTGAAGCTCCTTCAAACTCTTCCTTATTCCCTTGCTTCCTAGTTGGCAGGATCCACCACCAGCACCTTACACTCCCTCTTGGCAATCTTGTCAAGTGACAGCAGAGATTTGTCCTGTGGAGGGAGGTAAAGAGGTCGACCAACTGGAGAACCAACAGGAGGGGTGATGGCCCGCCGCTCCATGGCGCTACCAGTCCTGACACGAACACACAAACAAATATTTACAGAACAATGTCAAACCATGATTCACAGACCAGATTTAACTACGATTTAAGCAAAGACTGTGTGTTTGTTACCTCATGATGTGGGACCGTGACGGCTGCTGGTGGGAGAAGGACTGAGACCGACCCAGACTGGCTTGGTGTCGGTCCAGCAGGTCTCGAACCGCTGGGCTGGAGGGACTGTTTTTGCCTGGACATGCAAGTAAGAGAATGACTTTAGCTGTCACCACCATAGACTGTATATATGATTGACAACTTGGTTACGCCTTCCGCCAGTATACAGATTTGAAGCTGAAAAGCTCATCCTGAAATCAACATCGCGCAGTAGTGTTGTGATGAGTCGCTGTGATGACGCTCTGCTGAAAGGGCGTATCCCCCGAGTGAGCTACGCAATCTTTGTACGTCCATAGGCTGTATCAGGAGTTGATCATAGAAAACATGAACCCCCTAATAACTTTTAAAAATTGAGCTGTACAGAAAAAAGAGGACTTGAGCACAAACTAGTCTGACTGTAACTACATGTCATCACAACCAGGGGGATGAAAAATGTATATTCTGTGTAATAAATTTGCAAAGTTTGTCCACAGCTCCATAGGGATTGCTGGCAGAGGTGGGATTTATGACCTATACTGCAGCCCGTCACCAGAGGGTGCTGTTCTCGGAGTGGCTTCACCCAGCAAGGAGGCAGATGGCGTCTATTCTATATACTGGGATACGCTGTTTGAGCCGAGCGTCATCACAGCAACTCTCTGCGACTCTTGCAAGAGCGTACAACGATACTGCGCAATGCTTGTTTCAGGAAATGAAGAAAAATCAGCTTTTTGGCTCCAAATCCGTATACAGGCGGGAGGCGGAACCAAGTTGTCCATAGTATATACAGTCTATGATTTTTATAAAGAATCTATGAAAAAAGGTCATACAGCTCTACGCCTGTGTAACCAAGTTGAAATAAAAAGGTTATGAGCACCCTCTAGTGGACATAAGTTGAAAATGGAAAAACCAAATAAGTGCAGTTAGAGCTCATGAATGTTTTATTCTTACGTGACAGCGGCCGAGCATCTGGTGGAGGATTGGACACTGAGGCTGTGAACTGGAGCTTCAGTTTCATGTGCTGACTCAGCTGCAGAGGATTTAGGAGAGGTGAAGAAACGTAAAACATGAAACAGTAAAACAAGGAGATCTTTTTTTTTTTTCCTAATGTGAGAGCTCTCGTACCTCGTACAATCCTGGTTTGAGGATCTGGAAGGCCACGCTGAATGACAGAGTGCTTCCTTTCCTGCAGTGACCGAGGTTACTAAGAGGAGTGTGACAGACCACAGCAGCCAATGCTGCGTCCTCGCTGTGACCACGACCTGAACACACACAAACATTTAATAGGTAACAATGTTGGTCTCAATGTTGGCTGCTGCTTCACTAAACAACTCTTGTGAAAGTTAAAACTCCAAAAAAAATAATCCAGCTGAGCCAACAGAGTAACAAAAATAAAGACCCTCTCAGACTGACCCTCTGGAGTCCAGACAAGCCGGACAGCAAGGAAGTCCTGCAGGTTGTTCAACAGGACATATTTGACCTTGAAGTGCTCTTTAACCCGCACTGTGCTTGGACAGCTCGCGGTCATGACGAACCGAGGCTGGTCTAGGCGGATACTGGGCAACCTGGAAGCAAGAAGAGGAGGACATTTAACAAAAATGGTTTCTGTTCCTCATGACGGTTTTGTTGCAAACTGAATGTTATAACATGATAGATATTGTTGCAGATGAATAACTGGATTTAACTGGATTTCTGCTAAATAAACTGATTTCCATGTCTGTGATTCTTTCATGAATCTCACCTGTAGTGGGTGTAGATACAGTTGGTGAAAGGCATCTTGGGAGTTGACCACTGCAGCACAGCCACCAGAGGAACCTCCATCCCCTACAAATAATCACAGAAATATCATCAGGTAGCATAAAGAGACAAATATTCCTAGATTTAACCTCTTTTTCCCTGTTATCATGGTTGAAACACAATCAAAAATAAAACTGTTGGTAAGACTGAAATACAAGAACAACACGAACACATCCAAACCTCGTTAGAGTCGTCCTGCGGCATGTCGTTAAGGTGCAATTGGAACAGGAAGTCATGCTCCTCCAAGGCGCTGAGCATGCTGGGAAGGCGGCAGGCCAGGCTGTCCACTCTGCAGAAAGACGCCATGCCGACCTCACCTGACTGATGGCTGCAGAGTGAAAGAGAGAGAATCAATACATTGTAGGTATTAGAGACCAAAACTATGTACATGGTGATTCCCACTCCAGAGTCCTGTCTGTTTCTAACGTAGTGCTGCCTGAAGGTCTGAAGATCAGGACCATCCAGTCTTGGTTTTGGACCTTATCCGTTTAGTACAGAGATTTCTCCAGATCCTCTAAATCCTTTAAGGATATTATGTACTGTAGATGATGAAATCTACTCAGAGGAACATTATTCTCAAGCTGTTGAACTGTTCTTGTCCTTTTTATATCCAGTCATGTTACTAACCTGCTGGAAATTAACCTCATATGTTTGGAGATGTTCCTTCATCTGTTTACTTAAATTACACACCTTTTTACCTGTTTGGTGGGCTTTGTAAACAGATTATATTCTAGACCAGCTTGTTTTATGGAGCATCTGGAGATACCATTTGACATAAACTGGCGCTGCATGAATAGATACTACGCCAGATTGATTAATTGATACCTGCACGTACCACACGTTATCCACTAGCAGCACAGAGCCGTCCGGCATCATGGGAAGGTAGGAGGCGTTGAGATTCGGTAAAATCCGAATGTCCCTGACGCTCACCTCCTCCTGAGACAACTCGTTCAACACTGAGAGAAGGAGAAACAACATTTAGAGTCAGTTTGAGTCTTTAATAGATCCTGGTTTGTCTCTAAAACCAGTGTCAATAAGTGAAAGTGATTTAAGAATCAAAATATAATGTCGACAATTTTCAGTCTTGCCTGAATTTTAGTCTCTCATAATAACCTAAATGGTCCCGCAGATTGACTGTAACTGAAAGTTTTTTAATTTTATAGCAGTAATTTCAACTAGAAGCATAACCAAAATATTAATATAGCAAAAAATGTATAGTATTAACTGAAATAAAAGGACAGTTAGGTGTGATTTGATGATTAACACTTTGTTTTTTACCTTTGAGGATGGCAAGGTGCTTCCCAGAGACGGTCATTTGTTTACAGCGGACGGTGGGGGGAGGCAGGACGGTCAAAGTGGTGCTCACTGTTAGAATGTAAACACAGAAACAACATTAGCATAAAAGTTCCTCCGTTCAAACTTTTTTTGTTCCTTTTGAAACCAGCGCCCAGTTGTTTGACCTGGCGTTTATTTTGTGTTGACTTTGGCGCCCCCGGGGACAAGTTTTGTAGAGTAGACTGTAGAGCAGTGACACGAAAATACCTGCCAAAAGAGGCTTCACGTGAGAAAAAACCTCCCTATGTGGATATCAACAAATTGGACAAAAAAAGATAATAATTAATAATCTTAATTAAATATTTGCTTTAATCCACCAGCCTGTTGATAATCTGAACAGCACCAGGATCTGAGCGGGGCTCTCTTTTGAGTATCATCTGCTGTACCACAAGAAGAGCAGAGGAAGAGAGTTGGACTTCCTGTTTTGGTGAACAGGTCCATTAACTGGATTTTACTTCCACGATTTTTGTTCTAAACAATCATAAAAATATGATGATGGGATGAAAATTAAAGGATAATATTTGGAATTTTTTAAATATTTTGAAACCATTTCAATCAACTGATCAGATATTGGGATTAAGGTTCAATGAGTGTTAAAATCTGCCATCCAGCTTAAACTCTCTTCAGAGTCCTCATAAGTTTATTAGTGCAGGTACGTGTGTGTTGTACCCTGAGCCTTGAAGGTGTTCAGGTCGTGCCTGAAGGTGTGTGTCGGCTCTCGCTGCTGCAGGACACTCAGGTAGCCGAGTTCCTGCACCTCTGCTTTCTCTGCCTCCTTCTTCCAGACTGTGACCATCACCTGATCACACAAACACACACATAATCAATACTAACATCCAGCTGATACTGATTCTAAACACTTGGTTGTTTATTCATAAAAACCTCTAAAAGCCTTCGACTCTCAAAGGTAATCCTGCTCACCTTGACCTTCAGGGTGCTGACAGGCAGTTTGTCCAGAGAGACGGTGAGAGGGAAGATCACCTCATCTGTTAAAACCACTGGCTCGTCCAGAGGAGACTGATATGGGGGGACAGACGGATCAATGAGGAAAATTTAGGGATCAATAATGGATGGTTGGTGACCTTACACTGCGGCACTACGAGTAACCAACTACTAACAAGTAACATAAAGTCAAAGTCCATAATCTCTAATATCTTAGAAAACGTGATTTTTGTCAGTACAGGTGTATCATAACAAGAGTGCCAAACCTGAACAGGCGCCCTGCGGAACTCCCTTGCCGCCGTCCCAGATGAGTTGTGGATGAGCAGAGGCTTACAGTCCCTGAAGCTCCGACACCTGGAGTCCAGCCTGCTGCCAAGCGCAGCGATGGCCGCCTCTGCTGCTGCGATGTGGTCCTCCTCGCCGTCCTCGTTGGCCTCGTCCCCGCTGTTCTGGTAGTCATGGTGATGCTGGTGGTGGTTGCCACGATGGCGACTGCTCTCACCTGGACTCACACTGGCCACGGCGCACAGAGAGCCCGCCAGTTCCCTCCAGGCTCGACTACTGGCCGACTCAGTCCCAAAACCAGCAGCAGAGCCATCGGCGCCACCTACAGTAAAGCAATGGACCCAAGCTGAATGAATTCTCTGAATTTATTGATCATTGATTTGGTCTGGACCAGTAAGCTGTAGACTTTCAAACCTGGTTTAAATTAGGTCTTACTAAGGTTTTTGTCCTCCATCATGATGTTACTAACTCATTCAGGATGAATCTTCTCTGGTGCTTAAACCAACGTCTGCTCCAAACAAGAGTAGAAAGATCTAGTTTTAGTCCAGATTAGAAACCCTAACCCTATCTTAGTCAGTTTTGGTTATGTATTCACAGACTTTCTTCTCCATGGTCCGTCTCTGTACTCTGACAAGTTTAGACCCTTTTTATATGCTACATCTCTGGTGATTTAGCTTAAATGTTAAGAGCCGTTCTTACCTACAATGAAAAAAGATCTACAGGATTAAAATTCTTGGTCAAGTCCATTTTTTTTCATGACCTCAAGCATTTTGGTCCATTATCCTGGTGTGATATTTAATACTTAATACTAACATGCTATCTTTGCTGTAAGAAGTTCATATTTTGTTCACGGTCACTGACAACAATTACTGTGTCAGTAATGACTGTTGTGTTTTTTGTGATTGTATTTTTCCCAAATCTGTTTGAATCTGGAGAGAAAGGTTCAAATTAATACAAATATAAGACAAACTCTTCACTGAATGTCGTCTATTTTACGCTGTTTCCCCTCAGTTTTTATATTATGAATGTTTGCTTTTGATTTCATCTTTTTCTTTAGGATATAATAACACTATACAGAGGGATCATCATTATTTAGTCACGATAATAGAGGAAATGTTGATTTAAAATCTGATTTGTCTGTGTGAATGAATAACAATAACATCCACCCTGCAGACTGTCCCTTTCCTCTCCTCCCCTTCACCACAGCCGGTCGGATGCAGACACCCCCATCCCTTCCTCCTCACCGGGGCCGTGCTCGGTTGGCGTCGCCCCGCCGTCCCTGCACCGCAGCACCAGCAGGAACCGAACCGTCTCGCCCAGGTAGAGGTGGCTCCGGCGGGGAAGAGTGCGATACCGGGCCGGGTCCGATAGATCCGTGATAGGCACCGCCGGAAAATACATGAAATACTCACACTGAGACTCCATCATCTGCACCATGGCGACAACCGGAGGAAGCTGCGGAGGACCACAGTCAACACACACACGCCAAAACAATAAAACACACACTTCCTGTTTTCATTTTCAAAGTAAAAGCAGGGTTCATGTCTTTATTGAGCAGAATAAGGGAAACTGATTACATCGCCCCGTAGTGGTGATATGATTCTTTTTGATACGGTGCAATGGAGCTATTATTTCCAAGTTTCAGTAGTAGTCAGACGCAAGAAAAACAAATGAACAAAAAAAAAAAAAAAAAAAAAAAAAAAAAAAGTTAAAAATATGATTAAAATAATAACATCGAAGTGGTTTACTTTTCCTTGTTTTGTGAAATTTAGAAAAGTATCATATTAGAGAGTAATTTGTGGTTAAAATCTGTTATATTTTCGAAATTATGTAAATTAATCAATGTTCTTATTTGTCTTATTCGAGTCTTATTACTGCCTCTACAGACAAATTATGAAGAATAGGAGAACTATCAGTGAACATTTGATCATTTTCATGTAACCGGTAACTGAAGTCGAACTGCTGAAAACAATCGGCTGATTTTGAGAGAGGTGACCAGATGCAGCGCAAGATGGCGGACCCAAAGATAGAAAACCACATTTACAAAACGCAATAAGTTCCTCCGATTGGCGGACCCAAAACAATTACTTCCGGTGGAAAGGCTTTCTCGTTGGCGGACTTCCGGCGCCGAAATACTTCAGGTAGTCGGATTTAGTCGCCGGATCCTTTTTTTTTTGCTCCGTTCATTCCATAAGAATCGAATTAAATTTATTATTGAGCTAAAAATCAAAATAAAACGTTTATGTATTAATTATGACTACTGTTTTGTTCTGATTTAATTCTGAAGTTTACAGTAATATGTATATATAGCCTGATGTCCTCATATTCTGATAATTTGTCAGAATAGGTAAATGTATGTAGAAGTTATCATCTTACTCAAATTCTTTTGTAAGAGTTTGCTACAAGTATGGACTGTTTTAACCTCTCGTTACACATCATATAACAGTGTTTTCTAACTTTTCTCTCCAATAGCTTTATTACACAGCACATCAATGTTTCTTAACTTCTCTGTGACCTTGTTTCTCCACTCCTATTAGGACCTCGTTTAATGTCAACAATGTTGCCCTGACCCTCACATATTTTCTGTTGTTCATAATTATGTTTTATGAGAGTGCTTATGTTGCTGCACAAATTTACTCCCCCCATCCTTTAGTAACATTGTGTAACCAGGGACATAATTTATGAAATGGTGTGCTTCCTGGTGAACCTCTTCAGGATTGCTTGACTGTGCAAAATCCAAGTATACAATAGTTGTAGAGACACAAGTCACATGATCTCTTTAAGGTTCAGAAGAGCCATATAGCAAAAACAATTGAATAGCGATATCATTACAGACTGTGTAAAGAAATGGGAAATTGTCATACAACTGCTTTGAAGATTTCTTTAATTTTTTCCAAACAAAATTGTGAACAGTAAAAAAATATATATATATATACAAAATTCAGCACTGCCGTCGGTGTGGTGGGGGGCTTAAAACACGTTGCCACAGGCCATCATCAGCTCTGCTCTGAACCGGTTGATGCCATGCTCCTTCAGTGCTTTGATCAAAAGCTGAAAAACAGTCAAATAATGTGAACAATTGAAGTTATGCAGTATGGGTTAATTGTTGTTCTTGAGCTTTCCAAATGAATAAGAACAACCTCTTAACAATATCATCATTTTTCAAAGCAAGCTATATAGTTTGATCTACTCACCTCTGGGAGCATGACGTCAAAAACGAAATCAAGCAGATGAATCTCGCCTCTCTTTATTTTTTTAGAAATGTTTGTTGCCACCTCAATGAACCGCAGGAGCTCGAACATCTATTGAAGAAAAACACAGAAAGTAAACACCTTTCAAATGTAACACCCCTGAGAGTAAAAATATTCATGATGGATGGCATTTTTACTTACGCGCTGCTCACTCCAACTTAGTGTCCTTATCTTAAGATGCTGCTTTAGTCGGAGTGAGGTGGCGGGATTCCTCCAAAGGAACATTCTGTTGGAGCGGATCTTTCCAGACAGTAGATCATCGTGTAATGTCTGAAACCAAAGAGCAAGAGACAAAAATGTAAACATCTGAAAAAGAAACGGTGGCTTTAACAACTGATAGTGCATTCAAAAGCAACCTTGATCTGTGTCTTAGAAAAGACAGCATGAATTCCTCAACTGTCAACAGCATCCTTGATCCTGCAGAGAAATAAGAAAAGAGCAAGCCCTCATTTTTTCATCCTTTGAGCCTCGTATTTTTGACTGATACTATGTTTCCTTGATAAATTATGTTATACCGAGGATGCTCAATGGAGTCCTCGCACCCGCAGTCAAACGGCTCCATTTCAATCCCAGCACAATCCTGATGCAGCCAGCCCCTGCACGTCTTGCACTGGACCCATTTTATGACGTTTACCTCAGGGTAAAGCAATCTGATCAAATGAGAGACAAACATAATATCAAACAAACACGCTGTCCAATTGATTATACTTCTGCAGCACATTTGAATGTATAAATAATTTTCCTGCATGATTCGTGCATTTAAACTATATGTAAAAGTGGTCACTTCATGGAAAATCACTGAATAGGCCCCGATAATTGCATTTATTAAATTGAGTCTGCAACACACCTCTCTCCTGTGTTGTTCGATGTCTGGTAGACACAGAATTGCATTGAATCTGCCATGCACATTCTTTGGACATCCGATACCGTCTGCGTCATGGTTTCCTTGACAAGGCAATTTGAAAAGTAACATCAATTACCAAATACATCGAGACAATGTTGATCCATACAACTGTGTGCATTTTGAAGGACTCCCACTGAGATAATACTGTTTTTACAAGGCAATTTCCTAACCTCTGTGTCCTGCTGCTCTGCCTTCCTCTTTAGACTGAAGACCGGAGTATGCTTTCCAGCAATGAGCTCTTGACATTCTTTGGTCCAGTGGGCGAAGATTTTCCCACAACTGTAATGACAATATGTCTTTAAGTACAATATATTGATTGTCTTCCAGTTAATTAGGACATCTAGTTTACTTAAACTGTCTACCTGTTCAAAGAATTGTTCTCCAGGAGCAACAGGCACCACCATCGCCGCCAAACAGGCATGTCATGCTGAAATTGTTGTTTGTATTTCATTTTAGTGCACAATACAAAATACAATCTTGAGGATGACACTGCGTGTTGAAAAGTACTTACAACTGAGTAGTCAAACTGTGACTCCATAACGATGTACATGGCAGACTTTAAAAAAAAAATTATGAGACAACATGTGAGATAACTTTAAAAAAGTCCATGTTAGAAAGTTATTCTAGATACAATATTTGTGCATTACAGCTCGTTATGACCTACCATCAACATGAATATGCCACAGTCTGAGCCGAAGTCCTGGCTGGGGAAGCCCTGATTTAACAAAAGCAAACGTTAATCATCTTGTCACATACACTTTGTAGGAGCCAGATTGGGGTTTTGCAGTTTATTGTTATGTATTTTTTGTGCCAGCAGATGGTGCTATTGTGCCCGTCTATTTAATGGGTGGGTTGATTAGGAGAGGTGCGCACATAAAATGATGAATGAGTAAATAAATCAAAACAACAGAAAATGTGTGTGACATGTGACATTATTCCACCTGCGGGCACGCATCAACTCAAGCAAAAAGGTGTTCGCCACAAGTAACAGCATTGGAAAGCTGTTATACACTTTTCAACTGTAATATAGAGCATGCACAAATACCTCCAAATCTCTGCCCGTTTTCTCAGTCCATTGCCCAGGACATATCTTCTGCGCAATGTTCCTGTTAATTTGAGAGCGTCACTTAGATTTCCCATGATGGAAACAATGGAATGCAGGGTTAGGGTTAGTTTGAGTGGTCGGAGGTGAGATTGAATGAATGCGGACGGCTTGCTTCTTTTCAAACTTCCTGAGAGTTCTTCTTCTTCTGTAAATTTTGCCGTCAGAAAGTGTAGGTACATACCGCCACCTACTGTTCTGGCATCGCAAAGCAGAAGTTCAAAGTTCATGTTTTGGGTCCGCCAATCGGAGGTAATGCGGAAACTTATTGCGTTTTGTAAATGTGGTTTTCTATCTTTGGGTCCGCCATCTTGCGCTGCATCTGGTCACCTCTCGATTTTGACGGTTATATTAAATTTTGCCCGTTTGAGCGGAAGCTCTGTGATTGGCTTGACTCGTTACGTGAACCTGCCTGACCCGCTTCGTGTCAGTGCTACTGTTTCTGTTTCATCGCTGACATTTTGTGAACTTTTTGGAAGCTGAAACCGCGGGCTGAGGTGTGGAAATTGTCCTCAAGCTTTACGGATTTGGTCGCATTTTAGATAGTTTCTCGTTTAATTTCAAAGAACCCTGGTGAAATGTCATTAATGAAGAGAGAAAAACGTAAGTATGATAAATAGCTAGCTTAAAACTAGCCTGGCTGGGCCATCCTGTTGCGTGAATCACTTGCCGCTGCTGTGGGAAGGAACGGCGTGATTCACGCAACAGGATGGCCCAGCCAGGCTAGCTTAAAACGGCTTCTGTGGTTGAATTGACGCACTGTAGGCAATTTAACATTTAACTATAACACTTATTGATTTTAAAGATAATATATTCAATTATTATCTCTATTTAGGCTCAAAAAAACTTTTTTGATGGGAAATTGGCCTAAATGTATCTATTAGCTACTCCCATTTTGACAGAAATTCTGAGGGACTTCTTTGTAGTATGTTTTTATGTCTCTGACATGTTTGTGAATCATCTCATCGGGGCATCAGCAAGAGCAGCAGTGACAGGCAGCAGGAGGCAGGTGGCATTGCAGGCTTTGAGGTGAGGTCTCTGAAGTTGTGACTGTAGGTTAGATCTTTTGAGATACAATGAGGGAAGTCAGATCAGTTTGAGATGCTTGATAAAGATTATTTTTTTGATAACCAGAGGAATAGATGAAGTGAAAAATTAATGGATTTTTTTTTCTTAAAATAAACTATAGTATCTCACATAAGTGAGTACACCCCTTACTTTTCTGCGAATATTTAATTATATCTTTTTATGGGATAACACTAAAGAAATGACACTTTGACTCAATGTTAAGTAGTCAGTGTACAGCTTGTGTAACAGTGTAAATTTACTGTTCCCTCAAAACAACTCAACACACATTCATTAATGTGTACAACCCGGCAACACTAAGTGAAAATGTCCAAATCGGGCCCAAAGTGTCATTATTTTGTCGTGTCCACCATCATTTTCCAGCACTGCTTTAACTGTATTGGACATGGAGTTCACCAGAGTTTAACAGGTTGCCACTAGATTCCTCTTTCACTCCTCCATGATGACATCACAGAGCTGAGTGGATGTTAGAGGCCTTATGCTCCTTCACCTCCTCCAGGATGCCCCACAGATCCTTGATAGGGTTTCGGTCTGGAGACATGCTTGGCCAGTCCATCACCTTTACCCTCAGCGTCTTTAGCAAGGCAGTGGTCGTCTCGGAGGTGTGTTTGGGGTCCTTATCATGTTGGAATACTGCCCTGCAGCCCAGTTCCCGAAGGGGCGGGGGGTCATGTTCTGCTTAAGTATGTCAGTACATGTTGGCATTCGTGATTCCCTCAATGAACTGCAGCCCCCCAGTGCTGGCAGCACTCATGCAGCCCCAGACTGTGACACTCCCACCACCATGCCTGACTGTAAGCAGACTGTAGGCCACCACATACGCTGTACACCATCTGAAAAAAAAAAAAGTTGAGCTTGGTGTCATCAGACCACAGGACATGGTTTCAGTAATCCATGTCCTTAGTCTGCTTGTCTTTAGAAAACTGTTTGCAGGCTTTCTTGTAAATCATCTTTAGAGGAGGCTTCCTCTTGCAATGACAGCCATGCAGACCAGTTTGATGCAGTGTGTGCTGTATGGTCTGAGCACTGACAGGTTAACCCCCCACCCCTTCAACCTCTGCAGCAATGCTGGCAGCACTCAAACGTCTATTTTCCAAAGACAACCTCTGGATATAACTTGCTAGTTGAATTGAAGACTCTTGTAAGCCAGTATAACCTCTGTGACCACAGCTAGATCTTGTACTACAAATTGACAGACATAGGTTGACATTCAAAAAATGAAATAAGTTTTTCTGGAGGAAAATACCGTCCCCTAACCCAAAAGCAGGACAAAGGAAAGCTTCATAAAAAAGTGAGTCAGTAAAAAGTTTAACTTCTGTCACGTTCTTACAAATAATCCAGTTTGTAATTGTTGTAATGGAAAAATGCTGTCAGTGTGGTGAAATACTCGAGAGGAACCCTCTCAGCTGATCTAGTCCCCTGATAACTCATTAGGACACATTTAATATTCAAACCCTCAGTCAGTAATGTTTTCAGTAAACACTCATATGATACATGTCTCTTGAGGTTTGTTCGTGAGGAATCCTCATTGAGGGGCAAGACGTGATTATTTGTTGGGTTTACGTTACAGTTATACAAAAAGTTTAGAGTAAAAAGAGAAAACATTCATCTTTATCTTCAACAGTTGGCTTGAGTCCTCATTTTTGAGCCCTGAAATTAGTTTGAAGTTACAAGAAGTTTACATTTTACCTTTTATGTAAGCAAAGTTTTCAAGCTGCCTGTGAGCTGATTTAACTTTAAAAGAGTACAATAAACAAACACTGTTACCAAAAGGAAAATGATGTAGTTTGCTTTTTACAGACTATAAATCTTTTATCTTAGGACTTATTTTTAAATTTAGCATCAGTGTTTCTGTTCATCTGCAATTATGGGTGTGAAATTTAAAGGAGGCATCATGTCAGGCAGATCGGAGCGGCGTCAGCAGTGATGTGGATGCTTAACCGAGCTGTCGTGGTGAAGAAAGAGCTGGGCCGTAAGACGAGACTCTCGATTTACCGGTCAATCTACGTGCCGATCCTCACCTATGGCCATGAACTTTGGGTAATGACCGAAAGAACAAGATCACGGATACAAGCGGCTGGAATGGATTTCATTCACAGAGTGGCCGGGCTCAACCTTAGAGATAGGGTAAAGAGCTCGGACACTCAGGAGGCACTCAGAGTAGAACCGCTGCTCCTCCACGTCGAGAGGAGTCAACTGAGGTGGCTCAGGCATCTGCTTATGATGCTTTCTGGACGCCTCCCATTAGAGGTGTTCCGGACATGTCCCACCGGGAGGAGACCTCGTGGCCGGCACAGGACCAGGTGGAGGGATTATATCTCTCACCTGGCCTGGGAGCGCCTGGAAATCCCCCTCAGAGGGGCTGGTGGAAGTGGCCGGGGTGAGGGCCGTCTGGGCTTCCCTCAAAGCTGCTGCCCCCGTGACCCGGACCCGGATAAAGCGGAAGAAAACGAGGACGGCGTCATGTCAGGCCTTTTTGTGAGACTCGGAGTCCATCGTGGCCATTTTTTCAGAGGGGTTCTTACCGGCGCAGAGGGGTTGCTAAGTTGCTAAGATCCTCTCAATCTTCTCGTTCCATTGTGCTTCTGCTTTCTTTGGTGTTGACCGTCTAGAGTTTTAAAGTGAACTGTATGCTTCATATAGAACTGAGGAATATATGGTTTGACCATCGCATTGTGGTGTGCACATGTGCAATCAGGCAGGTCACGGAGTCAAGCTAAAGGCTACAGTCAGCTGATCTTAAACCAGCCCTCAGTCAGCTGACAGCTCAGGTGATGGCCCTCTTCACATCCTATTGGCTAATGTCAAAATGGCGCCCTATTTAAACTGCTTCTCCTGTCTACTCTGCAACCCACCTCCACCCCAGCTCCTCCTGTTTATGTTGTGTCTGATCTCACCAGTGTCATATGTATTGTCACTGATGCTTGCTCTGTTCTGTGCGGGGATTTTTATTTATTTATTTATCTTAATCGTATTTATTTGCTGCTGTTTCTCTGCCTTGGCTTTTCATGTACACACATGAAAGGGAGGGGAGGAGCTCTCCCCTCTTATAGCCATGGCATTTCGTGCAAGCGCATGGAACCCTCAGAACAGAGCCATACCGCCCATGTAAAAATGTTTGCTTGGAATAAGTAATGAATTCTGACTGAAGTGATCCTGACTGAACCTTGTCTAAGGGAGTGGGAAATACGTGTTTGTTTTTTGTTCTTTTTTCATTATTTATTCTTGAGTGACAGTCATTACAGATGTGAGAGCAGCCTTAGGGGCTACTGGACACCAACCATCTCTTATAGGGAAAGCTGGTTCATTAACCTGTCCTAAAATCCGTAAACCAGCAACATCTTTAAGTTACCAAAGTCTACAAACTAACTTAAACAGCAACAATCGTAAAAGTTGGGACATTTACCTCATTTGTGTTCAAACATGTTTTAACATTGAAGCTCTGGGAAGGAGAGCTCAATGAGGACGAAGATGAAAGATAAATATTCCTGTAGAAGACTGGTGCACCTTGTCTAACTTTACCTGCAATGGAATCCTCCTGATTGTCAAAGAAGTTGTTGAAACACAATAGTTTTGAAACTTGTCCCCTTGACTGGCAGATGCAATTTGCTAAAGTTCGTGTGTAAATGTGTATGTCAGTGTTGTTTTACCTCCTGAAACTACAGCACTGGGAGGGTAAAACCCCCTCATCTGACCTGGTCTCGTGACACTTCATTAATAATCCAAACCTTTTCTCATTTCTGTTTGTGGTAAACATTTGGATGAGTAATGATTTGTGTTGGTTTGAAGCTGAATCTTATGGGAGAGAGATGTTGCAAACTTTTGTGGTTTCAAACAGGACTAGAAAGAAGTGTTTTGTTTCAAAGACAAAACTTAGAAACAAAACTTACTGGTTACAAACTGCACTGAACTATTTCAATCTGCTTTTTGAGAAGACTATCATAAATAACATTTAAAAACATTCGTCTGATGAAAAAGAAAGATGTTTAACTATTGTCCATGCGCATGTATTTTTACCATTACTTACTGAGCCAGTAAAAAAAATGCAAATGACCGGTTCAGTCTGCACAGGTTTTATTGTCCAGTGTTGTCCCCTCTGTGCTGCACTCGTCCTCTCCAGTAGTAGGAGCCTACTGATCACTACTACCTGTCAAACCTTTCCAACCTAACACTGCTGTCGATAGCCAACATCTATTTCTTTAGATTACTACATTAAACATATATTAAATTAAATTCTCTTGATGTCTTTTGTAACTGCACCAAGAACCACCTGGAAGGCAAAGTCAAATCCAATATATGATGGATTTGTGCACAAAGATTTCTCCAACTTATCTGCAGCCATCAGTAAGTTTAGTAAAAGTTTAATCAGATTACATCATCTCATCATTACTAAGCAGTTTCACATGTTGATGTGTTGGTGTGACGTGAACATCACAGAGGGCAAAGCTGATAAAAAGTGTGTGAGAGCAGATGAACCCTGCAGACGGGCTCTGCTCACAAGCAAACATGTTCAGCCTTTAACCTGTTGTTCTTCTGCACATGAGGGTAATGTTTGTGGATGCTTCTAGTGTTTGGTTGGGAGATGTTTTTATTTTGGAAATGGGGAAATTATTGATGTTTACAGGTTGATATTGTGTCTTTAACTTTCACTAAGATGTTGAATGACTCTGACCTTGAGACAAACAAGGTGCCGTGGCTGGAGAGAGTGATCATTGCTTCTGTGATAACATTTATATGCTGCATGTTATTGTTGGTGAATGTCCTCATGATGTTTACTCTGAAGAGTAAAACTGTGTTTCGTGAGACATCTCGTTACATCCTCCTATATAACCTCCTTTCTGCAGACACACTAGAGATGGTTATGAGTCAGATTCTTTACATGCTGTCCATTTGTAGGGTAATGTTATCGTATCCTGTGTGTGGTGCTTTATTCATGTTTGCAAATCTCATTTCTGAAGTCCCTCCTCTTACTCTGGTGGTCATGTCTTTGGAGAGGTATGTGGCTGTATGTTTCCCTCTAAGGCACTCCACCATGGTTAACATCAGAAAAACAGGATTGGCCATCTTGGTGCTGTGGTCACTATGTTTATTGAACACTTTAATCAGAGTTGTTTTGCTCTTACAGCTTCCATTTGAAGAGCTGCAGAGTTTGCAGATGAAGACCCATTGTAACATACTTCTTCTGTCCCTGGTGCCAGAGTCACATATATATGATACTGTGTATAACACTGTATTGTTTGTCTTTGCTGGTGTTGCTGTTATTTTCTCTTATATCAGTGTGATGATAGCAGCCAGGTCGGCCTCTGCAGACAAAGCCTCGACACAAAAGGCTCGTGACACTCTGCTGCTGCATTTAATCCAGCTGTGCCTCATTCTCTTATCAACAGTGCACAGCACCTTAATTGTCAACATATCCCAGGTCGTCTCCAGACTTGTTTTTATCCGAATCATGAATGTTTTTTACATCTTTATTACCATACTCCCAAAGTGTCTGAGCGCTCTGATTTATGTTCTCAGAGACCACACCATCAGACCTGTCTTTTTTAAGTATTTATTCTGTCAGTTTGGAGTCTCCTCTCTAAAAGATTAAGGCCCTCAGATTCAGATCAAATTTTTATTTTGTTCTGTATTTATTCCCCCCAAAATGGATTGACTGTTAAATGTAAGACTTTATAATCTTCATAATAAAAATGTTATCTGTGTGATTCAGTGTCCATGTGGTAAGATATTTGTAGGTGAAACATCCACTTCTGTCTAACAGGTAGTCACTTTTAAAAGGAGCTCTATCAGGAGAGATGACCCAACCGGTTCTGTTTCAATACATTTCAAAGAAAAACAACATCCAATTTCTACTTTATTTTCTATAGTAAAGATCTGTGGACACAAGTGTAGTATCTGGTAAAACAAGAAGTCTTTTTACTTTTAAAAGCTAGAGTTTAAAGAGGTGGACTTGTGCTTTTCATATTTTAAAAACAAGTGTTTGATTAAAATAGTGGAGGTCAGTACAATACATGAGCAAAGTTTCAGAACCTAAGGTTAATGTTTGTTGAAGTGAATTCCAGATTTGACTACAGGGGGCACTGAATGGTTTGATCAAAAAAAGTCAATTTTTCACTCTGTATTTTTAATACACAAAAGCACATAATCCAAATAATTTTCATATTAACGTTTTTTTGTTTTTGTCTCGTACTCTTTTTTATTATGTTTTGGAAATCATAAAGAATATTATGCATACAATTACAAGTATGTACTATGTTGTCTGAATTACAGATCATTGCCTGAAAAAGCAATGTTGTATTTTACCTTGACTTACTGCAGAGCCATTTATATACAGTTTAACCAGGGATGCTGGCTTTGCACTGAGAGCTGAGAACTGGTCAGGTGGTCCCTCTACTGGTTAGATAAGAGGATGCAGCATCCATGCATACCTGCAAAGATTCCAGTTATTAAATTCCAGAGATTTTTGCAGCGCACACCGGGCAGCTTTGGGGTTACCTTATATGGTGGATATGAGCTAATTATGAGATTACTCATCCAAATAAGTAGAAGTGAAGCTCTTTTTTGTTTTAACAATAACAAATGGTAATAAAAAGAATAATAGTTACAATATGCCTTGAACTTATCTAGTCCACTAATATTAGTGTTGAAGTCCTCATATGTTTTAGCCTACATGCTCTCCCGTATGAGGCTCTCTGAACATCTGTGCGTGCAATACAGCACTCTTATCTGAGGCTGCCCTGAACGCATCACTCCGAGACGATGCAAGACTATCAACGTAAATATTTTGTCTCAGGTTTGTTTCCCTTTCATTGAAGTGTATATTTTGCAACAAACACTGCTTAAATGTAGTTTACATCTTAAACCGACCTGAATCATCCCAAACTGCTCAGTAAAAGTATCAATCCAGTGTCTGTGAGGCTCAGCAGAAACACAGGACAATCTTCGGTTGTCAAGAAACCTGGCTACTTTGGACAAATATAGTGATCCGATTCATGAATGAATGTGGACCATCAAACTACGGGAGATTTACGGAAGAAATGACAGTAGAGGTGGGCAGGAGATAGGGCTGAAATACGGGAGAGTCCCGGGAAAAACGGGAGTGTTGGCAGGTATGCATCCATGATTTCCAAAAAGGATGTCGGATTTTGACAATGACTTCTCTATAGAGAGGAATGCAGCAACCAAACAGAATGCCAAGTATTAAATTGACATTGATTTGTCAGAAGTGTATCTCTTTTAACCACATTTATGATGAACTGTGTCCACAGTCAATGGTTTTTGGAGATGATTTTTGAGCCCATGCAGTGACTTCCACTCCAGAGCCCTGTCTCTTTTTAATGTAGTGCTGCCTGAGGCCCTGAAGGTCAGGACCACCCAGTGTTGGTTTTGGTCCTTAGTCCCTTTGTACAAGGATTTCTCCAACTTATCTGCAGCCATCAGTAAGTTTAGTAAAAGTTTAATCAGATTACATCATCTCATCATTACTAAGCAGTTTCACATGCTGATGTGTTGGTGTGACGTGAACATCACAGAGGGCAAAGCTGATAAAAAGTGTGTGAGAGCAGATGAACCCTGCAGACCAGCTCTGCTCACAAGCAAACATGTTCAGCCTTTAACCTGTTGTTCTCCTGCACATGAGGGTAATGTTTGTGGATGCTTTCAATGTTTGGTTGGGAGATGTTTGCATTTTGGAAATGGTGAAATTATTGATGTTTAAAGGTTGATATTGTGTCTTTAACTTTCTCTAAGATGTTGAATGACTCTGACCTTGAGACAAACAAGGTGCCGTGGCTGGAGAGAGTGATCATTGCTTCTGTGATAACATTTCTATGCTGCATGTTATTGTTGGTGAATATCCTCATGCTGTTTACTCTGAAGAGTAAAACTGTGTTTCGTGAGACATCTCGTTACATCCTCCTATATAACCTCCTCTCTGCAGACACACTGCAGATGACAGTGAGTCAGATTCTCTTCATGCTGTCCATTTGTAGGGTAACGTTGTTGTATCCTGTGTGTGGTGTTTTAGTCATGTTTGCTTATCTCATTTCTGAAGTCCCTCCTCTTACTCTGGTGGTCATGTCTTTGGAGAGGTATGTGGCTGTATGTTTCCCTCTAAGGCACTCCACCATGGTTAATGTTGAAAATACAGGATTGGCCATCTTGGTGCTGTGGTCACTATGTTTATTGAACACTTTAATCAGAGTTGTTTTGCTCTTACAGCTTCCATTTGAAGAGCTGGAGAGTTTGCAGATGAAGACCCTTTGTAACATACTTCTTCTGTTCCTGGTGCCAGAGTCACATATATATGATACTGTGTATAACACTGTATTGTTTGTCTTTGCTGGTGTTGCTGTTATTTTCTCTTATATCAGTGTGATGATAGCAGCCAGGTCGGCCTCTGCAGACAAAGCCTCGACACAAAAGGCTCGTGACACTCTGCTGCTGCATTTAATCCAGCTGTGCCTCATTCTCATATCAACAGTGCACAGCACCTTAATTGTCAACATATCCCAGATCGTCTCCAGACTTGTTTTTATCCGAATCATGAATGTTTTTTACATCTTTATCATCATACTCCCAAAGTGTCTGAGCGCTCTGATTTATGCTCTCAGAGACCACACCATCAGACCCGTCTTTTTTAAGTATTTATTCTGTCAGTTTAAAGTCTCCTCTCTAAAAGATTAAGGCCCTCAGATTTCAGATCAGATTGTTTATTTTGTTCTGTATTTATTCCCCCAGAAATGGATTGACTGTTAAATGTAAGACTTTATAATCTTCATAATAAAAATGTTATCTGTGTGATTCAGTGTCCATGTGGTAAGATATTTGTAGATGAAACATCCACTTCTGTGAAACAGGGAGTCACTGAAAAAGGCGCTCTTTCAGGAGAGATAACCCAACCAGTTCTGTTTCAACACATTTCAAAGAAAAACAACATCCAATTTCTACTTTATTTTCTATAGTAAAGATCTGTGGACACAAGTGTAGTATCTGGTAAAACAGGGAGTCTGGTTACTTTTAAAAGCTAGAGTTTAAAGAGGTGGACTTGTGCTTTTCATATTTTAAAAACAAGTGTTAAATTAAAATAATGGAGGTCAATACATTATGATTAAAGTCTCAGAGGTTAATATTTGTTAAAGTGAATTCCAGATTTGACTACAGGGGGCTCTGAATGGTTTGCTCCAGAAGTTAATTTTTCACTCTGTACTTTTTTGTTTCTCACATTGACATATTTATTCAAATTTTTGTTTGTCTTGTACTCTTATGTATTATACTTTGGGAATTATGAGGAATATTTACTATGCATACAGTCATCAGCATTTTCAATGTTGTCTGTATTTCAGATCACGATCTGGAAAAAGCAAAATGTACAATTTAACTACAACAGGAATTTAAACCGCTCAGTATTATTCGTAGTTATTTTTTCAGTATGGATGCAAAAAACATTCAATAATGATATTAAGAGAGTAAACAAGTACGACAAAACCGTCAAAGATACACAGCGCCAGTCATTTCACAAAAAAGAAACAAAAGAGAATGCAGGGCTCTCAAGTCTCACGCATTCAGCGTGTGATACACGCATTCCCACCCGTTCACACGCTCACACGCCACACATTGTATTTCTCACGCATAGGAACATGGTGATGTCCACCAAGTTGCACCTCTTTAACTATGGAACAGGTAGGAATCAACTGAGTTCCTCCGAGAGTTCAGAAGCTGCGTGCCACGCCAAGCCAATCAAATAAAGTATATCTACTGAACAGCCAATAAAAAAGCAGCATTGCTGTATCCGGGTAGATTTTGATATCTTACGGTTTGACTACAGAAGAAGACAGACACTCGCCGAAATAGAGCAGGTTTTTATAAGGACGAGATAGACCCGATGATTACAGTAAGTCAGTAACCTACACATGCAGAGACCTCAACACCTCATGGCATACAAACTCATATGATAAACTAAAGCCCTATGCTTTTGCTATTAACAGCTGTATTGAAGGATTTAGCCTCTGTACAGCCATTTCCGGCCATTTTCCCCTCCACAAAAGCAGCATTTCTCATATATCTCAAATATAAGTTCTGATACTCATGACAGTGTTATGCTCATGTACCAAAGGATTAAGTATCTCCATGTTTGTGAAACCTATACTAAAGTAAAATTCATCTAAATGCTCCACAGTGCTGATTTTAACAACTCTCCTTCACAGCAGGTAACTTTACGACTTAATACTTATATATTAATGACTTTATTCTCCCAAATAATAACTTTATTCTTTAAGATTTAAAAACGTTTTTTTTTCTAATTGTGCCCCTTATACTCCGTTGTATTTAAGAGATAATTATACTAATAATTATCTTCAATCACCCCCCCAAGGAAATCTCACTCTAAGCTTAGTTCAAAACTTGAGAGCCCTGAGAATGTTTAGTGACCACAGTTAACAGAGATAAATTTAGACAAATAGAGAATATCTTTAAGGTTTTATCAGCTTTGTCTTATATGAGTTAGATGAAGTGTGGAGCCAAACAAAACCCTTTTTCGGCAAAGCTCAAAATCAATATTTACCAAAATTAGCGCTCTGCTTCCTGATGTCGTCATTACGTATTACGTATGAATGTACGTCGGGACGCTTGTCGGTCGGCAGTTTCCCTCCTCGCTGGCAAAGCTATCCGGCTACTCCGATGTTTGTTTAAACTGTCGTCATCGTGGACTCGGTAGCTGTAACACATTGAAGAGAGGCTGATATAGAAACCCAGTGACAACCAAAAGCTGTGTTCCAGGTAACTCTTTGTGAAATTAACCGCCATTTTCAGTCTTTCTCGCGTTTGTTTTGCTAACGTTGACATAGCAATGTTGAGTGGGTTAGCGGGAGAGCTAGCTTGCTAATATTAGCTTGAAGAGCGTAGCTTCAAACTGCTCTCGGTGGCTTTAAAACACGATAAATCAAACATTCGTACGACTTTATGTTGATTTAGCACCTTTCTCTATCGTCAATGAACAGTTCGGTTGTTGTCAGGTTAGTCTTCGCGCTGAAGTGACAAAGCTAATCTGTTAGCCTCGACAGACATGACGTTACGGCTAAGTCAGGGTTAGTCGATGTTCCGTGTGTTCATCTGTGGTTTGTAACTGGTTCTATCTGGTTGCGACCCGTTAACAAGCTGGTTGTTTTCCATCATTTCGAATGTTGTTACATCAGCGGGGGCCTAATGAGATAAAATTATGAGAGTAAACTGTGTTTGGATGAGCGGGTCAGCCTCGTTGGCTGCACGTGGAGGAGTGAGAGACAGTTAGTATTGTCTTCTTCAGGTGAGATATCTACAGGTGTTTTTTATTTGATCATCAGAGTTCATACCAGAGCTGCCAAATTTTCTCCATGTTCAGATATGAAAGTGAACCATCAACCTCCAGGCTGACAGCTCCACTAACAGTCTGTAATGGTCATTTCAAACACCTGACACAATACAAGAGGGATTTCCTCTTCCTGCAAAGTCTTGACTGAAACTGTTAATTTGTCATCATGATTGTGATTACAATTATTTTGTTTGATGATGATATTACGATCACTTAGATTGAGTTGACATCTGCATCATGAATTTAAGCAACTAAAACTATAAGAAATACAGAGAAAAAAGTAAACTCAAGCCTACCTTTTTGTGTAGAAAAGCATGAATGTCTAACTGATGCTGTAAATATTTTAATAGGTTGTACAAACTACTACTGATAGGAACTATGCATTACTTCTTTGCTTCGCTGTAAGAGCTTTGGGTTAATTTGTTGAAAATATATTAAATCGAAAGCAGGTTTTCATTTGCAGTAAAGAACTTTGACATGATTATTTATTGTTTACATTGTATCACAGGCTGCAGATCAAACTAATCATTCAATCTGTTTAAGCTTTTATAACATCCTTTTATAATATTTTCATCCTGGCGAAATAAACAGGACACGTTGCTGTAGAAATGCAGATTTTCAAATAGATGTATTTGTTTGTTTTCAGCAGACTTATGCTGTCCTGCTAGCAGGGCAACATGTTCAACAAGTCATTTGGTACTCCCTTCGGTGGAGGGACAGGGGGCTTTGGGACCTCCTCAACCTTCGGACAGCAAAGTAAGTCTTTTTATTTATTCATTAATGTATTATAACTGTGCAGTGTCAACCTCATGCAGCACCAATTAGACATGGCTATGAAAAATGAGCTGAATAACAACAAACTGACTTTTAGGACTATTCAACAAAAACTATATATACTTTTTTGAATCTCCATAAGACAGTGAACCAAAGTGAAAATCTTTAACAACTCCCTGATATCTTGACAAGATATCACACAACATCTCAGTCAAAAAAAATCAAGAGTCTGGTAAATGTCAGTTTTCAGAAGTTTATTGTTTCCTGTGAGTGAAGTGTGTCTGTGGCCTTCTTCTTACATAAACTCTGTAACCTCAGACACAGGTTTTGGAACAACAGGAGGTTTTGGAACGTCTGCGTTTGGAACCACGAGCAACGCTGGAGGACTGTTTGGTGCCACACAGACTAAACCTGGTCAGTCAGCTTCTGTTTTACTGGATCTTGTGAAAAAAAAAGAGGTCAAATATTTTAAGTATTTTAGTTTTTCAGTGCTGTAAGCTGATTGAGAAAGATTTTAACTTATTGAGGGATTCTAGAGTTCAACTTTGATTCTGTTTCGGAACATAAGGTGTTTACAGTTTTAATATTGGGTAGAGGGGTTTAAAGTTTGTCCTTTTTTTTCCGCCAGGTGGTCTGTTTGGGACGAGCACATTCAGCCAGCCAGCGGCATCCTCCACCAGCACTGGCTTTGGTTTTGGCGCAGCGAGCGGGACATCCACCAATCTGTTCGGCAGTACGGCAACAGGCACAAGTGGCGGTCTCTTCTCTCAACAGAACAATGCTTTCGGTGCAAACAAACCCACCTCGTTTGGAAGTAAGACCCCCATAAAGCTCTTGAGTAAAGAAAAAAGATTATAAATAACAGACATACAAACAAAAAACTGACACTAGCAAGAGAACCAAATGTTTTTGATACAGATACTTGTGAACTTATGGAAATGGTTAGCTCTCAGTTGTTTTGCGGCCTCATTACATCCTTACCCTCTTCAAGGTTTCGGGACGAGCACCAGCAGCGGCGGTCTGTTCGGCTCCACCAACACCACAGCCAACCCTTTTGGTGGAACCACCTCTCTGTTCGGAGGCTCAGGCTTCTCTGCCACTCAGCAGCCGGGAACCACAGTCAAATTTAATGTGAGTATACCCGCAGTAAGAGTAGATGCACAACTTGCTCTCTTTGGGTTTTAGCTTCAGTTGAGTAAAGGTTTATTCAGGACAGCGAGCATTGTTTACTTGTTTGATACTGCACTGTGAGTGGCGACTTTGATGCTTGTGATTTTAAAGTGTCTGTACTTGGGGCTTGACATTAACGCCACTTGTCAAATGTGGATGAATCTCTGCTTATGCATGTCACAGTCACTTGCCATACATATGCTGCAGCTTTCTGAAAAGGAATCTCACTTTTTGTCCCCCTGCAGCCTCCAACAGGAAGTGACACAATGGTGAAAGCAGGCGTGACCACAAACATCAACACCAAGCACCAGTGCATCACCGCCATGAAGGAGTACGAGAACAAATCCCTGGAGGTGAGAAGGATGTGTCATTGGCTGCTTTTACAGACTGATTCTGGCAGAGAAAAAAAACAGGCTTCCAAGAAATGAACGAGCAGATTTTTAGAACCTGCTGCTAAAAACCTAAAAGTTAGATCTGCGAGAGTCATGATCTTGTATCTTTGTAGTAGTTTTTAAATCCTTCTCTCGTCCTGTCTCTTCCTGCAGGAGTTGAGGCTTGAGGACTACCAGGCTGGCAGGAAGGGTCCGGCCAACCCGATGGCAGCAGGGACGGGTAGCCTGTTTGGATCAACCACAGCTACATCCAGCGCCGCCACCGGCCTGTTCGGCTCCACTGCCCCCAACACCAGCTTCTCCTTCGGACAGAACAAGAGCACCTTTGGAGCCAGTAAGTTGATGTTTAAAGATGATAATCTGATATTTTCTAATTCAGGTGTTACTCGAAACCTTGCCAGTTTCACTGAACTTAGAATTTATCTTAAACATGCGCCAGATGATAAAACATTATGCTCTGTTTTTGTTTCTTCTCTGCAGCTGGGGGTTTCGGCACTACAGCAGGCGGTCTGTTCAGTCAGCCAGCACAGCAGCCGGCCAGCAGCCTCTTCAAACCATTCGGTCAAACTACCACCACGCAGAGCACCGGCTTCTCCTTTGGCAACACCAACACAATGGGACAGGCCAACACCAGTACCATGGTGCGAGTCACTGCAAGTCCAACATAAAATATTTCAAACTGCACTCACAAACGTTAAAAACCCAAGACTCAGGAGAGTGTTTGTAACTGTTGTTAAAACCACTCCTCAGTCAGGATGTTGTATTGTCTCAGTGACACTCCTCTGCTCCCCTTCAGGGTCTGTTTGGGAGCACAGCAGCGTCTCAGCCGGGTGGGTTATTTGGTGCCACTCAGACAAGCACCGCCACTGGGTTTGGGACGGGAACCGGGCTGTTCGGCAACACCACCGCAGGATTTGGAAACGTTGGCACTCAGGTACAAACAGCATTTGAGTGATTTTAGTGAGAAACAGATGTCCTCCTTAATATCTAGTGAAAGATTTAACCTAATAATCCATTTTCTCAGCCTGTTATTGTAATGAAAGATTTTTTTCCAATGTAAAGAATTAATTTTCCAATTTTTTTGTTGGTGTGTATTTTGTCCCTCACCAGCCGAGTCTGTTTGGTAATAAAACAGCTGGGTTTGGTACCACCACCACCAGTGCTCCATCATTTGGCACTGGCACCGGGCTGTTTGGCAACAAGCCAACGCTCACTCTTGGGGCTGGAAACAACACGTCCACCTTTGGTAAGTCTCAGCCTGATTGTTAGTTTGCTTGTTTGAGGGCTTTAGGGGATAAGGGTGACAGCACAGACTCTTCAGGCTGCAGTAAGATTTAACTTTAGTCTTTAATTTGGGATTTGATGCTTGGCAGGTTTTGGCGGAAACCCTGCTGCTGGGAGTCTGTTTGGAAACAAGCCGGCCACTGGAGGACTGGGAACAGGACTGGGAACCAGTTTTGGGACAGGTACTAGAAAAACCATGGAGACAGGATTTTACTATGAACAAAAGCAGTAAACTGTCCTCTTAGATTTACTGATACTGATCTGTGTTTGTTCAGCAGTCGGCACAGGTCAGACTTCTCTGTTTGGGAATAACCAGAACAAACTGGGTACCACACTGGGAACGATGGGAACATTTGGAACGACTGGATTCAACAGCGGGACGAGCACACTTGGATTTGGAGCCCCACAGCAGCCTGTCGGTGAGAAAACAAAGTCTTTCTTTTAAACAAAGTTTGTGTGTGAACATCCTTAAACGCTTGTCAAAAAGAGACTTCAGAGTGTTTTTATTCGTCCACTGTCAGGTTTAAACCATGAGCAGAACTTTTGCATCGCAGATTATCACTGCAGTTTGTTTCGCGTCCCAGGACAAGTTCGTTTTTGACCTTCTTTCCTCTTCAGCTCTGACAGATCCAAATGCAGCAGCAGCCCAGCAGGCCATACTCCAGCAGCAGCTCAGCGTCCTTGCGTACTCGCCATATGGAGACTCACCGCTGTTCAGAAACCAGCTCACAGATCCGAAGAAGAAAGAGGAGGTGAGAAAGATGAGCCGCTGGAAAACTGTCTTTGTAATGAAAGTGTTGAAGTATTTAACTCTGTATCCCATCATAACTTGTCTTTCGTTTTACCAGCGCCTGAAGCCGACCAATCCAACAGCCCAGAAGGCACTAACCACACCCACCCACTACAAGCTGACGCCACGCCCTGCCACCAGAGTTCGCCCCAAAGCTCTGACATCATCAGGCGCCTCAAAGACGCAGCTTTTTGATGGCCTGGATGATGATGAGCCCTCACTCACCAATGGGGCCTTCATACCCAGGTAACCATCGCTAGATTGGAAGATTTTGGAAACTATTGGAAATAGGTGAAGGTCATTAAGATCTAAATGTGTGTTTTTATTTTACAGGAAGAGCATCAAGAAACTGGTGCTGAAGAATCTGAACAGCAGCCAGTACAACAGTCCAATCAACAAAGAGACAGACGACCTCGCCTCACCTCCAGAGTATCCGCAGAACGGACACAGGTATGAACACACTAACAAAGGCTACGTTCACACTCTGGTTAAAGTGACCCAAATGTTGTTTTTTTTCAGTGGAGGGACAGTGATATCTGATCAGAGTTGATCACTGTTTAGATGCAAAGATTACAAAGAACAGTTGCATGTCATCTTATATTATCCTCCCACATCTCAAACTCTTTAAAAAGCCAAAATGTGAGAATAAAGTCTTGATACCGGAGTCTCCTCTGCTCTGTATTCCTGTTTAGTCACATGGAGGAGGACGAGGAGCAGAGGGAGGCACAGGGCCCAAGCAGCCAAGCCGAAGAAGACCCCGAGGTTACGCAGTTCTACATCAACCCCATCGCCAAGCCCATCCCTCAGGGTCGCATCCAGACCAGCCTGCAGGACACCATCAGCGACCTTAACATGCACAAAGTGTCCAGGAACGGACTTGAGGTTCGAAGATCTGATCTCAGACTTTAACATCTATTTGTTTTGTTCAATTCAACACCATCTTTATTGATCTGTAACACGTTAAAACAGAAGTTGTAAATTAACCTTCATGTTAATATTCTGCAGCTCAGCAGCGAGGATGTCTCTGCATCTCTTGGGGAGGAGTCTCTGCAGGAGGAGAGAGACGAGGAGCAGCAAGAGGTTCAGCAGTCTCCTCATCCTGCAGGTCAGAAATAAACTAAATTATTCTCACTCCTTTGTCTTCACATGTCAGACTTTTGTGCTGCATTTTATCTCCATGATTTAACCACTCCGGCTTTGATATCAAACCATCATAATTATAATTACATAATTCAAAACATTGGCCTGTTTACCATCACTCAATTCACAAGAAAAGTCTGTCTGCTTTCATGTAAACACAGCCTGTCACTGTTCATTCTTTCTGTGTTTTTCATTTTTAATCAGCACAGTTGTAGCTTCAGCAGAATAAACACTTCTCATGCCGTTCCTCTTTTTCAGGCATTGTCCTGAACCGTGTCGGGTACTACACCATCCCCTCCATGGAGGATCTGTCAGAGATGGTGGATGAAAACGGAGAGTGTGTGGTGGAGAACTTCACAGTTGGCAGAAAAGGTAAATTCGCTTTCAATGTCTTCTCTCATCAAACTTGATAATGTTTATACTCCTCTGAGGATCTCTATATGAGCAGCATTTCACCTTCAGATCCTGTCAGTTCAGACTCATGTAGATATTTAGAGGTTTCAGTCAACCTGCTGGAGGTTTCTACCTGTCTGAAATAGTTACCAGAATACAAGACTTTAATTTGAGAAAACATGCAAACAAAGTATGTAAACTTTTGGCATTTCACAGGTTATGGCTCCATCTTCTTCCCCGGTGAGGTAAACGTGACGGGACTAAACCTTGACGAGATTGTCCACTTCAGACGCAAAGAGGTCATTGTGTACCCTGATGACAAAAACAAGCCGCCAGAGGGGGAGGGGCTTAACAGGTGAGGCAAGATACAGTGAAAAACATCTGTCATTGTAAAAATCAGCCTCTTCTGATTTCTTGATTCTGTGTGTGGGTTTTAGGAGAGCGGAGGTGACTCTGGATGGGGTCTGGCCGAATGATAAGACGACCTGCACACAGATCAGGAGCCCCGAACGTCTGTCTGACATGAACTACGAAGGCCGGCTGGAGAAAGCTTCACGCAAACAGGGGGCGAAGTTCCTTGAGTATAGACCTGAGACTGGGTCCTGGGTGTTTGAGGTCAGTCTCTAAATAATCTAAAGGAATCTAACAATGAAAAACAATCTTCTCAGGTGTAACTGACCCCGCCTCCTTTCTCCCACTCAGGTGAGCCATTTCTCCAAGTATGGCCTCCAGGACTCAGACGAGGAGGAGGACGTCCCACTCAAAACTGACCCAAAGAAGCTGAAGACGATGTCACTCCCTCCCTCCAAGCTGCAGCTGCAACTCCCCCCCACCCAGCAGCAGGTGGCGCCGCAGGCTCAGGTAGAGCAGCCTGCACCCATCAACACCCATCTTCATGATCATCCTCATCCTCACTGACACAAAGATAATCAAAGGAGCAGTTCACTAAAATGTGCTGATTTCTGAATGTCGTCCCTCATTTGAGTTTTTTTTTTCTTCTATGACATCAACACTTATCATCAACTTTAAATATCTTTGACATTTATTATTTAACTTTTACTGTGAGAAATGTTAGACTTTTGTTGGCCCCTTAACATACTACAACTCTTTTTGTAAGAGTAGACATTTTACCTAATCAACATAATAATCCTGTTTTTGATGGGTTTAAGTCCTTTTAAAAGTTCTAAAGGCTGATTGTGATAAAATGATATTTGAGCTGTTGCCTGAACCTCCAAAAACGACTTCTTAATTTTCCTTTTAGCTTTTTGTTGGTTTTAAACTTTGATGTTATGAACTAAACACTTTTCTCCAAGTCCCTATAGGCTGGTCAGAAAATTATCAGTAGAGAAAGAGAATATGAAATAAAATTTGAAAGCATGAAAAATCTTTCAAATTTTATTTATTTATTTAAAATGAAAAATTCAAGTTTGACTCAGAATGGGCTTGCTAAAAAATCACCAGTTTGAGTCAAAGTTCTGTTTATCGTATGGTGTTTGATGGCCTTAAGGTCTGGAGCGTTTGTGGACTGTGTAAGCATTAGTTAAATTTGAGCTTTATGAAATCTGCTCTTTGGACATTTTTCTTTGATTAGACTTCATTTAAAATGTTTTATTTTTAGCAGAGTTTCTCATTTCTCTGCTGAATAAACAGATGACACACTGTGCAACGTATTCTTGCAAAAAAGGCAAAACATCTTTAGCTTGTGTTTAATTATCATCACGTGTGAAATACCTAACCTTTTTTTGGCAAATCTGATCCTTGCTTTAAGAAAACTGATCCAAACTTTTCATTTTATATTCAAGGCTGCCTGGTAAAGATTGTATATGCTGCTATATGCTATGTTAGTTTATTATAAGAAGTTTGTGTTTTTTCTTTTGAGCTATAATGGTTTTAGCTTGTTTTTTATCAAGTCTGACTTCTTCAACACTTTACACTCTGACTTATTTCAAGTTGTGCTGCAGAGACTGTATTTTATTCATTATTAAAAGGAAACTAATAAAGGAAATAAATGAATTTTCATTGTTGGTCTGATTAGCTTCTTTCTGGGATAATAAAAAAATTAAAGCTTTAAGTTTTTTCTGTGCCAGCTTGTGTTTTTTATTTTTACTTCTAGATCCAAATTGAAAATAAACTCAAAGCTTTTTAATTTTAGTTTTTAATGATACCTAATAAGACGGTGTAAAGCTCCACATGTAAAAGACGATGATAGTGGATCTAAATTAAACTTCTGTGTTTTTTTTACCACCAAACAGAAGAGTCCCTGATGATGTCTGACAGGCTGTTTTGGATCACTCTGACTTACTTGTCTCTCTCTTGTGTGTTCAGTCCACCGTTGTCCCGGATGTCCCCGGCAGTGTCCCTGAGTTGGACAGCGACATGGCTGACATCACTCAGAGCTTCCCGACAGAGAGCATGCTGGGAGGAGAGGAGGACAGCGAGCTGCTCTCGGGGGACATGGACACCACGAGTGGGAAGCTTGCAGGTTTTATCCTCACTGAGCACGAAGGTGTCTCTGCTTCTGGACACATTGCGTCCTCGCTGGGCATCAACCCGCACACCCTGCAGGTAGAGCCTTAGTTTTCATTCGCAGACGAGAAGAAAATTTTTAGTGCAGAACAACGCCTCAGTAAAATTCCCAACTTTGATTCTAGATCATGAAGGCATCTCTGTTTGCTGAAGACGAGGAGGAGGGCGACATGTTCCAGGATCACACAGCGATGAAGGTCTCCACTGATGTCTCATCTCCTCGCATCATTGTGCCGGGGACTCAGGGTCGACCCTCAGGTAGGAATCTCATCTTTACTTTTTAATTTGGCGCAATAGAAATATTTTAATCTCGAACTCTCAGTCAATCACTTCTCTCTCTCCTCAGTGGGCGGTCTCCTGCAGGCTCGTTTCACCTCAGGCCTTATCTCTCAGCTCTCAGACTCTCCCCGTGCTCCCCTCATTCCTCCCCCTCTCTCCCGGGCGTCTCCTGCTGCAGTCGAACCCTCCCGTTCGCTGCAGTGGGCAGGGCCTGGCCCCTCGTCCTTCTTGCTGCCCCCTCGGGCTCCAGAGCCAGCTATCAAGACAGTTGGCACTCGGCGTTTGGGCGGTCCTGTCCCCCTCAAAGAGTCGGTCACTCAGGGGAAGGTTTGTGTGGTTTTCTCATCATATCTGAACACAACGAATCGATGAAAGTCTGGAGTTTTTTAGGGATCGCTGTCACTTTGGGATTAACTGATGATGGCTGACTGTAAACAGAGATGTAGCTCGTACACAGAAGGGAAAAGCATCGTATGACCTTTGGTGTTTGATTATTTTCAGGGCCGGTTGTTGATGGATGCAGCGCTGTTTGCTGGTCGCTCCTTCAGGGTGGGCTGGGGTCCTGGCTGGACGCTGGCACACTGCGGCCATCAGCTCAGCTCAGCTTCAACCAAACAGCTTAAGCAGCTAGAAACGACCAAAACTGACTTCAGCTTCCTGCCAAAACCTGCCAGGAGTAAACCGTAAGACAGAAAGACGTCACAGTTTTTGATTTTGTTTCTCACAGTACAGAGGAAAACACAGCTCTCTGTCCTCCTTCAGGCTGACTGAAAGCCCTTACAAGGTGGTTCTGGAGCAGCTCGTGGGTCTGGAGCCACCTGCAGTAAAGAGCAGTGAGGATGAAAGTGAGGATGAGAGCCAGGCAGTGCTGCAGCGCCCCCTGGACATCTGTCTCAAGCACAGCACCGTCGACACTCCAGATGACGCTCCCTGCCCCCTGGTTCGACCACAGCCCGGTGTGGCTGCGCTGCATGAATACGCTGAATGGATCAGTGAGCTAAACGACAGGCGAGGAGACACAGACCGTAAGTGGGAGGAGCTTAAAAAGGCAGTATTGTGTGGTAGAAAAACAAACATATGTTAATGTTTTAAAAAGAGCATAAAACATCCTGATCTGTCCTTCGTTTTGTACTTCGGTAAACTTTCCAGGTCAAATATAAAGTACAAGACATGTGGCTTAATAGAATTGATTATCATTTCACGAGAAACACAACTTTGCAGCAAGATAGAAGAGGAGGAGGCTTCTGAAACACAGGTGTCCAGAATTCAGGGTTCAGCTGCCTCCAGAATTGCTCTGTTCTGAAATGTGCTGATGTTGCCGTATGTTGTGTTCTATAATGCTCTATTCCGGAATACTAAGTGACTGAATGCTTTGTTGTGCAGAGTTGGAATCTGTAAATCTGGGAATCAGAATTTGATTTGTAAGGAGGGTTTTTATTTTCACCTCAAAATCACGTGAAGCTGATAAAGCTATCAGAGAAACGAGATAAATCCTGACAATACGCATAATTCAAACCCTTTAAATGTCACAGAGGAGGGAGCTTTTACAGAGAGCTAAATGATAAAACTAGGAGGATGTTTGAATCTTATGAGAGGGCTGAGTTTTTCATCATGCATAAAGTTTTTCTTTTTTATCTCGTCATCCAAACTTCTGTAAACGGTCCTATTCTTACTAGAAGAACCATTTTCCTGAATAGTTATATTATTGGTGGAAACAAACACATTAGCCAAATAGAGTCTTTTGGTGTTCCAAACCCAGCTGGTTAAAAACCTCCAGTATGTCATTGGATATCAGAGCTTTAAGAGTCAGGGCAGAACAAAATTAAACAGGATCTGAAATTCAAAGTGCTGACGGGATAAGGAGCATCCTTCTGATAATGATAACAGCCGGGAAAAATAGGATGATGGTGTAAAACTCACAAATAAAACTTCTGAGAAAACTTGTTCTGTGATAAAAAGTTTTTACCATTTTTATCAAGTATAAATGTCTGAAGTTTTACATAATTTCTTACGTGTTTACTTTTGTTTTTATCATTGCCAGTATTATCTTTCATTGTCTTATTAATAATAAACTTATCTGAAAACAACCCCTCTCTCTATCTGCAGCTCTGTTGGAGCACTGGTCTGAGGTCTGGACCCTGTGTGAGGCCCTGTGGGGTCGACTTGGTCCTTCAGATCAGGATCTGGACGTGGAGTCACCCAGCGAGTATGAGCAGCAGCTGGAGAGGAGGCAGAGCTTCTCAGCCTGGCTCGCACGTGGCGCCTCCTGCAGAGTGGAGGAGGAGGTGGCACAGGCGGGGAAGGGTTGCCACACGGACGCCATCTTCAGCTACCTGACCGGCAACCGCATCAGTGAGGCGTGTCGACTCGCACAGAAGGAAGGTGAGCATTGATTATGAAGTCAGACACATTCAAAATCAGCCGTCTAAAAAGACAACGAATGAATAAGCATTTGATTTTAACTGACATTTCTATGAAGCTCCGATTTGCTGCAGAATCAGTCATGACCCAGACTTATAAAGGATTTCTTCTTCTTTTTCTAATCCTTCATTCTCTGTGTCTCCAGGTGATCATCGTCTGTCCTTGCTGCTGTCTCAGGCTGTGGGCTCCCAGTACTGCAGAGACCTACTTGCCTTGCAGCTTGCCGACTGGAACCATATGCAGACCGATTGCTACCTGCCCGAGGAACGACTCCGCATCTTTACACTGCTCGCCGGGAAACCTGTAAGTGTTTTCAGTGGATAAAGATGAGGCAGTTTCCCGTGAGAGGCTGTGAGGTGGGTGGGTGGCGTCCCCTGCAGTACAGAGGGCTCTGCGGGTGAGACGGGCACTGTAAATGTCCCACAGGGAGGGAAGAGAGTATTTCATTCAAGTGAAAGTTTGTTGACGGTGTTAATTTCTGTGTCTGTAATCTGAATCTGATGGTGTGTCGTCTCTCAGGTCTGGCAGTCGTCTGAGTCGGTGGTGAACGTTTGCTCTGAGCTGGACTGGAAGCGCAGCGTGGCCGTCCACCTCTGGTTCATGCTGCCACCAACGGCATCTGTGGCCGACGCCCTCGCCAAGTATGAAGTTGCCTTCCAGGTGAGCCGCAGTCACATGATATATACTCTTCTTTTCTACCCTGTGCATCTCAGAAAATTTCAAAACAGTTTTATACCACTTTTCTGCTTATTTCATGGACGTTATTGTATTTATAAGTTGCAGAGGTTTTTGCAGGCATACATATAATAATCATCATCATACTGTTTCTACCCTGCAGGGCTCCTGTGAGGGGGGGAAGTATGCTTGCGCCCCTCTGCCTCCGTACATGGAGGAGGATCAGCTGGACTTGGAGGATGAGTTGGAAGAGGAGTCTAAACGGCCGCTCTACGATCTCTGCTTCCACCTGCTTAAACTTTACAGCGACAGGTAAACCAGCAGCATCACACAAGGACAGTCTGGGGAATCAAACAGTCTGTCCCTGGGGATGTCGGTTAAGCCCTAAAGAGTTATTTCACCAAAAGTACAAGACAAATAAAAGGGAGAATCAAGTTTTTTTGAACATGAAATAAAACACAACAGCATTAGTGAAGGTGTTTGGCTTTCTAAATGGGTCGTTCTATGTCTTGGTGATTAGAGGAAGTGAAATAAACACTTCACATATCACAGATCAAAATCCACAGACATCTAAAAACTAAAACGTAACCTTCAATATTGAGACCAAGAGGAGTATCTCACACTCTCTGGACGGTCAGGGTGTGTTTATAACTATCATAAATATTTACATATCTCTGGCTAAGTTAACATGTCAAATCTTTGTAATGCTCCTTTAATCAGCTTTGTCTCTGTATTCTCCTGCAGACACTACAGCCTGCAGCAGCTTCTGGAGCCTCTTACCGTCACCTGGGAACGTCTGGACTACCGCCTGAGCTGGCACCTGTGGGGCGTCCTGCAGGCGCTGCACTACAGCCACCTGAGTGCCTCACGGCAGGGACTCCTACACACCAGCTATGCCGCACAGCTGGAGAGCGCCGGCCTGTGGCACATGGCCATCTTCATCCTGCTGCACATCCCCGACCACACGTAGGGAAAACTTGAGCGTCATCTTCTATATTTTACATTTTTTGTTGTATGAGGCATATTAAAGTTTTATAAAGAAGGAAAATGTCACAAAGAAAACACGGTGGCTAATATTTCCTCTTTAAGTTGCATCTCCTCCTGTCGTCTCGTCTTTCCTGAAGAAAAGGAACAAACCGGATCTTCTTCTTAATGTGTTTTCAGTCAGCGGGAGCGAGCCGTGCGGGAGATGCTGACCCTGCACTGCCCCCTGCAGGAGACAGATGAGTCTGTGCAGAGAGAACGCTTCTTGACTGAGAGGCTGCTGATCCCGGAGCAGTGGATCCACGAGGCCAAGGCTACCCGAGCTCGCCGTGACGCTGACAGACACCTAGAGGCTCTGCACCTGTACCGTGCCGGGTTCTGGAACCAGTGTCACCGTCTGCTGATCCAACACCTGGCCTCAGGTAAAGAGTTTAAATTTCAGATAAGTTTCCAGGAGCTGCAGGTAAATTATAAAAAAACTCTTCTCATGTAGGTTTGGTGAATTTATGTCCTCCCTCTCATCCTGCTGTAGATTGCATCATTAACGATAACCACGACTATCTGCTGGAGTTCCTGGAGGGGCTGGCGGTCCCTGAACACAGCACGACCATCCAGGACTGGGACATCGCAGGCAGAGTTTACCTGGACTACGTCCGAGTCATTAAGACTCTGCAGGACATTCAGCAGGTACTGACATTGTCCTTCATGTCAGACAGCGTGCGACCTGAACGAGCGTCAGGAACGAATCACCGAAATTGTATGGCTAGAGTTTTTTTTACATGTAGACAGACTGGAAATGGTTGATTGAAGAACTTGAGGCGGTATTTGCGTGACACCTCATATGTAATAAAACAGTAATTAAAAAAACAGCTGCTGACTGGTGACTAATAAATCATGTCCTTTTTTCTTTTAGTTTTAACCACAATATTGAACTTTTATTTTTTCCTCTCATCTTTATTTTTAGATGGAAAACGCCGGTTACGAGCTGGAACGCCTCTACTCTGACGTGACGTCTCTCTGCAGCAGGATCGAGCTGCTCCCTTGCAGCACCGCCAGAGACCGGCTCGCCCAATCAGGTTAGAGCTTTGTTTCTTCACTGTTTTTGTAGTTAAACAGAGCTGAGGGTCTGCAGGTTTCCCCTCTGACTGAAAACAAGAGCCGAGTTCGTACATCTGTTATCTGATTGGCTGATATAGGGCCAAGGTTAGAGAGGTGGACAGATGTTAAGGTTATTTTCTGAAGTGTTCAGAAGAAAAATTTCCTAACATTGTCAGAAACTGAGCAGATATACACAGTTCTACAAACAAAAACTACAATTAAAGCCATGAAAACCATATTGAAATCAGTTCTGCAGTGGACCTTACCCATCTGAAGGGATCATCCAGTTTAAATCATGAGTATTAGAAAATAGGAAAAAGAGCTTAAACTGCAGCTCACTCATCACACACATTACTTTTAGCTCCAAATTTTAGCAGCTGTTAATCTTAAATACTCAATTACAGATCAGAACTGGAAATGACTCAAGATCCTCTGAAGTAATGGTGCCCAAAGTTAAGTGGAAGTATTTCAGATCTACACCATTAATAGACGTTTTCTTAAAAAGTCTTTTAAAACGCACACAGTTTTGTACAAAAGTGCAATAATCTTGAGATAAACCGAAATTGGTTTTACACGCGGAGTAGAGATGTAGAGTTTTCATGAGGCATGTCAAAAAAGGTTGGGACCACAGCCCTACAGTAAGCCACACAGCATCAAATATGAGTTTATTCTTGACGTCCTGTCTGGTAAGTAGTTTCTCAAGCTCAGGTAAGTTTCTTCACTTTGATGAGCAAACCGTGTCGGTACTTAATCAGGAGCAGAGAGGAAGAGTTTGGAGTGAGATTTCTGCCTCGTAAGGAGTTGACAGGTAGGAATGAACTGTTTGGACGAGATTGAGTTAACAGGGAAAGAGAAGGACACTTACTGAATGGAGTTCAAGTAGGGAGCGAAGTCAGACGTTGTTTCAGTGAGACACTCCTGCAATACAAAACCTCCACTGCAACCTTACAAAGCCCCGTCTCCCTCCACTTTCCCCCCTCCTCCCCCCTCCACGCAGAAATGGCGAAGCGTGTGGCCAACATCCTGCGGGTGGTGCTGAGCCTGCAGCAGGGCGACGCAGCGTCAGACTCCCTCAGCATCCCCCTCACCCAGCTGGCCCCACACATCACCCGCCTACCGATGCCGGAGGACTACACGCTGGAGGAGCTGCGAGGCCTCACGCAGTCGTACCTGAGACAGCTCATTGTCAGCCAATGAGGATGCAGAACACGGGCAGGAGAGATAACATGATGACAGATCTACGCTGAGGCTGTTTGGATATCTTCAAACTCTGATGCAGAAAATTTCCAAAAGAGCAAAAAATGACATTTTGAGAAGAAGAAGAACCGTTTAGGAGCTTATGTGTTTTTTTCTTGGACGCCGTCTGTCCGAGCTTCTTCAGCTTTTTTTAGTTTGTCAGGTAGAGAAAAGTTTTGATTCACCATTCCTCATCGTTCACAGGAGCATTTTAAAGAAAAACACTGAAGGACACAGAATGACTCCTAATTTGAACCACACAAGTTTTTGCATGTTTTACTGTATATTAATTACACAGGGTTATTCACACAATTACATAAAAGGTTGAAGGTTTCCACGTGAGGTTCTTCCTTCAAAAAGAGGTCAGAAAAAAGGTATTGGTGGTTGCTGGCACAGGAAAACAAAACATGTAGCTTTACCAAATTATTCATGCATGATAGGCTCTGTTATTTATCTCAAAATATATTAGGGTAACACAAAAGATATTGTGCTATTGGCAGAATTTGAAGGTGTGCTGGAGGACTGGAGGAGATTTTTGTCAATTAACACCTCTGTCACGAGCAGCAACAGTGTAAGGGTAACCAATTTGTCCACAGGTGGCGCCAAAGTAACAAAGTTTCCATCAGCAGCTTTAAAAAAAACACACTCTGGGCAACATGTAAAACTACCTAAATATTCAAAACGTTCAAAAAGTGTAATTTAATCCTCTCATCCAAGACACAGCGTTAACCCAAGTCTTCACAATCTCAGGCTTAACTGTTGTGTCCTAATTTTGTTTGTTCACTGAATAACAAATACCTGAAATTCACCCCCTGAAACTCCCCTTTTAGTTTTTGTCAATTTTGGCGCCCCCTGTGGACGAATCAGCTTCTTCATGGCTTTTGACCAAAATTCTCTCCCTGCTGACCTGCGAAAGTCAAACCAATCATTCATCGTGGATATTTTAGGGGTCATTTATATAATCATGCCTGACATCTACCCCTCGTGTCAGTTTCAGACATTAAAATTTAGAATTATAAGTCCTTCGTGTTGTTTCTGATGGTCTTGCTACCTTTTGATAGAATGAAAATGCACTTATATATATATATATTTTTTGGTCTTTTATTTCTGTCAAAAACGTCCTCACAGGCGCTTTCATTCACACATTGCAGTTTGCATTGTAAGTTTTGAACTTGCAAACACTTGCGTGGTTGTTTTTGCAGGAAAACTTCAACAAGTCACTGAATTTGATTTGTTTGTGATCAGGAACTTAGAGCTCATTTACGTGGAGTCATTTCTGTGTTCATTATTATTGTTTATTATTTTAAAATGCTCCTAAAAACAGCTTCTTTCCTTTTTGAGCTGCTATTTTTTTCTCACTTTGTGTGAGTGTTTGAACCTGTCATAACTCCCCAAAGTCAGCTCCCCCTTGCTGTTTATTCACTGATTAAATGTGTGCAGAAAACACAGCCATCCCTCCACTGAGTTATGTTAGTTTAATTTAACATTTAGTTTCATTGTGAGTGAGGAAATCGACCATTAGCATAGTGTGACAGTAGCTTCTGTTCATTTGTCCATATAGAGTATAAAGACGATTGATTATTATAAGAGACGCGGGCTGTTGTCATACAAACGGGTCGGATGTGCACAAAGTGGATTTTTCTGGAGACGAGTCAGAGAAAAGCTCTACATGCAAAGAGTCAAACACCTAATGGTCTATTTTTGTAGAGTTTTTGTTTTTCTGTTTAGTGTGTGTGAGTCAGGAGTGTGTGTGTGTGTGCATGTAAATCAGAGAGAAACAACAACAACAAACACACAGGATCTTTTTATATATATCATCACTTCAGTACAGTTTTGATGTCAGACTTTTAAAGTGAAGAGTTTCCTCCCAAAACAGGACGCCAGCCAGAGATTTCACAGCCTGTAATTATATAAATAATGTATATTTTTGGAAATCAAACAAGGAATATCAGGTCATTTTGAAACCTCACCTTTGATTATTAAAAAATGGGATGCAAAGTGTTTTGAAAAGAAGCCCTTCACTTGAATGTCGGCCATTTTCTTTATGCTGTAGATTAACTGTCAGCTTGCCAACAAAGGTTTTTTTTTTCTTATAAGTTAAATCACTTTTTTTTCCAGCAAAGAGGAGTGTCTATACCCAGTCTGTTTCTTCTGTCAAACTTTAGCTGTGTAGAAGATGTACTTGGACGACTTTGCTGTCTGTGTGTGTGTGCGTGCGTGCATGTTTTCTGATGATTTTGTTGATAATATTTTTTAATAAAGTCCAGTTGAAATAAGCACATGGGTATATTTTGCTCTTTGTTTTTTAAACTCTAGTTCTCTTAATTATCATGTCATCTACCTGGACGTCAGGTGAGTGGTTTGTTGAGGTCCAGGCAGGTGTTCCTGGGGTTTCTGAGGATGGTCAGGGACTCATCTGATACCCGTTCTTCACAAAGCTAGTTCCTGGACTTGTCTGGAGCCAGTGCCTGATTTGGAAACTTTTTTTGTGTTTGAAGTGCTTAAGAACTGTTTTGTATTCTGAAACTCTGGTCCCACTTATGGCCAAAATTTAACTTGTCAAAAACTTCCTTGTGGCTTCAAAAAGTGTGTCTTGTCTCTATTTTCCTCTTGAACACATTTTTTTTTTGTGCTGAAGGTAACTTAATTAGTTCCAACATACTATTAAGCCATTCAATATTAGAAACTCAGGAAGAATCAAAATGTATTAAAAAAAACATCACTTTTAATGTTCTTTCCATTCATAACAATCCTGACCAGCATGTAGATTTACGAGGCCTGGAGTGATGCCCACAGGGACTTTGTCCCCATTGTTATTGTTGAATTTGAAGATGCTGGGCGAGCCAAGTTTACACTTAAAGGATATTTTATATCCTGTAAATGACATAGAAGACTTAAGTTTTCATTGTTGGTAGAAAATAATTTCAATCCAAAAAATTTGCAAAAGCAGAGCAGAGTTCTCTTCATACTCATTCACTGGTTTAACTATATCTAAAATAAAAGATGGTCACAGCATCAACTCCAAGGTCAAATGTTCACCTGCTGCCTGACAAATCCCACCTACAGACTTTTTTTTTCTTTTTTTAACCTTTTTGGCCTAATTTGTGCTTTCAACTGGATCTTGAGCTCCCCTTCTTACATCCTGGTCCTTTGTCAGCTGCAGGGTTCTCTTAATTGACTCCTGGGACTTCATCAGCTGCAGGTTTCTCTGTCTCGACTGGTACTTTGTCAGCTGCAGGTTTTTCCTTCTTGGCTGCTTGGACTTTGACAGCTGCAGGTTTCTCTTTCTTGGCTGCTGGGACTTTGTCAGCTGCAGGTTTTTCCTTCCTTCCTGCTGGGACTTTGACAGCTGCAGGTTTCTCTCTCTTGGCTGCTGGTACCTTTTTAGCTGCAGGTTTCTCTTTCTTGACTCCTGGGACTTTGACAGCTGCAGGTTTTTCCTTCTTGACTCCTGAGACTTTGTCAGCCGCAAGTTTTTCCTTCCTTCCTGCTGGTACTTTGACAGCTGCAGGTTTTTCTTTCTTGACTGCTGGTTTTTTGTAAGTTTCAGGTTCCTTTTTCTTGGCTTTGTCAGCTGCAATTAAGGTTCATAATTAATGCATCATTTTTTCAATCACTTATTTTTTATTTAATTCATTCAGTCATTTTTAAATGACTGTATGAATGCTCCTTGGTCTATTGTCAGGTCTACAGTGAGATTATAGTTTCACACAAGACTTTAAGAGGCAGAGAAAGCCACCAAAAAAAAAAACAAGAACTCCTGACTTCAAAAAGAAGGACTAGCTACAGAAACCTGCTCACCCTTTCTCTGAAGTCACACAGCAATGGGATACTTAAAGGGACACTTTAAAGGTTGTCCTGCAATAATGATGATGTTAGCTATTTACCCCATTGTAGAAGCATCATAATGTGAACTTACCCTTTTTTTTCAAATTTAGTTTCTTTAGTTTTTCCACATGGGGGCGCAGCTTGCCTTGGACAGCAATATCCAACCTCGGCAGTGCCTTCATTTCTTTCTCGATTAAAGAGATGGATTTCTCTGTCCCGTAGTACTGGATGATTATTTGAGACATTTCCACTCTGACCTTGTTCGTCCTCAGTCCTTCTGGGATTTTGTCCAAATTATACAGCATCTTCATATATTGCTGCTCAGTCAGCTCCTCCATGATGGCGGTCAGGTCTTTTTTCCACTTTGTCTCAAAACCCGTCTGTACCATCTGAAATACAGAAAGCCATGAGGGCATTCAAAGAATTTCCCCTTTCTTCTGCGATTAAGTTTTTGTTGCTCTTGATAAAACAACCTTTCCTTGTGCTTCCTTTTATATCTGTACCTGTACATTTATCTGCTTTTAGCTGATGCACGGTCAAGACATTTGAGTAAAAAGTCTAAAAGAGAAAGACAGAAGAAATCAAACTGACTGAAATTTGTCAGGGACAATGTCGTGGAAGCCTCTGTCAGGTGGATGGCTTTACGTTTAGGTCCTATTCCCCCCTGATGGAGTTTAAATCCCAAAACAACCTGCTGACTAAACATTAACTGACTTCAAACAAGGCAACTTAACTAAAATATCAGAAATGATTAATCGAGTAATGATCTAGAAACTACAACGAAATATCGGAGCCACATCAAGAAAAAAATAAAATAAACTTAAGACATTATTATATGAGAACAAAGAGAATGTCACGAGAAGAAGTTGTTATGTCACAAGAATAAAGTCTTACTGTTACTGAAAAAAAAATTGTTTTAAGAACAAGTTTTTTATTCTACTAGCATAAAGTAGTTATTTAACTACACGTGTCAAGTCCTGATTTTCTGAGAATAAGTTGTAAAGTTACTAAATTAAGTCATTATATATTCAGACTAAAGTTGTTTTACAGGGATTAAGTCATGATTCCAGTGTATAAATAAAGTCAGGTCACAAGAACTCGAGAAAAAAGACTAAGTCACTAGGATACAGGTATCATTTTACAAGAAAAAGGTTATTGGGTTGTAATTTTACAAAAATAAGATCATTGTGTGACATGAGTAAAGTGGTTATTTTACAAGAATTAGTAGTTTTATTATTAGAATAAAGTCCCAATTTCAAAAGAGTAGAGTCTATAGAATATGAGCAGGAAATATCCTCAAGTGAACCTGTGTAGACACGTCAACAGTGACCGAGAGTAAAGCGAGTCAATTGACAAAAAAAAAAAAGATGGGTCTGGATTTTGATTGAAAAAACCCACCTGGATAGTCGACGGAAGAGAACCAGAATATGGGAAGGGCAGAGTTTTATCTTTAACTGAAAATTCTGACTTCAAACTCAGAGTAAGTCAAAATTCTGAGTCACAAAAAAAAAAAAAGAGCTTTTTTTGTGGTCTACAGATGAAACCCGGAAACTTCCTCACATTTATCACCTTCTATTTGTTTTTACTGACAGCACATGGCCAAAGTCCACATCATACAAATTAAGCGAGCCCACGATCTTTTCTCATGACAAGTTATGCTTTTAGGGATCTTTTTTTTCTGTCAACTTGACTTTAAAATATATTTGTAACAATAAGTACTCACCCTGCAGTTTTGTCTGTCTTCAGGTTATTCAAACAGTCAACCGTTTTAGCTGCTCCAAGCAAAATAAAAAAAGTGAATGAGTGGCAGATAATGCAGGAAATATTCCACAGCCTGCAGGTATCCCACGCTCACCCTTTACATTTAAGAGCATAAATATATTTATTTTAAGATAACACAATTAATTTCCCTGTTATTTTGACTCTTAATTCTTATTTACACCAAGTTATAAAATCATTTCCCCCTCCAAGGACAAAAAGTGGTTTAACCCACTGTTTCCCGCCAACTGATGAGAGACAACTTTCGGTTTCAATAAACAGAAAACTTGTAACCAGCTGTGACAGGGTTATCAAAGCTTAGTGCCTCCTCTGCAGGCCAGATTGAGGATTAAAAAAATAATAATTATCATCTGCACGGTTGAGTTAGTTGGGTTACTTTGTTTGTTCCTGAGGTAATAATACTTAAAACCTAACCCTCAGGATAAAACAAGAACATCTTTTTCTTTAAAAGGCTCCCAAATGTGGAACACACTGTCAGTGGAAATAAAAATTAAGAAAATCTAAAAAATGTTTCCTTCAGTGTAAAGCAAATTCAGAGATAGCATTTCTAACTCCTCTAATATTTTCTCTATTTGTTTTTCTTCTGTATCCTTTGGTCTTCTCTTTCTTTCCTTTTTCTTTTACTCATTCAAAAGCCTAACTGAAGGCCTGAGCTGGAAACTAGCAAATGGTTCTGACTTCTGAGTTTAGAACATCAGTTTTTACAGCTCGTTTAAAACAGATATAAGTTTTACTATGTAGTGTGAACTGTCCCTGTCAAATCAATCATATGTAAAAAATAAAAATAAATCACAGAATCTGAAAATAGTTTTTTAACTTTTTATTGACATAAAAAAACATCGTAATAACAGCTCAGCTCACACCACAAAAGACAACAAAACAGTTTGCCACCCTGTTCAGGTGACGTCATTACAAACAAAAACAACACCAAAAACTCACAAACCTTAACTAAAACATACTGAATGCATGCACACCTGTCTACTTTAAGACTGAAGTACAACTTTTGGGATGAAAATTAGTCTACAACACTCAAACACTCAGACGAATTATTATTAGGTGTCTGAATCCACGTTGATTGTCTGTATTCTATTTCCTTTGAGTTCTGCACCTACCACAAAAGGCAGCTTTTCAAGCAGACTTTCTGTCAAATCTTGATTCGGTTTGATGGCAAGTTCCTTCACCAGAAGCTGAGTCGCCACATCAAAGGTGTGCAGGCGTTCCTCGTATTCTGCCTCCAGGTGAGTCGTCCTCTTGTTTGCGTTCACAATGCCACAAATCTTAAGTTTGACTCTCTGGATGCCCAAAGTTTTGACCTACACAAAGAGAGACGATAACAGTCAGAGTTGTGGACATGCTTAGGTCTACCTCCAAAAGTGTCAACTAAAATCATGTAACCAATCAATGTAACCACCTTGTGAACTTTGGTGAATTTGGTTGAGTTCAGCGTTGTGTTTTTCAAAAATGTGTTGGTCCTCACGTTGATCAGCTCAACAACATCTCCCAGTGATGATTTTCCGCAGTGCTTAGTTTCTCCAGCCCACATGTAGATCCAGATGGAATCAGTCTCGTCTTTGAGTTTTAGGCGCTGTCTGTTTCTCACCTGCTGTGAGGGTCGCACCTGGATTTTTTCCAGAGTACCAATCTAAAAATGATAAACAGGAGCTATCAAAACGGATACATAAAACATCAAAAGGTAGCGAGACACCTAAAACAGTTCATTTATGATTCAAAACCTAGTTTTTGAGTCCGCTGTAGTGGCTGGTGCCATCGACATAATAAGTTTTTATTTGAGCCATACTTGTTACTTCCCTCCTTCATTAGGTTATATACAATCCTGCTTGAAGAAAACTGTGAGACACTGTTTGGTAAATGAACCTTGTGGAGCTCTTGTTGGATTAAAAAGACTCCTTAACTTCTGCTAGTTGGGTTTGGCATGAAGACTCTTGCACCGTTACTGGGTGAAAGGTGGGTTCGCAACAACCCGTTTAAAAGCCCTCACTCATTTGGATAGCAGTGTTGTTTCTGTGGGCTTTGCACAGATTATATGAGGAAGCATGCATTGACTACTAGTGCTGCTCCATAGTGGTAAAAATTGTGATTTTTTAAATTGATGCTGATAGAGTTATTAAAACTGTTTACCCATCATTTGACATTTGCACCACACACTTAAGCTTCTCAAAATCTCCTTGAAAAACATAAGTGGTATAATGCTCAGTGTGTCTGTTTTACCAGATGATCATGCATCAATTCTTCACTTAAAGAGTTCTGCCTTAACTTTGGTGCTCTCTACCTGCTCCTCTCCCTTTTCCCTCTCTTCTCCTTCCTGTTCCTCTCCCTGCTCTCCTTTCTCCACCTCCCTGCTTGCCCCAGTTCAAACTCACCTCTTCAACAGTTCCTCGCACACTCACATCTGTCTTGTCAGGAAGTTGTTTGGTGTCAGCAATGGAGTAGAATGGACTCTCAGGATAAATAAGCTTCTGGGCTTCTATCTCCAACTCCTCTGGGACTTGGATGGCTTTGACGGAAGCCACTGTGCTGCATTTTCTAACTTTGACCAGTTGCTGGTCTTTTATCAGATTTCTGAAAGAGTAGGAACCACCTTCCTTGGTATTTCGATAGTGCTTTTTACCATAAACCATCGACTTGACGCAGGTTTCCTCATCAGCAACAGCCATGTAAAAAAAGACATCTTTCCTTTGGTCTTTGGTCTGATATCTCTGGAGCCCTGATTTCTGAACAACTTTCCCAAAAAAGGCATCTGTCTCAAGAAGTAGGTCCTTGGTTTTCAGGTCAGCGATGGATATCCTCTAAACAGAAAAATCTCCATCAGTCACTTGCGTACAAAAATGACCATGGTATGTTGTGAACTGTTACAGAATGGTAAAGATTAAGAACTCACCCATGAAGGATTGCCTTTCTCCTGGTAAAAATAAAATAAAAATGAAGCATTATTAAACATTTTATTACAATCATCACATATGACAATATGTTCTCATACAATGTAGGAGACTCAGTGTTGAATGTAAAGGAGTCCAAAAACTCTTTACCTTGTTAGTTTGACAGCTTGTCTGTGGACCCTCTAAATAAAAGACACACACGGATCAGTGTTGATATGCACCATCATTTATAAACAGACTTTCAGTCTTGAGGCTGAAAATATTTTCACCAAGAATATAAAAGATAATCTGAACTCAATGTTGATTTGTTTCATACACCTCCTTATGGTTCTTTACCTGCTGGACATCATTTCAGTGACGCCACTGTGCTCAAAGATCCAAGATACTAATTTGAACACAATTAATACATATGCAGTTACTTATATTCCTGAGGTACAGGTATATTTAAAGGTGGTCTTAAGAGAATGTAACTGATTGTAACCATTTATACTCTACCTTTGTTCAAGTCTTCTTTGGTAGGCAGCAGTTGCCTCTTAATGCCTGGCTCTCCTTCCTCTTGTTCTTCTTTTTCCTCTGCTACTTGATCGTGTCTCCGTTTTCCTGAAAAAAATGTTTGAAATGTTAGAGAAAACCATGTAAAGTTGGATCAAATCATGTTTATCAGGTTGATATCAGCTTTTTCATGTTCATTTAAAGTCTTCTGTGCACACTTAAGGTTAGTCATGGAGTTCCCCAAGGTTGAGTGCTCAAACCTGCTCTGTTTACCAAATATTTGCCTCGTCTAGGTGATATCGAGGAAACAAAAGGACCTAAGATGACCAGGTGGATTAAAGTTATCATTCTTGGACACAAACACCTCAGGGAGAATTTTCAAATGATATAACAGCTTTAAATGGCATCAGCCTGGCATCCAGCACCACTGTAAGGAATCTGGTAGCAGGGCTGTCACGGTAACCACAAAAATAAAATACTCTAGCATTAACAAGCCCACCATGGAGGAGGGTACATCTCCTCACCCCTTCACTGGTCCCTAAACCTGGTGTAAACTTGCTCTTTTAGGAACATTTCAGTATTCCACCAAATGAAAAAGAAAGAGCAGCTAATTTTGATGAGGCAAAATGTAAATTTGCGCCTTGTGAAATGAAGAAACATATGTAAGGTTTCATGATGATGCTGCTGTCCCCTCCAGCTCAAAGGGCAGCAGCTTACGTCGGAGTCAGCCAACAGCTTGGGGTCTGTGCAAGGACACCCCTTGGGGTTTTTGCATGGTCTTACAGGTAGGGGAGAGTGGGGTAAGATGAGCCATTTTTCATATTTCAGATCATTACATCAAGTCAATCATAGTTTTGTCTCTAACTAGTGTATCTGCATATATTTCAAGATGTTGTTCATCCCCGCAAACCAACAGAATGAGTGTAAACATAACTGTCTTGATAATATAGCATGCCAAAAAAAGTAGTCTCCTATGGTCAACTTACCCCGTGTATGGGGTAAGCTGACCACAGGAGCGGGGTAAGTTGAGCTGTATCCCTACTACCGCCCCCACTCTCCACCCAGCCCTACCTCACCTTCTCTCTCCCTAAATAACAGTCACTTCTTCACATTCATATGTATTTTATGCTATTCAACTGGTAAATAAATTGTTATTATTATTGTATATAACTGCTAAAAATCTGTTTTGTTAAAAAAAAAAACATTTTAACACGAGAAAGTCTTTAAGTGATTCAGAACATTCACAGCATTTCAACAATCTGAACTGAAACTCTGATCCTCTCATCAGACTCCTTTACTTTCTCAATTACCACAGAACTACTATGATGACTTTCTTAGTCCTCTAAGCAAAAATGGTGGACTTTTATGTAGGTTTTTGACCTCATGTTGTAGCTCGTAGATAGCACAATTGATGTATAAAACAAATTTAAAATGATCTTTTTTGGTCTGAACACAATTCTGATAAAACTTATAACAGACTAAATTCCCTTTCAAGAGTTAAAAATGTTTTTTCTTTTTTTGGAAATAAATCTCTGACCCCTTCACCCATGTGCTTCTAACCTTCACAGACTCCATGAATTGATGCCCATCTCCTTAATATTTGGTCACATGATCAATTTCTTTGACCATTTCCAAGCAACAGGGGGTGGCTCAACTTACCCTATGGCTCAACTTACCCCACTCTCCCCTTCCTTTAAAATCTTGTTTAGAACATGGTTCTGTTTTCCATGTTGGAGAAACTGGCATTCAAGTCAGTATTTTAAAATTTCACAAGCAATATGAGTTTTAAGGAAAACAAATCAATAAAGGTTTGAGTTGACACTAGAACCTGCAAGTCAAACAATCCACCTCCCTTTTAGATCTACAAAGGCAGTATGACTTTTCTCATGTTCTCTGTGATCCATCTCACCATGTCTGAACAGGGTTTGAATCCTTCCTCTTTTTCCGGTGAACTACCTCTGTGCAAATGCTCCTAATGATGGGAAATAAGGCTCTTCAAGAGAGCTAGAGCCAACTCTACCAACTCCTAAACAGTCTGTAGAGCTCTTAAAGCTTTCAAATGGACTCACCCATGTTTTCTTTTTCTTGCTTCTCCATCACAAAAGGGCGCAGAAGGTCCTGGACTGCTTGGTCCCGTCTTGGTATCTCTTCTAATATACAATCCATTTCAGAAATGGACCCTTCCACTCCGTAGTGTTCAATGATTATGCGAGGCATTTTTTCTCTCACACTCTCACGCTTCTCTTCAGGTACTTTCTCCAAAAACTCCAACATCTTGATGTACTGTTTATGATCCAGCTTCTCCAAGATGGAGGTCAGGGCTTTTTTCCACTCTTTTTCTGAAGTTCTTGCCATGGCTGAATAATGGGAAGATAAGAAAACATCTATGTTGGAGAATTTGTGTTTTGGGACCAAATAAATTGCCTCAAAACCATCAGGTATCCGTCTGAACATCTGAAATGTGCTTTATGGAAGTATTTCAGCTTCTACTCCACAGACAGCTCGATAAACGTAAAGATAGAGCAGCTATCTGACTGAAAATAAACAGAATAGGCCTATAATAGAAGACAGAGGTGGCAGTAATATATTATGTAGACTTAAAAAGGTGAAAGTAACTGGTACACAGACTAGAGGAGGGGAAGAAAGAGCACAGATTTGTTTGGACCTGATCATCTCATGTTTTTCTCTTCATTTAAAACCACAACAATCCTCACACTATGGTGGCCTTGAGGTGCAAAACACAACGGCAAATCAGAAAACACAACACAAACAGAGAAAACAAAATGGCAAATAAGAAAACACCACAACATTAACCATTGTTTTTTTCTTTGTGTTTTCTCTTTTTGTGTTGTCTATCGTGTTTTGCACCTTAGTGCTACTGTTTCCTGGTGGTTTGTGACTCCAGTTTAAACCTTATAAGATAAGATAAGACTTTGGTTGAATAGTCCCACGGGGGGAAAAGATAAAGAAACTTTTTATTATGATTTATTGCACACTGAGGTTTCTGTTGTGGAGTCTGACAGCTCATGCTTTCATTCAGAAAGAGTTTGTCACAAAATATCAGGCACTTTGTTTGCTCTACTGCTTTTATTGCAACTAACAGGAGGATGAGAGGGTCTCCACATGAAAACACATACACAACACTTTTACAGTACACGAATTCCCTCAAAGCAAAACAACAATACAATTGAGGTGAAAATGATCGTGTTTAACAGACTATGTTTTCTAAAGACTGTGCCATAAAATAGCGACTTTGAGATGAAAACAGCAGGCTTCTACTTTCATTCTTTCACAGTGCATTGAAAAAGACGAAAATGAGTCATATTTCACTCTAGGAAAACAGATTTCGCACCGAGCATACTCACCCCCCTCTTCCGGTTCTAGAAGTTTCCGTCGAGGTCCGCTGTCCGAACGCAAATCTTAACTCTCATTGTTTTTCCCGCTCCTTTTGTGACGAAGCTGGAATAATCCAACTTTAGGTGTGTTGAAGCGACTTACCTGCAGTCCCACGTCTTTACAGCGATCCTTAAACCATGTCTGCAGAGATATTTCCTCATCAAATACCTGCTGTTGCAATTTCAATCTTTATTCTCCTGATATCCAGCATATATTGATATATATGTATATGTATTTACACTTATCACCCCTGCAGTGAGTAATGGTTTAACCTGCTCAGCCGCTCCCCCCGAACCTGGACATCGACTTGCGGTAACATCGTTCACACATTGATGTTGTTTTCATACAAAGTGCAGTCAGTGAACACATTTTCTTAACAGACAAGCTATACCTCCCAACATAATGATGGATTGTTTTTGTATTATTTACGGATATTAACACACAACATCCCACAATAGCAAAAACAATATTCCAAACCTTAGATACAGTATAAAAACATCTGCTTCTGCAATATCAGTTCAAAAACAATAAATCTCAGCTGATAATAAATAGAAAATTGAATAATTGTCACACAACTGATTTATTTTGGGTGGATCCAACATACCAAGCGGTTTTATCCCAGGTGGATCACCTTGGAATATATCAGATATGATGTTGATGAAAACATGTGGCCTAATCCTGAAGATCGCAGAGGTTAGATACAGTGATTTTGTGCTTTTTTTTAGTTCCCCCTTTTGAATCTGGGCTTTTTTACAGTTGTTTTTTTATTTTTTTCAGAATGCTCTTGTGTGTTTCATGGGTACTTTGTTCACTGTCAGCAATACTGTAAACCTTTTTCTGTTCTACTTTATTGCAAACAGTATATCTACTGTACCTCCTGGAAAAAAAAACTGATTTGCTTTTTACTGGAATGCTTTTGAATGTGAACATTACATGCGGACATACAGTTCCCAACCAAGAAATTTAGTGTAAAAACGGTGGGTTGCATGTTTTGCCTGCAAATATACCTGTAAAACTGAAACATAAAAGTCTATGCAGTTTTTATAAGAGAAGTAACCAGTATTTTGAACCCTAGTGTACTTTAATTGACTGCATGTACTTTGTGAAGTGAAAACAAGTGTTATTCTTTGACAGAATAATTTCATTTTGAGTCAGATTTCCAGTGTTTTAGTAAAGTAGAGTCGCAAAAGAGCTCCCTCAGAAAAATAATCACTGTTGCGAGCAAAATCCAAGGCCTTCCACTTAACAGCCTACAGGACATTTATCTATCTTGTGCCCTGGACAAAGCTGGGAAATACTCTCAGACTCAGAACATCCCTTGTTCAGATAGTTTGAGCTGCTACCCTCAGGCCGCAGATACCGGTGCCCAGCCCTCAACAAGAACAGGTCTAGGCGGTCGTTTGTACCACAGGTGATTTTACAATTGAATAAACTAAAATAGATTGTGAGCAGCTTTATTTTTTATTTTTAGATACTGGTTCAGTTGGTCTGAGCACAGATACATTATTTAAAGACTATTTATTGAAATACTTTTTTGAATTGACAAAGTACAGTATAGTAGTATTTTTATACTGTCTTTTCTCAGTTGTTTTGTTTTATATAGGACAGTGTTTGGAACTGTGTATGTGCTGTCTTTGTGCATGTTTTTAACTTACTGCAAATGAATTTCCTCACAGGGACAATAAATTCAACCTACCTACATGCCTACCTAAAGTTAGTGTGTGAAGAGAAAGATGTGTTCTATTTTGAAATGAAGAGTTTGTACATATTTAACAAAAATGTGTTTTTAATAAGAAAATTACCCATTTGGCCAATTGTGTTTTGTATGTGTAAGTCTGTGTTAAGAGTTTAGAAAAGGTATCTGAAGTACAGGTAAGTGCTTGTTAGCGAACTATAAACTATGTTAGAAAAAATACACCTTATATCTTTACTCCTTCAAACACTGAAGAAATTAGTGACATTATTACCTACAAGAGCAGAGTGAATCAACTGTCTACAGTGTGAGTTCGTCCCTTTCACACATGAAGTTTGTTTGTGTTTGCCAACTATATTTCACCATTTTTAAGATATTTCTGTAGATCAAATTTAAAGATTCAAAATGAAACATTTTCTTGAAAAGAAGAGGACAAAGTTCTAGTTTTCACACACACACGCTTTATTGCAAAGGTTACCACCGTAATATTTCCGTAACATCAAACAGCTTCAGTTTAATCCAGCAGCGTCAGTAACGGTCTGAACACGTTTGATTTCTGATAAAGACTTTTACTCTGAAGGGTGATTTCCTGTCTGTGAGGCTGTTTCAGCAGAAATTGAAAACATGATTGAAAATGTGATTAAAAATATACAAAATCATAAATAAAAGTGTAAAACTTTGAGATTTTTTCAGTTTAGTTTCCCTGGTGAGTTTTCTTTTCTGTTTCTGATAATAATTTAAATATAGTTCAGTCATAAAGTTACTGCAGGAGGAGATGAAACACTCAGCTGTTGACATGGATAACCCGTGAAAAGGAATGATGCAATAATTCATCCAACAACAACGACAATGACAACAACAACAACAACAGAGACACTTCATGTTTAGACTCCAAAATAAATTACTCAGATGCCTCCTGACTCCCCAACCACATCCCACATGTAAAACACTCTCCAGCTGCTGATTGGTCCACCAAACAGGAAGTTGCATGACACTGTTACAAGGGTAGGATGTGATGTCCAGCTGCTGGTGCCGTCAAGGGTCAGGGGTCACGGCCGAAGCTGCCTATGTGACCATGTACTCCTGCCGTTTGTTGAGTCGCACCTGGCAGAGGGACACAGCGCCCACCGCCACGTAGACGGCGGCGGCGATGAAGCAGTTGATGCCGACCTGGTTGTACAGACTGTAGATGTTCTGAGGAGGATTTTTACTGCAGAGAGGAAGAAGAAGAGACGAGTAAAAACTGAGAGGAAAAGGCTGAAATCAGATCATTTTACGCCACATTTTTACTTATGTCTGAATTCTTCATCAGGTTTCATCCATCGCTCACTTACTGAGTAACTAATAAATAAACATCTCAGAGGTCGTGCAAATGTTTCTCAGGATTTATCGTAACGTCTCTTTCCTTTACATCCCTCTGAGAGCTCTGAACATTTTTACAGTGGTGCTGATAGTTTTAGATTTTTTGAAAATATATTTAAAACTTTAAAGCTAAGTCACTACAGTGACAGAGTACATGATATAAATAAGAAAACAAATGCATCAGTCCATTTACTGGATTAAAAAATGACCAAAACAATGAAAACACAGATTTTCAAAAGAAGCGTCAAAGAGAAATCAAACTCATTATTAATGGGTTCACAATGACTCACTCTCCACGAATGTCCTCTTCAGTGAATGGGACGTCCTCAATCAATACTGCAGACTTGGCGCTGAAGAAGATCCCCAGCATCGCCTGCAAAAAAAAAAAAAAGGGTTAACATGAGGCTCAGGGACACAGAGGAGGACAGGGGAGGCTGAACGATCAATAATTTGTCAATTACACTTAATTTCATTGTACATATTCTACAGGAGAGTTGCCGAGAGTCACTGTGATGATGCTCGACTAAAACAGCCTATCCTCTGGGTTAGGCCTGCACAATATATCGTTTGAGCATCGTCATCACGATGTACGTGTGCGCGATAGTCACATTGCAGTACCTGGGATGTCAGAGGTCTATGAACTCATCTAATTTCAAGGGTAGCTGACTGAGACACACTGCATGTGACTCTGAATGTGCTGTGCAGCGACCCACCAATCACACTCGTTCTTTACTCAGTTGTCAATCAGACTACCCTGCCAGCCATCAATCAAAATCAGAGAGGAGGAAACCACGCCCCTGCACATTGAGTGAGTCGCTGTCGGTGTTGTGCTGAGAAACGCATACCTGCCGAGAATTGCTTTGGGAACATTACTCATCACTGTTAAGCACCACAAATACGAACTGTCTGGGTTTTAAACTGGACCACTCTATTAAAAGCAGTGCGTGTTTTGCGAGGTGCATGCAATTCTCGGAGGACGTGTTTCTCGGCACAACATCGGTAACAACAACAACGATTGCAAAATGAGCAATGAACAAGAAAAAATGCCGAAAATGAAGACTTGGTGGCAAAAAGAAAAGCAACGTCATTTATCTGGAATTATTTCGGTTACAAGAAGGATGATGTCGACCAAAACACATGTTCTGTGTCGGCAGTGCTGTTCATCCGTTGCTATAATAACATCCCAGCACAAAAAAAAAGCTAAAAATATCTCTAAGACAGACAGAAGCCATTCTACTAACATTCACAAAAAGAGGTAAGATCAGTGGAGGTTAACTGTCCTCAAGATTTCAGCATTAAGTGCTACTCAGGTCATCTGGTGAAAATTCCTTAATCTTTTAATATCGCAATGTTTGTATTTTCCAATATCGTGCAGCCTTACTCTGGGTGAACTATGCAATCTCCGTATGCCTATAGGCTGTATCAAGTGTCATTTATAGAAAACATGAACCCCCTAATAACTTTTAAAAATGGAGCTGCACAGAAAAAGGAGGATTTAAGCACAAACCGGTCTTACAGTAACTACATGTCAACATCGTGAACAGGGGTGAGAAAAATTCTGTGTAATAAATTTCTTAAGTTTGTCCACAGCTCCATAAGGAGGTGGGATTTATGATCTATACTGCAGCCCGTCACCAGAGGGTGCTGTTCTCGGAGTGGCTTCACCCAACGAGGAAGCAGATGGCGTCCATTCTATAAACAGTCTATGGGACTGACTCATTTAAGAGGAAGCCTCTAGTGGACACTGAAGGAGTTGCAGGACTACTACGTTAGTAAAATTTCTATCACCTCAAGTATCCACTTGAATTAAAAAATACAAAACCATTAGTGTTAGATATTTTAAGAAGTTTAAGTGCCATGATATTCTTAAATCTAAATACTTTTCTCTGTTGTAATTAAAAGGTTTATTTTTCGGACTGTTGGTGGAATTTCTGACATTTCCTCTTTTTAACCATCACACGAGGACAGTAAAATCCCATGACATGATTCACTTTTGAGTTCCTGAATTGACTGTTTCCACATGTTGTGATATTTGCTTCTTAAATATCTGATTCTGGGTTAAAAAGGGTTTAATACTAACAGCTACAGGAAACTAAATCTAACGTTGCTTCACACCGAGGATGTCAGTTTTCACTCTATCAGCGTTTACTTGACTTAAAACAAACAGGTTTTAGACGGATCCTCAGCCTTGGCTCAAAAGGAACAGATGTAAAACGGCTTTATTGATCAAACCGGTTCAGTATTGATTATTAGAGCTTTGACCTCATCTACAAGAGGCTGTGTTTGGCCTGCCTGATCACCGTCTATTTACTGGAATAGATGTCAACGGTTGATTGTCGACATATTCTCAGTGCGTTAACGTTCACCAGAATTAATAAATACAAATAAAGCAATAAGATTATTCAAATATACACTACGCCACCATATCGACTCTCTAACTATCAATATTATTCCAGGAAATAGCCTGCACCCTGATCCACAGCTCTGTGTGTCTTACCAGCATTATGACCCCCCAGATGCTGATCACGATCCCGCACGCGGCCATCTTCGGCCCGCAGAACAGGAGCGACGGCATAACTTCTGATCGGTGTGATCGATTACACGGTCAATTCTGATTTTGAGTCAATAAAACGAGAAACGATCCATCGAAGAACGACCGAGCCCCGCAGTCAGCTGATCCTCATCACTCGGCTCTACTCGGGGACACTCGGGAGCTATCGTGAGCTCCGGCGCAGAGACCAATGAGAGTCTTCTGTGTCACACGCCCCGCCCCCTCTCTGGAGCTGACCAATGGTTGTTGAAGTTCCAAAGTAGCGCAACATTTCCTTTATGCCTCCATCCCCTGTTGTCTAATTTCAATATTAGATTCCGGATATTTATCTTTTTTAAGTTTATCTCACTTTATTGGAAAGTTTCGATCAGATTAATATCAAAAGTATTCGCCTCTTAGAAACACGCTCGCGCTCTCTATGGAAGCCCGCTAACGGCACAGAGCTAGCTAACGTCGCAGCAGCTAACTGTAGTTAGCTGTTAGCTTTGTGTGTTCGTGTCTTTGTTTTGATCGGAAAAAAACAGGTAAAAAGATCAAAAGTCTCAGGTGTTCACCGAGATGACGTCAGCCTCTGCAAAGGTAAGTCACCTGGAAACACGAGACCGACCCACGAGACACCGAAAAGTGTGAATATAACCGAAACTGTCATGAGAAAGACAGGAGGAGACACAGCTGTGCACAAAACCCGGTTTAAAAAAATATCGTTTTAAGTTTATTTTCATTTTATAAACACAAAATTGAAGAAAACTGATTGAAAGTTTATTATTTTCTATCAAGACACTCTTAATGATAATTCGGCTCATGGTTAGTGTGTCAAACAAATTATTTTAATAAATAAAAAACAGGTCTGACAGTGGAGGACCATCACTAATGTCAGGTAGAAATGCACCTAAGCTCATTTAGATAATCTCAGAGTCGAGAAGAAGAACTGTATTGATTCCGAGGGGACATTCAGATTCAAACACGCTCTTTGTAAAAATACAAGAGTAACTTCACCGTTTTTTCCTCTTCATACTGTGTTGAACCAGGTCCTGTACCAAAACAAATATAGGGGAGAGTGGGGTAAGATGAGCCATTTTTATTATTTCGGATCACTACATCAAGACAATCATAGTTTTGTCTCTAACTAGTGTATCTGCATATATTTCAAGATGTTGTTTAATTCTGCAAACCAACAGAATGAGTGTAAACATAACTGTCTTGATAATATAGCATGACAAAAAACTGGTCTCCTATGGTCAACTTACCCTGTGTATGGGGTAAGTTGACCATAAGAGCGGGGTAAGTTGAGCCGTATCCCTACATACCTACTACCTCTCCCTTAATAACAGTCACTTCTTCACATTCATGTGTATTTTTATCTATTACACGCTATTCAACTGGTACAACAATTATTTTTATTATTATTGCATATAACTGCTAATGTCCTCTGAGCTAAAATGGTGGACTTTTATGTTAGGTTTCTGACCTCATGTTGTAGCTCATAGATACCACAATTGATGTATATAAAAATTTAAAATGATCTTTTTTGGTCTGAACACAATTCTGATAAAACTTATGACAGACTAAATTCATTTTCAAGAGTGAATTTATTTATAAATATTTGGTCACATGATCAATTTCTTTGACCGTTTCCAAGAGAAAGGGGGTGGCTCAACTTACCCCACTCTCCCCCACTCAGGGTTCTCTGATCCAGACTGAATTATGCAGAGAGACAGCAGATTTTCTCAAACAGAGTTCAAAGTGATGTAGACTCGGTCAGGGAAGCCTAGGTATTGGGGTTCTGGATCTGGATCTGTCCTAATATGATCTAGATGTCAAAGATGAGCAATTTTTCTATTTTGCACTTTCACAAATAAAATAAAAGATTCACAAATCTAAAACTTCAGTGAGAAGAGTCTGTAGATTCTTGTCAATAGTATGGTCCAGACTTGAACAGTCTTGGTATAGTGGTTTTGGATCAGGAGCTGGTCCAATGTGGTCTGGAGGTTGCCTTTTTTGCACGTGCAGTATCTTATTTTAATTTGACATCTCTATCTTCCTTTATTTCACCACTAAACCAAACCTGCACACCGTTCTCTGCTCTGCAGGTGGGAGAGATTTTCTCTGCAGCCGGAGCTGCTTTCACCAAGCTGGGAGAGCTGACCATGCAGCTGCACCCGGTGTCCGACTCCAGCCCTGCAGGGTGAGACACACAAGTGACATGAGTTGCATTTGCTGTTTGGAAATAAGTGCTCAGCAGAGACGGCCGATAACAAACACAGATGATTAGATAAGTCACTGTACTGACTACCTTAATGAAAGACAAGAAAGGTAAATTTCACAAGTATCCTTACTCTGCCTGAAGTTCTAATAAACTCCCTCAGCTTTGGGAGGACCAGGAAACCATCTTCTGTTATTATAGATACACACATTAGTTATCAGGTTCATCAGGTGGACAGAGCTCAGACTGTTGTATGGCAACTATCCAAAACAACTTAGTCGCAGAGAGGCTGAGTAGGGGAAAATGGTGCGTTGCCTGACGCGTTGGCTGTATAAACTTCAAAAAACAGGCTGTATCGCCATTTGTAGTTTTATTAACGCAAAAGGACGAAGCACTTACATGAAGCAGGAAAGGGCAGTCATTCAAAATCAGGCGAAACGTTAGCGAAAAAGCGGTCAGCAAAAAGTAGGACTTCCCCAGGTGAACAGCTGACTTCACTACTACCGGTGCTGACGTACTACCTCCCCACACCACGTGACTCTCATCCCCGTATATAACCACACAAGACACAATACTATAAAAGATCATGGCTACCACAAAGAACTGGCATCTACAACTGTGTTTTTGTGTCCTCAGAGCCAAGTGGACGGAGACGGAGATCGAGATGCTGCGTTTGGCGGTTCGTCGGTTTGGAGATGACCTGAACAACATCAGCACGGTGATCAAGGAGAGAACTGTGTACGTCTGAGTCTCACCTCTCATGTTCAGATCTAAGAGGGTTTTAGAGGAGATACAAACATATCTACAGCCAACTCTTACTCTGAGTAACTTACTGTTAACAGTGAAACTGGGACTCACCAAAAACAGATGAACAGTTATCCACAGTAACAGTTCTGTTTAACTAACAGTAACACCTAGACTCACCTGAACAGCTGAACAGTAAGTCAGAGTCAGGCCTCTCGTCTATTCAAGTTAAGTTTGACAGTAAGAAACTGAGACAAAAGAACATTTAGAGTGAGGCCTCTGTGTAGAGCACTGTTTACTGTGAAACTGAGACTACTCAGAATCACTGTGATCCTTGTGTGTTTACTGCAGCGCTCAGATCAAGAGCACAGTGAAGAGGAAGTTGTATGAGGACAGCAGGGTCCCCATTTCCTCTGAGTCCCCGAAGAAGACCGTCAAGAAAACAGCAGTCTCCATGACGACAGCCCCACCTCCAACAGCCCCTGCCATGATCACTGTTCCAAGCTCACAGGTTGTCGTGGCGACAGGCATGCAGAACAGCCCTTCTTTGGCCCCACCCATCAAAAAACAGAAGACGGCGGATGTGACGCTGAGCGCACTGAATGACTCGGATGTGAACAGCGACCTGGTGGACATCGAGGGACTCGGAGATGGATCGAGTAACAAGAAGCTCAACTTTGACCAAGGTCCGTGAGTCACTGTGATCATCCATGAGAGTCACTTTAAAAATCCTAAACAGCATTAAAATTCTCACTCTCTGTTTACTCAAATACTAAAATTTACTCAAATAAGTATAATGAAAAAAATCAAAGTATAGTATGATAAAAATTTCAAAGTTAAGTGTGATAAAAAATCTAAGGAAAGTATGATAAAAATGTAGAAGTATAGTATGATAAAGATGTCATAGTATTGTATGATGAAAAATTATAGTTAGGTATGATAAAATACCATAGTATAGTATTATAAAAATGTCATAGTATAGTATGATTAAAAACAATAGTACGATAAAAAAAATTAAAGTTAGGTATGATAAAAACCATAGTATAGTAGGATAAAAATGTCAAAGTATATGATGATACAGATGTCACAGTATCTTGTGACAAAAAAAATCATAGTATAGTATGATAAAACTGTAATAGTATAGAATGTAGACAATGTCAAAGTATAGTATGATAAAAAACAATTTTAGTTAGGTATGATAAAAAAACATAGTATAGTGTTATAAAAATGTCAGTATAGAATAATTAAAAAAACATAGTAAGGTATGGTAAAAAACATAGTATAGTATGATAAAAAACCATAGTATAGTTTGATGAAAAATGTCATAGTTAGGTATTATAAAAACATAGTGTAGTTTGATAAAATATGTCATAGTATAGTATGATAAAAAAATCATAGTTAGGTTTAATAAAAAATCATTGTATTGTATGATAAAAAAAAATTATAGTTAGGTTTAATAAAAAATCATTGTATTGTATGATAAAAAATCTCATAGTATGGTATGATTTTATATATATATATATATATATATATATATTGTTAAGTATGAAAAAAACATTGTCATATGTTAATAATAATTGCCAGTCATTTTTTTACGAAAATGAGTTTTTGGCTTAAATCATCCCTTGTTAATGCTGGCCATCTCTGGTAAAATGGTGAATCATATTGTTTTTTTTACACTGTATACATAATGGGACCATGGCTGTGTTAGATTATGTGCACTAATGGGAAGAGGATATTTCTGTGTTCTAGAGTTGAATAAGCTGATAGTTTGCATTGTGTCTGATGTTGGAGGAGGCTGCAGCATCTTCAGCACTCCTACCGTTCTGAGTTTAACCTCCATCTTAATCTTTTTCCTCTTGAATCCTCAGCCACTATCTGACTCTAATTTATTTCCCTTTTGTTTCCTCAGAGAGTCTCAACCTGGACTCCAGCCTCATCATGAACTCCAGTGACCTCCCCCTGCTGTCCCGCTGACCTTTGACCTCACAGCCTATTCATGAAGAAGCATGACGTCTCAGAAAACCTGAAAAACTTTTTATTTTAGATTTTATTTCTCTTTTTTATGTTTCCAGATCTTCACCTGTCAATATTTAAATAACAAAGGTTTTTTTTGCCTTTTAAGTTTTAATGAAGAATTCAAAATTTAAAAAGCTTCAAATAAAACTGATAAAAACATGTAATTTCACTTTAATTTGTTTTAAAGAATTGTTAGCTTCAGGTCAAGTTTGTTCTTCTTTGTGAGGCGGTCTCATGTTTCAGATCTGCTGATTTACAATCAGACTAAAAGGACCTGAACTCTGTGTTTCTGTCGTCTTTAAGTGACGTGGAGCTGCAGATCAGCTGTAAAGAGAGAAAACACATGAAAACATTTCCCCCAGAATTCTACGACATTTTCATATCTGCTGTAACTTTCAACAAAGAGTCTCGTTTTAAGACTCAAAATGACTCAAAAGATTGGGAATCTGTAAAAGAAAATTTTGATTTGTATTTCTGTATGTTTGTAAAGACTGTAGTTTCCTAGAACAGCTGCTCTGGAGTTTTTTATCTAACAAACAGGAGAAAAAACGATTTTCTTGGAGCTCTGTGACTCAGAGAAGGAAGATAAATCAGACTGTGATCGAAGTAGGAGGTACATATGATGTTAGTCAGAGTCTCGATTGTCAGACTACAGTTTTCTGAAAGTTTTTGGACATGAAAGTAAAAATAAAATCAGAGTTTTGATTGGAACATTTTGTGGATCAGTGAGCTTTGTAAAAATAATTTGGATCATGTGAAGTAAAAAGACTTTAAACAGTGTGATTCGTCTCTTTTTTGTTTGTTAGTTTGATTTTACATGTTCTGCTTTGGGTGTCATTAAACCTGTTCACCAGTCTGAGCAGTCTGTGTGGTCCTCTGCTGCCCCCCTCTGACACAAAGAGAAAACAACAAATGACAGGTTTCACTCTGATACCGTTTTACTCAATGGAAAAATTTAAAAATCTTAATATGTATGTGGCCATGAATGTATGAAATCAAAAAATTATAAAATTATAAAAATTAACATAAAGTATAAAAAACTACAGTTAGGAATAAAAACAAATATCACAGGACAGTATGGAAAGAGTGTCATAGTATAGTATGATTAAAAAAGTCAAGGTATAGTATGATAAAACAAAGTACAATATGATATGATCACAGTATAGTGTGATGAAAACTACATAGTATAGTATGATAAAAATGTCATAGTTTAGTATGTTAAAAAATTTCATAGTATAGTGCACTTAAAGAAATATATTTTAGTATGAAAAAAAATCGATTTTTTGTATGAAAAAAAAATCATTTTTTTAAAGAAAAAATGACAGTATAGTATGATAAAAATGTTATATTTTTGTGTGAAATTTTTAAAAATATTTTAGTATCAAAATACATGTCAGCATTGTATGATAAAAATTTCATTTTTAAGTGTGTGAATATGTTACAGTATAATATGATAATTGCCATAGTATAGCATGTTAAAAAAATTCATATTTAAGTATAAAAAAATGCATTCTTTTTTATGATAAAAATGTCCTATTATAGTATGTAAAAAAATCTCATATTTTTGTATGATATAAAATTCAAATTTAAGTATAAAAATTTTTTATAGTATAGCATGATAAAAATTTAAAATTTTGTGCGAAAAAAAATCATATCACAGTATGAAAATACATGTCATAGAATAATATGATGGAAATGTCATAGTATAGTATGAAAAAAAAATCATATTTAAGTGTGAAAAAATATTTTAGTATGAAAAAATGTTATAGAATAGTATGATACAATGTCATAGTAAAGTATGTTTAAGAAATTCATATTTTAGCATGAAAATTCATGTCATACTATAGTATGACAAAAATGTTATAGTATAGTGTGTTAAAAATGTCATGGTGTGGTATGGTAAATATTTCATATTTTAGTATGAGATAAAATTTCATAGTAGTCAAAATTATTATCTTGTGGTATCTAATTATCATTTTATTATGAGTTTTTTCATATATGTGGCCATGAATGTTTAAAATTCAATAATAAAACAAAAAAGTTCTGATTAGAATTTTTGGATCATTCATTTGACAGAAAAGTCTGACTACTTTATAAAATATCTCTTGTCTTTATATGTCAAACTAAAGAAAAACTTCATTAAAAGGTGTGAAAACATGGGAGAAAATACAAAACAAAACAAGAAACTTCAGATCACAGAGAAACCAAAGACATTGTTGTTCTGATATGATACAGATTCTTTTAATGAGTTTTCATATACAATATAATATATTTATAGTGTGTAGTTGAATTGATTCACTGAAAACTAAAAAGTCATTCTGCATCTTTTTACAGCCATCAGAAGGGAATGAACACTCGAATATAGACTTTTTATTTTACACTGTCATAAAAATACATTATCTCATTTGTCTTATGTCGAGAGTTTGTCCAAAACAAAAGAAGAAAACTATTTACAATCTGAAAATACTTGTGTGAATGTTTGTGTAGATGTGCTTTTCATTCCCTTTATTAGCTCAGGTTAAACTCTAGCAGCCCTTTTTAAGTAAGAAGTCACTCTGGAATAACTTTCAGCATTTTTCAGCACTTTTTAACCCAAATTAAATCTACCAAACTGACTGAATTCAGTACAGGAAAATGGAAGTTTTCACTTTAAAATTTGAGGCATAGAGTGATTAAATTCTCAACAACATACATTAGGTTTTAAACTTGAAGAACCTGAATTTACGAATCAGAAATGAACAGACTTGAAACAAGTTTGGTTACATATCTGGAAGTGCAACATAAGCATGTTATTTAACTGGCTATCTTAGATTAGCTCACAAATTTGAAACCCCCTTATAAAGTGAATTTTTTCAATTTGTATATATATAAAAAAAAAAATACAGCCAAAAATCAGGGGAAAATTTCTGACCTCAGGTAGCTAGGAAGGACATGTTTGTTGTATTTCATTTTCATAGGAGTTCAATATTTAGACAGGAATCCAAACAATAACTATTCAAATACATTTTACAGATCTTCTGAAGCAATCTGTAGTTAAAAAAAAAAGTTACTTTTTGGGATAAAAAATGTTTTGAAATAGTATTTTGGGGACAGAAAACGTTAACACTGAAATTACCTACAATTGCAAGAAAAAAAAAACGGAATTACACACGTACTTTGGCATCTTTTTTTTTTTACACAAATTTAGGCAAAAACTACAATCCAAAGTCAGAGTTTTTTCTATTTTCTTGAAAATTCCCTCCATTTCCTGTTACCGTTAGATTGAACTGAACGCAGGTAGGTGGAGAAATCTATAAAACCTTTTAAAAATGTGCATTTTTCTGAAGCTCTAATCAGAACTAAAAGTGTGATTTTAGAGGAACTACAGGTCCCAGGGAGGGTCTGTGTCAGTGCTGAGAAACCTGAGCGTTTTTCCAGAGTGAACCTTCGCTCTAATACTGAAAAACTTTGACTGAATCCTCGCTACATGTTCAAACTTCTGTCTCGTCACGACAAACAGAAAAGCACAAAGAGAAAATCCTTCTACCTTCACATCGACAAAAACAAAAGTCCAAAACCTTTTCAAGGACTAATTCAAGGATCTTTGTACACGTGAAAAAATAAAAGTTCGTATAAAGCTAATGTAAGAATGTTTGACTTGAAAAAAAAAAGAAACGTGTTAATGAAGAAAAGTAAAAAAGCAAAAATCCTGAAAACAAAATATTTGAAGGTTAAAAGTGCTGAATTAGAATATGTGTCAAAAAAACAAACAAACAAAAAAAAATTCTACCAAAAATAAGATTAAGATCGTAATATTCCAGCGTGATCGAAGGCCATCCTGTCATTTTATAAACCTGATCATAAATTGGTTAGCAGTGTTGTCACTACAGCAAAATTTTGTTTAAATGTTCTGATTTATATAAATTTGTCTAAAAACTGTTTATAGATTTTCAGAAAGTGTGTTGCTGTTTTTCAAGGTCCAAACTAAAGGGTTCATTTTTAAAAAATTAAACAAATATATAGTTCATGACCTATTCAGAAAGAAAAATCTGGAAATTTAAGTATTTCGGGAGCTTCAAGTTAAAAAACTGTAATTTTTTTTCTTTTTCAAAAATGTTGAATCGCCTCAACAACATATTTTTTTTAAGATGAATTTTCTGTCAGGTAGTTGATTTGAGCAGTTTGCATAAAATGTCATTAAAAAAACAGTTTCAGCTGTTTTCATAGTTAAAGTTTTATAGTGTACTCAATACAGAGCTTGTAAATAATCTTTAAGTATCATATTTGAACTGCTAGCCTTTACCAAGTTATGGGCGGCTCTATAACTTCCATGAACACCAGGATACTGATACTGTAAACAAACCTGTACACAGTGTCAAACTATGACAGGATTCGGGAGGAAACTCTGCGATCACGCTGGAAACACGTTCAATCAAAGTAAAGAACATGCAGATTAATGTGCCGACGCACTTTTGGAAATTTGCTGCAACAATTAAAGACGTACAAAAGCAGAAACACCAGTAAAGACGAGGAAATCACGTTAATGGAAACCTTCTGATGTAGCTGTCGTCCAATTTCTCCGACAAACTTTTGCATTTTGATAAAGAATTTTTTTGGCTTACAAACATTCGTTGAAGCAGAAAATCGTGCAAACTTTTGCAAGTTCACATCACATTAAGATCCAGCTACATAAAAGCGTTTCTCTTCATTTGAACAGTTTGTGATGCGAGAGTGCAAAGTTCAAAATAAGAAGCAGAAACAGTCGTAAAGCTACAGTTCGTACAGGTGTGAGGGTTTGGCAGCGTGACGTTACCGCCGAGGAAAGTCGATCCTGTTTCTCAGAAGTTCAAAATCTTCAACTTATCCATTATTACTCTAAATATTGTTTTACAGACTCATACATTTTCTCACTAAATATCATTTGGAATCTCATCAACATTTTCTTTTTGAATATTTTTTAAATTTTTGCTTCATGTAAGAAGAGAAGGTAGCGAGGAATCAAGACTTATTGTCATATTTTGTACAAATTCCTCTTCAGATTTAAAAAAAAAATCTTTAATATCATTAAAATGTTAATTAGCCTGCTTACATATGACAGAGTTGTATAAAAAAAGTTTCTATATTCATCCGCCTCATGGAAATACTGAAAATATGATAGCAAACCAAGGACAGGTGTTGATGTTTACTTCGTCCGGAAGCTGACATTTCAAATCCGTTTATAACAGACAGTTCTAAAAACCACAAAAATTAAAAGTCTGAAAAAATATATTAAATTTGGGTGATTTTATACAACTAAGTGGAAGCGTCATTCCAATTAGAATGAATTAGGAATATAAATGAAGAACTTTGTGATTAAAGTCTGAATATAACTAAAATAAAGTCGCTATGATACAAAAATAGATATTTTTAAAGAATAAAGTTGCTGCGTTATGAGAAGTTGTCTTGATGAGAGATAAGTCGTAGATTAAGTTGTTATTTTATGAGAAATAATGACGTTATGTCATGAGAATAAAGTTTATTTAGTCCAAGAATAAAGAGGTGATTTTGGTCAACAGTTAGCCTATATGTTAGCAGCAACTATAGCTACGTAGTCGACCTCGTGTAACCATTTTTTCTACTCAAAAGTGATGAATCCCTTCAGGTCAGGGAGTCTTTCTCAAGGTTAGAAGTTGTGCTAAAATGCTGAAAGATCGAGTCTTTTCTTTTTCGTAAAATCTAAAATTCCTTGTTTTGGTACAGATAGATAGCTACTTTCCTCAGCTCATCTACAGGTTAACTGAGAACTCCTGACAACCTTATTCTCATTACAATTTAGCGTCTTTCTCATGGTGCAGTTTTTCTTCCACTGTTGGAGATTTTGGCGACTTTCTTTGAAACAGGATAGACTCACAGAAACGGAAGCACGTCGAGGAATAAAGCAAGAAAAACAGAGAAAGCAGCAAACATTGACAGCGGTTCTTATGATTGTGTAACAGGAAAAAATAGATTAAATATGTGGAACTAGAACTGTGCAAAGTGGCGACAAAATAATGAATCCGTCACCTCAGGAGTTTGGAAAGATTTTGGACAGTGAGCGGCGTTTGTGCGGCGACACACTCACTCGTCAGATTTACTGTCATTTTTTAAAAGAGGGAGTGGTGAAGACACTTCTAGAAAAACAGCTTATAGAGACTTTATGTACAAACATATCTCACAGGTGTCAGGTGTGATAGAAGAACAGGAACTTCCTGTTCTGATGTGGCGAGAAAACAGCCCGAACGCCGCTCTTCTGAAACATGACAACATGTTTAGGCACAATGATGAGTGAAATACAAAACTGTACAATACTGTGCAAGTGCAAAAAGTTGGAAGCAGAACTGCAGCCCATTTTGGTAAACCACGCCCACACATTATTACCCTGACCTTTGACCTCTCATGGGTTGCCTACAAACATCTGGAACTTCATGAAATCGTTTTGTGCTAAACTGTCGAAAAGATTTAAACAAATAAAGTTCGTATACGCAAACTGGGACTGACGCTGGGAGGACAATGACGAACATGGAGCCTTTAAGAGGACACGAGCTAATCCGCGCAAGATACTTATCATCATTGGTTAAGTATTTCTGGATAAAGCAGGATAGTTTCTTGACAGCCTCGAATGGTTTAATGAGAGCGAGATTGTGGTGACTGAAAGATCATTCTGGATCGTGCTGGATAGTCAAATATGAGTATTGCCAGTTCTTGTGCGCTCCAGATACTTTGTGATGATCTAACAATGGATCTGGTCACCGGAAAGAGTCCTGTGAACACCAGATAATTTCTTAGAGCCCAAAACGGGTTAAGTGAACAAGATCGTATCTTGCAAATGGAAAAAAAGTGGCCGACAGCTATCCAAGACAGTTTGCCTTGGATAGCTTCCGGTGGGTGTCAAAAAACTTCTTCTTTTACGACAAGATTTACTACAACTTTAAGTGCAAGATTATGCTAGCGACGGATTGTTCCACATAATTGCCAGATAGAATCTAGTAAGATCCAGGTCATTTCTAGGAACAAAAAATTGGTTGAGTGATAGTATCCAAGTATCAGGGTCGTAGGGACTCGTATGTGAGCCCTACATAGTTGAATCTGGTTTCTTGAGCAGATTAGTATTTTTGTGCGCTAGATTATATCTACCGAGTACAAGATTAACTAAGTGCCAGACTGTGCTCCTTAAGTACCAGGTAGATTCTTTTAAGACCAGAAAGTCCAGATCATAGACTGTATATAGAATGGATGCCGTCTGCCTCCTCGCTGGGTGAAGCCACCGTGAGAACAGCACCCTCTGGTGACGGGCTGCAGTATAGGTCATAAACCCCGCCTCCTCCAGCAATCCCTATGGAGCTGTGGATGAACTTTAGAAATTATTTACACAGAATATAAATGTTTCTTCCCCTGGTTGTGATGTTGACATGTAGTTGCTGTAAGACTGGTTTGTGTTCCAAGTCCTCTTTTTTAGGGGGTTCATGTTTTCTATGATTGACACTTGATACAGCCTATGGGCGTACAAAGATTGCGTAACTCACCCGGGGGATAAGCTGTTAGAGCCGAGATTCAGCACAGCAATTTTCCTGCCGAAAGCGTACAACGCAACTGCACAGGTGGTGGTTCCAGGAAGCGGAGAAAACCCCGGGAGCAATTCGGCTTCAAATTCGTATAATGACAGAAGGCGGAGCCAAGTCATCCGTAGTATATACAGTCTATGGTCCAGATACTTGGTCATGACCTCTTAACGGCTCCATGAATATTAAAACCAAACCGCTGGAACATTCGCCGGACTAACTGGGGCAAGGCAAAATGGTGACCATTCTTATGAAATACGATATGGAATATTTACATCAATAAATTCCAACAAAAAACAGATCATGTCCCACTATTGCCGAGTCCTTGGATTATCACTGAGTGCTTCTTTGAAACTTGAAGAAACAAATTCGGAGACGTTAAGTTCTCCGAGGCTTTCTGCCATTTTAGGAACAAGCTTCGTGAACTTCTGCGGAGATAAATCAAAAGGCCCCTGAAGAACACTGTGTCTGATTTCAAGTAGAAAAGATTGAAGTCGCTCAGAGGAAACAAACAGGAAAGCTAAAAAATAAAAATGAAGGTAAAGTGAACGTTGAAGAGGGAAGAGCGCGGTCACTTCCTGCAGATTCAATATGTACAATCAAACCCAGCAGGCTGAAGAGAACTGAGCACGTATCAGCTGCTCTGAATGTCGATATTCACATATAGATACATTATTAACAAATACACTTCAGTACTTCAACTGACCCGAGGTCAGTTTTTTAAACCAGTCACTGAACCAGGGAGAAAACCCAGCATCTTACAGAGGAACCAAAGTCTAACAACCTGGAGACAAAGAACTGAAACCTGTGAGTCTTCAGTCAGGTGGACTCGGATTAAACACAAACATCTTAACCTCACTGTCTGAAACGCTGTTCGGTGGATAAATATTATGCTTGTCACCAGCTGTACTTACTGCCTGGTTGAGCCTTGTGCAGAGCTCGAACGGTTTTAACTTTGGACAGGGATCTTTTTTTTCATGGCATATTTGGGTTTCTGAACAGAAGATGACACTTCATCATCTCCAGAAGACGTTTTGAGTATTTCCTGAAATGTGATGGTGGAGATATGATGCACAACAAGCGCATAACCCTGGTTTACTGATATGAACAAGTGCTAGTGGAGTCTGGATGATTCTCCACAGATCCATCAAACATGACTCCTTCCTCATAGAAAGATCAATAAACTTGGATCACTGATATCCAACAACTCCGGCAGAGTATTTCCACAAGTCTCTCTGTTTGGTTTAGATCCTGTACGGCCACCTGGATCATGTTCCTGAAGTGCTTCGACTCCTTTAGAAAGAAGATTCTGGCTTCAAACATGTAGAAATGTCTTGATTATAACTCAAGACCATATTCAAACTTCTCAAGAACCGGGAATAGTTGATTAGAGATGAACTGGAACTTCATGACGGCCTCAAGACCTGATTCAGTCCAGGAAGCAGCAAAGTGAATGTATCCCATTGTCCTCCTGTGATGTCCGCAGAGTTATTCGTCACGTGAGGATTTCAGGCGAGGATTGAGACGGCTCTTAGCCTGGAATGAGTATTCGGTGAGCCGCCATGTGCTTTCCTTTTGTATCCTTCTATACTTCATCTGCACATCTTGCATAACTGTTAGTCTTGAAGAGTCCTCGATCTCTAAGACACGTTTCGATAAAGGGAGCAGTTCCTCTTGCTTGTCAGTTTTTCATAATTCCACAAAAACCTGTCTCCAAAAGTCTGAACCATCCTCTCGTCTAGCCACACAACCAGTGTGTCCTTTCTCGATTTAAAAGTGACCCTGCGACGATGATGATGGAGTATCTTCTGTAAACCTTTCCTTGGATTTATACCACAAGCTTTAAGTCATAGGACGAACCTAAACCTCCAAAACCGCGCCCACTCTTGGGGGCAGGGCCATAAATTCAACAGGGGGAATTCGCAAGTCTTGCATGGATGGAGCATTGAATGAGCAACTTCGGGAGGATTTTCAGTCTGGAAAATAAATGTCCAGGAATCCAAAGCAGAAACTTTCCAGAACAACAAACCAACTTAAACCTGTCAGGACTTCTGTTTCCATCGACCACAGGAAGTGACGGGACTTAACAGTGACACTCACAGAAAACTGGAACAGAAACAAGCTGATATGGGAGTCCATGTTCCTCTGGGGTTTTGGAGCTGTACGCTGCTGGTCCGTGAGCATCCACAGCAAACAGGGTCACAAAAGTGAGGAAGGTTTAATGTCCGGGGTGTTGGTGGGAAGTGAACGGCGTGAAGGAGGGAGGCGGGGAGAGTGACAGGGGGCTGGACTGAGGACTGATGCCCCCTGCAGGAGGAGAGCCGGCTGACGTCTGTGAGACACTGAGAGGAGAGAGGCAGAGACGGAGTTTCATTCAGGGTCTTCCTGAGTGATTAGATACTAAAATGACCAACATATGTTCAAAGTCATCCTCACCTGACTGTGTAGCTGCTGCGGTGGGCGGGGTCTGTTACCCCAGCAACAAAAAGCTTCTTTGGGGGTCCATCAGACTCCACCCCTCCTGAGGGACAAAGTGACATTTTTGAGCGGCCCGCTCTTTCTGACTGTAAACAAAGCCATTCTCCACCTCCCTCAACCTGATTGGTTGTGAGGCACGCTCCACGTCCTCAAATAACGTTCACAAGCTCAAACAAAGTTAGCGTGCTACAATATCGGACAGTAGAAACCAACCAGAAAGTTCAGAAAATTGTCTGAATCCTCCTTTGGCCACGACTGCCAACACAAACAAGAAAACAAAGTAAATACTGGAGACTCTGGTGGAATAACGGGCGCTTAAAAAGGAGGTAGACCGGACAAGAGCTAAAAAGCCGGGTCAACTTAAACGATGGGGGATGCTTGGGGATCTTGGTGACCCTGTAACCTTTCTGCTGGACAGGTAAACCGCTTTAACAAAGTAAGCCAAGAGTCTGTAACAGAAGTGTTTCTTGTCAAACGGACCTGCTGTAGCGTGTTGTAGCGCCGCTAAACTGTTGACCTCGGGTCCTGGACTATGTCACTTTATCCTAGTTGTAGAAGTCCTGCAAACATTGTGTTTGCTGGTAGTCTGTTGGCATCTACAGTAGCAACAATGCTTTTTACTACAGTATTTATCTGCATTATATCTGAATTTAATTGGAATGATACGAGCGAGCAGGAGCGTCTGTTTGTGGGCAGGGTAGTGTTTACATTCAAGACTTCCCCCAAAAACTGGCACTTCCTCAGATCCTGACTACCCCACCTTTAACTTACTGAACATAATTTGGACCACACACACACACACACACACACACACACACACACACACACACACACACACACACACACACACACACACACACACACTCGCACACACAGACGAGCCAAAGTTACCTTTCCTCTTGAGTGGAGTCAGAGCAGGCCACCTGACTGTTGCACTGACTGCTGGCCTGCGGGACATTGAACATGTTTGTTTCAGTAAAAATGTTTCACCTCACCCAAAATGAAACCATGAAAAAGTGTTCTTCTTGGTACCTGAACCTCCTGGTTGGACTTGGGGAAGAGTTTGGTGTGACACCGCTGTCTTGAGATGGAAACCACTGAAGAGGAAAAAGGTACAAAGAGAAAATAAGCCACTGGAGTTTGTAAAGCCTAAATGTCAGGGAATGAAAACTCCATCTTTAAAGATCTGGGCTGTGTGAGGAGGTTCTGTGTCCAGAAATGCTCACCACTGATGTGTGGTCATGCCACTGGCTGACTGGAGGAACTGGGATCAGACTGGAAGCACTGGGGAGGAGAAAAAAGAGAAGATTAGAGAGCTGAACCTCCTAGACTTGAAAAAGATCTGGGGCCTCATTTATAAAGCTTTCTTACGCACAAAACCTGGCTAGAAATTGCGTACGCCACTTCTTACGCAAGAGTTGGGATTTATAAAAGAAAAACTAGTGTAGGAATGTGCGCAACTTTAAGCAAACTCCACACCTTGCTTACGCACTTTTTGGAGACAATCGGAGCAAGGTGAGAATAGTCCGGGTGATGCGTTCAGCACAACGGATGACTCGATGCAGCCTTTCTGTCCTGAGAGCTGCAGCTGCCGTACCAGGCAGTGATGCTCGCAGAAAGCACAGACCCCACTGTGGCGGTGTAGATAGTTTGCCAATTTGAATTTACAAATGTGCAAAAAAACAAATTCCATTTACATGCATTTGTTTTAAGATTAATATGACTAAATCTTTTTGGTTTACGAACTTTCACCACATAAGCAGCGGTGGATAACGGAGCGGGTTTTTTTTTAACACATGCATGAGTGTCACACGTGCATGTTTTTTTTTATTCTCACCTGTCGCCGCCACGCTCTGATGGTGCAAAGCCACTTTTTTCTTTGCCTCCACCTTTAGATCAGACCACTTCTTCTTGATTTCGGCACAGTTTTGTTTTCGTCTACGTCATCGTCAACGAAAACAAAACTCCACGTGTTTGCGCGCGCGCGTGTGTCTGTGTGTTGGAGGAGCACAGCAGGCTGATGAGAGCTGTCAGAGCGGACAGAAGCTGCTCCTATATGTTTAACTGACTGAGTTTTGCAACTCTGTTCGTCATTTTCGTCTCGTCCCATCAACGTAAACGCACTTTCGTCTCGTCACATTTTAGTCATCTCCGACTTATGTTTAGCTCGTCAACGTTACGTCTTCGTCGTGGAAGAAAAGGGAAATATTTCCGTCAACAAAAACAACCAGTGTTGTTCTCGTTGATGAAAATATTTCTTTTTGACGCTGGTGTTGACGAAAATATTTGACGAAATATGACGAAAACAACACTGTTTCGGCAACGCTGCGCTCAGTGCCAGCCGCAATTACCGCCACGGCAACGGCGTTTTTATTGGTGATGCCACTCGAGCCGAATAAGGTCTCCCGTCTCGCCGCCACCTCATTTACAAGAACCTCCACCTTGATCTCTGAAAAGTTTCTTTTTCTACGACTTGCTGATGCCATGGTTAAGCGTGAAATGCCGTGGATCCACCAGGCTTATCTACATGCAAATCACATTCATGAGGTAATTTGCATGACCATACATGGTGAATTTTGGGTGTGGAGAGGGCGGGGAAGAATCAAATCCCTGCTGAGCAACTTTCCAGCTGGTCTGTGATTTATAAAGGGAAAGTGCGTGCAGGTGTGGGCAGGGTTTTATAAATCAGATTTTTTTTTTGCCTACGCACTTTCAGCTTTTCAACTTACGTACACTTTTAGTATGGATCCTACGCCAGGTTTTATAAATGAGGCCCCTGGACAGTGTTTGTGTGTGCCGAACCTTATTCTTTGCAGACTCCCTCTGAGCGCCATCTCCATGTTCTCCTGCAAGACACACATGCAGCTGTCAGTGAAGTCCACACAGAACCTGAACACCATTGACTCACTGGGTCTCTCCTGTGTCTACGAGAGGAGGAGGAAGTCTGATCTCAGTCCTTACCTGCCTCTTCTGGTCCAGTCTGTCCCCCGTCAGAGAGAAAGGAGAGAGAGGTACGAGCTGGAGGGAAAGATACCGAAATGTTGGGTTTAAATTTGAGGGTTTGGATTAAAGATGTGGAAGTTGTTTCACTGTGACCCACTGACCTGTGATGGGCAGCTGGGGTTGATGGACACACTGCTGCGTCTGTACCGGGCCGATGTCACAGGGCTGAAGACTGTCATCCCATCACTGAAGAAGAGGGAACAAAAATACACATTCATAAAGATACAGATGAAAAGGTCAATCGGGACGTCTGCTGGATGTCAATCAAATCATTTAAATATTGGCCCGTATACACAGAGAAACTGACTGCATTTTTTCAGATTTTTGTGTGAAATGTTTTTTGTGTTTTTTCATTATTATTTTTTTTGACTGCATTTGGGATTTTTTTTTTTTGTTCAACTGTTTTTGTCATGAAACTTTCTGAACGTACATGAAATATTTTGTTTGGTTTCTTAAAATGATTTCATGTATAAACACTTTCCTAAGCATATTTGTTTGAGTTTGACTACAAATGTTTGCCCGGCTGACCTTCCAGGCCACCGTATTGTAGTTCCACTGACCTGACGCTGGTAATCATGGGGGCGCTATTCGATCTCCGGAGTGCCCCGCCTCCTGTCCCACCAGCTGCGCCTGCGCACTGGTCAACTTCCATCCGTTCCATATCTTGGTGCGCAGGCCCGACGGTGGCAGCGCCAACTGCCGCCCTCCGATCCTTTGACGGCGGCGTCGGGCTCTACTCAACACCGGTGGAAGCCCGACCCGCAGGCCTCTCGAGCAGCAAACCCAGAGCCGCCGACACAGCGGACCGAAAGCTGTGTCTGTCTTTTCTCTACCGCATCTCCCTCAGAAAAACACCCTTATTCGTGTCTGACTTTGCGTCTTTTAAGTCATTTATAACCCGCAGATTCGCTTCACTTGCCGCCGTCTTCAACGAAAATTTGACGACTGCGCTAAAAAGATAAAATATACGAACCCCGCACCAAAACTGTCTTCACGAAGTTTTGCGGGACTCTAACGTCAAAACTCACGCGGTTCCCCCGGATGAACGGTAAAACTTTAAAACCGAGTCTGCACAGGTGACGTGACTTTTAGGATTAGCTGTTGAGCTAACTTGGTTTGCAGTGAAAGCAGAGCAGAAAACCGCTCAGCAGCTGTCCGATAAAGACACACCCGGGCCGGCCACACAGTCCGCACACAGCCCGCTCACACGGTCCATCCAACACCGATCAGACCCCCCGAGGAGCCACGGAACCACCGAAAATAAACAGTTTGGAAGATTTCTACAACATAGTCCTTGACCAAATAGAGGTAGTTCACCAGCTGTGAAAACAACGCCGCCGTCTGGTCAATGAGAGAACTGCAGGAGAGGACAGAGCAACAAGACGAGAGAAAGTACAGCTGTCTTTTTAGTTTCCCTGTTTTACACACAATATATGAAAGTTATAGTCATGTTTGTCCAGCTGGAAAAAAATAAATCTTAAAAAAAAAAAAAGACTTTCGACTAACACTGAATCAACTGAAGTCTTTACATTTCAAGTCAATATATTTTGCAATCCAAAAAATAAATCATGACAAAGAAACATGGTGAAAAAGTTATCACTGCAACTTATTATTTTGATCCTTATCAGTTCATTAATTTGTCTTTTCACCCAGGTATTTAATTTGCAAATGTCACAAAATGAGAAAAAAGCAATATCTAAAAAACAGAGCGAACACTGTATATATATTTGTGTTAAATTTGCATACTTGTGAGCAAAATAATAGAAACAGCGTTCAAAATACTGCACATTAACAAATTTATCTTCTGTTTTAGCTTCTGTGCAAAGCCATAGCTTGAGAAATAGAAAGTAAACAAATAAAGCCCCCTTCATCCTGAAAATACCAAATTCAGAATGAAAAAAATGCACATAAAAATCAGCTCATAGCTCAAGAATCAGTATAAAAAGTGATTAGATGTTTTTCAGGAGACACTGATACATGGTGGATTGGGTAGAGTATTGTAATCAGGATGTCCGAGGAACGCTGAAGTGTTTTTATTGTTGTTGTGACACCAAACTGACCACTGTTCCTCCAGAATCCCCAAATCCTCCATCTGCTTCCAGTCGTCATCTCCAAAAAATGGTGAAACGGGACACCAGGAGGCTCGGCCTTTAACTCCTTCACTGCCTGCAGACACTTGTTAACTCCACCATAAGCGTGATCTGCAGACACTAAGAACAGTCAAAAACACAAAAGATGCTCACAGACTTTATTTATGAACAGATGTTTTTATCAGATGGCTTTTGTCTTAAAATTTCAAAATGTTTGTATTTGAGCAGCTGGGTCCAGGAGGTTTTAAAGGGACATTACACTGATCTGCATTAAGAAAGATCTGTGTTTGTGTTTCCATGATAAAAAAAAAGACAACCAATGATGAGATTTGACTGAGAACAGTATTTTATCTATTCTACGTTCCACTCATTAACAGATACTTAAATCACTTACTCATTTTAACTGAGTACCCAACAAGGACTTCACATACTGCTACAAGTTCTGAAACTACAAACTCAACAGGTTCATTAGAAAACTGAAAATTCACAATAAATTCACACAAATAACTTTTATAAGTTCTTGAAAAACTAACAAATTTACTTCAAACAATTTGAAGGACACTTAAAAGATTCTGAAACAAGAACCAACCATCATCACCAGTTCTTTACTCAACTTTAACAAGTACCCCAAATACTTAAACTGTATCAATAGTACTTAATGTACTTTCATAAGTTCTTCACAAAACTGACAGAGATACTTAATCTTCCAATACAAGTACTTACTCTACTTTCAAAAGTTTTTAAAAGTACTGACACAAGTAGGCTACTTCAATTACCGTTATATTTACTCAATGTACTCATAATTATAGTGATACTTACGAACTACTACTTCAGCTACCTGCTTAAGAAACAGGTAGCCTCAAATACAAGAGTACTCAAACAACATGACAATACTCCTGTCAAAACTTCTTAAACTACTGGTTCAATGAGAGCTTCATGACTTACTGAGAAAATTACCTAAACTACAGTATACCAATACTACAGAAACAGCCACAACTTCACTGGAACTATTTACACAAATGTACAAGTTAAAGACTCGAAGGTCTGTAGACACAACATCTATCTATAGGCATCTTAAAGTAAACTCCTCTAACCAGTACTGTACTATTTTAACCAAAAAGACACTTAAACTGCGGACAAAGACTACTCAAAACAGCTTAATTTACGACCACAGCCACATCTTCACCGGAACTATTTACACAAGATGTACATGTTACAACAACCAAGTTAACCAACCCAAACGTTCAAGGACCAGTAGACACAACAGGTATAGGCACTCTAAATAAACTCCTCAAACCAGAACTATCCTATTTTAAGCAAAAAGACACTTAAACTGCGAACAAAAAGACACTAAAACGTTGTTAAACTGCTTTAATCACGATCAAAAGTTTCATGGTTAGTTGTCTGTAAACCCCCGTTAGCCTGCTCCGGTGCTTCCTGCCGTTTAACCGCTCGATCTCCGTCCCTGTACGGACCCAAGAGTTAAAGAAGGAAGAGTGGAAGGGGGGAGGAAGGGGAGGAAGAAGGAAAGGGGAAGGTCCGTCCTCCCCTCAGACGGAGTTAAACTACTCTAAAGCCACTTCCAACTACTTTCCTCCATGGTAAAATAAAACGTGCGTAGTTCTGAGTCGCGGTCGGTCCACGCAGCGAAGCCGGCGGGCTGAAGGGACCCGCAGGGAGGAGAGGGACGGCGACATGTCGGAGGGATCCGGGGCCGTCTGGATGTGACTGTTAGGTGGGTAAAAGCTCCGAGCTGCCCCCGCTGCTGGTAAACAACAGCGGGCAGAGGAGGCTGATTTCAGCAGGGACATTTCAGCTGGACACACCGGGGACAGAGAGTCTAGAGAGCTTTAAGAGGACTTTAAGAAAGTTTTGAGGAATCTGTGTCCAGATCGGATTTATTCAACCGATGCTTTTAGATATGAGTATAATGTAGCCTACTAGATTGATCGGTTGATGGATCAACTTGATCGGATCAATATTCATCATAGAGAATTTTCGGTGATTTAAACTCAATAATAATAATAATAATAACATAACTTTATTTGTACAGCACTTTTAAAAACAGAAGTTTACAAAGTGCTTTGACATGTAGTCATTGAGCACATGGAAAAAGACAGATTAAAACAAAAAGCTCAATTAAAACGGAATTGAAGGTTATTTCCATGTCATAAGGAACCCAGGCAATACAAGAACCATGCAACAAAAAATAAGACCACGAGGACCGAAATAAAAACATAAAATAGTTAAGAAAAAAGGAAAATGCAATTAAAAGGGGGGGTCAAAAACAGGATAGTACATATAAAAGGCGATATCAACAATGATAATGAAATAACAGGTAATACTGATGATAATAGTAATGATAAAATAGAGCAACAGAAATGAGCAAGAGATGAAACAATAAAAGGCCTAAAAGGTTAAATAAGAAAAGAGTACAAGTATAACAAAAGGCTAAAAAGACAGTAAGATAAGAAATAAGATAGAGGTAAAAGAGATGACAGAGATCAGTCAGACAATAATGTGGAAGTACAAGCCAAACTGATGAATTTATGTCTGAGAACTCTTGATTAACATGTCGTATCATAGTGTTTTAAAATAGTAAAAGTCAATTAAACTGACCCTAAATATATTTTGTGAGCTTTGAGTAAAGGATTTTCACTCTTGTGCACGTTGCATAAAAAAACATGACACTTAGTTGTGTTATGATTTTATCATTTATGTGCAAGAAATGAACTAGTGGCACCTAATACTTGCAAATATTTACATAAAGTAGCCGATAACATATTACTTTGATTTAGACGTAAAGTTAAAACTTTGTTCCAGACTTAGTTATTAATAAGGAGTGTAAAAGAAGTCTTGAATCAAAACTCTTGAACTGTTTTATAATTTCATTTCTTTTTTGATTCTTAGAGGAGGATGGAGGGAGAGAAAGAGACGGCAGAAGAGAAGGAGGAGGAGGAGGAGGAAGACAAAGGACTTCATCCGCACATCGCTGCCGCCGCCTCCTCTGTGGACTATCCAGATCTTCCCATCATGCACTGGGAGGACCTGAGCCAGAGGATAGCTGAGCTGGAGAAGCAGGAGCAGGAGAGGAGGGAAAGGTCAAAGGTCAGCCGCGAAGACAGGTTTCTCTGTTTGGTTCTTTTATGTAAAAACTACATTTCCCACAAGTCTTAGTGCCTATTTCAATTGAAGACTAGCATTAGAAGGTGGATGTAACCGCTGGATTGGTAATCTAGTGCTAGCATCGACGTGCCGTAAACCTGCATTCTCTATAAAGTCCAGCAGGGGGCGACCCTATGGGCTGTAAAAGGAGGTCTTGAGATGGTATTGAAATCTTGAATAAAAATGGTGTTTTCTTCACCACTTATAGGATATATGACTTTACAGCAGCCTACAATAAATGCATTAGTTACAGTGAGAGGATGATTCCTCCAGTATCTGGAAACACAGCAGCAGGTTCACTTTGTCTCTCAATGAATGATCAATTAGTTAATTGACTAAAGCTTTAACGGTTTGAAAGCTTTGAATTTCCCTAATTTGGCTGTTTTGGGGTTTTGACAGCCCTCTTTTTCATACCTACAGAGAAATGGTTTCAAGGGTTCTTAAAATCATCTTAGGCTACGTTCACACTGCAGGTTATGATGAAAAATTCAGATTTTTTGTTAAATCCGATCTTTTTGTGCGGTCGTTCACATTACAACAACGAATGCGGCATCTAATGTGAACGGAATGCGTCTGTGAAGTGACTCGCATGCGAACAAAGGACAAATTGCTTTCCGCACCTGTTTGTGTTGTCGAACAATAGTGATGTTTGTCGCATATTGATGACGTATAGGTCGGATGAACGCGATCTGAGCATCCACACTGCAGTCACATCGGATACATATCTGATTTATATCCACATACAAAAGAGGCCTGGGTTGGATTTGGAAAAATCAGAATTGCACTGTTCACACTTAGATGAAAAATCAGATATGTGTCACATATGGTTAAAAAATCGGAATTGACCTGCAGTGTGAACGTAGCCTAATTTACCAACATCTAGATCTTCAGCATGTGAGATGAACTGCTCACACTTCAGCAGCCACCATGTTTCCTGCAGCTTAGTTCATGACCAGGACTGTGATCCAAACCACGTTAAAAAAACTGATGTGAACTACCACAGAAAATCAGATATGAGCGAGTTATTTATAGACTTCTTTCACAAACAGTGGAGTCGCCCCCCACAGGACGTCAGATAGAATGCAGGTTAAAAGCTCTTCTGCAGATGTGTTCGAAATGACATCTTTACACGCAGTAAACTAAAGTTTGGAGCCTTACTGTCTCATCCTCTGCTGCAGACTTTGCAGATTCATTAATTCATCCCTCAGCTTTATTTAGAGAAACTCCCTGCAGAGCTGCTTTCACTCTCTGCGTGTTTGTCCTCTTTGTGATTATCTTCGTCTCCGTCTGATAACATTCCTGGAAGGATGAGAACATGTTTGTTATGGCTGTAAACACAGTTAGTGAGCTAAAAAGAGAGGAGCGAGGGAGTTTCAACAACCCTCACATTACAGAGACTCGCTGTAGACACTCAGAGCTGCATATTCAACGTTCCCTGGTGGCTTAATGATAATGTAGCTTTATAAAAAGCTTCCCAACATCAGCTCTCCCTCTCTGCTGATCTGACTGTTTTTATTTCTGTTTTCTCACCCATAAAAACCTTCAAATAATGACAGAAAACCTTAAGACTTTGACATCAGATTATCTGCTTTTTTTCCAGAAAAGTGGGCTGAGGATGGGGGAGACTCAGGGGGGAGTGTGGGGAGACATGTGGGAGGAAGAGGAGGACTTGAGGAGGTGTCGAGTTGCTGCTGTCGCATCTCGGTGAGTTTAAATAATTTGCAAATTTTGACCAAAAACTGTGCGTTAAAAGCATTTTTGATGAAAAGTTCCTCCACACTTCACTGTGAGGATAAACTCACCAGAATGAAATCAGTTTTCGGAGACGTGTGGAGGGGTGAAGTAGTATGAACATGTGTGGATGTCCAGTGTTGTCCTGCTGCAGTGTCAGGATGTTTATCGTCTGTTTACAGATTTCACAACCACAGAAACCTGCAGCTGTGCTTCATCAATGACAGCGACAGTGAAGAGGAGGAGGAGGAGGAGGGAACCAAGAAAAAGGTCACTCTGTGCTTCTGATGTAAATAATTTTAACATGTCCCTGCAGGGAAAAAACAACTTTTACTTTTTCTGATGCTCAAAGTTTTATAAATCTGGGAGTGAATACAACAACAAGGACAGATCTAGACAGAAGGAAACAACACGAGTAACCCCCAATTTCCACCGCATCTGGAACGTCTACGAAAAGGTCGTATCCTCCGATCGTAGCTGATCGTAACCATTCAAGTTAACGTGTCAATTTCCACCGGCTTCTTTCTGTTCCGCTGCGGATCACTTGACTCCACAGCTGACGCCGGAGCATGGCGGATAAATTCAGCACAGATTAACCCGTGCTGGAAAGGAAGTCGGGCACAGACACAAAATACATGTTATTGCATGATTGCACATGAATCCGCAGGTTCTTGTGAGTTCTCGCAATTCCTGGTGTCTGTAATCCGCCACAAAATTTGCCTCACAAATGGATCCGGTAGGAATTGGTGTATGGCAAAAATCGCCGCTGTTCTGGATCGGAGCCAGTCCGGATGTGGTGGAAATCCTGGGTGAGACACGCAAACTGCTTCAAGTCCAAACGGATGTAGAGCTGCCATGCAGAGCTTAAAGAAAATGCCCAGGGTTTTTTCCTAATTATTACCAAATGCAAAGTTGTTTAGAAGGAGCTGGGTCGAAAAGTGTCTCAGAAGTAGAAAGGGACTGTGACACTCAAACATGGTAGAGCCTCGTTGTGATGGAGTGCCAGGCACCTTTCAGGACAGAAGATACGCAGGACTTTGTGGTAGTTTTGTGAACAGGAAGTAGGTTTTTAAATTTGATGCAGGCTGCAGAGAGGGATGTGTTGTTTTGGGTTGGTTAAAAACCAGACGGACTTCTGCATTTTTGGACCGTCTGTAGAGGTTTGACTGAGTATGCAGGGAGGCCTGCCAGTAAGGAGTTGCTGTAGTCACTATGTGATAATACAACATCCTGTACCAGGTAGGGCTGCCAGTTAAAAATGTTTGGATATGTTTGAGTTTTTCTTTAAAAAAGGCAGTTTTCATGGTTTTAAACACTCGCTGTTTCGCTGTTCGTCTGAGGCGTCTCCTCCGCAGCCTGTTGATGAGATTTAAGTGAAAACTCTTCCATCTTTGCAACCTTAAAACACAACAATCTGACCTTTGACCTCTTACATCCACATCAGGTTTCCATGGGAACAGGTGGAAACGGTTGCCATGCCCATGGGCTGAAAAAGGAAGTGGTCATCGCTCTGAGGACGCTGAGAGACAAAGTGCTGAGTGAACAGAGAGAGAAGGAGGTAAAAAGAACTGAGAGATAAGACGGAGAGACTGAGACGTTATCAACAGAGACACACAGTGTGAGACAGTGTGTGTGTGTGTGTGTGTGTGTGTGTGTGTGTGTGTGTGCGTGTGTGTGTGTTGCAGCATCTGGCCAGCTGCAGTGACGGTGCCAATCGGAAACATCTGGAGCGTTGGGAGCTGCAGGAGTGTTCACAGCAGCAGCTCAGCAGTCTGAGAGCGACACTTCAACAGGAAGTTCACGGTACACTAAACACACACACACACATATACATATACACTAAATATACACACATTTTTAACACACGTTTCAGCTGTCAAACACTCCATCTGCAGTCTGTAAGAGGCTCTGAGAAGACTGTATCTCACGACGTCACAGATTAGGGTCCCTTGATTTAAAAACAAGGTTTTATTCTTTAATGAAACTTTTAAAAGCATTTTATATCAAACTTAAAGGGTTAATACAAAAAATATCTTCTTTCCTCTGAGACTCCGCCTCTCTGAATGTCTTTTTTATACCCAGTCATGTGACTAACCTGTTGGACATTCGCCTCATTGGTTGGAGATGTTCCTCCAGCTGTTTTTTTAGTGCTGTACAAGTTCAGTTGATTCACGGCGATAAAAACGACATGATTAAAAACAGATTCTGTGTTTGTTGTCGTTTTTCAGCTCTGAGTTCTGAGCTCGTGGCTCACCTGTTGGTACGAGACCAGCTGAGGACGAAGCAGGACGCCATGCTGCTGGACGTCCAGGACCTGACCTAACACGGGACCACAGACTGGACCGTCCACATGAACACGTTAACTCCGTAAAAATGTGAACGTTCGGACACCTTGGGACCAGGACAGGCTGCTCGTCCATGTCAGTCCAGGAGTCTTCCAGAAAGGTTAGTTAGATGGCTAATTTATGGACAGACCAGCAGCAATCAGGGAATCAAAGATGGACAGATGACTACAAGGTCGCGTTGAAAGACAGAGATGTTGTCCGGATCTGCTTTGACGCCAAAAGGTTTGGACTTCATTGGACATGAAAGGAAAGAGTCTGCATGTGACGGCAGGTTCATCTAAAACAAGCAGGAGAGAAAGAACGAGAGAAGAACGCAGTTTGGGATTATTGGAAAAAGGTCCAGCGTGCTTCTGGGTGAAGAGGTTCGAGGACCAGAGACATCAAAAAGTGTCAAAACCATCGACCTGTCCCTTTAAAACAACGATACAGCTCTTCGTATTAATCATCGTTAACTTTAGTCCTTTACTTGACCTTTAAATCTAAGATCTGAGGACAGCTCCATGAACTCAACTGTTAAAGCCAAGCAGCGTGTCTGACTTTAAATGAGCAGAAATTAAATCATGTAAGTTTACGAAAAACCTGAAAATCACAGCCAAAGTCATCACTGTGAAGAGCAGGTCTAGACTGTAAGATGGAGCTGAATGGAAATTGTGACATTATTTTTACCCAGTCTAAAATACGTAATTCATAGGTAAACATTTTGGCATTCATAAGCTAAAAGCTGCAACAGCTGATTGGTGTTTCCTGTTTCTGAATCCAGCCTCTACTAAATATATTGTTTGAGGAATTGAAAGACTGTGAAAATGCTAATTACGAAAGAAAAGGGCAGCGAACAGAACAATGACAGGAAGAAACAGAAGACATAACACAAGAGCACAAGAATAACATCACAGTGAACTTAAAACAGCAGAACAGACTGAGCTGAATGTATCCCATCATTCTACAGATTATCACGGTTTCCAAGAGCTCAAAGAGACGCATTCAAAACACATCTGTTAAAAACTAACAGCTCAAACATCAAACTTTACCGAAGTTATTACGATAAAACCCCCAAAATACTCATTCAGTCATGCTGGAAAAAAAAACATGTTTGAAAATGAAATATCTTATTTTAACCTACCGTAAAAGCCACTTATTAGTATTTTCTAAACAGAAAATTTTCTCCAATTTTAAAGAAATATTTTTGTCCTTATCAGAAGATTGACTATTTCTCTGTCCTAATGACAACACAGAAATGGTTGACATTTGAAGGGCCACTGAGAAGTAAATTTTGAGACATTAAAATACTTTTTAATTCTGTCATTAATCTCAGAATTCTAAGATTTAATGCAGATGTAATCTTATTTTTTCAGATGTAATTTTTCCCTTCTTAGAATACTGAGATTAAAGGTAGACTTTGATCTCAAAATCCTATATTTGTCTTAATTTCTGAGATCAAAATTGAAGTACTAACTGTGATCTCAAACTTCACAGAAAAAAAATGAATTCTTTGAAAAAAAAAATCAGAGTTCTGACTTTGATTTGAGATTTTTTCTTCCTCAGAATATCAAAGATTGAATTTAAACCAGAATTCTGCCTTTTCTCTCAAAAACTCGAATTTTTATGTCAGAATTCTCAGAAAAGAAAAAGAAAATGTTTAAAAATTCTGATGTTTATATTAGAAATCTTAAGGGGATAAAAAATTATTCAGATTTAAAACCCCTCAAAACTTTTTTCCTCCAGTGGCCCCTTGCTGTACATGCCAGACCAGTAGGGCGCAACAATGTGTTCTGTATTTTTCGCACTATAAGGCGCCCCTGATTATAAGGCGCACCATCAATGAACGCGTTTATTCCTGTCTATTTTCGTACATAAGGCGCACCGGATTATAAAGCGCATTCAGCCAAACAAAACAGTCAGATAAGTCAAACTTTATTTAACACATTTAATAACTCTGCGAGTCTACGGTAGCTGCAGTGCTCCGACAAGCCAAAAGGATTTTAAGTGCGCCTTATAGTGCGAAAAATACAGTAATCATGTAAAACACCATAGAAAAATGTGCGGTTGTGTGTCTGTTTGGGCGAACAGCGATTGTAAACAGCGATTTTAGAGCTGCATGTAGGGTGGCGAATTCATAACCACCGAACGTGACTCAAAAGTCGCCAAATCTAGCAACAAAGTCTATATTGCCCTCTAGTGGTCTAACATACGTATTAGAGCATTTTCAACTATTTCTGCTTATCGTGGGAAAAGAGGAACTCAGGAACACGTGTGGAGATGGTGAGAGTCACACAAAAAAGACATGACAGCAGGAAATGATGAGAGACCTCATGAGGGATTCTAACTTATCTTATTTAAGCTTTATTTTGTTTACTTATTTTGCCTGTTCTTATTTTTAAAAGGGAGCATTACACTCATACAGCATATGTAGCACGATGTAACTGTTATTTTTATATTTTATTTTTCTTCGGAACAAAAAGGGAATTTTGACCAATTTAAACAAAGACAAAATGTTAAGTTCCTGTCAGGAGTTTTGAACTGGTTTTGGAAATGGACTGAAATTTACAGTTTTGTGCCTGTTTCACCTTAAAAAGCAGACGAGAAAGCTAACAAAAGGGTGTATAGTAGGGCCCGACCGATATGGATTTTTTGGGGCCGATACTGATTATTAGGGGGGGAAATAATCCGATTACCAATTAAACAGATGATTTTTAAAATATTTTATGAAGTTATAAAAATATACATATTTATATTGTAGATATCTACAGTATACTATATACTGTTGATATATAGATTACAGATTAATCTCAAACGGGCTAAAATTGGCTGATTTAATCAGCTCACTGTAAAATCAGTCGGGCCCTAGTGTATAGATTCTCTGTTTTAATCTTTACCATGGAAGGCGTTGCATCGCGCAATTTAATTCGTGTAAACTTTTTATTTGTTTTTCCACACTCAGAATTCTCAAAGTGTGATATATACACTCACCGGCCACTTTATTAGGTACACCTGTCCAACTGCTCGTTAACACTTAATTTCTAATCAGCCAATCACATGGCGGCAACTTAGTGCATTTAGGCATGTAGACATGGTCAAGACAATCTCCTGCAGTTCAAACCGAGCATCAGTATGGGGAAGAAAGGTGATTTGAGTGACTTTGAACGTGGCATGGTTGTTGGTGCCAGAAGGGCTGGTCTGAGTATTTCAGAAACTGCTGATCTACTGGGATTTTCACGCACAACCATCTCTAGGGTTTACAGAGAATGGTCCGAAAAAGAAAAAATATCCAGTGAGCGGCAGTTCTGTGGGCGGAAATGCCTTGTTGATGCCAGAGGTCAGAGGAGAATGGCCAGACTGGTTCGAGCTGATAGAAAGGCAACAGTGACTCAAATAACCACCCGTTACAACCAAGGTAGGCAGAAGAGCATCTCTGAACGCACAGTACGTCGAACTTTGAGGCAGATGGGCTACAGCAGCAGAAGACCACGCCGGGTGCCACTCCTTTCAGCGCTAAGAACAGGAAACTGAGGCTACAATTTGCACAAGCTCATCGAAATTGGACAATAGAAGATTGGAAAAACGTTGCCTGGTCTGATGAGTCTCGATTTCTGCTGCGACATTCGGATGGTAGGGTCAGAATTTGGCGTCAACAACATGAAAGCATGGATCCATCCTGCCTTGTATCAACGGTTCAGGCTGGTGGTGGTGGTGTCATGGTGTGGGGAATATTTTCTTGGCACTCTTTGGGCCCCTTGGTACCAATTGAGCATCGTTGCAACGCCACAGCCTACCTGAGTATTGTTGCTGACCATGTCCATCCCTTTATGACCACAATGTACCCAACTTCTGATGGCTACTTTCAGCAGGATAATGCGCCATGTCATAAAGCTGGAATCATCTCAGACTGGTTTCTTGAACATGACAATGAGTTCACTGTACTCAAATGGCCTCCACAGTCACCGGATCTCAATCCAATAGAGCATCTTTGGGATGTGGTGGAACAGGAGATTCGCATCATGGATGTGCAGCCGACAAATCTGCAGCAACTGTGTGATGCCATCATGTCAATATGGACCAAGCTCTCTGAGGAATGCTTCCAGCACCTTGTTGAATCTATGCCACGAAGAATTGAGGCAGTTCTGAAGGCAAAAGGGGGTCCAACCTGTTACTAGCATGGTGTACCTAATAAAGTGGCCGGTGAGTGTAAAGTTGTTAAAGCAAAAGACAACACACCTGTTCAGAAAGATCAGCAGTTTAGAGGAATTATCACTTTGTCCAAAGGGGGCGCCAAAACTGACAAGAGATCTGCACAGGAGCTCCAATTCACTGAAAAAAAATTGGACAAATTGAATATGATTTTTTCCAATGTTTCCCTGTCCCTGTAGATTAAAAAAAAAGTAACAAATGCAGACTCTGAGCTGTCGTTCTACAGTTTGTATTTGAATTCTGGTGCCATACTTTTTAAACCGACACTAAGCTCTTCAGGTACAGTCCTCAGTTACAGCGTGAGAAAAATGCACTTATTTAGCCAGGGAAACATGCTAACATAAAAACAATTTCTGTTTTGATCTCCTGTAACTTCGGCTTTACCAGCTAAACATCGAGATGTTTTGTAATATTTTGAATAATTTTGTAACGTGAAGTTTTATTCTGATTGCAGTAAACTCTCATTGTCCATTTATTCGTTATAAATATTAAGATGATTTTAAACCACTACTACCAGCGTCCTTGGGTGCCTTACGAAGAAGTTATTATGAATGTTGTATTAATTGAGGACAAGTTACTGTAAAATATTTTTATTTTTACTCAGATATATTAAACGTTAAAGTTGCGACAGTTTAAAAATAAAATGTTTAACACAAAAATTCAGAAGTAAAAGAAATATGTTGCAATAATTGTGGTCTTATGAGTTAACAATAAAGCTAACGATGTGAAGAGATTTATCATTCACTGTGACTTAAAGAATATTTTGGAGATGTGTTTTAAAAATGTAAATAAAATAATATGTATTTGTAAATGTAAACGTTAACTGAAATATATTTTGATGTTCTGCTAATCCTCCATCCTGGTGTCGACTTTATTGAAATTGTTTTTTTTTCTCTCCATGCTGAGCTTGGACAGAAAATTTGGCATTAGCTTTATTTGGTAGTTAAAAGTGTTGTAGTCAGGATCTGAGGAAGTTCCAGTTTTTAGGAGAAATCTTGAATGTAAACTCTACCCCTCCCAACCAGTTTTCCCCTCAGCTCCTCCTCTCCCCTCCCTCTCTGCTCCACCAAGCCCCGCCCACAAACAGATGCTCCTGCTCGCTCGTTTTGTTCCAATTAAATTCAGATATAATGCAGATAAATACTTCAGATAATTATAAATGGAGCCCAGTCAAGGTGAAAGTAAAAAGCATTGGTGCTACTGTAGATGCCAACAGACTACCAGCAAACACAATGTTTGCAGGACTTCTACGACTAGGATAAAGTGACATAGTCCAGGACCCGAGGTCAACAGTTTAGCGGCGCTACAACACACTACAGCAGGTCCGTTTGACAAAAAAACACTTCTGTTACAGACACTTGGCTTACTTTGTTAAAGAGGTTTACCTGGCCAGCAGAAAGGTTACAGGGTCACCAAGATCCCCAAGCGTCCCCCATCGTTTATGTTGACCCGGCTTTTTAGCTCTTGTCCGGTCTACCTCCATTTTAAGCGCCTGTTGTTCCGCCAGAGTCTCCGGTATTTACTTTGTTTTCTTGCCTGTGTCGGCAGTCGTGGCCAAAGGAGGATTCAGACAATTTTCCGAACTTTCTGGTTGGTTTCTACTGTCCGATATTGTAGCACGCTAACTTTGTTTGGGCTCGTGAGCGACACGGGGGAGCAGCGTCTGCCTCACAATCAATCAGGTTGGGGAGGTGGAGAACGACTTTGTTTACAGTCAGAAAGAGCGGGCCGCTCAAAAATGTTAAAATGTTGACTACACAGACATAACAAAACACAGCGATATTGTTATATTACCAAATCTCATCAATAAATAATAGCTACTGACTGATATTAAAAGCTTTTTTGTATATACACCACAAAAAAAGATGCTTCTTAAACAGATTCCTGCCTACCCCACCTTTACCCGATGATGATGAAGATGGAAGAGGAGGAGCAGGAGAGGAGGAGAAAAAGGAGGAGGAGGGGCTGATGTACTGATGTTTTCTTAATCCTCAGGAAAAGAGGAAGAGGAGGAAAGACATTTGTACATCTTCAGCACCTTCACTGGAAAAAAAGGTGAGTGATTAATTATCTCTAAAAATGCAGATTTCAATCTTTTTTTGTCTTAGATTGACAGATTTATAGATTTAAATACATCGGTTACTGATTTTAGACCTCTACACATTGAGTGTCTAAAGATCATAGATTTGATTCATGAAATAACAGATAACACAAATTAAAGAGCACCGAGCATGTTTGCATAAGAGCTGGTGTATCTCTTCTCATTTTATTTACTTAAATTCTCAAGCATATAAATGTTAAAGCATGAAAGTCCAAGAAATAAGGGCAGCATTACTGTGAAGCTCATTTGCGTACATAAATGATAAAAAACAGCTGTAAACTATAATCAATTAAAACTTATAGCAGAAAATGTAAGTTCATTTAATTTAAAGTAATTAATATTTAGATTTGTGTAAAAGATCTTAGGGCAAAGCTGAAAGTCTGAATTATTTTCATTATTATAATTTCAGTTTCCATTTTTTTCGATTGAAACCAGTTCGGAGCTGTACTGGGAGCACCTCCTCCTCCTCCCCCACCTCCTCCTCTGCAGTCCCTGTATTGGGTTTCATTCCTGCAGTTCTGACTGAATGAACGCTGATCAATTATTTACAGACAAACTGAAGGTCAGGGGAGAAACCCAGAGAGACCCTTCAGCCCCGAAACAGACTCATCTGAGCCACAAAACCTCTGAGTAACCCGACGAGACCGGACGAGACAGAGAGGGCGACTGAAGGTAAAACCAAACTCTTCTAAACTTCACCATCCTGGTAAGACAAATCTACTGGCTCCTGACTCGCCTTTCAGTGACGTATTCCCTGATTTGAGTTGCATTTACTCTCATTTAGGTTCAGTCAGATTTTCACATTACTTGAGAGTATTAATAACTAAAACAGCACTGTCTCAGCTGCTGCCACGCCCCTTTAAGTGCAAAAGAATTTAAGTTTTGGCCAAAAAAGAAAAGAGTCAACTACAACTGAATTGATGCTCGGTGTGTGTAAGAGTCAAGACACAAGTACGAACACTGCAGAGACGGTGTATTGAATGGACATGGTCTTGGTGAGGTCACCTGTGTTTGCAGCAGAGTTTTGAAGCCGGTCACTGTATCGGTAATTTACAGCTGTGCCCCGATTCATAAATCTCGTAACATTAATATCTTTAAAACATCCATCTTAAAAATGTTATTTCCTGCACAGTGACAGTTCTGAACTATTCGGATAAAACCGTGTTTTGAACCGCGCTGCAAACATGTTTTTAATCTTAAAATCGGCTTTTTTGGCTCAGTGTGTTTCTGCAGTCTGCCTCAAGTGGACACTCAGGGAACTGCAGTTTTTAGTACTTCTACATTTGCTTCATTTCAGAGGACCAGAGGTTTCTACTTGGTGATGCTGGCTGTTTATGTCAGGTATTTGGACTCAGCACATTTAAGTCTAAATATGGTTTGAACTCGATTATGTGATTTAACTGGACTGCTGTCCTTTTGACAGAGGTACGTCCTCCTACAGTAGGCGGTGACACACCCCTTTTCTCCTCGTTACCATGGGATGGTCTCCCTGTTGACCAGTTACACACCAAAACAATCAACAAACAGTTTACCATTTGGCGAACAGGATATATGTTTAAAGATAAAAACAATAACACTTTGACTGCTCTGTTTGTATGATGTGACAGTTTCTCTTTTATTTTAACATCCTTCTTCATCTGTCAAGGTTGTTTTTTACCTGGCTTCCTAGCAACACAATTTTGCTATTCAACTTACGGCCAAAGCTTGAGCATGTCCAGAACGTTTAGGCCAGTTTGAGTGCAGTACAGGTGTAGACATGAACGAGAATATCGAGCCAAAGCTGCCTGATCAGTTTGTTTGTCAAACTATGGAAAGTTTGATTGACTGTGATTTCAGTCTGTTTCACGTGTTTGCTTGTATTTAAATTAAATATTTACTCTATGCATTAACTTTAACACAGCTTGGCAGTACCTACATCCAAATGAACATGAAGCACTTTATAGTTCTTACTGATCTTTTTGTTCTTGTCCTGATCTTTGTTTGTGTTGTTCTTGTTCTCAAATGTACGTCACTTTGAATAAAAGTGTCTGCTATAGGATATTGTACCTGCGCAATTTCCATTGTCACTGGAGTTTGGGTAAAGTGATGCTGTTAGCTTGTTGGCTTGTTAATTCCACTGTATTTCAATTTTGCACTTAGTCCTGTTTAAAATTTGTCTGGCTGTTAAAGTCCTGGTTGATGATCTGAGGAGCAGTTGAAAAAAACTGAGCCGTTGCGGCAGATTTGAAAAAAGCGTCCCACCCCCCACACTCAAACCTCTCCCCTCTGTTCTCCACAATAACTTATTATCGCACTTCTGAATCTCCTAACCCTAACCCAACAGAAGATGACTTTTCTCAGACGTTAGAAATAATCAATCGGAGCCCTGCACTTCTAGCCAATCAGAGGTGAATGAGGGTGTGACCCTCCCCTACTATCCCACAAGAAAAAAAAATTCGCGGCCAGGAGAGTGGGCGGGGACAAGTCGGAACTATGAAAAGGGGTGTGTCGAATACAGCAAGGTAATTGGATGGAGAGGCGGAGCAGGAGATTGACCAATGGGAGCCGTCCAGGACGGATGGCTCCCAATGGTGAACAGTTTTTTCCATTCTTTTTTCTCTTCACTTTGTGGAGATCGCACTATAGGACCACGATCGCCATGTAAACCAGGTTCATAATAATTACCAATCTCTCCAATTGTCAACCATGCCTTTAAAGCTTTAAAGGCACACTGTAAAAATAACTTTTGAAATTGTCAGTTCGGTGGATGAATTCATAAAAACAAACTATGCAAGTCCAAAATTTACCCCTTAAAACGTGTTACAACTATATGCCTCTATCAATAATAAATGTCTGTTACCTAAGCTCTCTAATGTCATAACATCCTGTCAGGAGGCACGAATGATCAAGTCAGCACATTCTGGAAAATTCAGCGTGTAATCTATTTTAAGCAGCACATTTTGGTTGGTACACACGGACACCAGCTATTGTGACAGTTTTTGACTCTGTTGTTCGGAAACACCCGATTAGATTTCAACCACAGACTCTGACAGCTGGAACAGACCCTCTACCTGCTGCACAGGGAGGAGTGCTGCATGAATGAGAGGTGTTTCTGGAAGGTGTTCGTTAATGATTGAGGGGCTAATTGTGCGAAACATTGTCTGCATCAGCAAAACACTTGTAGTTCATGGTGAACAAGCTTTTCCTGACTAATGACAGAGTGTTTCCTGTCTCTGTTACAGAAAGTCCTTGGACATACCTGAGACATGGGTCAGACCACAGCGGGGATAGATGGATAGATAGATGGATAGATGGATAGAAAAGAATGAGAGATCTGCAATGACTGAGAAGACTTGAAACACTTGGAGACGTTACGATGACGCCAGACGAACCTGAGCTGATCCAACCCCGCCAGAAATAACCTCCATCATGAGATTGAGCCAAGCCTCCAGTGTCACTCCAGCTATCGATTTGGCGGTGGCGGTGGCGGTCAGCAACCACCCAAACTCCTCTGGCACCTTGCCCACCCCTCCTTCGTCCTGCAGCATCGACGAGTCCTACAAGTACGTCTTCTTGCCCGTCTGCTACTCGCTCACCTTCCTCTTCAGCCTCACCCTCAACTCCGTGGTGCTGCTGCGCTCTTGCCGGCTTCACAGCGGTGGTTGCTGTGGTGTCGTGGGCAGCAGCAGTGGCGGGCGCCGTTGGAACACCTCGCTCATCTATATGGTGAATCTGGCCACCACTGACCTCATGTACGGTCTGTCGCTGCCCTTCCTAGTGGCGAGCTACGTGCTGAGGGATCGATGGGTGTTCGGGGACTTTATGTGCCGCCTGGTTCGATTTCTGTTCTACTTCAACCTCTACTGCTCCATCTTCTTCCTCACCTGCATCTCTGTGCACAGGTAGGACATTTCAGGAGGATAACGAGATGTTTGTTTGTGTCTGTTGATCTGTTTCTTGGCCTCTCTTCGAAGAATTCTCCAACTCTCAGTTAAGCTTTGCATGTGCAACAGGTAATATGACCAAAAAGAGGCCAGATATTAAAAAACGACCTTTCCGTGCAGAGGTAGGGCTGCTCAATTAACTCATGATTAGAATTATTTTAATTTATATTCAGATCATGATTATTATAATCAACAACTATATTTTTTCTTCTGCAAAACTTGGGTTTGTATTTTATTTTGATTTGTGCCTAAAGACACGCACTCAGACACACCTGCCTCCTCCCGCTCCTCTCCCTGCTCTCCTCTCTCCTCAGAGACCACAGTTAGCTTCTGACTTTGCGAATTATTTGTTGACAAAGCAGAACTTAACTCCAAACGAAAGCTATTGGCCGGGTTCTACAAACCCAGTTGGAAATCACAAACTGAGCAACTAAGACTCAAACGTCCAATCCAACCACTATCAAAATCACCTGGGTTTCTGTTTCAAGGCAAGAGGTCATTCTGACCATCGTTTATAGTCACACTGGCGATTGAAGACACACAAACCAAGTCTAAAATGACAGACAAGGTCCACAACCAGCTGCACTGATAAGCAGACGTGTGTTTGTAGGGATAACAAAGTATAAACTAAATGATGATGATATTGTAGCTGATAGCTTCTGGGCTTGCTTTCCCCTATCAACTGCCAAATGGGCATGGATTCGAAAAACCCAACTCATAAAATGCTCCATGTTAGGTTTTAAAGGCCTGTACTGAGTGCTATAAGAAGTTGAAAGTTGCATATGTCCTCGTGTTGACCAACTGCATAAAGGAGGAAGTCTAACTCTGGGATTTTTCAACACCAATTTGATAAAGTCGGCTCTTTACATTTCATCGATACAGATACATGTTTGACTTTGGATTGATAAAATCTACACTGGAGATGAAACTATTGTAAATGGATGGAGACAGAAGTAGGACATCATTGGTTAACAAACTGGATGAATACAAAACCTAAATGGTTAACTGAAGCCGTGTTCTGGGGTCAAAGATGATTAATACTAAAACCCGAGGTCACAACTCATTGTTCCTGTTCTCCAAGAAAAGTGCTGCTAAAGCACTTTGCTGAAAACATAAATTATTGACCCATGTTTTATGAACTTCGACTTGACAGGAAATCCAAAGTGCTTACTAACAAGGCGAGCATCAGCAGCTAGTGAAATGTTAGAAACAGAGTCAGGTTAATCCGAGTTCACAGCCCTAAAGTTGCTGAGCTGGCTTCAGACCTGATCCCTGTTCAGTGATTAAAAATATATATTCTACTTGTTGAGAAGTGCTCTGAAATTATAGTTGTTTTTGCTGTCAGTGCAAAAATATGCGGTAAATGGACACAGATCCTTACATGGCAAACCAATTTTGGCCCCCACTAATTTTTGGTTGAAAGGATGCAAAGCACAAGAACTACTAAGCGAAATCTTCGCTTATGTGCGAAATCTTTGGGAAAGACACAAGTCAACAGTTAGAAACTGACTTCAAACTTTAGTGATACACTGTGTTTAACCTTTTCAACAAGCATCCAGCCCTCTTGGCTAAATCAAGATAATAAAGCTAAATGTCGCACTTCTTGCTCATTGATAGTCTTGTTGTCCTTAAGACTCGGGGACAAGCCCAGATAAGGTGGAGAACATCCAATCAGTGAGGCTGAAAATCCTTTTGAAAACTCTAAACCCTGGCTCCTCACCTAGTGTACCTATTTGTTTTTCTCTTTGCTAGCAGTATCAGTGGGGTGATACTCACCTCTGATCTTCTTTCCTTAGGTACCTGGGAATCTGCCATCCCATGAGGACCATTACTCTGGAGAGCAAGCGGGTGGTGAAGGGGACCTGTGCATTGGTGTGGGTGGTTGTCTTCATCCTCACCTGCCCCATCTTCAGGTTTGCTCAGACAGGATTGGTTCGTCGAGGGGGTGGGGCGGTGGAGTCTGAAGGGGGTGGTGATGACAGGAATGGTACCGGACCTCAGTTTGAGGACAAAGAGGGGTACATGAACTGCTGGGACGACGCCATCGATAAGGAGTTCGCCGACTATGTCCCTTATGGCATCGTCCTCCACCTGATAGGCTTCTTCGTGCCTTTCGTCATCATCGCCTGGTGCTACTCGCAGGTGGTCAGGACGATATTTCAGACCTTGCGCTCTCCACCCAGTTCCATCGAAGGTGGTGAGGATGGTCCAGTGGGGGACTGGGTCACAGAGGGAGTTAGGGACCGGGAACGAACCTCGGTCTCAATCTCTGGCTCGCAGTACTCACACTACATCCGACGGCGACGGAAATCCATCAAAACTATCGTCACCATCACACTGCTGTTCGCTCTCTGCTTCCTGCCATTCCACGTGACTCGGACGCTGTTTCTTCTTCTACGGCGAGGGCATGGCGGCTGCAATGTCATGAAGACTGTCTCCATCTGCTACAAGGTGACCCGCCCACTGGCCTCCTGCAACGCCTGGCTCAATGCCCTCCTCTACTTCCTGACGGGGGATAAGGGCGCCCCCTGCTGCTGGTCTGTAGAACACACTGTCCGCAGAGATCCCAGGAGTGGCTCCCTCTGGTGGCCACTGAAGATCCTGAAAAAAGAGGGAGCTGGAGAAGAGGACCAGGAGGCGGCTGAAAAGGTTGAAAGGGAGGTTCACATGGAAAACGAGTCCAAGTCATCAAGGGTCATTTTCTAGAGGGTTCTTGTCTTTTTTTTTCTCTCTTCAAAAGACTTTAAAACAATGTGTTGGACTCGAAAATAATATTGAGAACTAAAACTGACAGTTGCACAGTGCTGCGGGACATAGGTAGAAATTTTCACAGTAAGGGTACTCTGGGTGGATGCACATTTTTACTGAGTGATTGTCTGAGGGTTTGAAGAATTAGTTGATGTGGTAAAGAAGAACGGCAGGTGGAGTTTTTTCTTAGTCGGTGCCATAAAAATTGCTGGAGAAGAAGTCACAGACTCCACATTATTGCTTGAAGAATGGAAAAACACATTAAAAGCATAATGGATGTGGATTTTTTTGGTTTCATTTATAAATGTAAATGATGCTTTTTGTGTCCCCTAAGAGATCTGAACCTGGATATTCAAACTTTTGCAACTTTTTTTGTCATATTTCAACATTATTTTTTTAATTAGCTGGTATTTGGGTTTTTTTCAATGTGTTTATTTTGAAGGTGATAAATGTAATGGACCTGACCAATGCTTTAGCTATCTTCCATGAAAATGTATAATTTTTTTCTGTATTTGGATCAGGAACTTTTTGATCAAACAGCGGTAAATATTCTGAGCCAGAATGGATATTTGATAGGAGACTGTTTATACAGACACCCATCAGTTCATAACAGTTTAAGGGCCTGTTTCCATCAAAAGCATTTTTTGTTTAAACCTTCTTTTTTAGATTGTTTTTTTTTTTTTTCTCTGGTGAACTTTATAATTAGGGCTGTAACTTTGTAACTTAGCAGTTTTAAATATACCTTCAAATACAGACATATTTCAGTCGATAACACTTAATTAACACTTACTTTTAAAACTGTTTTTTTTCTTTGTTTTGTTTTTTTTGAATATGGAACATTTTGATCTAACAATGGTGAATGTTTTGAATATTGTCTTCAAAACTGTAACTTTAGAATTTTTGACACCTGATTACAAACACACACCAATCCATAAAAACACTGTAAGGGCCTGTGCCCACTGAGTGTTTTTGTTATTATTATTATTGTTTGTGCTTGCTGCTCCTTTTTTCATGCTCAGGGAAAGTATTTATTTACAAAGAGTAACAAAATATTGGGTCAAGCACAAAGACAAAATAAAGGAAATGGTGGGATGTACATATACAATGATTCATTTCCTGGATAAAGGACGGGATAGAAAGATGAAAAAGAAAGAAAAAACTGAAATAAAACCATGTCTTTTCAAGTTCACAAAAGACAACCATAAAGTGCTATCATAAAGATGAATATCTGCTCATACTTCCATATTATCATAATAACAAAGGCTACAGAACAAACTTAACTCATTATTGAAGGAAAAGTTGCTGGTAATACTAGGACATGATTTTATATACTGTTTTAACTTTCTTTTTTTTTTTTTTTTAAATATCATCAAAAATGTGGGGGTATATATTTTCATATGTAACAAATTTTTAGTAAAAATGTTCGATGTCAATACTGTACGTAGGCAAAGTTTCAAATGTGATGTCACGAGTGTTGAAATAATTCCAGAATGAGACGGCATGCTAGTTTCTAAATAAGTCAAATATTACATGAGATGACATCCTACACTGGTCTTTTTCACATGGTGTTGATTTTTCCCTTTTCAAATGTTGAGAGTCAGATTTGGGGCCCAGAACAAACACGAGTATTTCAGAATTTCCCATCTGAAATGAGGATACATGACTTTGGAACATGACAACAGTAAAGGAGGCTTCTAGAATGCCAGGCCTTTGAATGGTGGGCTCTCAAATCCTTGATCTTGGAATATTTGGTTTTGGAATGTTTAAGGAGTTGTTGTTTGATACATCTTAACAAATACAGTCTGGGAACAAAGCACAAGTAAAAGCCGTCAACTTAAGACTTATTTAGACTTTTTAAAAACCTGTAAACAGTGAAAGTCATTAAAGTTATAAATTAAAGTTATCTGCAAAAGTGATGTCTTCAAAATTCATGTTTTACCGTCAAGGCCAAAAACCCAAATATATTAAATTTTAATGAAAGAAATTCAGAAATCCATCAGTTTCCAGCTTATAAACCGCAAACATAAGGAGGCCAGTTACACACTATAACTCCCGTATCTACCATCTAGAGGCAGGAGCAAACTGTGACAATTAAACAAGACCTTTATTTTGAAAGAACCATTTAAAAATTTTCCAAACATTTCAAAGCATTGATAAATTTAAAAAAACATCTAAAGAGGGTTAAAGGGCAATGACGCCTCTTTTTTAGGACTGATTTTAGAAAACTTTGCACAGACCTGACCCCTGGACCTCTGTGATGTAAAATCTGATTCTGTGATGTTGAGCATAAACCGACTAATTACTTTTTTATTCATGTTAATAAAAATATACCTCCTCTAAAACATGTAATCAATAAATGTGAGTCTTAAAATGGTGAAAATACTCTTTTAAATAAACCTTTTTCAGTGTCTTAATGTACTTCCCCCCGCAGAGGTCGACCCTCTGCTCGCTCTGCTTCCCGTCATGTCGTTATTTTGGAGCTCAGATCAGTCTGTGATGTCCCGCCTCTTTGTCTTGTGTATTTTCAGTTTTTGTGGATTAAAGTCTGTTGTTGACTTCTGCTGAGTGTGCCGGCCTCGTTCATGGTTAACGCGTGGATCCGCTCCTCTCAAATGATTAATCAGCTGAGAGATCATGTGACCACGGCGCCTCTGAAACTGCTGATTATTTGATTATATTATATTACACTGGTCTTTAAATTTCTCTTATTCTGAGTCCAAAATAACCCCTGATCCACTCAGTTCAGGTAGTCAGACTCTGAACTCATTTTAACGTTAAAAATACCTTCAGTGGTTTCTGTTCTGTAGAAATTAACAATAATTGATAACAAAGACATTTTCATTGAAATAATAAGATGATGATTAGCACTACTGAATAGTGTTGGTGATTTAAAACAGTTATAAAAAAGATTTCAGCTATTCACTGGCTGTAGTTAAGTTTTTGATATATCATGGTGTGAAACCAAAGACAGTGATGTTTCTGCTGTGAACTCTCCTCTTACCAAAATCCAGTTATCTATGAAACATTTAGAAGTCAATTTGGCTGTCATCAAAATACATGATCCAAGTATGGCTAACACCAGCAGAGCTAGCACCACCAGCTTTACCCATGTTTTAATACCTACATTTTCACGCAGCCTATATACGTTAATAATACTGACTAACCACAATCTATACTATTACATGGAAGATATCAATCAAAGTGAGAGCCCCATCTGGTGGCAGGCACCTGTACTACAGATTAGACACAACATAGACCAGAATTCCAAACTGAGAATAATGAAAATAATGATCATAAAACAAAGTTTAAGGAGGAAGCAAAGATCGGATTAAAAATCCTTATTATGGCGTGATCAGTTAAGTCGCCCACTACACCCTGAAGCTCTATCTCCGTCTGTGGTTAAGGCACAGTGGCATTAAAAAAAAGCTAAAGCTAAACTATTTGACTAAAACATTGAATGATATGATGAATTTTCAGGAAATAACAATTTTGGTAGAAGGTCCTCTTTAAACCAGCATTATGGCAGACAAAAGCTGAACATGCTTAGTTTGATGAAGTTCGTGTTTTCACACCTGCCGTTCAAACGGTCATCGGTCATTGACGAGCTCCCACTCGGAGTTGCTGACCAGCCTGTAGTTAAGCAGTCGGTAGTTTTCAGGGTGAATCTGTCGTTGTCTATAAACCTCCTCGTACAGACTGCGCACAGCAGGTGGGATCGGCTGGAAGCCGGCGTTGTGAGCCAGCGTCCGGCAGTACTCCCACTGATCTTGCTGCATTATCAGCAGGTGGCGCTGCTCGACTCCCTGTGCCAGCTTGCCCTCCAGTTCTTGCCGGACCTCGTCCTCCATCTGGGCCTGAGACGGTAAAGTTACCGAGCCCTCCAACACCGCCAGAGCGAACTGGACCTGAAGAGATCATATTTCTGTGATGTTGTGGTTCCATTGATTCTTAATCTGGAACAAAACTTCATAAACTTTTTAACCTATAAAGAAAACTCTAAGATTTATATTAAAAAACACAATCCACTCAGAAGTTTGACTTTGATGGTTTGTTTGTTTTATTCTTATAAATTTATCATATTGAAATGTTTTGGTTGACCTGAATTAGTTTTCATCATGTTTATTTTATAGTTCGGATGAACTGTCTGATTTAAGATTCTCTATAAATAATGTCTAGAGCTGTCAGGTGTCGTCAAATTCAGACGAATTAAACTAAACTTGTAGACTGTTAATATGTTTTCTGTGTCTAATATTCACATTATGTACCCGGTTCAAAGAGTGGGTGGGGAATTTGAAAAATCAACCTGTGGATTGAATGTTTAAAAAAAATAACTGGATTCTTTTTCTTGGTTTGGAAAAACATCTGGATTAGTTACATCTTTATTTAATGTCCCACAAGACTCAATTCTTGGTCCCGTGCTGTTCTTGCTCTAGAGTTTTTGGCTTAAAACTAAGAATGATCTACAACACCAGGATGGCCTCATAAAGAAAACCAAAACCTGATGATCTGATTTAGCTGTGAGCAGCCAGTGTTAAGTCTGCATAGAGACAAGACAAAGCTATTCTGCAGGTTCAGTTCAAGCAGAACGGCAGATAACTTCATCGTGGATATCAGAAGCCTCCAAAGTCAACTTTTTGGGTTGTGGAATCTGGAATTGTTGGTGGTGACAAAATATTACATCTTTGTTAAATATGGAGTCCCACAAGGTCCTTTTCTTGGTCCTGTGCTGTTCTGTCTTATTCAAGCTCATTAACACTTATTGTACTTTTTTTCTACAGGAACAGACAATCTGAGGAAAAATCCAGGATAGTCCAGGATTCAAATGTTAAACTGACAAGTCGAATGTATTTGGAAACACTCAAAGGTTAGTGAGTCATGAATTCACCTGGCAGTGAAAGTTGGGGAAAGGACAGATGATCTTGCAGATGCCGATGAAGAAGAGTGAAGAGAAGGCAGGAGGCACCAGGTGGAGGTAGAGTGGAGACATAATGTGGTCCTGGATGTCCAGACCCAGCTGAGCCCCGTCCAGGAACGGATACCTGAAGTTGTATCCGGTGCAGAACATCAGGACGTCAGCCGAGCTCGCAGTGCCGTCCTGGAAGAAGACGCTCTGATTTTAACATCCTGGTGGTATTCACAAGTTACAAGTAAAAAGTGTAGGTCTGATGATCAGCTGTGTAGATTTCTACAGAACCTAGACACAAGAATCAACATCCACTGGACTTTTTGCACAGTTGGATGATAACATCAGAAAATTGTCGACATACTGACACATTTGAGTTTGACAGAGAACAGAAACCAAACTCCAGATTATGATGATAGACTTCAGTGACCTGAAAGCGGATTTTTCCATCCTCTCTGACTGCAACCACAGGACTGGACTGTTGAATCCCAGGAGGAAGAGGGAAAGTTAAATGAGGATGACGATGACTCAGAGTCACCTGGAAATAGAAACAAATACAGTTTTTGGTAAAAACTGAACTATTGCCTTGGGTAACAGTCAGAGCTGGGGTGTTTTGTTTCTTACCTGAGCACCAACTTTGGCCAGCTCAAAGGAAATGTCCAATCCTGAAGCTTTGGCTCCCAGAACCACCACAGACTTACCTGAGAATGGTTCTGGATGCCTGTAGGCATGACTGTGGAGCACCTGTCCTACAAACAGAGACATCAGGTAAATGTTAGACACAGATTAGTTTAGCTTGAAGACCAAAAACAGGAGAACACTAAGAGTTAGGGTTAGGTATGAGGGCTATACTTGTGAGCACCAGGGTGAGAACCTGTTTCATTCATTATTGTGGACCCGAACAGACCACCTGTGATCCCTGACAGTCAGTAACCTCCCAGATTAAGACGCCAGGCCTCTGTGGTTCATTCTAGACTAAAATTGGAGATAATGTTTGGACCTTGCGTCAGGGTACCTTTAAAGTTCTCAATGCCTGGTATGTCCGGGATGTGAGGGTCTGAGTAGTGCCTTCAAGACAAAAAAACGCAAAGAAAATCTGTTTTGATGCAAAATTTTAATCAATAAAAGATGAGGACAAAGAGTAAAAGAAGGAATAAGCTGTCATGTCTCACCCTGAGCAGACAAAGACCGAGTCAAAGGTTTCTGTTTTCTGTCCACTGGACGAGTCCAACGACGTCACGTCCCATGTCGTCCTCACCTTCTCACCCGCCTCTGTCACGATAACTGGTTTCACGTTTTTCACGACTGTGTTAAACTGAAACACACAAATATAAAAGATAAAATTAAGACCAATGTTGTTCTGGTCTCTTTTGAATGAAGACCCAGAAACTGCAGTTCCTCTTATGTCCACTAGAGGCTGTCATTTAAAAGTAAATCCAGCTCTGTAGAGCCCAATATCTTGGCTTTCATTAAATCTGGACTTTAACAGAAAGCTTAAATTTTTGTATTTTATGATTTTTAGAAATTTATTTTGATTTTATAGTCATGGGCATCTACAAAAACTATACATAATAATTAGGGGTGTGGCCACTTTGAGTGACAGGGGGAGGGGCTTGCTGCCACTTAGGTGTTCTCTACAGTCTACAGGTAATCTGCAGGTGGACTCACCCTGATGTGAGGCCGGATGTGGTGGCTGTCGCAGTACCTCTCCAGGTACCTCTGGACCTCCTGATGGGGCAGGAAGCTGCTCAGATGGGAGTCGAAAGGGAAATCAGGAAACATCATCACCTCCTTTGGAAGGTTGGTTCTGTGGGGAGGAGGTCAAGAAAGAGAACCACCATATTTTATTAACATCAAATTAGGTAACGTGACTTTACATGATTATATTTCAAATCATGAGCTGATTTGTCGACACAGAATATTTTCAGTGATTGAGATCAAGGTTCAAAGTCTACTCAATATCCCGATTTCCCAGCCTTTTCCTTACACTTCAGATTGATTATCTTATGTTTAATAATAAAAATAAAAATGAAGGAAGGTACTACATAAAAAAAATCATGTCTCAGTGAGGTGATCTCCATCACCTGTGTCCTACCTGAGGTTTTTGTACATGCTGCTGTGTATTGGCAGGCCATTGTCATACGTCCCAACTCGATCGTCGTAACACCATGTGCCTCCGATATTCTCTGTCAGTTCATAAACCACCGGGGGGGTGAACTGGTTCAGGCGGGACAGGATATGTCTGGCTGCACAGAGTCCCGCCGCCCCCGCACCGACCACTGCCACCCTCTGCAACATCCTCTACCTCCTGAATGAAATAATTTTATCATGGAAAATTAAAAACAATGACAAAATGTGACAGTGTCATTGATCAAACACAGTATCAACAGAGAGACCTGCTCTCTCTGTTGATACAGAGAGAGTACATACCAGGGTATGTACGCTCATACAAGTACAAGTACATACCAGTACATTCACCTAAAAGATTCAGTTCATTTGAACGAATCATTTGCGAACGACACAACAGTGGATTGGAGGAGGATCTGTCAGTGTGGTGCCTGACAGTTAACTTGTGATTTTTGTTTTTGCTCTAATTATTAGATATTGATCTAACAACAACTGTTGACATCTATCAACAGCGCATCTATATAATACAGGAGTTTCACTTTTTGAAGGGAATGACTGAAATAAATCAACTTTTTGATGTTATTCTACTTTACTGAGATGCACCTGTAGCTCAGTAAATCCTCACCAGTCTACAGTGTATACTGTAATTTACCTGTAGTTACAGGTAAAGTCAGAGGAGACCTGAGACTTTGACCTGGAGAGACAGGACGCTGTTTGAGTTAAATTTAAGCTAAACAAACAATAATTAACCGAGTGCAGTCAAACAAAACAAGCTATAGGTTGAGCTGCGCGCTGTCATGATAAAGAAAATTAACCTTTTAAGCTGAAAAACGCTCAAACTATACGGTTAAGTTGATTTTACAAACACAAAAACGCGAAACTGGACAGTTTAACCAACGTCACCCACGTGAAGTCACAAACTGCGCATGTCCGTCAGAGAACGTCTGCAAACAGCTACGTTAGCTAGCCAGCAGTGTAGCCATATTTCACGATTACACGTCACTTTCACTTAAAAACAAAGATGTAATCAGAAAAACAAATACCGTTGTGTCAAAGTGTCGTCTTCTTGCTCTAATCGGTCTTGACGGTCCGCTGCGGAAATAAATGAAACATCACTAGAAAGTCGACCGACCAGCGGCACAGAACGGCGGATGTCTGTCCAACAGAAGGGACACAAATTACTCCGGAACACCTTTGATACCAAATATAATGACATGGGTGTATTAAAGGAAATTGTTTCTTCCTATTTGGCATATTCAACGTAGATAACTTCCGACTAGAATCTTTCAGAATAAAAGCCTGTTCAAACAGACGTAATTTTAACTACTTTTGACCAAAACCCCGTTATTTTTAATTTATTTTTTAATCGACATACATATTTTTGTCTGTGGCTAAGATAAAAAAAAGAAACAGGGTGATGATTGTCCTGTAAAAAGCTGTATAGGATTTTTTTTATACCAGAGACTTCAACAAAAATTCTTATAATTACATTTATGATTATTTAGCAAATAAGTATTAACAGGTAATCAAAAATACTTTTTTTTTTTTTTTTTTTAGAATTCTACAGCTTACATTTTTACAAATATAATCAAAGTTATCAAAACGATCAAATAAATAAATGAATTTTAAGATTTTTATTTAAATCATAAAATTATCACCCAGCAGACCCTTTTAAAACGTAAACCCACTGTTAAATTTTGTGTTATCATCAGTGTCACTTACAGGGACAGAGAAGACAGAGATTAAATTTAGCTTAAAAAAACTATTCAGTACTTATATTTCAGTTAACAGCAGTCTAGAGTTCAACCTGCTGAAATTAATTGATCTTATCAAATTACCAAAACAGCTATGCTTCAGATTTGTCATATTTTACTAAAAAGAAACAGGGAGATAAGAGAATAAGGCAAGAAACCTCTCTTTAAATGAATACAGTCTTATCTGAACACTGAACTCTGAGTGTTTTTTCATTTTCTTACCTAATTCTTCATTGAGAGGGTATCTGGACTTGTTTGAGGTTCTTGAAGATGTTCCCCCTCTCTTCCAAAAGGCTCTTTTTAGTTCTGGAGTAACTGAGGCCAAAGTTGAAAATTTTGGTCATCCAGATGTAAAAAGGCTGGGTGGTCACTAGGGTTGTTAACATGGTTTCACCTTGGGGGGAAGCTCCTGGGTTTCTTCAGGTATGCCATGCTTGCATAATGTTTGAGCCAGCATGAAAGCATTGAGAGCTCCACCCTGGATTAATTCCAGTTAGCAGCACAGGATGCAATCTTAAAGAAGATACCGGAACCTCTAGACCTGCCCAACCAGACTTACGAACAGTTTTACTCACCAGGCAGTCAGAAAGCTAAACTCTCTTCCTCCTCTGCCTGCAGAAACACTGGAATCTGAACCCCCTCTCACCCCTTATTGGACACATAGTATTTGCTGTATAAAAAAAATCTGCTGCTTACAGAATCACCTGGTTGTTTTTTTGCACAGTAGAATCTTTTTTTTTGCACTACAACTCCATTGTTTGTTGTATCAAGAGGCATGTGAGTTGAAAGAAAAGTTCTCACTGCATCGTCTTCAACATACTCTGTCAAACTTAGACTCTTAATATGAAACAAACAGTTGTCTTGTATTTAGACCAATATATTTATTTGTATTTGTGAAGTCTGCAGAGGGCGTCTGGGGATGACAGATGTTTCCACTGACGCTGATCTGCCGCAGGATCTTCTGATGTTGTTTTGTGCTTTCATGTTTTTTTTTTTTCGCTTTAAAAAGCAGAAAATCTCCCAGAACACCCGTCTCATTAATACAACAATACGCCTCAATGCTCACAGTTAATTTCCCTGAACATTTCACACCTGTTTACAGACATTTTGCAGTAGAGCAGCAGGAGAAACTGAGCAGGGTTTGGGAGTTTCATGCATGTGTGAATACAGCTGTAAACAAACATATCTGCAGCTACGAAGACAGATCTATCAGGGCTGGTTTACAGGTCGGCTGATCCGTGGTGGTTTCTCTCCTGCAGGACTCTGAGTATGTTTCTTACTAGGCTGTAAAATGTTCCACTCAGTTTATACTCTGGTCACAACCACAGCTGAGCGACATCTTCAAAAAAGTCAAAACAAGATAGTAACAAAGGGTCCAATGAGTCTCAATCATCAACTCCAGTCCCATGTCCAGTCCTCCTTCATTATCACTTTGTGGTGGCGTTCCCGTGTGGCGGCGGCTGCTGTTGGGGTTGCTGCTGCTCAGCGAGCGCCTGCTGCAGACGGGTGCGTTTCCTAGAGTAGTGCTGCCAGTGAAGGAGCTGCTGCTCATCGATGAACTTGGCACACTGAGCGTTGACCAGCTCCTTCCTGAAATGTTCGTACTGCAGCAGCTCCAACATGTGCAGACAGTGAGGATACCTGCAGAGAAGGAAGGAGACAAGAGAGGAGAAAGGAGACAAATGAGCTTTATTTGTCCTTGCTTGCTTTATTTAAAACCTCGGACTCCTCTGACAATGACAGGAAGAGATGTGTTGATGCTCCGGCAGGTTAACAGCCTGTTATATCAGCAACATGATAGTTGATGGGTCACACTGTGTCCACTAAAAGTTCTTGTTTTTATCCTTGGCCAGCTCAGGTTGTTGTTTTAAGTGACATTATTACAGAAAAGGTCCCTGCAGAGAGAGTTCTCTTTTTCAGAGAAGTCCCCTGGTGCCTCTGCACCATGTTCACATACCTGCGTTTGCAGATGCAGTGTTAAACTTATCTTAATCGAGTCTGGTCGCTTTGGAGAGAACAATGCAGCATCTCTTTTTTGTTAGAAATATAGACAATTCACTCCCGTTGAGTTTCCAGGGGGTGGTAACTTGTAAAAATAAAAAGGAGAGAAAGCCAGAGAGGCGGGTCTTACTTGAGGAACTTGGAGTACTCAGGCTCCTTCCAGTATAGCAGGTACTTCAGGTAGTTGATGAATGGTCTCTCTCTCAGGACGCCTCTCTGAGCCAGAACTGAAGACACAAAAACAGACGGTCATGTAAACTGTATGACAGCGGTAAAGTGCTTCTGCTTTTTCAATAGAAAAAATGGTAAAGTACAATAGTTTAAGATCTGCAGCTCAATGTGACAAAAACTAAGGAGCTGATAGTGGATCTGAGAGGAACAAAACACCTGTGACCCCTGTTTCCATCCGGGGGGGGGGGGGGGGGGGGGGGGTCCCAGTGGACACTGTGGAGGAGTAAAAGTACCTAGGGGTGTACTTAAACAATAAACTGGACTGGACCAAGAATACTGAGGCCGTCTACAGGAACGGTCAAAGCCGTCTCTATTTCCTGAGGTCCTTCAACATCTGCAGGACGATGCTGAGGATTTTTTATGAGTCTGTTGTGGCCAGTGTGATCTTCTTCACTGTTGCGTGCTGAGGGTCGCTGTCTCCAACAGACTCAATAAACTGATAAAAAAGGCCGGTGATGTTGTGGGGGTGGAGCTGGACTCCCTGCTGGCTGTGTCAGAGAGGAGGATGCTGTCCAAGCTCCACTCCATATTGCTGAGCACCTTCAGCAGAAGGCTCCTTGCTCCACGACGCACCACGGAGCGCCACAGGAAATCTTTCCTGCTGGTGATCATCAGACTTTTTAACTTCTCCCTCAGAGACTCTGATACCCTCAGTCAGTAGTTTTAACCTGGACTCTGCTCACTGTTTTACATGCAAACAATTTTACTATTTGTGTTGTATATAGTGTAAATACTTGTATATTATCTCTATATTTTTACTTATCTATTATTTATCTCCTCTTGTACTGTATTTGCACTGGAGTACTGTGACAAAAAGCAATTTCCCCCAGAGGATTATAAAAATGTTTCTGATTCTGATAAAATACTGATCCCTTTAGGTTTCTGCTACTCTGCCTTCAGACTTCTTCTCTTAATATAAATTTAACAACACAAATATTGGATGTTTTTCCCCTGTCACTCACAGTTCAGGTAGTTTGGGTTGGCCAAACACTGGACGAACTCCAGTTCTGACTGGAAACGATTCCTGGCCTGCTCCTCTGGAAGAAAACACACAGAACAACATTTTAACCTCGAAGCACCAAACTCCATTATAATATCTGATGATTTAAGCAGCTTTGTTCATCAGCTACCAACAAAAACACGAGCTTATAAATCGGCTGTTAGGCAGGGTGGTTCACCAAGAAACACTTGATTAATTAAAGCCACATAAGCAACGTTTTGACACTGTCAGAAAGTATAAAACGGATGGAATTTCTCACCTAAATTTCACTGTTTAAACGCGATTTATTTGCCAAATCGAAATGGAATGTTTGCCGAACTAAACAAGTAAGCCTTACTTAAACAGAAATAATAAATCCGACCCCTGAAGTTTAAAACAACTCATTGAATTAAAATTCATAGTTTTTTAAATGGAGTTCTGTCCTTTCATGAATAACTAACGCTAGAACGCAAATATCAGAGACGAAGCGTCGAAATCTGTTACATACCTGTTTCCATGACGACACCTTCGCTACGCTCTAACAACCAAAAACACTAAAGAGCAACTATAGAGCTAACAATGTCAACTGTTGTACTGAAAAAGAACTTCTCTGCGTCTTTCTTTGTTGTTGTTCAACAGTCACCGTCGACAGTTAGACGCCATATTTACCGGAAATCATATCCTTTCCGACCTTCTTTACCACTTTACGGTACTTGCTTTTCACACTCAAACCGCTAGAGGGCGAAATTTACCAACAAGTTCCTGACACAAAGACTCCCACAAATCGGTAATAACTCAGATTTGATGCTAATTTCAGCACAATGTTACCCTTTAGAAACAAATGAGAGGGAGGGCATTACAATTTTTTTAGGAGGCACACTTATTTAAACCTGTATTTTATCTGCTTCAGCCTTAACGGCAGCTCCGTGGCCACTCCTACAGTATTGAAATGTTATTTTCTCTCAGTAACAGGAGGCAATTTGTCTTTAAATATATAGAAATAAAACAAACAAAATACAGTAGTGACTGCACTGCTGTGTTTGGGGATATTCTGTGCCAAGATCACTGGGTGGTAATGGCTTGCTGCTGTTCCTCGCAGCTGTAACGTTACCACGTAGCTGCAGTAATGTGCTGTGTGGCGCTAGCGCTGCTTCCTGCTTGCCCCGCCGGTGGTTGTTGTCCTTTTTTGGCGAATAAAAGAACCTCTGATATCCATTTTAATAGACCGCCAATGCTTACTGCCTTCCGCCACGCTGAGTCCGTCTATATATGACCTTTGACTCGGTAAGCGGCCCGTACCCCTTTACCTGTCACGTTGCCTTCGATCGATTGGATTGGTTTGATTGATTGACGTGTCAAGATAGATGGGATTAACTGGTAACTAATCACTACAAACTTTGCTTTTAGTCCAGGGTGGGCACAGCTGACTCGGTGGGCGGGCACGGCCCCCCAATGCCCGCCCGTGCCGCCGGGCCTGTTTATAAGTATACATTTGACGACGAAACATGAAGTAGAATAGATGTCACTATCCATAGCTTAAGGTTTGTACATGTATTCTGAGCAAAATCATGTATTTTGACAAAGAAATTAACTATTATTAGGCTTGATTGCTTTGGAATTAGTGAAGCATTTTCATTCATTTAGGATGTTTTTAAGTATTATGATAACCGCTGACTTATTTCAACAGAAAAATGCTTTATATATTAAATAGACATGTATCAAAAATACAACTATAGTTGAGTAAAACTGCAGACTCACTATAATCAGGTCTAAACTCCTGCATGTGGGCGGATAACTCACATTATTAGAAATAAAATAATCAGAAATCAAGGATTTTCATCACACTTTTATTCAAAGATCAAGTTTTATTAACAACAAATAAAACTGTTAGCAACATATTGGTACAAAACACCAGAGGTTACATATATACAATACACATTCACGAGTTGACACACATTTACCTCACTGAAAACCCAAAATTTTAAATAGAAAACAACACAAATACACATCTAATCACTACAAATACTTTTAATTCATAGAAATAAGAGTTGTTTTATCCCCTTTTTTTTAGATGTTTCCATATTGGTAAAGTTTCTTCTGAGTCTTCCCCTCACTATAAATAGTAAGTTATGCCTTAAACTCAGAGAAAATCTGGTTTACCACAGCACTGTGAACCCAGAACAAACAAACAAACAAACTGTGATTGACTTACAGTCAACAGATTAAAAGGATGCTGAGGAGTTAAAACTCAGGATTTGTAGGGTCTGTCTGCAAGACGACATGAAGACAACTTTCCCCTGCTGTTCGTGATAAATGGCACAGATTTACATTTAAGCGGTAAAGACACCCCTCATATCCTACCAAGTGTTTTTAACAAACTTCCAATGAATATATGAGACACATTAACCAGATGTAACACATTATTTCCAGATAAAAAAGGCAAACATAAAGGTCTGAATTCCTTGTAATTAGTATATTTCCCTGCCTGAAACTCTTAAAGATTGAATGATGTAAACCTTTTAAACTGCATGGCTCAAAGTAAAAGTAGGGTGTGTGTACATGACAACATTTTGGTTGTTAAGTGGCACAAAATCTGGGCACTAAATGGAGCGCAGTGTGCAGAGAGGTCGGACTAAGTCCCCGATTTATTCGAATTTTATCCATTCTACTTAAACCAGGCTTGAGCTGGACTATTTTACCCCTCATCTTTTCCTGTGCCAGTTATGCCGATGCAAATAGTCGTGTTTACTTCACTTCAGTATTTCCTCTGAACAGCAGAAATCAAACTGACAAAAGTGTACATTTCACCTTTTACACCTGTTGTGTATAACAAAATGGTTGCGCACCAGAAGAACTCATCAGGTTTGTGAAATGAGCCTTGTCAGGTGAATGCTGTTAATTTCAAGAATCATGACATACATTTATAAAAAGATGGCAAATACACAGTTAGATTTCAGTTTTTCAAGTGTAATTTGGGGTAAACCAAATTTGCCCAACAAAGATTTTAAATTAAGAGCCAAAATTCAATCTTAATATCTGTTAACATCCAAAAACCTAAAGGTAGTATGGTCAGTGAAATAAAACAATAATGGGACTCACCTCAAAACACCAGAATTAACTAAAAAACTAATCATACAGGTCCAGAGGTTTACGCTAAACCTGAGTAAGTGCTGCAAACAGAACAAAATATCTATGCCCAAATGTCTTTTGGTCGGGTTTATCCAGAGCTTGAAGGAAACTCTTTGAGTGATGAACTCCTCACTGGTCAGGAGAAGGTTCTGGACTTGTAGTTCATGTTTCTGTGGCTCAGAAGCAGCGTTATTCAGCTGCAGCGTGAAAACATACAAAAAACAGTACAAACAGAGTCCCTGGTTGGAAGAGGAGCCGGCTGTTGCTTTCAAACTGGCGCTGTGGCGTTGGCCCATGAGGGAAACGTGTCTAGGTCGAACATGACGCGACCCCAGCTGTTGATGGCGAGGCTGATACAGCCAATCCCGATAATGTTCATGACCACGCCAGCTCGAGCCTACAGTAAGAGGAAGAAGAGGAGGAACAGAAGGTTAAAATGACTTCATAGGAGGGTGCGAATCTTCCATTTTCCTCACCAAATAAGGACGACTCACCATGTCGGAAACTTTGAGTAAACCATAGGAGAAGACGATGGCGTTAGGGGGCGTGGCCACTGGCAGCATGAAGGCGAATGAAGCACTGAGCGTACAGGGGATCATCACGTACAGAGGGTTCAGGCTTATGGATTGGGACTGAATCAGAAAAGATAGAATAGTCTGTTAGTAGAAAATCAAAATATGGACGCAAAACAATGTTGCGGAAAAAGGAGCAAACTGATTTAGCACAATCGTCGCTTAAATTCACGCAATAACTTCAGTTTCCTCGGCTAAAATGTCATAAGTTTTTTTGTATTTTAAGTAAAAAGGAAGCCGCTTGGAATAGAAGCAAATAAACGACTCAGAACCTGCAGTTCTATAAGTGTCCACCAGAGACTGTCTCCAAAATAGATTTTAAGAAGTTTGAGATGTCTTGTAACAGAGTAGTGCTCAGAAATAAAGCCAAAATCTGCAGTTCCCTAAGTGTCCACTAGAGGCGGTCTCCTACAAGATTCTCATGTGAGTCTGTCCGATACAACCCCTGTCCGTTTGAATTCAGCGTTTGTTAAACATCGATGAACTTGTTTCTTTACCATGGAGGCCAGGATGGGCAGGAAAAGCGTTGCTGTGGCGACATTGCTGGCACACTCGGTGAAGGTGGCGATGAGGAGGCAGAGGATGATGGCTATCGCCCATGGAGGGATTGAGTGGAGTGGTGTCATCTGTGTGCCGAGCCAACGGGACAAACCGGACTCCTGACAACCCCCACCCCCCAAACACAGAAAGACACACGAAACAAACACACCGTTCTGGTTAGCACAGAGAAAAAGAATATTTGATGTTTCCTGCTACAGTCCCAAGTGTCCAACTTCAGTCATACCAAAAAGTCACTATACAACTGAATAAACACACACACACACACACACACACACACACACACACACACACACACACACACACACACACACACACACACACACACACACACACACACACACACCTCGCTGCCTTTGGCGAGAGCGAAGCCTCCTCCGAGCAGCAGCACGATGTTCCAGGGCATCTTCTTCTGAGTCACCTGCCAGGTGAGCAGAGGAGGGGCGGGGCCTCGTGACAACTGGGACTCTGATTGGATAAAAACACATTTTAAATCAAAGCTTTACTTCACGATGTTGTGTGTGTTACTTGCTTGAACATGTGTTACCTGTATCAGAGCTCTTCCAGCAGCAGAGGAAGCGAGGGGGCTCAGAGGGGAGAACGAACAACAAAACAGCGACGAACAGAGAGACGGTCGCATCGGTGACAAACCTGCAGAAACACAATGATTGGATTTTTACACACTTCTAATTTTGAGATTGAGTCTTTGTCCCAAGTTAAGGAGTTTAATCTTAAGACTTGATTCACAGTGAGGGTCAAAGGATTGTGACAGGTGTGTTGGTGCAACATCATCGGTCATGCAGTCATTGCGCTGAGTCCGAATGGAAAGCTTTGAATCTACCAGTGGTTCTACCTTCCATCCCCACAATCTTAAGCTTCTGCAGGAAAACTAGTTACTATACTTTATCTGGAATTTGCATTAACCTTTTAAGTGAAACCAACAAGTTCAGATCTTTGTTCCACACCATCGTACATCTCTATCTTCATCCAACCGTTATTGATTCTCATGGTCTCATGTTCACTTGTGCCTCGTGCTGCAACACGACCAGTTCAGTTCATGGATGAAAATTTCACCACAGAGTGTATATTGACATGCACCCGGCGACCAAAAGAATCGGGATATTAGCACCACGTTTCACTTTTTATGTAATACAAGTGATAAAACAGCGCTTTGCTTATGTTACAGATAAAGGCTTAATGGAGGTAAAAGTTGAACCGTTATTTTTAACTCTGGTTTTTTTAACCGTTTGAAGTCTGACTTCTGCAAAAATCTGAGCTCCAGCATGAACCTGTGCCCCCAGGAATCATGTGGAAATCGTTCGTTTACACAAACCGAAGGGCCAAGGTGACAGACAGCCCCATCCCACCCAAAGCCCTCTTTCAAAACCAGGACATCACATTATCTTCTGCAGCTTTTTGGACAAACAGCCTTCTGTCAGACTGAACAAATGTAGCCCCCTTATCAGCATGGAATCCCCCGAGGTTCATGAGGAGGAAGACTTGGGTCAAACATGATCCTGAGAAACTTTCTTCAGAATCTCACACAAGTTCTTCTGGATCATGCGAAGTTTCTGAGGTGGTCTGAGACGTCGCTCACGGTTTTCCTTGATCTTGCAAGTTTCTCAGACTCTCATGAAAGTTTCAAAGTTCTTACAATAGTTTCTCGCAGTCTCACAGAAGTATTTCTACATATATTGCGATAGCTTTTTTTAACGATCGTTCAAGAGTTTCTCAGGATCTTAAAAGTTCACAGATTTTCCAACAGTCTGTCAGTGGTTTGCAAGAGTATCTGTTTTATGCAACAACATATGTGACACAGACTCCCTCAAAACTTTTTTATGATCTCAAAAAAGTATCTCTGGTTCTTGAAAATCTTTTTTAAAAATGTTCAGACTCTTGAGAAAGTTTTTGGAGGTCTAATATAGAGTTTTGGGGATCTAAGGGATCTGGTCTCTGAGTTTTGTGAGGTTCTATTAGGACCTTGTAAATTTTTCTTAAAACATTTTTAGAAAACTTGCAGAAGTTTTGCAGCATTTCACAAATGTTGTTCAAATTCTTACAAGACTCTCTCAGGTGATCACTCAAGTATCTCATGATCTTAAAACAGATTTTGAGAATCTCAAATAGTTTCTTTAGATCTCGCAATTTTTTTTCTAGAAAGCTTTTTGGCGTATTGCAAAATCTTGTCAGTTTATCACAGAAGTGTCTCATAATCTTGCAAAAATTTTACAGAGTCTCACAAGAAGTTTTTAGGTCCATTGTTAAGATTTCTTGCAAAAGTTCAGCTTGATGTGATAAATATTTCTCAGGTTCATAACAGGTTTTTGTAGGTCTCACAAAACTTTTTCATGACCTTACAAGAGGCTTACAAGATCTTGAAAAAGTTACTCAGGAACTTTCAAAGTTTTCTATGGCACTTTCTCAATATTTTACAAAATCATCACTGGATCTCAAAAATTCTCTTTGTGATACAAAAGTCCTTTGAATGAAGTAATGTGGATCTTGCAAAAGTTTCCCAGAATCTTGAAAAAGAAGAAAAAAAGAAAAAAGAAAAAGTGATTTCACAAAAAGTTGTTTTCAAATCGTTTAAAAAACTGTGAATGTAGATCAACAAGTTTAACATCCGTCAGTTGAGGTGGAACGATGGAGTTGTCGAGGGTGTGTTGATTATCCAAAACAAAATGATTTAATCTTCAGCTCTTCTGAGAACTGCTGACATGTTTTTTTTCCTCTGATCCCCGTCAAAGAGCCGACCTTGTCTGTGTTCTTGGCCCACATTCAATGAAAACATGACAGCCAACTGACCAAAAACAGCAATCAGGACAAACAGATCAATGACTGACGTCTTCTCCAGGTCATGTGACTCGGCAGGCAGTTTATGAATGAGTGCGTATGGATTGGAAAACAGGTAAAAGGTGAGGGGGCATGCTTTGTTCCAGTGTTTATGGATACCTTTATACAAAAGTGACATCAAATCAAGCCTTCGATAAAAACTAAAGGGTACCTCAACAGGATCTTACACAAAAGGGGGGCTTATAACAGACCCACAGCAGTTAAAACGGACTTTAACAGCTTAGTGTCATCTGTGTAAAAATGGAGCACAGTATCTGACAACACTGGAGCCCTGTGGTACAACTATTTGGTACAACTAAGTTAGGGTCAAACACACCGTAACACAGAGTTAGACACCCCCACAAGAGATGAATGTTGCCGACCGGTTGCTTGTCTAGCCATACCAACTTTAGTAACGACTGCAGATAACAATACAGAGAGCCACTCACCTACTCTCTTCCAGCAGCAGCTTGTTTGGATAGAGACCATCAACTGCAGCGGGGTGACACAGCTCAAGGAAGAACATTTACGCCGGAATATCCCTTTAAGGCATAAACCATTGTGCCTAATGCACCAAGACCAATCCCTACGATCATCTAAAAACCACTGCATCTTCAGAGAGTTCAGTCCTCATTAGTCTGATTTAAGAGCTCAGAAACATCACTTACCACCTTCAGTGCTGCTGTGATAGTGCTGCGCATTTACTGAAACCGGATTGATATGTTAATGAAATTGAATTAGTGTGCTAAAACTCTTTTAGTTGAACACTAATGCGACTGTAGACTTTCAGCCGACACAGACAAATCAGAAAGTAGTCCGTATTTATTTAAAAAACTGGGGCCATAACCAGTCTGAGAGAACAACAGCAGATTTCCATATCATTAAAATTTCCTTAGTCAGCACGTTGAGGGTAATAAGATGTGCAAGAGGCTCAGCTATGAAATGATATGAATATGGATCTGCCTGCCTGCCTGCCTGCCTGCCTATAATGATCCATTAAATCAGGTCCAAATGGTTTCCTAGAGTCCAGCTCTTTAAGGCACTGAATTCAGTGGTGAAAACCAACAGGTCGACTTTAATCTGCATCTTTTCTTAATGATTTCCCCGGTGACAGAGAGCATTGCAAACTTTCCTAGTAAGAAGACAACGTGCCAACGAATCTCCATTTGATTTTCCAACCAGCGTGAACCTGAATGAGATTACATAACACGGTCTAAGGTCAGTTTGCACCATGTCAGCGGCAAAATAAAGTAGAATCTCTCCGGAGAAAATCAGCTGACTGTTCATGCTTTTTATCCCCTCACAAATATAAATATTGATGTTCTTTTATTCCACTTTACTTACCCTTAAAGCGTAAATACCTTTAAGAGTTTATGTACTGACTGATCGCGCATGATCTGAATCTTGATATGAGTTTCCACATTATGTTACCCTGCAGGCTCTGGCTAACAGAGTGAAACTAACAGACATGCTTTGATTTATTTCTTCTGTTTCACGTCTAAAAACTTGATTTTTGGATTCAGATTAAGGTGAAAGGTCTCTATGAATGTTATTCGTGAAGGTTTGGACTGGACTGCCATTCTAGTGTTTGATTTCTGCAATTCGGACACATTGCTTTCCTCTGATAGTAAGATAAGCTGCAGCTTGTGCAAACATAAAAACCTAGGAACTAGACATCTAGTTAGCCTGGTGCAACGTGCAGGTGATCTTAGTTCATGCAGTGGCAGCGATCAGCTCTGCAGCACAGCTGGACCCTGCACCGCTGACGTGATGCCAAAGTCTATGGTTTGAACCCGGGACGCTTCCCATGTTTGCTCTTCACTTCTTATTCCTGTGTGTTCAGGGAAGTTGCCCCGAGGCCAGGTCTGCGTTCAGCTGCAGCTTGGGTTCATTCATTCCTCCAAACAGGGACTTTCTTCCACTTTATATTAATGCAGGAGCAGCACTGACCCAACATACACTAACGGAGGAGTGTGGCTGATGTATTCAAGGCGGCACTCCTGTTAAAAATGAACCCACACAGCTGTTTAAGGATTCAGTGCCTCTTTAAAGTCTTTAAATCCGCAGCTGAGATCCTGTGGTGAGCTTGGTACGGCATAGTTTGTACTTCCATGTGGATTTTATGCTGCAGTGGCCAACGCCATCGTGAGCACTATGTAATTGTGTTTTGGAGTGTCTACGACACTTTGGAATATCTCGCCTAAAAGCTGGTCAAAGTATTCCCTTTATTTGTCAGTGTTCAGGTTACCATTGCAAACTGGTCCTGATGCCTCTTTATGACCGCCAAAAGCAAACAAAACCATCATTAGCAGGATGATACTTTAGCGTGTGGAGGTCGGTGTCATGGCAGGGGATGGACGGTCAGCCAAAGAAAAATAGTTCCTTTTTAACACCTTCACAGCAAATATTCACAATGAGCAATACATTTCACCATAAAAGGACAAAAAGGAAAGGCTCTAATCCAAAAACACAGTTTGAACACACTTTGACAAATCTCTTTCACCCGTTCAGCACTCACTCTGCCTTGGAGTTGAAGATGTGGGTGGCCCAGCCGTCCATGAAGCGTGGATCCCGTGTGAACCACAGTGCCACCATTAGGGTAAAGAGCGCCAGCACGCTAAATTCTCCATAGCTCATCTTCCCCAGACGCCGATGTTCATCTCTGATCACCTCGTACGCTGCTCGCTCCTTCTCTGACTGCACCGCCCCACAACCCCATGTCTTCCGCAGGCTGCAACAGGTGAAAGACTTGGTTTGGTAAAGGTGGATGGTTCATTATTTTGGGCACTTGATTCAAGCACCAGAGGGTCTCAACGAAATCCAATTTTGTTCGTGTGTTTCAGATGCTCTGGTGATGCTACTCACTTGCAGCCGATGTAGAGGAACTGCAGCCAAAACCAGGCCAGTATCAGGGTCAGAATCATGGTGGGGAATGCAAATGCAAACCAGGATGCAAAATTGATCACATCACCGTTCTGAGGGAAGAGTCTAGGAGAGAGATCCAAACAGGAAATTCAACTTTCATGACGAGAAGACAAATTTTGAGTCTGATGACATGCTAACGGTATTAGACAGGATCTAAAAGGGATAGATTTTCCTGCTCTTTCCTGCTAGGTCAAATGGTTGTACTTTTTACTGTGCGCACAATGGGAACTGTTGAGTCTCTGTGAGTATCTGTGACTGTTTCTGAAAATTCTGTAGAGTGCGCATGATGGAGAGCTTGGTGACAGTTTTGGTTTGAGTATTTGGCGTGTATTGGATAGAGGTGAAGCTGGTTTGTGAGGAGATATCAACAAGGGTTTCCCTAGTCTAGCTTCCAGAAATTGGTGTCATAGTGTGTGGAGACAAGGGCGAAATTCCAGCATCTCCAGCTCCTCTGTTCTATTTAACACTCAATTTTACTTGAACACTCTGGGGTGTACGATATGACCCTCTTTTGCTGCTATCTATCTGCTAGATTTCATCTCAGTTGATTCAGTTACCGAACTTAACCTCCAAGTTCGCAATGTTGCTTAAAATGTCAGATGGTCCTTGTTGTCTGTGCTACTTTCATGCTAGCAAAATTAGCATGTATTGTGTTGGCAGTTGTTTTCACAGGCACGTATGAGTGTTTAAACTAAGAACAACTTTGCAGCTACTAAACCACGACTCAGACATAAACACAAGTGTTTGTTTGGCTGATTTAGGAAGTATCAGTTAGGCATTATCGGGACTTACTGGCTCATCTGTCCAATCAGAACCAGGTTTGGTCCGGTTCCAGTCAGGGTGGCAATGCCTCCGATGCTTGCAGCATAGCACACACACAGTAAGAGTCCTTTACTCATCGTCTTCCTCTCATCCTCCATGTCACTCAGCTCCTCCAGCTCCATCTGACAGCAGACAGTCTCCACTGACACGACCACTACAACAGACGGATCACCAGAATAACTCAAAAGAACTCTGGCATGATTTCGTTCGGATTTGTTAGCGCTTCATTGGTAGGAACAGTGAGATTTGAGAAGAGCACATGGATGGATATATATTACTTAAGTCTCTTAGGACTCACCGGGCTCACTGTTGGTGCAGTCTGATGGAGGCTTGTCCTGTGGTGTTGGTTTGACGATCTCCTGTTTGTCCATCTGACCCTCTGAAGACACTTTCTCTTCAGGAGACGTGTTGTCTTGTAAGTTGCTGCTTTTCTCTGAGTTGTCTTGAACTAAAGTTGGACCATTTAGACCTGGAAAAGAAATATTAATTGTTCAGTGTCAGTGCCCCCTCTTCTAGGGGTCCTACTGATACAGTCTTTGCATACAACATCAACTAGTATAGGATACACAGAACAAGGTCTTTGCTGAGGACACAATGAACATAGTCCATGAAGTTTCAATCCTACCAGTCTCCAGGATTCTCGGACTGTTGGTTTTCTCCTGATGGTCCTGGTGCAGAATAACAATCTTTCTTTGACTCTGGGAAGTGGGCTCAGGGTCTACGTTGCCATTGAGTTGGTCCAAGACTGCCTGGACAATAGGAACCATCATGGCTGTGGTAGCTGTGTTGCTAATCCACATTGACAGGAAGGCTGTCACTCCCATAAAGCCCAACATCAACCTGTAATCCAAGGAAAGAGAAGGTTATAACAATATGATGACCCTTTGATGACCCTTTTCAAAAGGAAGGGGGCCACTGGACACCAGACCTTAAAGTGCTGAAGGTGAAAAGTGAACCAGTAAGACCAATAAACTTTGTCTCAGGTCTTTGGAGACACCACAGGAATTCAGAATTGGTGTCCAGGGACTGTCCTGAGGTTTGCCCAAAACTCACCAAGGAAGTTATAACCCTTAAATTTCACCAGGCTTGTATTCTGCCCATCAGGTCAGGCCATTCAGATCTTACAGCAGACATGTATGGATTCTGTTTTTGTTGGATGCTGCAGAACAACGCATCAAGGAAAACATTGACTCTGTAATCAACACGGGAATTCACACTCTGAAAGTGCAGCTGGTGGGTGTTGACAGATGAAGGAACAAGGAGCAAAATTAGACTGGAAGAGTGGTGGACCAAAAACATGGATCTCGGTAGAAGTCTGGCACAAGTCTCATCTGGACTGGGAACACCTTCTGTATCAGGGACAGCGTTTCTTCAAGCTCAATGGTGCTTATAGGGTAAACGTCTCAATGAGGTGTGGGCCGGTAACCAGTTTGAAGGTATGCTGGGATTTAAAGAAGTCTACATATTTCTCTCATACTATTACCAGTCCCTTTAAAGTTACAATGAAAGCCAAGTGACGGTGAAACTCAGAGTCAGCCCCATCACTTATGTGTATCAGGTCAATGAATGTGCATGTTGTAGGAAAACAACACAACATCAGTCCTTTTGGCTTTATTTAGTGTTTTAACTGAACATACATGATTAACAATGTACCAAATATGTTGTTTGACGAAAGAATAAATGGTCTTCAATGGAGAAAAGTCATTGTTTTTACCCAGAATCCAACACTGTTTTCACAGTGCAGCGAAACTGGGATTGTTTTGATTGAAGCTGCAATGGTTTGTAGAAATGGTAACTTTTCTTCTAAATGGTTTGATTAAAATTTTAAGGTCATAAAGAGGGATAGATTTTAATTTCAGTCTGTTTTGTCACCAGTTTAAAATTTATGGTTATCATACCGTGAGAATCTCAGAGCAGCTTTTACCTAATCTCAGCGTATACTGGATTGATTAACGTGAGAAGGATGATGTCTCTGTAAAAGGATTAACACAACAGACTTTGGTGGTTCATTGACTCTTCACTAAACAGAGTTCCTGTTAGCCTTCCTGTAGATTAGCATCATGCAAATTAATTTGGGCATTATAAGCCAAACCAAGCATAAAATGATCAGCATGATGATGGGATGAGTTAATTATAAGCCTGACACTCCTGGGGTCAGAATAGATAATAGACCGTTTGTTCTAAGTTACAGTGATGATGTTTGTCCAGAGGATTTTACTTCTAACAAAATATCTGGCAGTGAGAATAGAAAACACCTCCAGGTCCAACTCTTACTCTAAGTCAAAAGTTCTGACCATGAGCCACCACAGTCCTTCTGCTGTCTCTTTTTAGTGTCAACAATCAACCATGTATTAACTCAGATATTTTTAAGAGTCACAACTCTGGAGGTCACAGTACAGATGAGTGCACCAGTAAGAGTTTCCAGAGGTGTCCCAGTTCTGAGAGTCAACATTGCACAAACCCAGATTATGGTCACTTAAAACAACAGGTAAAATTTCAAATATTTGAAAACATATATGCTTTAGATATTGTTAGAATAAGGTCATGGTTGTTTTGATAACAAATCGACTTTTGCTGAGATAGGGGTTGGTTCGTTAGATATGCCTTTGCAGCTACGGCTTGGATAATAGAACACCAGAATCCTGAAGAGGGATTTATCTTCATCTAGTGTTGGATTTAAAGTGGTTACCAAACCTTTTCTACCATGCCAATTTAAGGTGGACTGAAGAGAAGTCAAATCAAAATCTGACTTTCTTTTTGGAAATCACAGAGATTTTCATCCTCCTCCTGAAAGTGTAGAGGGACTTGTTGTCCCCCTGCTTCCTGGTAAGCCTGACCCTAAATGGGACTCTAAACTAGAGGTCCCCTACTTGCTAATAAAACAATCCAAAATCTTTATTTTCAGCCAAATGTTCTGCAGGCAAAGTGACTCACAGTGCAGGTCGAACTCCCACCAGCAGGAGGACTCTGAGTGCGATACGTTTGTGGAGGTTCCAGTGCTCCACGGCGACCGCCACCATCAGCCCGCCCACAAACAGCATGTTGGTGTCCTTCAGGTACTGCATGCACACCTGAGAGACAGAGTCGTCATCACCTTTATCACACACTTTTAAAATTAACAGCTGGATAGATTTGAACTCCTTCATGACGTCCCAAATTGGCAGGTTAATACGTGTTTATGAATGTGCATGTCCGGTCTTACATCTTTGGACTCCATAATGCCGAGGACGGGGAAGAGGATGGTCGGCAGAAGCGCTGTCACCGCCAGCGGCAGCACCTCAGTGCACCAGTACACCGCCATGAGGGCTATGACGTAAGCACAGGCTGCTTCCTGTTCACAAATACACACAGGAAAACAGAAAACATTGAACGGACTTATAACAGGTGATAGAAGGACTTGGCCGATATATACGCGTCTTTTTTACAGTATCTTCAAAAAGTAGTTTTACTGTGAAAGACATCGACTTCCTTTTGTTGTGAATCTTCTCGCTTATAAATCTGATTCAGAATTTTTTATAAAGACATGCTTTACTCCAGCATACATCAATGTTTTAGTAGTTCTGACCTTTTAGTCTCGCCTCTTATCTACAGGTTTTAACCCTGAAGCAGCTGATGACTCCACTGACCCATCAGACCCTACAAGAGCTGGCTTAAAATGAAGCCCACGCAGGGACTTTGGGTATTTCACTTTGACGGGCAGGAGTGACTGTCACTTTATGTTGATTATGTGCAAAACACAGATTTACAAATGTGCCATGAATGAGACACAATGTCACTTTTGTCAAATTAAACAGTACCGCCTTCTTAAAGGGATATACCCGCGAGTTAGACAATCCCTTGAGAGATGAATGCTGACGACCGCTTGCTTCTCTAGTTATACCAACTTTAGAAATGAATACAGAGAGCCACGCACTCAACCAAAACGCCACTCTATAGCCACAAATAATGCTCAGAACAGCACCTAACTTCATCAACAGGACATATAGGGTCCCAGCCACCAAACATCTTTTTAACTTTGACTAATTTCTTTAGCAAAGAGTCTAAACACAACTCACCTACGCCTACACCTACTGGGTGAGTCCATTACGGACTACAGCGGGGTGACGCAGCTCAAGGAAGAACATTTATGATCATTACTTTTTCATTTCCATAAAGTAATAATCACCATAGTAATCATCTTGCACTGCAGACGTGGTAGTTCTTCTGCCTTAACGTCTCGGTCTGATTGCTTTGCCATGAAGAAACGATCATAAATGTTCTTCCTTGAGCTGTGTCACCCCACAGCAACTAGTACTATGGCTGGGACCCTATATGTCCTGTTGATGAAGTTAGGTGCTGTTCTGAACATTATTTGTGGCTATAGAGTGGCGTTTTGGTTGAGCCCGTGGCTCTCTGTATTGCTATCTGCGGTCATTACTAAAGTTGGTACAACTGGAGAGGCAAGCAGTCCGCACTCCGCAGTTTTCGGTTTCTCTCATAAAGTTTAACAGCCAAGTGTGTATGAAATCACAGTCTTGTTGTCGTCTATAGAAACAAAAACAGTTTCTGTAAGTGGAGATCTACCGGTACAGACTCAAGCTGTGGAACAAATATCTCACATGAATGCCCATCGGCAGAATTCGTGTGCTCCTTATGAGAAGGAATTTACACCTGTTTGTTTATCACCAGAGGTTTTCCTGTTCATTTCATGTTCACAGCTTGACTCCAGGATCCGGCTGTGACCACAGAGAGTCAGATTTCTGAAAACCAACAGACACATCCACATGTGACGAGGCCTGCAGCTGATTTTATACAAAGAACAATGGAAAAGAAACTCGGTAAGTCAAAGATTACACATTTGGTTCATTAATATGCTGGTTCAGACTCTTCTGAGTCGGTATTACAGATTGAAGAGAGACTGCTGAGACTGTCTGAATGTCAGAAAATGGTGTGAAAATGGGTCTTAGAAGAGTCACCTTAGGGTACCTTAAACCAGACGCGAAAAAGGACCTTCAAACATTTCGAAAAGTTATCAGAGGGTTCCTTAAACACACCGAAGGGTAATTTAGAGGGTACATAAAACAGCTTATCAAGGACCACTTTGAAACTGCTTTAGGCTTTTTGAAACGCACTTAAAACATGCCCAAGATAACCCTTACACAGAGCAGATGTGTCAAAATAATGAAACAGAAATTTGCTCAAACTAAACAAAAGTCACTCCAGGGTAACCTGAAACAGACGCTGAAGACTGCTTCAAAACAAGTTCCAGGTAAGATAATGGTATCAGGGTACCTTAAAAGAACTTAAATTAATTACTGAAAAGATCCTAAAATAGAATCTATCCTGAGTAACTGAAGTGAACACTCAGACTAGAACTCTAAAAGGCGTGTAAAAAGTGAGTATTTTCAGAAAACATGTGTAGCTCCACGGTGGGACTGAACACAGGGAGGTCTGAGGAACTATCAGGTGAGTTTTTGTTTCACCCTGCAGAGCTTCGAGGAGGAGTGTCAGTCACACAAAGACAGAAAACCTCGAACACTCAAAACAGACACAGACTCCTGCTGCTGTGAGGATGAACCCTTTCAGTGTGGATTTCTGGGAAAAGTTACGGGAGACCTTCTGGACTGAATCCAGACTGGGCTGTGGTGCATGATGGAGGTGGAATAATGTGGAAATGACGCAGATCTCCTGAACCATTTAACATTAACCCTGCGAGTGCCACATTTATCTCTAACTATACAACTACACAACCCTGTTAAGACCTTAATAACAGCTGTATCTGTCTTAGAGCAGGACTTGAGCGCTGACAGAGGATTTAACAGACACACATCAGACCCGACAGTGAATCTGTTACAGCAGATTAGATTAGATTCAAGCGGCTCTAATGGGATCAGGTCTTTCTCCTTTTGAACAGCTGCTCAGTAACTTCAGATGCTGAACTTTTAACAGTTTGGTATGTGTTTGTAAATCAGTGACTCAAACCTGCAGCTACGAAAACCCTGTAAATGTAAACTGCCTCAGTTCAAACCTGCAAAGACAGTTCCTGAGGCTGGAGTTTAACACGAGTGAAATATCTATTCTGTTTGGCAGGATAAGTTGCTTTTCAGCACTTTGGAAACAATAACAAACTAATTTATTAAAGCCCTAAATTTTCAACTGAAGATTTCCAAACAAACTTCACGACTCAGGAAACCTTAAAACAGATGTTTACATTTGGAGTAGTTAGAAAACCCATTGCATATGGTACCTTGAAAAATGCACTTAGAATTTTAAACCGGTACTATGAAGCAGATGCTCAAAACCTTTTTTAGATTCTGATCAGATTGGAGTATTTAAGTTTTTGGTTGAACTAACACCCTCAGATACTTTAAAACAATCATCTATTCGATCAGAGTACCTTAAAACAGACGTCTACTTTAAACTGGTTGGTCTTATTACTAGAAATACATTTAAACAGACGCCTTTAAATCTATTGTTAAAGCATACCACAAAACAGACAGTAAGATTGTAACTGGTTGGTAAAACTCAAAACTGAAGGTCCTTAAAGACAGAAACTTTACATTAAAACTGGTTAGTTGGGGCTGCCACCTACGAATAGAGTTATGGATGAGAGAAGATCAAAATTACTTTATAAACTCTTATTTCTGTCCAGAAAATGTAGACTACTTAATTGGACAAGCGACAAACCTCCCACTGTAACTCAGTGGTACAAAGAAATGTTTATAGTTTTTCCGATGGAAAGGCTAAGTGCCAAATTCAAGTGGAATGATGATATCTTTAGGGACACATGGCGGCCCCTAACTCGCCTAAAGGTTTAAGTGAACTATACGGAGGGAAAACAGTGGTTTAGAGGGTCTCAGACTGAGCTGACTGGTGATAAAAAATCCTTTTTTTAATAAGTACAAGGACACATATTTCTTTATTTGGTGACACATTGTTGAGTTGTGTTGGGGTTTTTCTTCGTTTACCCTTCTTTTTGTTTTGTTTTCCTTTTTTTCCCCTCATGTTTAATCCTTTTTTGGTAACGTTTTCTTTTACAGTACACTTATTACCAGGTAATTAACAGGTAATTACCTAGAAACAACATGAAATTATCTGGTAATTACATGATAACTACAAAGTCAATCCTGTCTAGCTACCAGGTAGGTTACCTTCCATCATCATACAAATTTGAAGCCGAATTGCTCTGGTATTTCTAGGCTTTTCTTCGCTTCCTGGAACCACCACTTGCGCAGTAGCATTGTACGCATTCGGTGGGTGAGTCGCTGGGATTACGCTCCGCTAAAACAGCGTGTCGCTACGCAATCTTCACACGCCAATAGGCTGTATCAAGTGTCAATCATAGAAAATAAGAACCCCAAATAGCTATTGAAAACGGAGCTGCACAGAAAAAAGAAAAACTAGCCAGTATTGACTTAGTAGTTATCATGTAATTACCGGACAATTTCATGTTGTTACTAGGTAGTTACCTGTTAATTACCTGGTAATAAGTGTACTGTAAAAGAGAGGGTTACTGTTTTCTTTTGTCATTCTCGACGCTATTTCAATCCTGTTTATTAATGATTGTTCCCTAGATCAGAACACTGCTTAATAATGTCTGTTTTTATGTAAATTCTGAAAATAAAATTAAATCTGATTATTAAAAAAAAAACAAAAACTGGTCGGTCTCACTTAAAACAGATAATTCGATTTTCAACTGGATGGTTTAAGACATCGCCTATAGCGAACCTTTAAATAGATGCCTTTTAAATATTTTAAACTGTTTTATGTTCTGACTCCCAGAAAAACAATACATGCTGAAGGAATTCAGATTAGTAAAAGCAACTTTTGACAATTTCTGGAGATCAAGACATACTCTTCAAACTGCTTCAGAAACAAGATAATGGGATCTTGAAACTGATTTGAAAGGGAACCTAAAAACACACTTAAGACGACAAACATCCTGACGGTCTAGGGTACCTTAAAACCTGTTAAAGGGAACCCAAAGGTAAACCTAAGGGTACCTGAAGTCAGATGGAAAACAGACGCCACCTTTTGTGAATCTAAATAATTGATTCAAATGAATTAACTCTGGTTGAATTAAAACTGGTCATTTAAGCAGTCAGTATACTGGTTAGTCGAACTGGTCATTACCGTGGTGCTGAAAGCGAGTGGCAGCAGGAGGAACGGGCTGCAGATGAGGATGAAGAGGCCCTTCATCCTCCAGACCTGCCGCAGCATTTTGACCCACAGAGGAAGGACCGACATGGAGGAAGGTGATGATGAGGATGAAGAAGACGAAGATAATGAGGTTTAAATGTTAGAGATCGACCGTATCACAGGAACTCTTCTCCCTCTCTGCTGGTCACGCTCTGACCGTCTGTCTTTCTCTCTCTGACACTTTGTGATGCCTTCACAGTCCACTAAATAAATATTAACCTGAAGTCAGCTACCACACACACACACACACACACACACACACACACACACACACACACACACACACACACACACACACGTGCCTCCCTCAGCAGAGTCAACACAGAGAAGGAAATCAGATCCCCTGTTTACGTCAGGATCATCACCTGTTATTATCTGACAGACCGAGTTCAGAGTTAAAAAAAAAAAAAACACCAATAGAGACATTTTGATCAGCTAAAACTCAAACCTGGAGCAGCCCAGAGTTCCTGAATGCTCTCCACTCAGACTTGAGATCTGCTGATATTCATTATTATGGACCCAGAGAATCAAAGTGACCCATACCTTCACCACATCTGCGTCACTTTTTTTATTTATTTTGGCGTCTCACAGGTTATCTGGATGATCTTCCCTGTCTTTATAACCCTATCTTTTTGTGTCTTTTTGATTTTCGTTCTTTTTTTTTGCGTCTCTGTATCATTCATGTTGGCGTTTTATGTCTTTTCGTCCCTTTGGAGCTGTTCAGGTCAAAATTTTGTCCATCCTCGGGGTAATGTTTTTCTTTTATTTACAGTTTCTTAGCTCCTGTTTGATGATGTCCTTTTTTTCATTTTCTCATCCTTTATTTGCTCTCGTGTTTTTTTTTTTGCAGCACAAGACAGCTCAGAGGGAAAAGAGCGTTTTGAGTTGCCCTTGAAAATTAGACAGGCCTCCTCATTTCCTGTTTTTAAATCCTTTTTAAAAACGCACTTTTACTCCTTGGCTTTTGATACATTGTAGTGTTATTTTGTTTTTATCATCTTAGCACTTGCCGTGAGCCTGCTTATTTATATACTTATTTATTCTTTTGCATTAATGAATTTCTGCTCGCTTTATCTTGTTCTTTGATTGTTTTATTTGTTTTTATATGTCATTGCACAGCACTTTGGCTACCCTTGTGGTCCTTTTAAATGTGCAATAGAAATAAAGTTGATTGATTGATTTTTTGTGCTGAACTTTACCCAAAAATCAGGGTTCGGTTTTGGTTGGTTTTATCTATTTTATGTTGACGTGCTGAGATTTCGATTGTTTTCTTCCTCACTCATGGAGAGCTACTGTGAGCCGTTGTCCTCTGCTGTCACCTACTGGACACTTAGAGACATAGAAATAATAAAAGGGTAGACCCCGCTGGGGGTGCTGCGCAGCGAGAAATGCGGCCGCCATCTTGGTCAGGTCAAGCTTCCCATACGCTCCGGTCAATCATATTCATTCATTCAGCGATGCCGGAGCACTGTGCGGCGTATTCCTGTGCCAACAGGCGGACAGCAGAGAACAGGGCTCAAGAAATAACTTTTCACAGTTATGATTAAACGTTTTTTAAACATTACACTTGACTGTAGAGTCATTTGTAGGCCAAAGAGGAAGACTATCGGTCAACTCCAAAAAGGAAACAGCATTTGCGAACAGCTAGCTTATTCACAATAATAGCAACTTTGGTCGATTATCAACAGATTTGCATTAGATTGAAAAACTTTTGTTTGAGAGAGGTTCTAAGAAACGTTAAGAAATAAAATAGAAAGAAAAAGGAAGAAAGTGAGCTCTGTTTTATTATCTGTTTTATTAAAGATTTCTTTGTGGTGATCTCCTGTTTCATTTTGAAGATTTCCTAAGGACAAAAACTTGAGGAAGAAGTGGGAGATTGCTGTTAGAGGGAGAAATTCGCAGCAAGTGATTCCTCTGTGCTGTGTAGCCAACAAGCAAATTGATATGTAGTTTAGATGCTGTCCTGTCATGCTGTTCTTGTGTTTAAATCTTTTTGATATGTAGGCTATATATTTGTGTGTATTTTCCAGTTATTAAAATAGTGCTTCTATATGACATTATTTGTGTGTGTCTACAAATGGATAAATAAAATTAAACTATATAAAAAATTATAATCAAATCAATATATATTGAATTGGCCTATTAATACCGCCAGTTATTAATAATTATTGAGACATAGCAGGAACCTAGCTCTAAACCTAAATATATCCTTGATTAATTGTTATACTATAATACAGCCACTGCTGCCATGTTCTAAAATATCATTTTATTCATTCTGAGTATTTGAAAACGCCAAAAAAAAATATGGCCTCTATCATGCCTCTTTGAATGGCGTTTGCAGAGAAGAAAATTACGTAGTATTGAGCGAACTATGATTCATTAATGCGCTCAGACTTCATTCCGCCGGTTAAACAGCGGTGCAGAGTGAGGCGGATGACCGGACCAAGATGGCGGCCGCATTTCTCGACAGCGCCCATTCGTGGTAGCGGCCGATGCGGGGTCTATCTTTTATTATGTCTATGCTTAGAGACCTTACCTCAGGAGGTTTTCACTTGACGTCACTTCCGTGTTACGCGGCACGCGCGCAATACAGATGAGCTGCGTCCGAATTGCCAAGTAGTAGTCGAAGTAGTAGTCGAAGTAGTATCTAGCATGTCCGAATTGGCCACCGGAGCGAGTAGCATGCTACTTCAGATACTACTTCAGATGCTAGACACGCCCACATTGTAGGTTGGTCTCGGTGCATCCTACGGGCATGCTACTGACCCAAAATGCACCGCGGGCTTCTTCTTCGTCCTCTTAAAAGTTGTAGAAGCGCATGTGATGCTAGCGCCACCAGCTGCTCTGCCTATTTAAAAGTGTCGCGAACGCCGGCTGGCCACAGCAGCGCGCACCATGTCGGAGCAGCAGCAGCAGCAGCAGACGGGACCGCAGCAGTACAGATGTAAGTTTCATGTAACTTCACACACTGTCCTAAAAAATGTGTGGTTGTATCTCTTTGTCATGTCATGGTGTCATATTTGCCCAAGAAATCATTTTATGAGCAAGTGGCGACATCATGGAGGTAAAGCTCACTTATTCCATCATTAAACTGCACAGCTGCAGTACTACAGCCAGGCCCGCAGATGAGGGGCTTCAGTTACCACTGTCTGCACTGGCGCAGTACCTACTCTCTGCCTGCGGGGGTCGTCTTTCCCCACCGCTCGTCTAGTGTGTCCGAATTGGGCCAACGTTTTTAGTATGTAGGAGTAGGATCTAGCAGTAGCACGTAGCAGTAGCATGTAGTATCCGAGCGGGCAGTTCGGACGCAGCAATGGAGGGCAGGAAGTGAGTTGCTGTTATAGGCCCAATTCCAAACTCCACCCTAAACCCCTCAAGCCCTGCACCCTCATTAGCTTAGGTTAAGTCAGCTGGTAAGTGCTTGAGTGTGGGAGGGTTTAAGGGCTCCAAAAGGGTATAAAAGCAATGGAACAGCCCTTTGTGACGTGCCACATTACCTTGACGACAGACGACAACGTTGCCGTGACAACCAAAGATGCGACTGACACTTGCCTCTCTGGGCCTCTTAATTCTGCGTTTATTTCGCGGCCAGCGACGTCGCAGAAGAAAGGCCAACATTGTTCCGCTCCTTTTGCACACACTTACTCTTGAACATAGACAACAGGTAATTGGTAAATAATGATTAGATTGATAAATTATAAAACCAGCATTAATGATAGGTGAAGTGATATTGAATGGTTAAAAGGTTGAAGCACTAGATTCTGAAAGTAATCACTGCTTAGAGTGTTAGTTCAGTATAAAATGTATTGATTCAGATAAAAGTTTGAAGTAAAAATCAATTTTATTTGTTACAAGAATAACGCATGCATGCATGTGTGTGTATATATGTATGTATATATACACACACACACACACACACACACACACATTTTTATACATATATATATATATATATATATATATATATATATATATATACAAAATCTTATAACTATGTTAATGTAGTGCATTCTTGTTCATCTTGGCATTTTTTCACAGTATTAAGGGTGCACCTAGATCCTGAATGAACTGCTTCTTCTTGAGCTTCTTCGCCATGATCTCCGTCATTTTTGGTGTCTGTCGCGGACGATGGCCCAATTCCAAACTCCACCCTAAGCCCTCAAGCCCTGCACCCTCATTAGCTTAGGTTAAGTCAGCTGGTAAGTGCTTGAGTGTGGGAGGGTTTAAGGGCTCCAAAAGGGTATAAAAGCAATGGAACAGCCCTTTGTGACGTGCCACGTTACCTTGACGATAGACGACAACGTTGACAACCAAAGATGCGACTGACACTTGCCTCTCTGGGCTCTTAATTCTGCATTTATTTCGCGGCCAGCGACGTTGCAGAAGAAAAGCCAACATTGTTCCGCTCCTTTTGCACACACTTGCTCTTGAACATAGACAACAGGTAATTAGTAAATAATGATTAGATTGATAAATTATAAAACCAGCATTAATGATAGGTTAAGTGATATTGAATGGTTAAAAGGTTGAAGCACTAGATTCTGAAAGTAATCACTGCTTTAGAGTGTTAGTTCAGGATAAAATGTATTGATTCAGATAAAAGTTTGAAGTAAAAATCCATTTTCTTTGTTATAAGAATAACGCATGCGTGTGTGTATGTGTGTGTGTGTATATATGTATGTATACACACACACACACACACACATATATGTGTATATATATATATATATATATATATATATATATATATATATAGTACAGGCCAAAAGTTTGGACACACCTTCTCATTCAATGTCTTTTCTTTTTTTTTATATGACTATTTACATTGTAGATCATTACTGAAGGCATCAAAACTATGAATGAACACATGTAGAATTTTGTACTAATAAAAAAAGTGTGAAATAACCGAAAACATGTTTTATATTCTAGTTTCTTTAAAATAGCCACCCTTTGCTCTTGATGACAGTAGTTCCTTGTCAGGGTTACTTCAGGCACTCCTGTGAAGTAAAAACCATTTCAGGTGACTACCTCATGAAGCTCATTGAGAGAACAGCTTAAGTTTGCAGCGCTATCAAAAAAGTAAAGGGTGGCTACTTTGAGAAATCTAAAATATAAAACATGTTTTCAGTTATTTCACACTTTTTTCTTAAGCACATGATTCCACATGTGTTCATTCATAGTTTTGAGAATCTACAATTTAAATAGTAATGAAAACAAAGAAAATGCATTGAATGAAAAGGTGTGTCCAAACTTTTGGCCTGTACTATATATATATATATATATATATATATATATATATATATATATATATATATTATATCCATGTTAATGTAGTGCATTCTTGTTCATCTTGGCATTCCGGCGCCCACCATACACGATGCGGAACATCCATGTTAGAGTATTAAGGGTGCACCTAGATCCTAAATGAACTGCTTCTTCTTGAGCTTCTTCGCCATGATCTCCGTCATTTTTGGTGTCTGTCGCGGACGTTGAGACGCTTGTGGCCTCGTTCCTTTTTAAATCCTGTCCCCCGGCTGCGTCGCTGTCGTCCAGTAACGCCCACAACGCAATGAATTGTGGGCAATTTCATAGCCAAAGTCCTCAACGGTACGGACTTACGGAAAGGGTGCAGAAAGGGGCGTTCCCGAGCCCTCGCTGACTTACCGATTTCATTTGGAACAACCCTCAAGCCCTTACAGAGCTCACATGAGCGCGCACCTAAGTCAATGAGTCAGTGAGGGGGTGGTTTGGAATTGGGCCGATGAGACGCATGTGGCCTCGTTCCCTTTTAAATCCTGGCCCCGGCTGCGTCGGCGTCCTCCGGTAACGCCCACAACGCAATGAATTGTGGGCAATTTCATAGCCAAAGTCTCCAACGGTACGGACTTACGGAAAGGGTGCAGAAAGGGGCGTTCCCGAGGCCTCGCTGACTTACCGATTTCATTTGGAACAACCCTCAAGCCCTTACAGAGCTCACATGAGCGCGCACCTAAGTCAATGAGTCAGTGAGGGGGTGGTTTGGAATTGGGCCATAGAGACCAGCAACATGCCGATGTTTTGTTCTGTTTACGGCTGCTCGAAGCGATCCAACGGGGAAAAAACAAGAGCTTTTATCGTGTGCCCAAAGTAGTGTTACACAAAGGGGAAAGATATAAGAAGCTGACTGAAAAACGCCGGAAAATGGCTTTTTAATCTCCGCCTACGGCAGTGGTTCTCAAGTCCAGTCCTCGAGCCCCCCCGTCCAGCATTTTTTGGATGTTTCCCTGCTTCAACACACCTGAGTCAAATGATCAGCTCGTTGTTAAGTCATTTCAGAGCTTGATAACGAGCTGATCATTTGAATCAGGTGTGTTGGAGCATGGAAACATTCAAAACAGCGAGCGGCCGGACGCGCCGGGAGCGCCCCAGAGCTTCGGAGGGGGCGGACGGGGAAATCCCCGCTCCCCGACCCCATCCTCCGACTACGACCTCGGATCAGACGAGACGACCCGCTGAATTTAAGCATATTACTAAGCGGAGGAAAAGAAACTAACCAGGATTCCCTCAGTAGCGAAGAGGGAAGAGCCCAGCGCCGAATCCAGTGGACGCTGTCAGGCCGGTAGCTGCCCCAGTTGCGCCGGGGTCCGGTCTTCTCGGAGTCGGATTGTTTGGTAATGCAGCCCAAAGCGGGTGGTAAACTCCATCTAAGGCTAAATACCGGCACGCATCTAAACCGGCGCATCTCCTCCATTGCAGTCGGTCGCTTCTTGCCCTCCATTTGGTCCTCGCGCGAAGTCAGGATCACGTGACTTAAAGCCTCCGATAATAATAATAATAAAAATGATAACTTTATTTGTATAGCACTTTAAAGTTTACAAAGTGCTTTGACATATAGTCAAAAAGCACATGGAAAAGGACCAAAATAAAAACATAAAACAGTTAAGAAAAAAGAAAATGCAATTAAAAGAGGGGTTGAACGCAGAAACAGGATAGTAAATATAAAAGGAAATATCAACAATGATAATAAAATAATAACAAGTAATACTGATATTATGAAAAAATAGAGCAACAGAAATGAGCAAGAGATAAAACAATAAGAGGCCTAAAAGGTTAAATAAGAAAAGAGTACAAGTACAACAAAAGGTAAAAAGACAGTAAAGCCGAAATAAGAGATGACGGATAAATGATAAAGACAGCATCACATAAAATCTGAAAGTGAATTTTAAAATTTGACGTAAAAGAAGCGACTGTCTCTGCTGTACGCCTTGTCGTTCCAAAGTGGAGGAGTTCTGATGGAGAAAGCTCTATCACCACTTTGATCCACTATAAGGACTATTATTATTTTTCGAGTGTTAACTGGCTGAATCTTTTTCAGCTGCTTGACATTTGACAAGATTAAATCTGAACTAAGCAGGATCCTCAGGGACTGTGCACACCAGCCCAGGTTGATTTGACTCTGACTCCCTCTGCTGGTAAGAGGACAGCCCGACAATCATGTCACCTTTGTTTTTCTCTTTTCAGTCCTTTTTGGCTCCGACTGGGCACATCAGATCAGGAGGTAAACTGAGTATTTTATGCTCTGTCTTTCCTGAACTACGAGTGGTTTTAATTTCTCTGTTTCATTCTTTTAAGACACATTTCTGAACTCCTGTCAACAGGAACAGTTCTGGTACACTCTGCTCTCTGTGAATGTGTTAAGGTTGTATCTGTGTTTCCTCATGTTCAGTTCTCAGGCTGTAAGGTTATACACGTGGGTCTGAAAAATATCTGGTAGCTGAATGTCTTCCTCCTCCTTCTCCTCCTTTCTTTGGCACCAAGGATTCAAATTCCACTACTCATGCTCCTCCTTCTCCCCCACCTACTCCTCATGTTGGTAGTAAGGCCAGAGGTTTTAAGACTGTCAGCCTAAGTGGGTGGACTGGATGGTTTAATCAAACAGCACGAGAGAGAGAGTCAGAGAAACGTCTTCTGCACAGTGAGTCTGAATGAACTTTTTTTACCTCTTCTGATTGAGACTTTAGAGGAAGGCTTTGGTGGGACTTTTCTGATTGGTTTTTGGAGTTTCTGCAGAGTCTGATTTAGTGACTCTCCTGCTCTGATTCTTGAATGATTCTTGAATTTTGCACAAACTGGGGTCTATATAACACTACTTAACTAAAGCATTTCTTTAAAACCTCTACATCTCTACTTGTCAAACAGTTAAAACACAAATATGTCTAATTCAAACACAAGAAGCAAACAATTTGACATGTTATGCTTCTGTGTAGGAACTTTAAGATTAAAACTGCTTAAAACTCCTTTTACAATCCTTTGAAATAAGTGTATTTGTTTTTTTTCCTCTGGTGAAATAATGACCCAGTTTGTCTGGATGAAGGGTTCTGTCTTGTGTATCAGCTTCACCAAAACAATCTGGTCTCTGTGCAATAATAAAAACATTCAGAGTCCCTTTGAATCCCTCAGAGACGATCTCAGTCACTATTTTTAGTTTGGAGTCACTGCTGCTCTAAGTTTACATTAATGCTCCATATCTAAAAAGCTTGCAAACTGACCTCACATCACTCTGCACTTCCCCTGTCCGCCACTATGTGCTGCTCTAAAAACATTTATTTTTTAATACACGAAGTCGGATATAGAGAGGACCAGAAATATAAAAATAAAAGTGAGATTTTTTTTTAAAACACACTGACATTTCTCTCTTAAAATTCTGACTATTTCATAATCTGACTTTTTTCATCAGAATTTTGACTTTTTTTAAAAAAAAAGTAGAATGCTAAGTTTCTTTCACAGTTGACTTTTTTGCTTAAATTTTCCTTTTTTTTCCCCTCAGAATTCTGTATTTTTTTCCTTGTGGTAAGCCAAACTCTGATTTATTTTTTGGTCAATTTGACTTTTTCAGAATTCTTAATATTTTTTAAAAAAGAAAGCTGACTTTTTTGCCTCATATATTAAGTATTTTCCAAGGATTTTTGTTCCCCCCTCTTCAGAACTTTTTTTTTTTTTTTACTTTTACAGGAAACAGAAGTTTTTAACTGTAGGATTTTTTATTTGATAACATTACAACAACTTTATTTCTGTATAAAAATAACTTCAAAATCTGAAATCGTCAATGGGTTCCTGGTGCTCTATTGTACGCTAGAAATGTTGTCTTTGTTTAGCATTACTTGGCTAACTTTAGGTAGTGTTGCAAAATACTGGAAAACTCCGAAAAAAATAACTACAATCCCCACCTCATCCCTTGAAACGGTTAAATTACTACTTAACCCTAACCCATCTTTATCGTGTGAATGTCTTTTGGTCCTCGATGGCCACCGTAGCCTCAGTGTTACAGCAGAGGTTGTTGAAGAAGTTTTCTGGTTGTGGTTAAAATACACGTTGTGATTACGAAATGACTAAGTAAGAGGATATGCTCGACAAGTTGATGTTAGAGTGACTCAGAACAGCTTGAACTGCCTGCCTGAAGTAGCTCCTAGGTGACACTTCCTGCTTGGTATTCGGTTTGGTATTTAGACTGAAAATGCTTACAGATTTTCGAGTCAGACCAAAGTGAAGATGATGGAGCCAATTTCAGAGAAATGATAATAGATTTAAACTGGGTTTTAACATCTTTAGCGGTCGATGGTACATGTTCATGACTTCAGTTTGCTCATAGCCAACAGTATCATGTGTGGTCTACCCACACTATGGTCTAACCACACAGTAAAACAGCATGTACTGAGTCACCCGATGGTACATAACAAGATGCTGACTAGTCTGTATTTCAAAATCTTGAGCAGAACTTGTATGTTTTTTTTACAGAGCGGCCAAATTCCTGAGAGGTGGTAAGTGAAGCTGGTTTTGGAATCTGAGATGGTTTGGCAGAGTCTCGATGGTGGGGGAGAGGACAGCAGAGTTTTTCTTTTTAATCTCACAGTAAAGAGGTCCTTTCTATCTGGCTGTATCCAGCTCTGACCCTCCTCAGCAGCTCAGTGAGGAGGGGGTCGGCCAGTTTTGATCAGATCGGCGTCTGTTGACATTCCTCTGCTGATAAGAAACCTCTTCCTTCCTGGTGGTGGCCTGATGCTCCACCTTGTCCTTTCTCTGTTTTTCTTTCTTTTCACTTTGTTTTCTGTCAGTCAGCAGTTATTTTTGTAAGAAGTCGGCCTGGAGCGTGCCGTTCTGACTCTCCTTTACAGTAAAAGCCTGAAAGCTGCACAGATTTTTCTGGTCGGACTGCAAACTTAGAGCTCTTTGAGATTTCCTTGAAATTTCACCTGCATTTGTGAAACAGGCACTGTAGAGCAAAAAAAATGCAGTCCCTTGAATGTCCACTGGGGGTGTCTTCAAAAGTGACTCATACTCCATAGAGCCCCATTGTAAAACTGTACAACAGAAAAAAAAACACATTTACGGCCAGAGTTGTAGTATCTTGACCAGGACCAGGACTTGAGTCCCATTCAAATCCCATAGCTGTCCTCTTAGAAAATGAATGCTTGGGTAAAAAGTTTCGCCATTTTCTGCTTTTCCGCTGTCTGCCCAGGCGCTTTACATTGTGGGTAACAGAAGACGAAGCAGACTGGTCCAATGCATACTGTTAAATTTTCCTGAATCAATATGTCATCCAGGAATTTTTGGCATACTGCAAATTTCGCATTTCTTCGCCTACTGCATACTGGATTTTGGCCAAATCAGTACGTACTGCAAGTATAGTGGGAGAATTGGAAAACGGCCTTGGACTCTGACTCAGGCTCTGGTAACGAGAACTTGGACTTAAACTTGTGAAGCAAGTCAGACTCTGATTCAGACAATTTAGCGCTGATGTGGTGACTGGAACTGGATTGTTGGCTCACTTCTAAATGAATTAATTCAGGTCATTTAGAAAAACTGAGTAAGTGCTGAACTCTGAGTTGGTCCAGCTGTTGCTTCATCATCTCCAGTTTGAGTGACTGTTTCATCCTGCAGCAACTTTCCTGTTGTTATCTTCTTGACCTCATTCCAGCCACAGCCAGCAGCAGCTTTCACTCTCACTTGACCTCTCTCAGTCTGCCGCTTTGCAAACACAACACTCAAAAACAAACGTCCTTTATGCTCTCAGTGATTCCAGAAAGCTGCAGAGTTTACAGCGTGTAGCGCCGGCTGAAAGCTCTGCGTGTCTCTGTGAGCTGAATTTGTGCAGTGAATTGGCCTCTGGTGCCATTAAAGTCTCTACCTAACAACTACAGGAAGTAAGAAGTCACATGATGAGAGTGTGGGTGTGTAATTTGGCGACCTGTCAGTTATGAACATTCTTTATAACCTGATTCTGTGTGTTGTCAGTGTTGCTTTGACACGTGACGGACTGTGTTTTGTATTCGCAGGTCTGCGTCTGTTTTCAGGATTAAATCATGGGAGCCAACGACCCGACCCGGTGCTCTGACCCTTCAGGGTCACGACCTCCTGCCCCTCGCAGGAGCCCCTTCAACAGCATTAAGGTATGTCTCTGCTCTGTTTGCACCAGGTTTGCTCACACTTGATGCACATACAGTTGTGTTCAAAATAATAGCAAGATAAATCACGGTTTTTGTTAAAATTTCAACTTCTACCCTGCAGGTAAGTTTCTGGAAGGTTTAGTAAAGGTAGAGAAAACCAACAAACCCAACAGACATGACATACATTCTGCTGATTCTGTGAAACTGAATCATTTGCTGAAAGGAGTGTGTTAAAAAAATAGCAGTGCTGAGTTCAAATAGTGAGGTCATTGATTATATGAAAAAAATAGGTGTTAAACAGGTGGCCCTCATTTAAGGATCAAGGCAACTAATGCTGCATACGCTGGCTGTGCATTTGTCCTTGAAAAACAGAGTAAAATGGGTCGTTTGAGACACTGTTTAGAGGAAGAGCGTTCTTTGATAAAGAAATTAATAAAAGAGGGAAAAAAGTGCAGAAAATGATAGGCTGTTCAGCTAAAATCATATTAAACACTTTAAAATGGCAGCCGAAACCCAAAAGGCGCAGAAGAAAAAGAAAAACGACTATTCGAATGGATCGTAGAATAACCAAAATGGCAAAGGCTCAGCCGATGAACAGCTCCAGGAGGATCAAATATGATCTAAGATTTAGGCCTGTGAGTACATTAACAATCAGATAACATCTATGTGAAGCCAAGCTACCACAAAGAAGCCAACCAAAGTCCCGTTGTTACAAAAAAATACATGTGCTGAAGCAGTTACAATTTACCAACGAACACATTGACTGGCCAAAAAAGAAATGGCTTAATATTTTGTGGACGGATGAGAGGCCTCACCAGTGCCGTTTTAAAGGAGGTGGGGAAGACCCCTGTCTGAAGAGAGCAATTTACAATGTTTAAAAGCTGTTCTTCAAAGAATCCATAAAATTGTTTAAAAAACTGTGTGGGAATTGGATCTAAAAAGGCAGGTTGTGGGGTTTACTTGGGAGAAAACTCGACCAAGTGTCTGCGCATCAACCAGTGCAAAACTCTCCAGTGTTTCCTCGGGTAAAAGCAGGGATCCAGGTGTGGTGGCAGTTAACATCTGTTGAGATAAAACACTGGATCTGATGTTGTCGATTTTACTTCTGAAGTGGTCTGCAAAATCCTCACAGAGGGTGTCAGAGGATGACCCAGGGGTTCTGTTAAAATTATTGTTAGTTAAAAGATCAATTGTAGTAAAAAGAAATCTGGGGTTATGTTTATTGTCAGCAATTAGTTTTTTGTAGTGGAGAGTTCTTGCATGTTTGACTGTGCTGTTGTAGGTTTTGAGGTGGTGTTTAAAAATTTCAAGGTGGACTGTTAATTTCGATTTTCTCCATCTTCTTTCAGCACTCCTGCATTTTCGTTTGAGCTCTTTGATGTGCTCGTTTCTCCATGGGGGGAGAAATTGTCTGAGAGGACTTGATAGTTATGACGATGTTTGGCAAAGCTGGACCTGTATTGTGAAATGCTAAGAGAGAGTAACACAAAAATGGAAACTGAAAGCATAAAAGATCAGTGTTTTAAAAAATGTGATTTTAAGTCTGTAAATCCTGGAATTGTTTTAAAATCAACAGTGTCCCGGTGGTCTCTGCAGGACCTGTCGCCGACAAAAACAGTCTTGTGAGCGTAACTAAAGAGTCAGTGGGTTTTCCTGGATGTTTCTTTGAAAGTGGAGCTGTACTCTTTGGCTCTTTGTTGCTCCTGATGTTTTCTTGCTCTCACAGAGGAGGTCACTGTGTCTGAGAGAAACTGGTCTTCCTGAGGGTCATCCTGGTATTGTTTATGAGGTCTCAGGCCGTCATGTAACTCTTTGGAGGTCACTGTGTCATAAAGTTCTCACTCTTTCACTTTGTTTTTGAGTAACTTTTAGTTTTATTCCTGTCTGTGTTAGTCAAAGTTTGTTCTCTGGAAGTTTGGGCCTAAAACAGTGAATCTGATCCTTAGGGTCTCTATAACCACAGCTGTTCTTCTTCTTCTTGTGTTTCTCTGCAGTTCTTCGTCCTCTGTCACAGTCTGCTGCAGCTGGCTCAGCTCTTGGTGTCAGGCTACATGAAGAGCTCCATCTCCACCATCGAAAGACGTTACGGCCTCTCCAGCCAAAAGTCTGGGCTCCTGGCATCTTTCAACGAGGTCAGACTGGGACATTAATAGAGGAAAAAACAACACGGTTTCAAAAAACGGACAAATATTCAAACTGCAGAAGAGTTGGATAGACACGGTCTGCAAATACAGAAATGGGACAACTCTAGAAACACATGAAAAAGTCCAAAACAAACACACAAATGATGCAAAGTGACAACGCACAAAAGCTCAGAGTAGCAAAGCTTTACCCCCCGATTTTCACCGTCTTTCCATGCGGTGGAAATTGGAGGTTACTGTTGAAGGGATAATGAAGACCAGACGGTGACTTTATCTGTGACCGATGTACATTGGCAGATTTTGGCTGACGATGATCTCATGTCTTCTGAGCCAAACCAGAACTGCATGAGTCTGTAAATTAAACCCAAACTGCTGGGTTTGTTTTGGACTTTTACATGTATTTTAAAAGTTGCATTGTTTCCACATTTGCAGCATATTTTGCCTGAAGAGGACAGTTTGGGCTTTTGTAGATGGACTATCCTCTGGTGCCTCAAATTTCTTGGTTGTATGACTTTTTGTTTTTTGCGTGTTTTGTCGTTTTGTGTGTATTCAGGTGGGGAACACGGTGCTCATTGTGTTTGTGAGTTTTTTGGGGAGTCGGGTCCACCGGCCGCGGTTCATTGGAGGCGGAGCTCTGTTGGCCTGCATGGCCTCGTTGCTGATAGCGATGCCGCACTTCTTAAGTGAAAAGTACGAATACACGGACCAGATGAGCTGTGAGACCTACGCACAAACACACTCCTTTATTTCCTTACATGTTGCAGCTTGTTACAAACATTTCCACCAACAGAGACAACCTCAAGTGGACACTCAAATAGGAACTGCAGTTTATTTGTACTTTTGCCGTAGTCTAAATTCTGCTCTAGAGTCTTTATAATCTGAATTGTTGTCCTGTTTTTCATGTCGATGTGTTTCCTGACAGTGTCCGGTGATAACACCTCAGGCCTCTGCCAATCAGACAACATCTCCACCACCTCATCCACCAATCAGAGCTGCAACTTGCAGGAGAGCCCCGCCCAGCAGGTGGTGTATCCTCTGCTGCTTCTCGGTCAGCTGCTGCTGGGGATCGGGGCCGTCCCCATCCAGCCCTTTGGCATTTCCTATATTGACGACTACGCCAGCAAGAAGAACTCGCCGCTCTACCTCGGTACGCCTGCTGAGGAGTCACTCAGCGTTACTTCACAGTGTGAACAACAGCAGCTAGATGTTGCCATGACGAGTATTTGCAGTTTGCAGGAGAACCTGACTTTAAACTTGTACTGACCTCACATTACATGAACAAGATGAGGGTTCATTCAGTAAATCAACAGTGTGAGCTGCAGCCAATTCACATCACAGTCTGTTTGAAACCATCAGGTTAGTTATGAAAGTCTCTGCACTCAGGCAGAACTGACTCTGTGTGGAAACACTCTGATGTAACAGCCTCATGTGAGCGAATCTGCTGAGTGAGAGAAGCCTGAGGACTCTGCAGACTCTCTTTTTCCAGACCTGGGGTTCCTGGAAGCAGTCCGACTTTAAACACTGAGGTCTTCAGTTACTGTAACTGATGCAGAAATACTTCCTGGTTCCTTTAGCGATTTTATGATCCATAAAAAACACAGTTAACTGTATCCGCTGTTTATAAGATCTTCAGGACTGAAGCTGCCTGCTTTAAATACAACACTAAACCAGTCATGTCAAAATCAGACTGGTTATATAACTGATAATACACCTGGTGAAGGTTCACAACAAAAAATAATATGCTTTTCGCTCGCCCAATCTGGATTCTAGTTTGCATAACCCCTTGCACACTCAGCATTAATGTGGATAATGGATTATTACCCAGCTACCAGCTGCAAGGCACAAACAAGTTGACTCTAAACGTTAATTTAAAGATGATTCTATAGATTAAAAATAAGCCTCTCTCATGCTCATTCTGTCCCTTTGGTTTTCAGACACAAACAAACACCTTCTATCCTCTCTCCTCCTTTCTCCTCCTGTTGCTGTATGATCTTGTTGAATACACAGCAGTGTACGGTCAAACACAATGATTTTATTACTCTGGTTAAAGTTCATATGTCAACACTGATTTTTTTCCTGCTCGTGTCTTTCAGGCATCCTCCTGGCTGTGACTTCCATTGGCCCGGCCTTCGGCTTCATCACCGGCTCCATGATGCTGCGGTTTTATGTCGACTTTGACAAGTTATCCAAAGGTGAGGAAACACACTGGGCTGATGATTCCCAGCTGGACTGAGACACTGAATAAACCTCCAGTTAAGCTTATTTATCACTCTTATTCTTAAAGGAGTGGGAGGACTTCCTGCTAAAGTCACTAAACTTTCGCAGGATGTATTAGTGTTGCTGTGAAAAGCTGAAATCCTCCATGACAACGTTAAAAACAGAGCAGAGGGCAGCTGCAGAGAAGACAAATGTCCGACACAGAGTTAGATCAACATGTTCACGCTCTCTGAAGCTCTGAGAGGTTCTCAACCACTGACATGATTTGACATTTGGTTCATTTGGCACACTAAGTCAACTAAAGAGGAAGTTTTGATATTTTTGAACTATTAAGATATTACGGGCTTTAAATGACTCAAGGTGTTGTTGCTCCTGATCAACTTTACAGTAAAATACTCTAATTTTGCAGAGTTTCTTGGTAATGAATCAGTAACTTAAAACTTGTTAACTTTAGTAGATGGGTAGATAGTGAATAGGCTGTGTCTGTGTTGGTTCTCATTCAACCTGGCCTTGGTTGTCCAGATCTTCAAGGGCAACTGGACTTGGTTGGATCAAAGTGTGAAATCTATGCTGCGTTCAAGTTACCTCGGAGATCAGATGTCGGAGCTGAGAATGACGTCACACCCGAGTTAACAGCGTTTTAGTTACAAAGTTGGAAAAAATGCGAAATTGGAGGCGGAAACAAAATGACTACATCTACAAAAGTTATTTTAGCGCTTGCCTTGTCCGAATATAAGCAAAAGACAAGGCAAGCTTAAAGGGATGTTCCGGCGTAAAATTAATTTAGGGTCAAACACCATGACACTGAATTAGACACCCCCTCCAGAGATTAATGTTGCCAACCGCTTACCTCTCCAGTTTTACCAACTTTAGTAACGACCGCACGATAGCAATACACAGCGATCTGAGGAGCCATAAACAAACCTCAACCAAAACGCCACTCTATAGCCACAAATAATGCTCAGAACAGCACCTAACTTCATCAACAGTACATATAGGGTCCCAGCCATAGTACCAGCCACCAAACATCAAAGAGACTAAACACAACTCACCTACTCTCTTCCAGCAGCCGCTTGTTTTGTAGTGAGACCTCAGGCCAGTCCATTACAGACTACAGCGGGGTGACGCAGCTCAAGGAAGAACATTTATGAACATTACTTTTTCATTTCCTTGAGGTAATAATCACCATATTAATCATTTTGCACTGCAGACACTGTAGGTAGTTCTTATACCTTAGTGTCTCAGTCTAATTGCATTTCCATGAAGAAATGATCATAAATGTTCTTCCTTGAGCTGCGAAACTCCGCTGTAGTTTGTAAGTTAGTCTGTAGACTATAGAGTGGCGTTTTGGTTGAGCATGTGGCTCTCTGTATTGCTGTCTGTGGTTGTTACTAAAGTTGGTATAACTAGAGAAGCAAGTGGTCGGCAACATTCATCTCTTGTGGGGGTGTCTAACTCAGTGTTACGGTGTGTTTGACCTTAAATTAATTTTATGCCGGGATATCACTTTAAATAACTTTCGTAGATGTAGCCATCTTGTTTCCGCCACTGATTTTGCTTTTTTCCAACTTGGTAACTGAAACGCTGGTAACTCAGGTGTGACATCATTCCCAACTCGGACATCTGACTTCCGAGGTAACTCGAACGCAGCATTACCTTTTTATCTCAGTATTCTCAGTATTCCGAAAAATGTAACATCTTAAAAAATAAGATTACATTCCGAATTCTGTCTGTGTAGGATCTGATTTATCTAGGTCATATTTATTCAATTCTTCGTTGAAAGAGGAACCGGACTTGACATTTCGCCTGAGGTGAAACGTGTTCAGGAACCTCAAGTCAATTTTCCCTTTCAACAAAGGAATGAATAACAAGAGGCTTTAACTCAGTAACGAGTCATTTCTTACTCATTAACTTTTTTGTTGAACCCTTGACCCTTGACTCAAATTTTTCATTGACGGTAGTGTAACCCTTTCAGACAAACAAACCAGCACCCTGTCTGTGTCTTCTGCTGATATTTCAGGACTTGACACTGTGAGAGTTTGTTGATGTTCAGTTGACGTGCGACAGTTTGTTTGTTTGATTCCTCTGTGATTAATGAAGCTTGGCTTTCTGTGAAGGCTTGTCTAAACAAAAACCACTTTCCTTGCCGATGTGTGGCGTGTGAATGAAAAGAAGAGGGATTGTGCAACTAAGAGTGTGTAGTAGTAGTGTGTGTGTGTGTGTGTGTGTGTGGGAAAGACTTTGTGAGTGTTAAAGCATGCATGTGTAATGTGTATATTTAAGAGGACATGGTTGTTTATATAGGACTTCTTTTGTCTTATATTCCAAACATCAGCATGCGTGTGTGTGCTCTGAAGCACTCAGGCACTAATGTAAGGGTATGAGCACGTTTGTGTGAATGTAAAGGGTTAAAGGATTCTCTGTCTCCCACCTTGTTCTTTCCAGAAACCTGTATTTTACTGCCAGATGAGCCGTTTATTGCTGCTGGTGTTCTGTGACTCATATAGTTGTTTTCTCAATTGACATTTCTGCAGAAAACGTTAACGTCAGCACACAAATTAAATATGGTATCTTTCCTTGGTTGAACAGGTTGAACATTTAGGGTTAAAAATTTTAATAGACGATCTTTTATTTTGTTGAGAATTTCATAACTATAAGCCTTTTCAGATGTTGCAGAGCCTGAACACATCTGTCATTTTTGAGTGTAGAGCTAATGATGAGCTATTGTGGTCTTTGGTAACACGCCGTTTCCTTGATATGAAGACTATGAATTCAGTTTAATGCATGAGATGAGATGCACATAAAAAGAAAACTGTTGGTCGAAGGACTTTAAACATTAGAGAAACTTTCCCACAGTACTTTGACTGTCATCTTTGGTGTTTTTTCAGACCAGATTGAGTTGGATCATAAGGACCTGCGCTGGGTGGGAGCCTGGTGGCTCGGCTTCCTCGTGGCTTCCTGTCTCCTCTTCCTCACGGCGCTGCCTTACCTCTTCTTCCCCAGAAAGATGCCCAAAGAGGTGAGCACGAACAGTCCCACCCACATACATGTTTAAAGGTGATATCACTCGTTGTGTTTCATCATCAAATCTGATGATTTGAGTTTGAGATTTGGCTGCTGTTTGGTCGGTGTTTTGGGGCCAGAAGTGCAAATATTAATGATTGAGGATTGAAGTATGAGAGGTTCGTTATTTGGATGCTAAACTTTGTCATTTATGTTGTTGATTTTAATCATAGACTGTAAATAGTATGGACTGTGTCTTCCTCCTCACTGTGTGAAACCACCGTGAGAACAGCACCCTCTGGTGACGGGCTGCAGTATAGGTCATAAACCCCACCTCCGCCAGTAAATGGAGCTAATGGAGCTGTGGAAAACCTTTAGAAATTTATTACAGAGAATATAAATGTTTCTCCCCTCTGGTTGCGATGTTGCGATGTAGTTACTGTCAGACTGGTTTGTGCTCAAGTCCTCTTTTTTCTGTACAGCTCCATTTTTAAAAGTTATTAGGGGGTTCATGATTTCTTTGATTGACACTTTATACAGCCTATGGGCGTATGAAGATTGCGTAGCTCACCCGGGAGATACGCTGTTTGAGCCGAGCGTCATCACAGGGACTCTCCTGCCAAATGTGTACAATGCTGCACAATGTTGGTTTCAGGAAATGGAGAGAAAACGCAGAATTACCGAGAGCTTTTTAGCTTCAAATCCGTATACTGGCGGAAGGTGGAACCAAGTTGTCCATAGTATATACAGTTTATGATTTTAATCTTTACAAGCTGAAATTTGAGCCATCTCATTGTTAGCGTGAACTGGCACAACACCAAGTATGTTTACATGCACCGTTAAAGTAACGCCATGATAGTAGCTACGATTAGCAGTTAAAGTCATTTTCATTAGTTTAGTTTATGGGGAAAAAAAACGAGGATGTAGATGAGTTAAGGTTGGTACAATCATGAAACTTGTGAAATTTAAAGCCAGTTAGTACCATGTATTTTTTAACAGGGTGGTGCTCTGACTGTAGTTGAGAAATGGACAGATTGAAGTATTTGTCCAAGTTTTCTGCCTGTTTAAAGGAAGTTTTTTCCCTCACCACCGTCACTCATGTTAGATGAGATGGGCCAAATCCCATTTTAGGTAGGGTCTTGATAATTTATCAAACAATGAGCGTGGTCTAGATCCTCTCTTTTTCTTTTGAAAAGCGTCTTGGGATGGCGACTGTTGTGAATAGGTGCTATATAAATACAATTTGATTAATTGATTGATTTAGAAGTTGACCTTAATCATGAATATGAAAAATCAAGCAGATCGAAGACTGAATGACGGAGTTAAAGTGACTTCCTGTTTCATGGCCGAACACCCAAGTCCGTTCAGTTGTTCATCCTGTAAAATGACAAAAACTGACAGTCACCTAAAATTTATGGACTTCCTGTTGGGAGTTTTTGGAGTTTTTGTGGGTTTCATGCATGGAGGGTGAACCTAGTTGAGGTGCTAATGTTTTGAAGATTTTAGGGTGATGCATCCTGTCAATCTCAGTAACCTTGTGGGATTAAAGTCACGCTGATAGACCAGCGTGGAATCAAAACCTCTAAAATATCAGTTTTTTTCCCCCCAATTCTTGTGTGAAGTTTGGACCTGTTAAGACATGTTCATGCCTCCAGTGGGGCTCTTGCGCTGTACAGTACCCCGGCCCCTTATTTCTGCTCTTTTTGTCTTATTGTTTCATTTTAATTGACCACTTTATGTTTGTTCTGCTCTATTATTATTTGTCAGACACTCTAACTGGCATCCCACATTACTGAAAGAGACAAATCCACTATAGTACTCTGTAAAAAAAGAGTACAAGCCTGCTCTGTGGTATCCTAAGTACCCTGACAAACATATTGACCGAGCACTTATATAACCGATCAATGATAAATTGATTTTGAGTCAGACCCCACTTGCTTATGACATGAACTAAGTTTCCTTTGATATACCATCAGATTTTACAGTCTTAATAATTTTATTGCCTCAGTCGGTCACATTGACGTTATCACACTGACCGAGGTGATAACAGTAATCCTTGTAAAGGTTCAGGTGAATTAACTACAGAGAGGAGGAGGGCGGACAGTTTTTCTTTGACGTATGAACATCGATGGAAGTAAAACGAGTCTGAGAGGCTCCATTTTGTGGGACCTCTTTAGGGACATAAAGAAAAACAAAAGGGTTGAGATTTATCTGTTTTGAGTTTGAGTATCTTCAGTTGTCTCTGTCTCTGAAATCTCTCCACCCTCATGGCTATCTTTAAGTTTGTGAGTCATGAGTAAAACTTCAATCTGTTAAAACAATTTCAAGGGTTTTGAGTTTAAAAATTGAACTTCCCAATAAGTTGACTCAGCTAGAGAAATGACATGTGTAAGATCCCCTTTTTTTTTTATTAAAGTCAAATTTCCAGATGAAAGATCCAAAATTTATCAGCAGCAAGACACATGGGATTCAGAAGCTGGCAAAGGTTACTGAGATTGACAGGATGCAGGATTTAAAAATGCTCATAAACTGGATTTCCATCATGTTGACAAGTTCAAACAAGAATCAGGCAGTTTGGCTCAGGAACAGATTATTAAGTGAAACCAAACGATTGCTCAACATTGTTCCCGCAGAGACGACTCTCAGAGCTGCAGTAACAATGTCTTTTACGTCTTCTTCTGAGGATATAAACGATTTCTGCCGACTTTGCAAAGTCAACTGCAGAATTAACGGCGTTCTGAATGAACGGCGCTTTGAAAAGTCCCGCAGCATGTGTTAGACGTCACCATCTACACATGGACCAATCAGGGGCTGCCTTTCCCTGTTGTGCGGGGAACAGTGGAAACACAGTCACTGATTGGCCCGGTTATTTTCTGATTTCTAATACTCGCTCCCAATTGGCCGAAGTCCAGATTGTTGTGGGAAGGGACGGCAAGCGATTCACGCAACTGGATGGCCCAGCCAGGCTAGGGGACACACACACTGGGAGCAAAGTGGGTTTAGTGGGGGGGAATCGAACCACCAACCTTCCAGTTATTGGACGACCAATCTACCTCTTGAGCTACTGTTGCCCAGTAGCTCAGGGGGTATAGGAGGTGTCCTGTTTTAAAGGATTTTAGCTGCACACACATTCACTTTCCAGTTGCAATCCAGACTCACACATTTGCACATGACAATTCCTGAAGTTCTGTACACGTGTGTAAATGTAAAGGTCTAACAGTTCACCCACAGGAGACAGGGATTCTGACTCTGCAGATCCACCACACTCCTTAAGATCTGGTTCATAATTGTGAACTCCTTTTTTAAGGAGGAGCCTCTTATAAGAGGTTTCAAAAACAGAAATGAACAGTGCCAAGAAAATCAGTCAAGACAGTTAACACAGAACAACCAGAGGCAAAACAAAACATCAACACAAAACTAAACAGAGCAAGACAACATAAAACAGTAATTATCAAGTCATGAAAGAAATCAAGAAATCTCTCCAGAAAGTCTTTATGTGGGTGAAACACGACTAAAAGTGGGTCATCCAGACATCCAATTAGAGCAGAGAGCTGGAGAGTACATGGACAATTACAGGAGGTGCAAAAGTGGAAGTGACAGTAATCTCCTCAGCAGGTTGGGCTTTGATCCCAGGTCCTGTGAATGGAATTAGTCAAAAACCGATGGTCTCTGTTCATAGCAGCCTCTCTCCTCTCTAACTCAATAAGTTCTGCACAGTGTTTTGTGGTGGATTAAAATAAGATCAGAGTGAGTCCGATCCTACAAAATAGAGCTCTTGGATCTTTGTGTTATGAGGATGTGGTCTAGATCAGCTCTTTAAAGCATCTGCTGACCATTCGTCATGAATTGCTGTTATTTAGATTAAGATTGACAGTTAGTTGGCTTTCCTGAACTTCCACAACCACCTACGATCAAATCTGAGTTTTCTGCTGAGAACTTTCATGTGTAAATCTAAACACAGAGTTACTGTAGATTCATAAATAACAGCTGACGTGTACATGTGCTGTGATTTAGTGTAACTGACTCCACTTGACGTGATCATTCAGGACTGTCTGTTTATGTCCTCTGGGGTTGAAGGTGTCTGTTCAATGATCTGAATGGAGCCACACATGTTCACTGTAGTTTCCAGCTCCTCGTCTTTACTGAAATCAAACTCTTATGTGAAAAGTGAAAGCAGCCCTGAGGCTTGGCTTCACTCAGCTGGACTTTGACTCTGTGTACTTTGGCTGCTGTGTGTGTTGGTGTGGATTTGAACCCTGTCCGAACAGATAGAGCGAGGTGTTGAGCAACATGTAGGCACCAGATGCTTCATTTCCCCGAGCTCATGAGTTTTACTGTGACAGAGCCGACACTCCCCCACAAACTAAAATATATTACTCTGCTACTTAGTGAAAAAGTAAAAATGTATGAACGCAATGACCTCCACCGGGATCCACGATAGTCGTAACGCCACCCAGTGGAAATAAATGGTACTAACTTTTATATACATGATCAGATTTGATTCAGATTTCACAGGATTGATGATGTTGCAACCTGAACTTATACAAGTAGATACATTTTTGACACCATAAAAGCACCACCTACTGGTAACAAGGGGTAAATACTGCTATATTGGCTACTTTTTCCAGTCCTAGTGGCCAAATCTTCTCACAACCACTCTGTTTTGGAAGATATGGGTATGTTCGTTCGTTCGCTCACTTCCCGCCTATCTGGCTCACGGGGGTAGCAGCTTCAGGAGCAAGCCCAGACGGCCCTCACCCCAGCCACTTCCACCAGCTCCTCCGGGGGGATTCCTAGGCGCTCCCAGGCCAGGCGAGAGATATAATCCCTCCACCTGGTCCTGGGCCGGCCACGAGGTCTCCTCCCGGTGGGACATGTCTGGAACACCTCTAATGGGAGGCGTCCAGAGGGCATCCTCACCAGATGCCCGAGCCACCTCAGCTGACTCCTCTCGACGTGGAGGAGCAGCAGTTATACTCTGAGCGCCTCCCGAGTGTGATGTGGATCAGCGCCTCCAAGTCCGAGGCCATGGTCGTTAGTCGGGAAAAGGTAGATTGCCTTCTCCGGGTCGAAGGGGCAGTCCTGCCTCAAGTGAAGGAGTCCAAAAATCTTGGGATCTTGTTCATGAGTGAAGGTGGGATGGGGAGGGAGATCAACACACGGATCGGAGCGGCGTCAGCAGTGATGCGGACGCTTAACCGATCTGTCGTGGTGAAGAAAGAGCTGAGCCGTAAGGCGAGACTCTCGATTTACTGGTCGATCTACGTGCCGATCCTCACCTATGGCCATGAACTTTGGGTAATGACCAAAAGAACAAGATCATGGATACAAGCGGGTGGAATGGGTTTCCTCAACAGGGTGGCCGCGCTCAGCCTTAGAGATATGGGTATGACTGGTATTTATTAGCTGTCATGTTGGAGCTGGATCTTATCCAGGTTTGCGTTGATGTTTTTGCTCTCCTTGCTTCAGGTTTGTGCAGGAATGTAGACAAACAGATAACTCTGAGGCTTTATCTCCAGACTTGGCTCCGGGGATGATGGTGCGATCATATCAGAAGTTAAAATCTTGTCAACAAAAGTGAAATCTGATTATATATTTTACTGCTCAGACCACCACGCTGAGACCTCTGATCAAAAGTTCACATCGTCTACACGTACTTGTTTAACATCATATCTGTCTTGTCGTGTCAGACTATGTTGAGGTCGTAAATCACAGCTCCCACATGACAATTTGAGCTCATGTTTGCAGAATCATGAATGTAAACCCCTCCGACTTACAGCCTCAGCAGACTACCTAAAAGCAGCTTTAGCCGCAGACTGAGGGGTTTTGAAACTTGCCGAGTGGACATCATGTGATGTTCTGCCTCCATATTTGTCCAGGACAATGCAGACGATGACGAGCCCAAACTGGACTGCAAGCAGCAGCAGAAAAACATGCCCCAGGAACTCACCCTTCTCCAGTTCCTTAAAAGTAAGAGTCATTTTCTTTTTTTATCTCCTCTGTTTCTCGTCTGATGAGGTTTCAGCTGAGGCAACACGAGGGCAACGACGGTAAACAAGGATGAGGCTCTGGTTTCAGAAATTTAACCCAAATGGTCAGGGTTAAAATCCTTGAAACAACAACCGTTTGGTTTGACAGTTGTTAGACTCTGAAATTTAACCTTTAAGTGCTCTAACTGATCCATCAAACTGTGAGCATGTTTTTTCTTTCGGGATATATCTTCAGTTTGATGTACCTGCCATCCCCAACTTTTCACACACTGAATGAAACCTCTCAGTGATATTTTATCTCAATCAAAGGGATGTTTTTTTTTTTTTTGGTAATCTGACTATCTGAAGGGATTTGCCTGTTCCTGTTAGAAACGTTCCCCTAACCGTCCCTCTCTGTCCTCCAGGTTTTCCTCATATCGCTCTGCGTACATTGCGGAGTCCCATCTACCTGCTTGTGGTTCTGGCGCAGGTCAACTTGGCGGCGCTGCTGGCTGGACTCGCCACATTTATGGCCAAGTTCATTGAGAGACAGTTTAGCCAGACAGTGTCCTTCTCCATCATGATGATAGGTGAGAGTGTAAACCAAACCGGTCTTTTGGAGTTGGAATCATGTTCAATGAAAACTTCGAACTGAAGATGTCTTCCTGGTTTCTTCCTTTCAGGAGGAGTTTGTATCCCTCTGGCAGTGCTGGGCACCGTCCTGGGTGGAGCTCTGATGAGGCGGTTGAATCTCTCAGTCCACAGCGCCAGCAAGTTGTGCACAGCTGCTATCTTCCTGGGTCTGCTCTGTGCTGCTCCGCTGCTGTTCATTGGCTGTAAAACTCAGGAGGTTGCTGGAGTCTTCCCAAGGTACCAGCCGCTTTGATTTCATGTGCCCCGAGAAAACGTTTATTTCAATACAAGCTAGTTTTACCTCATACAGTAACTGGTGTTTGTGTTTTCAGCACTGATAAGTTGTCGTGCAATGCGAGCTGTCAGTGCGCTCAGGAGGCCTTTAATCCAGTCTGTGGATCTAATGGTATCGAGTTCAGATCTCCCTGCCATGCTGGCTGTACTGCTGTAGAGATGGACACCGACAACAAAGTAGCTGTACGTATTCTACTTTAAAATCAATGTGCACGTTTTTATCTCTGCTTCTCGGTAACCCAGCGCTCATCAGTCATGGTATAATCAGATAATATCACTTTTCTTCTTTCACAGCTGTAGAAGCTGCTTATCTTTTCTTTTTTAGCTCTTCCAAATGTAATTATCCTCTCTTAGTGTTTCTCCCACAATCACACCCTGTCCCTGGATTTATTCACATTCCAGCTCCCCAACAGCTATTTATGTGTCAGTGGTCCTGAGTGAAAACAGACAGCTTTTCAATACACGCTGAAGCCAAATACAACAACCTGCTGAATAAGCATGCATGTAGAGCGTCTGTTGAGTTCCTTATACTGCAAATGAAAAACTATTAAGCATGATATATTTATGTTCCTCAACACCAGGTTATAATGATAAAGATCTGAGAGATTTCCATGTGAATCTTCATCAAACTAAACCTAAACATGTTGGCTTGCCATTACAGTATATGTACAATACATGGGAACAGCAATAACAAGATAAGTGTTTCTCAAAACGTACAGGTGTTTTTTTGCCATCTTTAAGACGAAGAATACACACCATTGAAATAAGAAGCACTTACAAAAAGCTTTAATATAAAAGAGAGAAACCCACAGATCCATGTGGACAGGAGGTCTAAAGCCGGCAGGAATAAACACTGTTTTTTACGAATATCCACTTACACGTAAGCAGTTTACTGTGAAGGGTCAGGGCCACTAAAAAGTCTAAATTCTGAGAAAAACATCGTCAGAATACTTTTTACTTTAGATAGAAACTTTTTTATCTGCTCAGAATTCCAAATTGGATCTTCAAATTTACCCTTAAATCCCAGAATTGTGAGGGGGGAAAATTGCAAGTCTTACTGAGAAGAACAAGATCAGAGAAAAAGTCAAAATTAAGACTGTAATCTCAGTATAATTTTAGGATTCTGACTTCGATCTCAGAATTCCAAATTTATCTGAAAATTTTGACTTCAGTTTAAGAATTCTGAGCGAAATCTCACCCCCAATTTCCACCGCATCCAGAACGGCTATGAAAAGGCCGTATCCACCGATCGTACCTGATTGTAACCATTCAAGTTAATGTGTCAGTTTTCACCAGCTTCTTTCCATTCCGCTGCGGATCGCCAGACTCCACAGCTGATCGCAAGAGTTCTATTTTTTCCGTATGCTGGAGCATGCCGGATAAATTCAGCACAGATAAACCCGTGCTGGAAAGGAAGTCGGGCACAGACACGAAATAAAACATCCGGCTTCTTTTCAAAATAAAACACTCTGTGTTTCAGGCAGATCGTATTTCACACCATGCAAACGGGCGGAGATGAACAAGTGAAAGTTTTTTAGACGTCATTTCATCCCAATGACACCATGGATGAGGAGATGCTGATTCTAGAAGTTTAGAAGTAGATTTCCTTCTAATCTACTGCGTATATGGTTAGCCTCTGTGGCAAGAGACAACTTGTTGTCTCACAATTGCACGTGAATCCGCAGGTTCTAGTTAGTTCTTGCAATTCCTGCTGTTAGTAATCCGCCAAGAAATTCGCCTCACAAACTGATCGGTGAAAATTGGGGGTCAGAGTTCTACGAAAAAGTCAGAATTCAGACTTTGATCTCAGAATTTTGACTTTTGAATTTTTTATTCCTGAGAATTCCGTAATTTGATCAAAGAACTAATTCCGGAACTCTGTGATGAAAGTTAGAATCCTGAGATTAAACATGAAATGCTAAGATGAATGGAAGAGTTTTATAACAAAGTTTGGAATTCTGTTATTAAAATCAGAAACATGACATCAGTCTTTGAGTTCTGGCTAAAGACAAAATTATGACATTGATTTTTTACAATTCTGACTTTTAAGAAAAAAAACCAAACATTGTCGCAATCAGTTTTTGACATTCAGACTTTATGTCGGACTAATACCGTTAAATAGATTGTTTTTTGTAGTTTAGTTAATGATCACAACATAAATAGACCAGTTTTTCTCAGCTTAATGCCGTTTAAGTTTTATGATTCACAAACTGTTAACCATAACCATGACGCTGAATGACTCGCATATCGTTTTACACTTTTCATGTCAAAGTAAAAACCATCCTGGTGTTTCTGTGGACGACACACCAGAAAGATAACCGCCTTATTGCGCTCTGTTTTTCTAACCTGGTTGCTGTGGTCGCTAAGCCCCGCACACTTTTGGTCTTAAATCAGATTCCTGAATGAGTCAGTTAAACCCTGTTATAATTACTCCCCTCATACGCTCAGATTTACTCAGAATAACCTCCCGCTCATGCTTAAAAACCTGCTGTAATGATGATTTACTGCGACCTCCAGATGGATTTTTCACAGCTGTGGTGGATTTGTCACCTCCTCTTCGTATTTAAGAGCAGCGTTGAGTTACTTTAGTGTTTTAAATTACATTCTTATTTTAATGTTTGCAGTAATTCTGTTTTTTTCTGTTGGAAAGTGAAAGTCAAAGCTGGAATTTAAACTGCTCAGATATTCAGACAGTTGCACCACGTCCACTTCTTTTCCCAAGTATCTCAGTTAAAATATTTACTCAGTTGGATAAAATCTCCTAGTTTTATTTTCACTGTCTTATCTTCTTCTCTGGAGCTTAAGTTTCACTTTTAGTCGCTTTCTGTAGCCTGGGGAAAAAACCTGGGGAAACATTGTGAACAGAAAACATGAACACAATACTCATCAACCACGTCTCTACACAAGAAGAGAGAAAATACTGCATGAATCAGGAGAGTATGTGAGGACAGAAAATTGCCAGATTTCAACAAATCTGATTAAATAATGAGTAAAAGGCACGAAAACCTTTCCCAGTATTTCTTCATCCTTCAGATGTGAAACAAGCTGAAATATCTGACCAGTGACTAAAACAGCTGAAAAGTCTCCTCTGGATGCCCACTCAGTATAAAAATTTTTTGATTCTGTGACATTCAAGTCTTTTTTTCTTTCGTGGTCTGTCATTGTATCAGCTTTAAAATGACCATGTGATGGGAACGAGTCAAACTGAACTCAATCAAGTGGAATCAGTTGTTAGATGTTTTAAGTTTGAACCCTGTGCAGGATGTTTACAGCCTCTTTGTGCTCATGCAGAACTACACAGGCTGTCAGTGCATTGGTAGATTTGGCGTCGCCTCCCCGGGGACCTGTGGCAGTGGATGCTCCCACCTCCTCCTCCCCTTCATGGTCCTGATCGGCCTCACAGCCTTCATCGCCTCCTTCTCTCAGACGCCGTCCTACATGATGATCCTCAGGTGACATACATGATAAATTTATAAACTTCATACCAAAGTAGTATTGTGTCTGGGTAACGATTCTCCATGTAAGGAACTCTCATAAACTGCAGTTCCACCAGTGGCCACTAGAGGCTGTCTCCAAAAGTGAGTCAGACTCCATAGAGCCCCATTTAAAAACTGATCCTCTTAACAGCAGAAACGAACATGTTCACAGCCTGGTATGAAGACAGTTTTTGTCTCTGTTGCTCATTTCTTTGTTCATGCCCACACCTTAACATTCAAATATGGATTTACACAATAATCAAACCACAAAACATAGATCAGAAAAAGAGAAATTATGCCAACAAATACTTTACAAATCACTGACTGCTCAATTTTTCACAGATTTTGACCTGAAAGCTGAATCTCCTTCACCACACACCGGAAAAGCTGGTTTAGATTTTTTTAGGACTTAATTTTCCTGGAAATGAATCGGGCCGATGGTATTTCTTCCTCCACAGACTTCAGCACTAAGATACTTTCACTTTAACACTCCCCACAACTAGTGACAGGAATATCAGGGATTGTTCACAGCTGCAGAAAGTTAAATGAAAACCCAGATGACATCAACAAAGCTCTGGGACACTGTTGGACAAGAGGAAGCGCTCAGAATCAGGAGGAATTTATTAGAGAAGACGGGTGAGGTTCAGGGAGGGGGAGTTTAGAGACTTTTACATTTTTACCTCACATTGACATCTTATCTAACTCTCATAAATCTGATTAAAAAGATGTCCAACAGCTCTTTCTCCTCTGAGTCAGACACTTCAGCAGTTGTGGTTCCACCTGGTCCTCGTTCTATAATCAGCTCCAGGTGAATCAAACTGCTGCTTTAACGACTGAGCAGAACAAGCTGAGGGTTTATAATCTCAAACCCACGCTCAACGTTTGTCAACAGACAGTCGATGCTTCATGGGTTTTTATAAGTGTCAGAGTAAATTGAAATTTTCTTCAACTAGTAAACATAACATTGGTTTATGCACTGAGAAAAAAAAAGTCAGACCGGCAGCTTTAAGAGGATTAACTGATGTGTTTTCTTATCGGCTCAGAAGAATGAGAAGTCAGAGTGAAGCCTCTGTGTAACTTGCAATAAAACTGAGACTCACCTAAGAAAAAACTGACATTGCGATTTTTTCAACCCTGCGATATATATTGTAAATGTTTTAAAAGATACAGGAATTTTCACCAGATGATCTGAAAAACACTTTCTGCTGAAATCTTGAGGACAGTTAACCTGCACTGATCTTACCTCTTTTTGTGAATGTTAGTAGAATGGCTTCTGTCTGTCTTAGAGACATTGTTAGTTCGACACAACTGTAACAAGGGGCTCTATGGGACTGTACTCACATTTGAAGACGGCCTCTAGTGGACACTCCAGGAACACCTCCTTGTGCAGCTCCCCATGCTCTCTTCACTGTTCGACAAACATCTGCACTAGACCAACCAGAACAGAAACACAACCTGACGAAAGACAACCCAGAACAAAAACATCTTTATCTTATCACTTCTGCCATCATCCACCAATCCTTCACAAGATTAGCAGCTGCAGGAAACCCAACAAACATCTCCACAGATGACTGCATGCTCACTCTCATAAATAACCCCTGTCGTCAAATTTATGTTGGTGTTTGTCTCTGCTGCAGGACGGTGCCTGCAGAAGACAAGTCTTTCGCGGTGGGAGTCCAGTACATGCTCTTCAGAGTGCTCGGTGAGTCGACTAGTCAAAGCATGCATGCTTGAAAAAAAAATACACAACTCTCTATCATGATACAAACAAGAACGGTTTGTCTGCTTCATCCAGCCAGAGTTGGGAATTTGTGGTCTGTCTTGTTGTTCCTGACCACAAATAATCACTATCAATTTATCATGTTAATTAATTACAGAAAAAACAATGCAACAAAAAAACAACACTTAAATTGCAATTTATTTTGGCACTCCAAATGGCACGAAACATTTCTCATTGCACAAGTTCCTGGTCTACATGTAATAATGATGCACAGGACACAATGCGAGAAACAAAACTGGAAACAGATGAGAGGTTGTAGCTGGGTTCAGTGGTGCGCAAAATTGTGCAAGAAAGAATTTGACGTCACCGCTGCTCTTCCAGCCTCAATGCCGAACATGTTGCTGCTCCCACAGACAGCGTTTCGAGTTTGAACCGTCAGTATCGCCAGTCCACATGCGACAAGATGACACAGTTCAGTCGGGTTTATAGAGATAAAGTTGTGTTTATTTTCATCATTGAGTTTTAACATCGAGTGCAATAAGAATAGGAATATTATGATTGCATTGTTCACAAATGTACAAACTTGAATGTAAGTTAGCTATATTCAAGTTTTTTCACAAGAATCTTATAAAAACAAAGTTCAGTCAGGACCACTTTAGTCAAAATTAATTATTTATTACAAGCAAACATTTTTACATCGGCGGTATGGCTCTGTTCTGAGAGTTCCCTGCCCTTCCATGCGCTTGCATGGAACACCACGGCTATAGAGGGCAGAGCTCCTCCCCTCCCTTTCATGCGTATACATGAAAAGCCAAGGCAGAGAAAGCAGCAGCAAATAAATACGATTGAGATAAATAAATAAAAATCCCCGCACAGAACAGAGCAAGCATCAGTGACAATACATACGACACTGGTGAGATCAGACACAACATAAACAGGAGCGGTTGCAGCACGCAGAGTAGGCAGGGGAAGCAGTTAAAACAGGGCGCCATTTTGACATTAGCCAATAGGATGTGAAGAGGGCGATCACCTGAACTGTCAGCTGACTGAGGGCTGGTTTAAGATCAGCTGACTGTGGCCTTTAGCCTTATGCTTCATTTATTTTAGACATTGGAAGTTTACCAAAAGTTGTGGAGAGAATTTCCTGGAGTTTTTAGGAGTTCAGTGTGAATCACGATCATCTGCGTTTTCATTGGTTAAGGAGGTCAGGGGCTGAAAATACAATGCTGTCAAAATGTAAATGCAGTAATCTGTGAGTCTTTGTGTGTTTGTGTGCAGCATTCATGCCAGGTCCGGTGTTGTACGGTTGGGTCATCGACACCACCTGCATCCTCTGGGGCAAAAAGTGCGGCAAGCAGACCTCCTGTCTCTACTACAACCTGGACCTCTTCAGACAGAGGTGAGCTGCTGCTCTGAGAGTGAGTTTGAGGAGTGTTCTGGTTTCTCTGTGGTCTGAGATCCGTCAGGTAAAAATTGTCAGTATGGAGAGCAAAAGCAGGAGGAACACCGTCAAAGTTACAGGTTGTTTGTATCATAGGAGGCGGGAATGCTGCAGTCTGGAGAAACACATCTGAACCCGGCAGCAGCTCCTAGAATCGCCCCTCTATGTTAAAAATATTGAGTCCTTCTCTGTCAGATTTATGTTTTAACCACGGAAAGTCCGGTCAGATTTTATCCTGAATCTGCTCCTCAAACCTCAAACCTCCAAATCCATCTCCACATGTGTGTCTGTTCTCTGCAGGTTCCTGGGTCTACAGACAATCTTTGTTTGTGGGGGGCTGCTCTGTTTCCTGCTGACTATCATGGTCCTGCGGAGAAGGGGCGGAGGTCAGGGGTCAGAGCCGGGCCACAGGGGCGGGTACGAGCTGGTGACAGAGCAGAAATCACCGGAAACCAAGGGGGCAGAACTGACGGGAATCAAAACCTTAGGGAAGACCACATGAGGACACGGGACAGCAACACAGAGGAGGACAAAGAGGAGGAGGAAGAGGAGGAGCTCAGAGAGATGCTGCTGAAGCTGAAAGTTCCTAAGACTGTTGGGTTTCTCCACTTTTCCTTTAAAGGAGCAGTCCGCCTGTTTATCAGGCTCAGACAATGTTTCTAAGTACTCAACATACTCACACTGAGAGCAACAGATCACACGACGAACACTGTGTCAATATACTTTAAAAAAAATCAAGATTAAATAACATTTACAGGAGTGTCAGTAAAAGATACCTATATTTTTGGAGTATTTTTTATTCAGACATACACATATTATCATTTATAAGCTACTGCAGATAAATATAAGGCTTATTTTTAATCACCTCTGGTAAGCTAAGTTTAAAAGAATCATATAAATAAAAAATAAATTACATTTTATATCTGAAGATCTTAAAATTGGTGTGATGTTGGCTCTCCTGTTGAAGCAAAAAGCATCTGTACTTATGATGGAGTCACACTGGACGCAAAGGCAATCTGAGGTGCTGGAAAATTCAATGTGAAGTCAAGTCAGAACGAAGACTTGTGAATATTTGGTGAAAATAGAAGAAAGAAGAAGAAAACAAGTATTGACTTTGGCCCCAGACTGAAGTGGCGAGGAGGAATTTTGTGTCTTTAATGAGCCACTGCTTTAACAATAATGTTTGTGTCTCCAAACAGATGATACAAAGTGCGTTTGACGTTATAAAGTTACACAAAGTTCATCTTTTTAACACCAAACATGTAAATCTGTGATAACTTTGTTTTTTTTTTAACCAAAGAGGAGAAAACCAGAATGTGAATGCTATAATTTGTACACTGATAGTCTTTCTGTGAAGGGTTTTTTAAAGAATATTTTAATCAATTATAGACATATGTACATATATTTTTTTAGATATGACTTTTTATCCAGAGAGTTTTATGATCTTACTTTTTAAAAATGTGTCACCTGAGACACTTATATACGACCGACCACCTAAGAAAAGAGTTTTATACTACTCTGAAAATATCTTGAGTTTGAATACTTTTTATTTTTCTATTGATGATATTTTTGTACCTGTTGTTTAATAAAACAAGATGACAACAGAAAAACTGCAGTTTCAGTGTTCACTTTATTCACTGGACTTCAATCACCCCCATGTGCAAGAAACCTAAAAAAAAAGCTCTCTCAAAAATGAAACATGAAAAGATGCCCCCTGTATTATACATTTAAAAAAATATAAATGAAATCCCTTTTTGTTGCCGGTCCAGAATAAGAAAAAGCTAAAATCTGCTTTCTGAGCACCCCTCCAGCATAAAATAAAGCTTCAGGATATCCTTCCAGTGGAAATTTTTGGGTTTAGGGTTTAGGGTTAGAGTCGTCCTACCAGTGAATCCAGCAGATCAGGGGCCTATGCTACAAAGCAGGATTACTGCTTAGCGAGGAAACTTCGAGGGTAAGTTCGGGGTTTCCTGTTCTACGACGCGGGTTCACTTCTTAGCGAGGCAAGTCTCCATGGCAACATACACTGAATGGCCAACCTGCTCCGGGGCAGGTTAAGTTCCAGATTGAACTCACCAAGTATAAAAACCCAGCCCACTGACCAATGAGCTCTCTCGAAAAATAGCTTGTCCCATCTTGGAGGATCCTATAGACCTCGGTGCTCGCATTGTCTGAGGAGTACTCCGGGGCGCAAAGTTTTCAGGGACTGCACGGACCCACTTACTTTTCCGGATGACCACCTTTATGAAAGGCTCATATGGCCGACATATCACACAAAAAATGTAAAAATGATAGGAATTAACAAATGAATGACTTTATCTTGGAGATGAATTAGACATGTCTGGTGCATGTTAAAAGCGCATGTTGAACAGTGCTGTTTCAGGGTGATAACGGCATCTACGATTTTTTGCGCACTATACTTACGCACTGAGACTGTCGGCAATTTTCTGCCAGTATTCCCTCCGTGCTTTTGCAGCGGCGACGGTGTTGCTTTTGAGGTTTATGATAGATTTGAACTCTTCATACTTTCTCACGATCGTCTCCTTCTCCTCATTTGTAAATTACGCGGTCCTTCGCTCTGACGCTCCAAACTGGTCCATGTTCGCGATTGGTCAGATGCGGCAGGCTCCGCCTTACATGCGTGCACGCGCTCATAGCAAAGTAAGATCCACTTATAAGGGTTGATAACCAGCGTCGTAAGACCGCTTAGCGAGACCGCTGGCTACCGCGCTAAGTTGAGGTCGAAATTGCTTTGTAGAATAGACCCCAGATGTAAAAGAGTTCCCCTTGGACAGCCTTCTGTAGATTAAGTTGTGCGCTCTAGTTAATAAGGGCCCTACAGTCGATAAAAAGGGACATGAGCCCTCTGGATGGCTGTTTTGTAAACCCTGCTGGTATATTAGACATTCAAAAATCCCTCCAGATATCCTTCAAGGGAATGAAAATGTAAAAAAGTTCCATGTCCATGTCTGTCATATAGATAAGATGTGATGAGATGCATTTTTGGTGACGTTAAAAACAGTTTATGTTTAGCTGATGATGTTATATCACATCTTTTTTGGTATCTGCACTAATGCTCCATAAAATACAGAAAGTAAACTTTTAATTTTTTTAACTCCCCCTGTTCTGAGTATTTGTGAGACGTTTCTAAGCTGTGAGTATGACAGACGAGTTCAGCCAGCAGCTCAGAATTTGTTTAAAGAGTTGCATCTGTGCGTCAGGCTCTGCTGCAGGTTCAGACGTGTTTGAAAACGTCAGACGATGAAGAAACAAACTGTCACAACACAATGACCTGGTTTAATTAAAGGGCAGAGATTAATCTCTAAAAACTGTCAAAGATGAAGTTCAGTGCAGCAGAAAGCTGAGGTCCTGTCAACTTTAGCAGAGAAGAATGAAGGTTTGAAGATCTTTTAGTCATATTGATGTTTTATCCTCATCCTCCTGCACACACTTTCAACCTCAGTTTAACATGAAACTCAAAAAGTGAAGGGTCACAGACAGACAGGAAATGGTTTCATCACTGAGAGTCTGCTGCTGCAACAACAGCAAAAAAAGAAGAAGAGGATGTGCTGCTATTTTTGTTTCCTTAAGGATTTTCAGACACTGATGTTTCCTCCTGATAGACAGTCTCAGATTTGCAGGAAACTCTGTAGAAAACAGGGATTACACATGTGTTCGCAAAGATTTACAAAGCCTAAATAGGCGTTCAGATCAAAACTGCAGGAAAAATCAGAAAAAACACAAAGATAGATCCTCTGAGGAAGAGACAGCGAGTCAACTTCTCACACCTGGTCTCACTAAAGCCAATCAGGCGTTCCCACACCTGATTCTGCTCACAGGTGATTCTCCCTCTCCAAGAGACCAGAGTGAACGGTCCATCACAGCCCTCTTGGTGTTTTACTGGGTAAAGGTTCACACTGCAGGCAAAAGTGGCCCAAATCTCACGATTTTGGGGTCAAGTGACCAGGTCAGATTTTTTAGACTCCAATCTGAACCAAATCAGGTTTTTTCAAACCAGATTTTCTGAGGTCGGCTGACTCAGCGCACACACTTATGTTGCTTCTTAAATCTCACTTTTCCTGGTTTAACTTGAACTGCAGTGTCCTGATTTAAAGATGTTATTTGTTTTACGATCCCAGTGGTTCATTCCTTTTGTAATTGAGATTTTGAAAAGTGCTCTATCTATAAATACAGTTTATTTTTATTATTATATATTTGTGTTTTGTGTCTTTTTCATAAGGAACAGTACATCTCGCACATGTCAATGTGTTGATTGACCCCTGAGGAGTCTTAAAAGAGTCTTTGTCTCCCTCTTGTGATCTCTAAGGTGATCTAGTTTTTATGAAGTTAGGCAGGGCTTGATATGTAGAAACAACTCTACATATACAGTATATACTGTATACGGCACCATTGTTTCCAAATTACAGTATTTAGTCACCTTTACTTTCTGCACATCTTAAGGTAAAATATTCAACTTTTTCTCTGCAGCTCACTTTCTTTTAAACATATTTATTAATCTGAAACTTGTCTTAATGTAAAACCATCTTAGTCTACACACCCCTGTTCAACTGCCAGGTTTTAGTGATGTAAGAAAATGACAGCAAGATAAATATTTTCACAACTTTTCCCACCTTTAATGTGACCTATAACCTGTACAACACAATTGAAAAACAAACAGAAACCTTTAAGGGGAAAAATAAAAAATAGAAAAGTTAAAATAACCTGGTTGCGTAAATATGCTCATCCTTAAACTAATACTTTGTTGCAGCACCTTTGGCTTTTATTACAGCACTCAGTCTTTTTGGGTAGGAATCTATCAGCGTGGCACATCTTGATCTTGACTGCGAGGGCATCTCCTGTGCACAGCCCTCTTCAGATCACCCCACAAATGTATGATGGGATTCAGGTCTGGGCTCTGGCTGGTCCATTCCAAAGTCTCAATCTTATTCCGGTGAAGTCATTCTTTTGTTGCTTTAGATGTGTGCTTTGGGTCATTGTCGTGCTGAAAGATGAAGTTCCTCTTCATCTTCAGCTTTCTAGCAGAAGGCCCAAGGTTTTGTGCCAACAATGACTGGTATTTGGAACTGTTCATAATGCTCTCCACCCTGACTAAGGCACCAGTTCCAGCTGAAGAAAAACACCCCAAAGCATGATGCTGCCACGACCATGCTTCACTGTAGGTATGGTGTTCTTTTGGTGATGAGTAGTGTTGATTTTTACCCAAATATACCTTTTGCAATGATTCCCGAAAAGTTCAACTTTGGTTTCATCAGACCGTAACACATTTTCTCACGTGTTTGGGTGATTTCAGATGTCTTTTTGCAAAATTAAGCCAGACTTTGATGTTTTTCTTTGTAAGATAAGGCTTCCGTCTTGCCACCCTACCTCATAGCCCAGACATATGAAGACAGCAGGAGATTGTTGTCACATGTGCTACACAGCCAGTACTCACCAGAAATTCCTGCAGCTCCTTCAGTGTTGCTGTCGGCCTCTTGGTAGCCACCCTGACCAGTTTTCTTCTTGTCTTATTATCAATTTTGGACGGACGTCCTGTTCTTGGTAATGTCCCCGTTGTGCCATATTTTCTCCACTTGATGATGACGGTCTTTACTGTGTTCCATGGTATATTTAATTCCTTGGAAATTCTTTTGTAGCCCTCGCCTGACTGATATCTTCAAATAATAAGATCCGATGCTTTGGAAGCTCTTTGCGGACCATGACTTGTGCTGGAAGATGTGGTCAGGAAAAGCCTACTAGAACAGCCGAACTTTATTTGGGGTTGATCAGACGCACTTTAATTGGTGACAGGTGTGTGCTGACTCCAATTTAACCTGAGTTTGAACGTTATTGGTTAAATCTGAACACAGACACATCCCCAGTTATTAAAGGGTGTACATACTTAAGCAACCACATGATCTCAGTTGTTCATTTTTACTTCACGTCCCTGAAAGATTTCTCTTTGTCAATTGTGTTGTACAGGTTATAGGTCACATTAAAGGTGGAAGAAGTTGTGAAATTATTTATCTTGATTTAATCCTTTTACATGACAAAAACCTGGCAGTTGAACAGGGGTGTGAAGACTTTTATATCCACTGTACTTTCTGCTCCCTAATTTCTTTGCGTCTCTGATCGACTCTAATTCCTCCTCTTCTTCTTCTTTGTCCTCATTTTTCCATCAGCTCACTTTCCCCTGAACAGTAATTTAGAAACCTCAGGAATCTCTCTGGCAGTATGGAAAATTAAGACCACATGTGCATCCCCCCTCCCCCCTCCACACAGACACACAGACACATAAATCATTCCCACATTCCCACATCTTCAAATTCTTTGTGTTGTTTATCCAATCCCACGTTTTCCGATGTAAATCCTGGTTTTATACGTTATTCCCGTCACTGTCTGAGTGTTAACCAAACTTTACACGAACACAGTTCTGACTCCTCTCCGGCAGAAAATGTCCTGGAAGATTTGGGAAAACTCCAAAGAGCTGCAGAAAGTTTCAGCTCTATGATTGCATCATGACGTCGGGAAAGAAGGTCTAAACCTGGAGGCTCAAACGTCTTCGTTTAGGTCTGCCAACGAATCAGAGGCTGTATCTGCAATCAGCTGACCTGTAAAGGTCCAGTTAGAATCCATGATATAGTCATCTTAGTCCGCTCACAGTGTAGAAATACAATAAGTAGAACTGTTTCAGAAGGATTCTTCCAAGACAGCTTATTCTAGTATCATAAGTTCTAGCTTTGGTTGCTAACTCCTAACTAGTTGGATCTAATTAGTCTAAATCTATGTCATCTTTAAGGTGAAGAATGACCAAACTAGAGTTTTATTTCATTGTCGAGTTTATTTCTAATGAGACAAATGACAATATTTGGTTCCATTAAAACATCCCTGTGAGCTTCAGCGTGTCTCAGTCAGATTAACATGATGATGCTAACATGTTTCAACATGAAAAGTAAGAAAAATCATGTAAAATCAGATTGAAAATCAGATCTTCTGCCACCAGAAATACAAAGCAAACACCTGAAATCCCTCCTAGGACCCGCTAAGAGTGTGTGTGTGAATGTGTGTGTGTTAACCTGTGTGTTTTTTTGTGTAAATTTGGGTGTATGTGTATTACATCGACAAATCTTTGGGGTTGATAACCCTGCCAATGAAGAGCAGCGCCCCTGACGTCTCATCTCGGATCAGGTACAGGAAGGGTCGGTCCACTCGGTATGACAGGTGGCTCGTCGTGTCAGTCGTACTTGGGTACTGGTTCCCCTCAGGTGCTGTCTCCATGGTGACCTTATGATTGACAGTGCTGAGTTTTACAGCCTGAGATGAGATTTTTTCCAGGTCTGTGTCGTCGAGCCATTCAGAGAGACCTGCAAAAAGAGGAGGAAGGTTTAAACCGAGGAGAAGAGGCAGTGGTGATAACAGGAAAAGGAGTAGGAAAGAGACAAAGGAGGGTGAAGGATAACCCCCAACTTCCACTGTATCCTGAACGGCTACGAAAAGGCCGTATCCGCCGATCGTATCTGATCGTAACAACTCAAGTTAATGTGTCAATTTCCACCAGCTTCTTTCCGTTCTGCTGTGGATCGCCGGACTCCGCAGCCGATCGCAAGAGTTCTATTTTTTCCGGACGCGGGAGCATGCCGGATAAATTCAGCACAGATTAGCCTGTCCTTGAAAGGAAGTCGGGCACAGACACAAAATAAAACATCTGGCTTCTTTTCAAAATAAAACACTCCATGTTTTAGGCGTATCGTATTTCACACCATGTAAACGAGCGGGGACGAACAAGTGAAAGGTTTTTAGACGTCATTTCACCCCGATTACACCATGGATGAGGAGATGCTGATTCTAGAAGTCTAGAAGTAGATTTTCTTTGGCTATGTGGCTAAAGACAACTTGTTATCGCGCGGTTGCACGTGAATCTGTGGGTTCTTGTGAGTTCTCGCGATTGGTAGGAATTGGCGTACAGCGAAAAATCGCTGTTGCTCTGGATTGGAGCCGTTCCAGATCAGAGCCGTTCCGGATGCAGTGGAAATCCTGGGTCAGGATCCAAAGTTTTTATGAACTGGCTTGTGCGGTTCATATCCATATCCAGTTACTTAAGACTTACGAAAAAGTCACTTTAAGTTGTGGTGAAACGGTAACTTGGTTGAATAGCAAGTATTTATTTCTACTTGGATTTGTACTCACCCACATCACCGAGCAGCGGGCACAGGTCCGTGGAATAGCTAAGCCTCAGGACGGGGAGAGTGAGCGACACCTCAGCGGGAAGGAGCGTCATGGAGAGATCCTGGACAAACTCAGAGGTCAGACTCTCCTCCACCAGAGTCATGTTAGAGTTCACATCATCCGGGAGGAAGATGAACATGCTGACACTGTCCTGCATCTGGATCTGAGTGATCTGGAGGTGAGAAGGTCCAGAAAAGATGGCAAAGTTAAAGACTCTAACTCAGCACCATAAAGATAGTCAGCAGAGCCAATATATGGGAACTCAAAGAAAAGTTTGGACTGAACATTAGTTGTCATCTGATGGTCACAAATCGATGAAATGATTCAGAGAAGAGAACTCTCACCGTACAACTCAGGTCAGAGTCAACACCCATCTTTACGGGGTAGTTGTCCTGCTGCATTGTGGAAACTTGAACAGGCGGCCCGTTTTCCACTTGGAAGTTCTCCATCACATTAGTCCGACTGAAGCGGGTCTCCCACTTTCCTAATAACAGACAGAAACTGAGCTTTGATTCTGATTCTTTGTCGTTCTTTCTCTTCAAGTCTTGAACCTCATATTGACCTTGAATAAAGAGAATCTGCTTCTCGTTGGCTGCTGGAAGGACAAGAGTCAGTTTACACACCTTTAAAGTACGCTGCACTCACAGCGTTCACTCCGAGACTCCTGGGAAGAGGCTTGGCCAGGAGACGCTGTATCTTCCTGCCTGTTTCCTGAGACACCCAGTCGTTGACTTCTTTCGTGTCTCTTGGCCCTCCAGACAGCGCCTTTGGACGAACTCCATACTGCTGCTCCACGAGCGTCAAGAAATCCGGATTCACACGAATACCTGAGACGCAAACAAGAACCAAATTAGGCAAAGGAAGGTTTGATGTTGATACAGAAGTTTATACTCCAGATTGGTCTAACAGACTATTTCATATCAGCCATGTTGTAATGTGCAAATATTGAAAACTACCCGCACCCTAAAAGATTTTCCTTTCCAGCTTTTGAGTTTTGATAAAAAAAAAGATAGGGTATTTGTCACAGAAGTCTCCTTTTGCTTTCAGTCACTGTTGATGAGTAGTCAGAGACCTCTCCATACAGAGCAAACTCACGTCGTGCCAGGTAGATTCGTGCAGCGGTGCTCAGGCCTTTTCCAGGTGACTTGACTGAAGCCAGCAGGTCCTTCAGGGTGTTGTGGAGCTGAGGGTCCTGCAGGGTGTGGTACCTCAGGGCCCTGTGCAGCTGCCTCTGAGCACGCTCAGACCCTCCTACAGGACAGAAAGGGTTGTTTTATGTGGATTAAAATTTTCATTTTTAGTGTGACGCATGATTACGTTTAAAAACCGAGGATTCTGTGGAGTCTAAGTAATCACCAAAGCCAAAAACTGATCAGGCCAGTGATTAGCTGAATGTTCATGGATCTGACCTGGAAACTCTTTGGACCGGCTGCTTGGCTGGACATAAGCTTCACAAGGCAGTAACCAGCAATTATCAACTCTAAAATATCATAGAAAGGCTGTTGTGTAGACCTGCTGTGGGGTGTGCAAAGTTTGAAGCAGATGGGACAATGTGTGTAAAGGTTAGTACCACGTATTTCCACAGGGTAGTGCTAGGTCTGTAGAGTAGAGAAGGTATAATTGTGATCAGGGTTGGACTTTGATCAGACACATGAAACATCAAATTAATCTTACTCTGTATGAAGGAGTTATAATGACTCCCTGTTCCATATTAAAGCATCAACGTTTGTTGAGCCACCATGGTCACATCCTTTAACCAGACAGAAAGCTATGGTTAGATGAGCTGATCTGATGACTTTATCTGGAGTGATTTTGACTTTATTCTCTTGGAACATGAAAGCGATAATAGGTCAAATATTTATATCTTTATGTTTTGGCTTTTCTTGCTGTTTTTCACACATCACTTATCCCAACTCGTGAATTCTGAGATCTATTTCCAACCCCTGCAGGACCTCTTTTTGAGTGTGTGCAACCAGAAGATGCTTTGTAAGTTAAAATATTAGCTTGAGGAAAGTTTAGCGTGATAGTTTTTCAGGCCCAGACAGAGCTCTAAATGCAGCAACATAATGAACAGTTATGACGAAAGTGAAAAACCTAAAGCAAAGAATAAAGTGTGAGTTCAAATGGTGAAAGGAATTAAGATAATTACGCTGTACCAGAAGCAAAACTGATCAAGTGATAAAGCTCACTACCTGGGAGTGTTTACTGGAGACGGGAACCACAACCATGGTAACTTCAAACCACTTTAGCTAATGAGCCCATACATGTCATGCTATTCAAAAGCCCCTAATTGGACTGAGTTTGTGTCCTCACCCATGGATAGTTGTGTTAGCACGGCAGACACACTGATGGGGGCCAGGAATATGTTGGATGTTGCTTCACGGCTTGCCAGAGCACGAAACAGGTTGTAGCCAAAATCTGAGGTGGCGGCGCCCATCTTGGTCATGGGGGTGGTGAAGAGCTCCACATGTTCCTCCTCCCCGCCTGTGTCCTCACTTCCTATGTCCGACTGAAAAAGAGGGTTAAGTCAGAAGATCTGCAGATTTATGGATAGATGATACTTGGATTAAAAAATACTGTGAAACATTGACATTGAAATGTAAAACAACACCTGAAATGTTCAGGTTAACTTATAATCATACCTGAGCCTGACAAAAGCTCAGGACAACTCCAAAGACCAGCAGCAAAGTTGTTCGCTTCATCCTGAAAGAACCAAAAAAATTGACATAGAAACAAAACAACCCTCCACAACTGTTCGAGATCAGACAGCACAGGGTATCTAGAGTTTCCAACAGAAGTATGGGAGGCAGACCATTAGATTCAGCAAAGTTATGGATTTCCACAAGGTTTGGTTTTATGACTCTGGAAATTTACTAATAACATGATGAAAAACTCTATAAATTTAGCCGTTATGCAGATGACACCACACTGTACTTCTCAATGAAGCTAATTGAAACTAAACGTCAGACACCACTGTAAGGATCTGGGTCTTCTGTTTGATCAGGGTTTGTTCTTTGTCTCCTGCATATATGTCAAGGACGCCCTATTTCACCAAATGCAAACCCACCTTGTTTCAAAACGATGCAGAGATTACCAAAACACTGCAGGCCTGCTCATCATACCCAAAGTTTCATAAAGTGGTCTGGGTGGTAGAGCTTTCAGTTCTCAGGCTCCTTACTGGTCATCTACCAGTCAGGGTCTGGGTGGTAGGAACCTTCTCTCCCTTCAACAGTAGGCTTGAAATACTACTACTCATCTGCACACAGTAGACTTCCTTGGGTCTCGGTGTACTATCCGCTAAAGACTACAGTTTTGGGCACCAATGGCCTGGGCTTTAGTCGTCCTTCAGCAGCTGCTGTTTTGATTCTTGGCCTTAAACCTTTGCTTCAACCCCCTCCTGCTCTTTACTCCCCGAATTCCTGTCCCTCTTCAGCTGTCCTATCCAATAAAGACGGAAACTTGGAAAATATATTTCAGAATCGAGAACAGAGCAACGACATGAATAAAAAGTACTCCAATATAACCATTATAGTTTGTGGTACCTGATTGAACTTGTTGAGTATCAGTTCAAGAAAAAATAACAACAATCTGACAATCTGATTGGATATTTGATGCTTTTTCTTGTTGGTGTTTCTTGAAAACATTTGTGATTGTAGAATAGGAGTCAGAGATAACAAAGAGGGCCTGAGCTTCCCTCAAACATGGTTTAGTATAATTACAGGTGGACGCCACAAAATTACACAACGAGCTGAAACTCCTCAACAAACACAGACGCCTTCAGGACCACGAGTTAGTCCAGATCCTCAGAACTTTATTCAACTCTTCACTTGACAAAGTTTACTCTCTCAGAATAAATAACCTCAGCTGTAGTCACGGAAGGGGATTATAATCTGAGCTGCTGCTCCACAGACCAATGTTGACTAGGACAGCTGCACACACCACAGTGTCCCCTTCAGACAAACACAGTGACTCTTTTGTTCTTTTATGCACATCTGGACCTGGTTGTCATGGTTTCACCCAAACAAAAGTCTGTGATCTGAACCTCAGACCTCACACACGTAAAAACAGCATGCCTGACAGGAGCCAGACAGCGTCTTCCAAAATACGGAGCGGCAGATGTTCCCTCTCCTGATCTTTTCCTTCCATCATCTCCAAAATTCCTGAGATGATCTGAAGTAAAAAAAAACCCTGATATTTTCTTATAAGGTTTGAAGACAGACAGGAGAGGACAGCTGTGGTAGTGCTATGTGGATAATTAAGTGCAAAAACCTTGAAATTACAATGTTTATGCATTTAAATAACCCTATTTGTCATCACGATGATCATTTTATGACTATTTACAGAGAAACTGAGACTCATCCCAATCTGATGAACAGTAAGCCGGACTGACACCTCTGCTTAACTTTCTATTTACAGCAGAACTGAGACTCAGCAGCCTCTGTGTAACCTATTGTTTACAGTAAAACCAGACTCAACAGGTTCATACTTTTACAGAGCAAGCCTGAGTGAAGCCTCCTTAAAACTCTGTGAAACTAAGACTTTGAAACAGTGAAACTAAGACTTACCAAAAACATGTGAATAAAATCCCACAAATAGCCTGTCTGTAGCATAGAATTAACAGTGAAACTGAGACTCAATGGGTTAATATCACTGCAGTGTAAGCAAGTGTGAAGCCACTGTCACCCTAACCCTAACCCCCAATTTCCACTGCATCCGGACCGGCTACGAAAAGGCCGTATCCACCGATCGCAGTTAATCGTAACCATTCAAGTTAACGTGTCAATTTTCACCGGCTTCTTGCTGTTCTGCAGCTGATCGCGAGAGTTCTATTTCTTTCCAGACGCCGGAGCATGCTGGATAAATTCATTACAGATTAACCCGTGCTGGAAAGGAAGTCGGGCCCGGACACAAAATAAAACATAAAAACAAAACAAAATAAAAAAACAAAATAAAACAATAAAACGGCTTCTTTTCAAAATAAAACACTCCGTGTTTCAGGAGGATCGTATTTCACACCATGAAACGTGTGAAGAAGAACAAGTAAAAGGTTAATAGACGTCATTTCACCATGCTGTCCATGCTGGGTTCTTGTGAGTTGTCACGATTACTGCTGTCCGTAATCCGCCACGAAAGTCGCCGCACCAGTGGATTCGGTAGGATTCCATTGGTACGGCAAAAATCGCTGCAGTTCCGGATCGGAAAACTGGGGGTAACCCTTGCCACTTTTTTCACAGTAAAAAGTGGCGACTCAGCAGATTAATTTGGCTTAAGTACCTAAGTGGGAAGCCTCTGTGTAACCTACTGTTTACAGTGAAGCTGGGACTCCCCACTTCTTTAAGTTGCTGTGTGGGCTGTACATGATGAAGCTAACCGACAGCTGCACACTCAAGAATTACAGTGAAAGTAGCACCTGTCCTCTGAGGGCTGTGTCAGCTGAATATAAAGTGAAGGTGTTAAGTTTTATTCTATTCTATTTGCAGAAATTCATCCCTATATCTCACAGAAACAGTTAAGTCTTCATTTCATTCCTCACAGCGACAGGTGGGAAAACCACTGAAACCGCTCCCATAATTATAAGGGTAATTATGGAACAACTCAAGGTAATAACTGTTGGATTTGTGAGGTGATTAGAGTCTGCACAGGCCTGATGGAGAGCTGCAGAGTCCTGCTGCAGATGAAGGATGAACTGCAGACAGTTTCCTGCAGGGACATGTCACTGATACTCACAGGAATGTTTTCTCATTGGCTGCACGTCAGCTTTCAGATATCATATCTGCAGGTCAGGACCACAGAATTATTCAAACAGATGAAGAAATGTTCTTGGCACAAAAGTCTTTACAACCCCGAATAACCTTAGAAACATCACAGCAACCTTTAAAGAAACTACATTTGAGAATCTTACAAATGCAGTCGTGTATTGGTTTTTAAACTTAAGTGGAATTAGAAGGTTAAAGGTCAAGGAGTGCCGCTGCTGCCCCACTGACCTGCAGTGAAACCAGAACTATTATATAAACCTCCGGATCATGGAAGCACGCAGAGTTCAGTGTGTTGGCGCAGAGCTGAGATGGGAACACTGAACTATGGAGAGGATTACTCTGAGTTTCCAGTCAGTGAAGAAGTTTTTCTGCACAATCAGTGTGCAAGAGAGCAAAGGAGCATGGTGTGAAAAAAAGCAAAACTAATCCTGTATTTCTATCATGAAGTGCAGGAAGTGAGTTTTGATTTAAAAAAGAGAGAAAATACAGATCAGGATTCAGTCTGAATCCTCTGCAGGTTCATTGCTGTATTACTCTAAATGAGTTTGGTTTCAGTCAAAGAAACATCATAACAAGCTGCTGCATTAGCTAAAGGAATATTGAAAAGTTGTGCGTAAAAGCGCAAAGTATCCAAAAAGAGCGCACAGGAGCGCACTCACCTCTCCTCCTCTCTCGGACGGTCCACGTCGCTCAGACTCTCTCTCGCTGCAGATGAGACGGGTCTTCGCCTCGCTGACGCCTCCTGGATCTGCGCCCTCACCTCGCGCGTCACCGATGCTGCCAACAGAGCACCGGGGGCGCGCGTACAGACAGACAGACGGACGCTGCTGGATTAAGATGAAACAATATTACCAGCCAAAGGCAGAAGGCCAGGTAATAACGGGCTGTGGAGTTTGAATACCTGAACACTGAGGTGTGTCTGTTTCTCCTCTGCAGGTCCTGGACTGAGCACCTCTCCATATTTGACAGTTTTTGAATCCATCATTGTGTATTAAACGTTGAAGGAATTTTAAACTATTTTCCCTCCCATTTTAACCTTAAAGTCGTCTTAATATGCTGCATTAAAAAATACACTTAGACCAAGTAGAAGCACCAGAAAAATGCCATAAAATCGTGATTCTTTACAAAAATGTAACCACTTTAACTACTTTAAATATTAGCAGGAGTTTCAGTCAGTTTCAAGAGCTTTAACCCTCTCAAAATTAATCACTAAATAAACAAAATAAAATAATAATAATAATAATCAATCACAAAACAGACTTTTGTGAGTCAACTTTTGTTTTTATTCGTCTTTGTATCTAATTTCAATCAACACATTATTGATAGTACAAATAAAGAAAATACCGTGTAGTTTGTTTGATCAGTTTTTTAAAGAGTCGCATTTATGATTCGTCCGAACAGGTGCGGTGTAGTTCTTGTTAAAATCAGCATCAAAACCTGTTTGCCAGGCCAGTCAGTGAGACACCTTTCTGTAAAAATGTACAGCGTATGTTAAGTTTGTCACAGAAGATGATAAAAATGACTCACTCTTTCTTACAAAACTCAGCGGTGATAACTATGACTGCTTTGCATTCGTATTTTTTCATTTCAAATAATAATTTTGACCCCTCTTGGTGCTTATAGATAAGTTTGTGTCCTCAAACACCAAAATCGTCTTTAAAGAAACATTTATCAGTTTGGGAAACATTTCATTCACCTTCTTGAAGGGAGTTACACAAAAATGATACCACACCCATGTCTGCCGACTGTACTCGCTGTAGTTTTATAATTCCCTGACAGACATGAGAGTGGTATCCGCATCTGTTCGACTCTTAGCTAAAGAAAAGGGATGTTTGCAAAGATGTGATATATTCTGAAATATGAGTGACACTCTGAGAAGGTACAGAATGGACTTAGGTGAAACACGGTTTCATTTTGATGTTACTTCTTTTTCCTGTTGCTTTTCTCCAGTCCATTTCCACTGTCGCCAGTGGGGGTGCTACATGACTGCAGGTTGCTGCCGCCTCCTGGCATTATTTCACTGCATGACCTGTTGCTATTATCAGTATACATGTCTCTTTCGACATTCTCTGTTACGGATTGGTCGCTGAGGGTGCCATTACCAACATGAGGATCATCACTGGGCATGGGGTTGTTGTCAGGAGCGGGGTTTGTGACAATACCCATGAAGAGGGGTGTCAGAGAGGCGTCATCCACCAGAGCGAAGATGAAGGGCGAGTTGACAGAGAAGAGGGAGATAGAGCGCATTGAGGTTATAACAGTCGTGGCGGACGCCTCCACGCCTTCCTCGCTGAGTTCGACGGTACTTGCATGACGTACGCTTGACACCTTCAGTGGATGGTCAGAAATCCCAGAAAGGTTTGGACCGGAAAACAAAGAGCCAAGGCCTGACAAAGAGAAAAGAGTCAGAGTTGCTAAAGTGACATTTGAACAGCCACAATTCCAAAAGTCTGTTTAACAGGAGGGACGTGGACACCAGGTGTTTGAACCGTTTGAGAACTAAGCCTTGGTGAAGCTCACCCATACTGATCAGGGCTTCCTCCAGCTCCTTGCGGTACTGCAGCTTCACTTTAGGTAGGTTGACCTGCATTGACGTTTCCTGAGGTAGACGTCCGTAAATGTCTGAGATGTTGATTTTCGGAAGCACAGATGACACATTTCTTCCCCCTGGCAACGGCATGACGATCAGGAAGCTGGTGTTTCCTTTAAAGGGGAAACTGGCGATCTATTGAAAAAGCAGACAAACTGTGGTATTCATGTCTATGTTTTATATAAACTAACTCCAAGCATTAAAAAAAATGACAGCACAACTTGAGGTGTCTTATAGAGCATTATCCTTAATCTAGTCACAGTTTAAAGACTGTTAAGAAGACCATGTCTAAGCAAGGTGGACATCATGTCCTTCACCTGGGACCTATCAGTCTGCTTGTCCCTGATCTAAAGCCTCTAGGAACATGGCCTGAAATATTGTAAAGCCATGTAAAATATCAAAATTTAATGGGTCATAATTCTTCTGGAATCTTGACATGGCAACTAATATTTTGATTGACATATGTCAATCAAACTAAACCCCGGCAACAGTTGGAACAAGAAAGATGTTGCAATGCAGAGAGACTGTTGTCTAACTTTACATGTTTAAGCCATTTGACTCCAAACCAGATCTCAGAACTGATGGGTGGACCAGAAACCAACTCAAGATTTGTTTCAGAAACAGCGATCCATCCACTGTTCAATCCTCTTTCCTCCACTTATGCAGGGTCTGACCAAGCTGATCCAGATATCCTTCCCCCATGAGGGATTTGAATATGTTCCCAGGCTAGATAGGATATATATTCCTTCCAGCAAGCTCTTGGTCTAACTCGTAGGGTCTCCTCTGAGTTTGACACAACTGGAAAACCTCATCCTGTTTACCAGGAGGTATCTTGATCAAACACTTCACCTAAGTCAACTGGTTCTTTTTGATTTTCAGGAGTAACTCTTGTTTATCCTGGTCACCTGTCTCTAAACATGAGCCCAGCTGCTTTCAGGTGGAAACTCATGTTGCCACTTGTTTCCATGATCTCACTCTTTCAGTCACCAATGAAACTTGAGCAGCTAAACCTTAAAAATACTGGATCAGCTGTATTTGCCATTCATTCACTCAACGCCCAAATCCTCTAAACTGATTGGTACCGTCCATGATGTACCCATGAATGCTGAAAAATTACCTGCGATTCCAGTTCTGTGTCTTCCAGCAGACGCAGAGGGTACTGGGCTGATTTCATCATGTCCACCGACACTGAGTTTTGGTTGTCCAGGTAGAAAACTCCCTTCGACGTTGCTTGGGGGTCAAACCTTGTCTGCCATTCACCTGACCAGCACAAAAAAGTTAGAATCATTAGAGAGACAGCTTTGGTATACCTTATCATCTCACCTGCTTGATTTGATTCATTGAACATTTTACCCCCATTAAGCATAGCCTGTGGGACCCTTACTTGGTTAGTCTTCAACTGGACTCACACTGGGTTGTCCACATAGACAGAAATGGACATACTATTGAAATGGTAAAATTAGGTTATTAAATGATCACATTCATTCTACATTTTACCTACACAGCCATGTAAGGAGCTCCTCAACCCAACCCAGCTTATCTTTTTGGGACCTACATGGAAGCCATCAAACTAGGTCTGGCAACTGAATTCCCATTATGGTGGTAATTGACAAACTTGGCAAGATAAGGCAGTTGGAATTTCATTCAAACAAACTGGTTGATCATGTTGGGGCACTTTTATTACTGCAAACATCTGATCTGTTTGATGCATAGAAGTACTCTCTTTAGTTGAATCCTTGTCTTAAACAGTCTTTAGATGACTAGTCACCTTTGAAGTAAACAGCGTTCAAAAGCATAAGCACCACATCGTGAGGGATACTTTCAAGGAAGTTAGGTATGTGACCATTGGTGGCATTCTCCACCCATTGGTTGACCTCCTCCACAGAGACCAGAGGGACAGGTTGTGATTGGTACCTGAGGAGAACAGAATACATCATAGCATCATAGGGTGGATATAAATGCTTAACCTTAGAGCGTTTTGACGGCAATTAAACACTCAAACTGAAAAAACGAGTGATTCAAAAATAGAAGATGACATTCATCGTGGAAACCAGATTTCACTGAGGGAAGAACTATACTCAACAGACCAAGGGGTAGGGGTGAGGGACTTCAGTGCTAACTGGAGAGCAGGATGGACCCCAGGTTACCTGGTAGTCCAGGTGTGTACGAACCCAGTCAGCTCAGGAGTGGGATTTGGTAACAAGTATTTCTAGACCTGAATCAGAGGATATCTTTGGCTGACATACAGCTGCAGTCTGCATCCAGTTTTTCACCACTTCCTCGGTCTAAAACTGAAGACTTCTTGTAGGTTGTACTTTCAACTTTAACAAGAACAAGAGTTCTGTTACAGCATAGCACCTCACTAAGAAAAGATTGTTTGAAGTAATCTGACTTTGTCTGAATTTGATGTTAAACTTTTAGCTGAGCCATTTTGCCGTATCACATAAGTGTTCTTGTGGATTGCTCGTGGCTGTCACCTGGCCAGAGACTCCTCAACGAAAGACAACTTCACGTCAAATCCTGGAAGATTAAAAAAGAAAAAAAGAAAGAGTAAGGTGAGACAAATCTTCCCAAACCAAATACAGTTGAACTCCACCATCAGCTGCTTGACATCTTACCTGGTCTCAGGTACATGCGGGTCGCCACATCCAGTGACGTGTTTCTGAAATGAGGCAGAAGACCTCCCAGGACGTGATGGTAACACGGCAGACTGTGAGCATGGAGGCTCTCCAGCAGCAGTTTTTCTGTCTCATTTCGAGCACCTGAAGGGAAAACGTCAATTGTTTCTGTGGCCTGCACATTGACATGTGAACAAGCAAAGGTTGAATTATTTAATCAAAAGGTAAAAACTTGTTAGATTAAGATTCAGGGTGCTATTTCGCTTCAGGTCTATGTAATGGGATCACATCAGTTATTGATTAAAGGTAGACCAGAAAACTTTGAACTTTTGGACTTTATATTCTCTATACTGACCTAAAGTGAGCTGGGCGAGAGCCAGGGCTATACTGAGAGGGGACAAGATGATATTCGGCTGCTGAGGATCAAAAGGAAGGTTTTCCAGTAGCTGTAAACCCAGTCGCTCTATGGTGCCCCCTACAACTCTGCGCTCCTCAGGACTGAAAATCCGTGGTCCACTACAGCTCTGATCACTCCTCTCCATCTCCTCTTGTTCTGAGGGATCTGAGACATCAGGAGGTCCTGAACTGGGGTCTTCCTGAAGACAGGAAGACAGACAGGGTTTACTCTACACAATCACACAATCACAGTTACATAATGAGAAAGAATTGATAAAGTACAAAACTGAGGTTCTTACAGTCAGCCCAAGACTGCAGAGACAGTGCAAGAAAAGCAGAAGATACAGCTTCATTTCCAGAGAACCAGTCTGAAAGAAGGAGGAAATGTTTTACCATGAGGAGCATGACTTTAAAACACCAACAAGACTCACTTAAAACCTTTATCTAATCAAAAATGTTGCAAAGACCACAAATCAAATGCTGGAGCTAAACAGAATTTATTGATATTTGATGCTCACAAATTCTTTTGAAAATGTATGTTCAACCAAAAAGTTGTGATAAAGGGTCAGGGTTGGGGTTAGGGCAAACAAGTAAAAATCGTAATGCTTAAAAACAGCTGGAGGAAGATCTCCAACGAATGAAGCAAATGTCCAACAGGTTAGTCACATGACTGGGTTTAAAAGGGACATTCAGAGAGGCTGAGTCTCTCAGGAGGAAAGATGGAAGAGGTTCACCACTCTGTGAGAGACTGTGTGAGCTAACAGTTCAACAGTTTCAGAATAATGATCCTGAGCGGATTTCATTATCTACAGAACATAACATCATTCAAGGATTCAGAGGATCTAAGGACCAAAACCAAGTGTGGTGGCCTAAACTGCCACTACCTCGTTTTCCTGGCAAAGGGCTGTCTGCTGATCCAAGATGGCCTTTTAAGCCCTGCCCACAGGAAGTGGGAGAGACCATGGAGGGGGAACACAGGGGCTGCATGGACTTTTATTTCATCTCCGATCTTCTGTTTGTGTTCTTTTCAGTTCGTAAAGGCAATTTAGTTTATTCTGTGAATAGTTTGTTTTGATGATTTGAAGCTATTTTTCTGAGTTTGTTAAATGTTTAGTTTGGAGTCACATTTAGTTTCCCCCTTGTGTTTCTGTTGGACTAGTCCTTTGTCTATTTAAACCCCCAGCATGTCTCACTTTAGTTAGGCCTGTTTGAATATGTTATGTGGTAGCATTAGTTGTTTTTGCTGAGTTATCCTTTTTTAGAATGGGCCCAGGTTTTGTTTCTTTTTTTTCTACCAAATTAAGTTGAACATTTGTTATGATTTAATCTATTTTTTCAAGTAAATAAAGGAAAAAGATCTTTTTCCACACCTTTGTCCTTTGCCTGATTGCTTGGTCCCTCACACCAAGACTGGATGGTTCTGATCTTCAGGCCCTCATGTAGCACTGCATTAAAACTTTAAAAACCACAGGATCCAGAAACCACCCAGTTAAGGTGGACTAAGGGGACTGTCCTGTGGGCTGACGAATCAAAATCTGACATTCCTTTAGAAAATCATCGCCACTGTATCCTTCTCTTTGTACCAGGCTTGTTCTCATCTTCTAGTCCAAGTCCAGCATCCCTGATAGTATGGGGATCATCAGAGTCCATGTCATGGGTATCCTCCATCTGTGAAGGCTCCATTAATGCTGAACAATATCTACAGGTTTAGGAGCAACATCTGCTGCCATCCAGACAATGACACTTTCAGGGAAGACCTTCATATTTCAGCAGACAATAACACGGAGAAGAGTCCTGCTGAGAAACTGGACTGATGTAGTCTGGACTTATCCCCCATTGAGAATACTTGGAGACCAAAAAAAGGACAAAGGAGATCCTGAACTGTTGAGCAGCTGAAAACCTCTATCAGGCCAACGTTTCACTTCCCAAGCTCCAAGTCTCCTGGGTTCACTAATGTTGAGTGAAGAAGTGATGCAATACAGCCGTAAACATGACCCTGACAGAACGTTTTGAAATGTGTTGATAACATCAAATTCAAATAGTTAATTTAATTAATTTATAAATCAAAAGTTTCAAATTTTTCTTTATTGTCTTTGAACTATTTTCAAGTAGAAGAAATAAATAAATTAGTCGCAAACTATAAACTTCTGTTTGTTTCGAAATCCTCATTCCAACCTGCTTTATTAACATTCACCTTAAAGTTCAACTGACGTTAAGGAGAATTGATTTAGAGTGATTTAATGTTTTTTTTTTCTTTGTTGTTGTGTCTTTGTTAAAAAAGCAAGGCTTATTTCTGTGATTAGGTTTCATCTCTTTGGTTTTAAATTGATTGTTCCAAATTTCTCAGTTGAATGATTGTGTTCAGACCTAAGTGTTGGATGGATGTAGCGTCGCTGTTCTCTGTGAAACGCTGTGAGGATTATCAACATCCCAAACACGGTTCTGCATCGTAATGTGGTGAATCCATGCCATGCATCAACCATGTAGCTGGTTTAGAGTCACTTGAGGTTTCAGATGCAGCTGTTGTGTTTACCAGCAGACTAAAGGTTACTGTTTCAGAGCCTCTTTTGGCTTGGCCGCAATACGCTGAATACACAGAACACTGAATACTCCGAACTACCCGAGCTGCCGTTTAACACAAGATCATAAATGCTGGTGTTTCAAATCTGAGTCATGTTGTGGGTTTTATCCATTCTATCAACACGCAGTTAAAGAAAATCTCAGTTTACAGGTTATTTAAGCAGCACTGAAATGGAATTTCTTTCGGACTCAAACTCGGAGCATCAATTCACGAGACCTTAATGACATTTAAGATTGTCCAAACTTACCTTGATGTGGATGAAGAAGCAGAAGAGGAAAAGCAAAGAGGTGAAAGATGAGGTGAATAAAGTCAGAGAAAAGACAGTCAGCCCTCTCACTGCCGGACAGCGTAGTGGCTGAACTCAATAACTGCCGCCCCCCTATTGGCTGGTTAATGATCAGCTCCTGGACTGGTTATGACTTATGTATGCTTGACTAACACTGAATGTAAAAATAAAGAGTGCCCATCTCTGTAGAGATAGTGGTCGCTTTGGTTTCACCTTTCTGAATACTCAACTGAGAATCCAACCTGAAGGACGCTGGGTAATCAGATTCATTCATTAGCATTATTCTAGTTGTTTAATTCCTTTACAAGTTTAGGTCCGTGGCTTCAGTGGGACGACTTTAACCAATGTGCTCTGAGGGGAGCCTGATACTGATACCATTGTTGGTTCAGCTTTTTGAGTCCATCATTAAATCTTTTAATTTTCTTTAAAAGTAGACTTGCACAGGTTTGCTGTGTCGACAACACAGTTTTTATTCTTTGTGAGGACCATTATCTTCTACAGGGTGGTCGCAAAAACAAATAAATGAATAAATTACTATGTCAATGATGAACTAAATAAAAAAGGTTATACAAGTAGTAAATAACAATAAAAATAATAAAAATTAAAAAGGAAAAAAGGAAAAAATATAAGAAATAAAAAGGGAAAAAAATGTAAAAAATAAGACAAAAAAACAAAAACAGAAAAAAATGAAAAGTGAAATTAAAATTGAAAAGAATATATAGAAATAAAGTGACAAAAACAATAGAAAAAATAAATTGAGAAGTAGTAAAGAAAAGAAGTAAAGAAAAAAGTTGATGATACAAAAATAAAAAAAAAATCCAAGTTAAAAAAAATAAACATAAAAATAAAAAATATTGAAAACACAAATTAAAACTTAAAAATAGATGGAAAAAAAACATCTTTGCTGTTTAACTGTGATGTTAGCCAGGCTTTTGACTGGATCTTCACAGGTCAGTTGATCACGAATATTTATGCATTAATCATCATATATTATCTGTTTTCTGAGGGGTTGGAGTGAGTCTCTGAAAACACACTGATGTTCCCTTTGGGATAGAAAAGTCATCAAAACACTCAGGTTTTATTGTCAGATAGTTGTTGATCTCACAGAACAAATGGATTTTACACTAAGTCAAAAAACTCTACTTTTCTATTTTAGAGCTGATACCAGAAACACTTTGTTGCACATGTCACCATGATTTGTTCCTTGACTCCCAGGGTTGTCTTTTCCAGTGCCTGCCTCTGCCGTGTGTCACATCATTGTCGTGCAAGACAAAATGGAAGTCATCAATAAGGGAACTGTCAGCATAAAGACAAATTATGTAGATGGCTTGAAGTAGTTGGAACTGGGACGAGATTCAATTGGGGTTTAGTCCTTTGAGTCCTTTGCCTGGTAGGAGTCTCAACATCTGGAGGTTGGAGTCTGGAAAATATACAAAGCGCCTTTACGAAGGTTCACCAAAAACTAGCACCATCTTAAGTATTTCTGATTTAACTAGTTTGTGCGCAATCATCCTCCAGCTTCGGGCCTTCATGGAGCTCTACACATACATTCAGCCGAAAGAGTGGGCGGGTATTTGTCTTCCTCTGACCGCTTGTTCAGCTTTACGCCCCCACAATCCAGCTCGAACAGGGTCCTTCATCTGCCTCGTTCACCCTGATTGCTCTGGTTTCTCCACAAAACCACAAACAGAAGTACCAAAGTCTCTATAGTAATAAAAAAACATAAACATTGAAATTGGCTGATTGTTTATCTTAGAAGTGAAGTCCAATTTTTGACTGTTTCCAGGTTAGGCTAAAAGAGTTTTTTAGACTGTGAAAAACAGATTTTGGGATCATTATCAAATATTTGTGAGTCACAAACATTTGGTAATATGGTGTGAGTTTGAGGATACAATCAGAAGTTACATAAAAGTGAGTGACTTCCAGTAACAACAAAAACGTTTGCCAGACTCAAACACACACCCAAACACTTATCCTTTTGACTCTGTCATTTTAAACAGCAGATAATAATCTCTATCTTACTGTTGGTCACCATCAAATATTAAAAAACACTGGACTCTGGTTTTAACTTGAGAAATGTTTTTTTTTTTTTTTTAACATCCCTGATCAGCCTGGTCAAGAAATCACCCAAGTCTGACAGCAGGTTGGGATGTCAAACTAAGAAGATAATTTGCCAAAGATTCGCCCACTCAGAGGCCGGTGAGTCTCTTTCACCATCTTCTTCTCTGCTCTGTGTTTATTCAGTCTGTCTCTAAACTTTCTCTCAGTCTTATTTTGGTCCTGAATTAAAGTCTCAGCTGTTTTCTCTTCCTTAAAGATGAAGGCTCCAGAAACCAGCAGGAAGTTTGTAAGTTTTCTGGACAACAACAGGAACAACAACAACAACATAGCTGTTTGTGCCCACAACTTCACTCTTTTGTAAACAAAGGCCAGTGCCAGCTGGATTGGGGTCTCAGCTGTTACTAAAACTTGGAGCTGATCAATGTTCAGTTCAGAGACACAAGCTGAAAAACAATTTACAACAGCAGATAGTTAAGCCATATCTAACCAAAGCTAACCTAGCTTAAAACAGAGGACAAAGCTGTGTAAAAAGTAACACCCACAAACTCTGTCTAACTTTATATCAGTAAGAAGCAGCCAAACCAACGTCTTCAGTCTTGATAGTGGTTAAAGACTCGTCTTAAGAGAATTTGGAGTTTCTAAAAATATTTTAAGCAATTCAAAAAACTAATTCCGGTTTGATGGCTAGTGAGGCGGGGGGTAAAATTAGGTTTAATTATTACCAAATGAATGTGTTCAGGCCAACACCCTTACTGGCAATATTCACCATATCCTGAACGGCTACAAAAAGGCCGTATCTGCCGATCGTAGACGTCATTTCACCGTGATGACACCATGGATGAGGAGTACGGAGCTGTTCCGGATGTGGTAGAAATCCCAGGTTATGTTGCCAAGTTAGTTTGGAGAATGCATGGTGGAGATTAAACTACTTCCTGTCTGACCTCCTTGACCTTTCAATCTTGATAACTCTTTATTGTCCAGGACTCTTTTAGGTGTAAAAACAGCCTGAAGTTGCTCAGACATACCCCCTTAGAGGTGATTTGTTTGAAGGACTCTTACAAACAGCCTGAAAACCACAGACTTTTACCAAACATGTCAACATTGTGGAGAATGTTGAGAGGCCTGACCACGTGCAAAAATCCCAGGCTTTTCGGGTCCAATGAGGCCACTAGATCAGCAAAAAATTATGGGGGAGAATAATCCCAGGGAATAGAGTAGGGTCTTTGCAACACTTCTTAATCTCGATCTTGTCCAAGACTGAAATGATAAACACTGTTTTGAGGGATCTGGCTCCCTCACATGGACGTTTACGTCGTGTCCAGATGTCAGACATCTGCTGGGTAAAGATTGAGATGTCATAACCTGCAGCGAGTCAGCATCTGTGATGACTCACAAAAAGAATGGAGGGTAATTACTGGGTTTCATTGTCCAACTGCTTCTGTTTACATCCATTACAACTCAAAACTGATGTTTAACATGAAGATCTGGACCACCAACCTGAAGATTGAGAGGGTGTTTGGTAAACAAGTCCTAAAACAGACTGGAGGATTTTACTGACTGAACACTTTTGCTACATTTGTCGAGACGTGGGCTAACTCTTGGCCTAATTCTCTGACCCATATTTGTGATGCCCGACATTTAGGTTGCATAACCAAAAACGAGGTCTTTAAGGTCCCCCGCATAATCCAAACATGAAGGTAGATTGGGAATAAAAGGGCAGCAACATCGCCAGAGTGATGAAGGGGGCTCCTCTTTTCAAACTGTGTTAGTCTCCCCTGGAAATAAATAGTTTTTGAAGACATGTATGACTCAGAAAAGAAAAAAAATCTTAATTTCTGAGCTGAGAAATGTGATTTGAAGTTTTGAGTTGGAGTGTAAGGAAAACTGTTACCTGAGTAAAGTTCAGTGAGTCTGAACTCTGGAGGCTCAGGGGATCATACTACCCCCTGGTGGCCCACCAATTTCATCAGTGTGTTCAGTTACCACAGCAGCTAATAATGAGTGTTAACCAGTAATAAGGTCCACTGTGAGCTGCTTCCTTAATAAACGCTTATCAACAGTTTCAGGTGGTAATTAGTCCTGAGGGAGAAGAGAGAGGTGTGCTGATGGATGTTTATCAAAGCTCAGAGGGTATCGAGTCAGTAATGAAGCTCCTGGGACCTACAGGGACAAAAACATTACAGTCTTATGATTTATCAAACTGAAAGACAACTTTACTTACAGGTCACTTTGGTTACGAAATATCACGAGACGAGTTAATATACCAGAGAGATCTAAAAATGAATTGTTGACATTATGTCCATGCTCACCATCTTAGTTTGGAACTTTTAATCTTCTTGTGTTTGCTAAAACAGGAAACTATTTCTGACGAGTGCTATACTTTTATTTTGAAGTATACCACTGTTGGTAGATCGAAAGTTAAAGAACTAAATAAAAAGATTAAAAGAACCCTTAAAAAGTATAAATCTTCAACTGATCAGTCACATGACGACATACAAGAGATACAGTTTTTTAAAGTGTCTAAAAATCTCTGAAGAAGCTGCTAAAGGTAGATCACCTGTAGCTGCTTCTTCTTCATCATCATCATCATCATCATCATCATCATCATCATCATCATCATCATCTTCTTCTTCTTCTTCTTCTTCTTCTTCTTCTTCTCTCTCTTTATAATGAAAAGGACAACGATGAATTCCCAGTATCACCATATAGATGTTCTTGACCATATCCGTCCATCCAAAACCTTTTATTGAATCAGGCTGTTAATATGGTTATATTTGCTGTCTAGATGTTTTTTTTTTTTTTTTGAATGGGTGTCTATGTGGCTTCTAGTGCTTTTGGCACTAGCCCTCAGTGGACACTAGAGGAACTGCAGTTCTTAATACCTCCACATTGGATTCATGTGTGGACAACATTAGTGTGGACACAACGGTTCGTTGCATACAGGACCTGTCTGAATGAGAGACAGCGCCTACAGTGGAAGTCCTGAAAAAATGCAAAAGCTATCCCATTAACCAGG